CGGAACAACCTACATCACTGTATGCATTTACCAGAAAGTTTGAGTTTGATATCGTCAGAGTCTTCCACCAGGTGCTTGGACGCATAGTAATCGCTGGTGCCTCTTCGATATTGCCGAATATCACTTGCTGAATGCCTAAATAGTTCTCACAAGTGTATAATGCATTGATTTCCCGAGCCAAAGGAAGGGTGAGAACCTTGAGTCGATCTTGGGTGCTAGGTTCTTGATTCGACAGAGATGCGATGTATGTAGTGCCTTCCATCTGCACAGTACAGGCCCATACGTCTGAAGAGATACTGAAGCTAGGCAAAAGCTTTTTTTGGCCGGATTGCAATCTTGTGAGCCTTCCTACAGCATATTCGCTGAGTAGATACTCAGCAATCCTTCCGGCTACTTCAATGGGAATCCCGATACCAAGTGAATCTCTGTAGCGCTTCACTAAAGCGGATGCAAGCTGATCACAGAGCTATAGAGCTTGTAAGTGCTGCTTGGAAACAGCAGGTTCGAATATATACTTCATAACCTCGAAGGAAAGGTCGTGGAGTCTTGTGTCGGCGAGCCGAGCATATCCGGCATAACAAGCTCGCGCCTGTTCATCGTGTGAACAAATCTGATCGCATACCACGTAGGTGAATGCTGGAGAAGCATTCAAATACTCCAATAAGAGGTTGTACTGAAAACTTGCAAACAGATGTTCTTTCTCATGCACTACAGCACTCGGATCAGCTGTGCAGGAAAGGCAAAGGATTGATTCGCTTACCTGCAACAATGCATTCGCCCGGGAAGAAATCAAATTGACAGAGAAAGCATTGAGGCTTGATGCAAGCTATAGAATGGCAATGATCATCCATAATTGTTTTGGCTTGTACGCAAAGCTACAGTAAGGATCGTTCAGAACAAAATTTTCTGAATTGTTATTTATCCGAGTAGCTTACTAATTGCTACACTATATCATATTCGATAGCTCAAATCTGAAAGTCTGACATCACTGAAGTTTGTCGGTTCAATATGTTGTCTTCCATTTCAATCCACGATATTCATAGATATTATCTTTTTTCACCCAATCCTTGTGCCGAGTCGATATCTTTACACCACGCTTATCGTAAAATATAATATTAGATGGATCATTTCTGCCTTTCCGCACCTCTGTATATATCCTATATTCGCTATTCATTACTGATGAGCTTGGACCGAGTTCGGCTTTCATTTCGTTCAAGTCTCCAGCTATACCTATCTGGGCGGCAGGTGGTCTCGAGCTCGCACTAGCACCGATCGTATTGGAAAAGACTTGTGCCGGTGCTTGGAACATCGGGGTATGGCTAGGGACAGTAGTTGCGCGCACGATCGGTGAATCGCCCTTGATTAGACGGACAGTATTCTCGAAATGATAAGACTCGTCTGAGCTGATTGCGATATAAGACGTCTGGTCGCCAAGTCTCTCTCCGCCGTGCAAAGGCTTAAGTGCGGAGAGGTCCGCGGCCTCAACAAGCCACGACCGAAAACGATCTCGGCAGACAGTGATAGCGTAAATGCCGGTAAGGTTATAAGTTGTGATAGCCTCCCTTGCATAATCTAAGGTCTGTTTTTCAGCGTCCTTGAGTGATGTGTTGCCTTTTCGTTTAATCTCTACCAGTAGTAATTTCGCGAAGATCCCATGGTGCTCGTCGTATTGGGAGACATATGTCGACTCGCTTTCTGCTGTTGGACGCCGGCGCTTGCTCGCAGAGTACAACATAGTTGTTGTTGAGGGGAAAGTAGCATTGTAGAAGAGCTTGCCAGAAGGCGGATGTCGTGTACTCGATATCTTCACGTAGTGCTTCTCCCAACAAGCTCAACTCCACTAGTTCCAAGACTAGAATATTCTTCGGAACTTGATAATCAGGTGACGAAGACATGATTGAAGAGGTGAAATCGATTTGTAGGTTTCTTGCTGATATATCAAATGTTATCGGATGTTCTTTAGATATATACATATATATACATGTGTGTGTGTCTCGAGTAAGCAGGCATGTTGATTTTTCAATGATTGCGTTACTCAGAGCTCTCTACTAGTATCAATGTATGATATTCTGCTGCACAATAGGGAATAGGCAATAGAAGGAGGGGGGCCAGGGAAGTGAAAGTGAGGTTTTGAGAAAGTAAGATATTGGAAAAATGAGATTTTGGAAAAGTGAGATTTTGAGAGTGGCTAAAGTGAGATTTGGGAAATAAGGCTCAGAAGTTAGGCGCCTTACCTTCAAGTATGAAGAAGACTGCAGTTGCATTGCACTAGCAGTTTTTCTAGGGCTTACTACGGAAGCGGATATGGCAAAGCGGGGGCTAGAATGCGAGGTTTAGGAAGGGGGAGTGGTTGTTTGTGGGGAGCGAAAGTAAGGTTCTACTTACATGGGTTGAGGGAAATGAGGTTTTGGACAGTGATGCTTGAAGGAAGGTAGTATTCGCTCATTTGCAAGTGCAGACTAATTGCATTAGCGGTCGCTTAAGGAGGAGGGGAAAGGGGATAGGAGGGGAGGAGGGGTTCAAGCGCATTCTTGCCAGCTTCAGAGGCATACTTCACAAATCGTATCTCTAAGCTTACTTTCCAGCCTCCATTTGCTCACTTTCCCATTCCTTTCCTCCAATTCTTATCTGGAAATGCCCCTGTTCAACACTTGTTTTTGAGACTGTTCGAAACCTCAATGAACCAGCAAAACATTGCAGATCTCATCGCGTTTGTGGATAAGACGAGCAATGACTCGATATATGCTCCGCGTGGAGTAAATGAGGCGCGATGGACAGCGAGCTAGGCAGATATAAATTCAATTGAGCGAGTCCTGCTCGGAAAAGGGGAATCCCTTTGGCGTACATTCTACGCTGCAAAGAGAGCAACAAAACGGAGAAAGGGATTCAAGGGCAAAGCCAGACTAAAGAGCTTGCTTCATATCCTCGAGGCAGGGTCGGCAGAACTTCATCGCTCATTCGCAGAGCAGCTTGCTGCGCCGAGAACGGACAGCGAACCACCAGAGAAAGGCACTACCTTGCGAAGATCAAGGCGCAATATCACCAGTAGTGCAACTAAAGCTGAGCAGCATCGTATGTATTCTATCGGCCAATGAATCTTCTCATCTAACTGGCTCCCTAGGTACTACTAACGTGGATGCAACACCTATTGAGACTTCCGAACAATCTTTTGCTAAGGACAATTCAAACATATATATCGGGGCCCCTCTCGAGTCGGCCAAAAACCTATTTGATGCTCAGTTCTGGGACTCGATCGAAAGATTACCAAGTTCTAATCACCACTGTGACTGGGTGGCCGATATATCAATGATTTTTCAACAAGGTTATATCAGGGAACACTTCGGATGCCAAATGGAGATAGGAATTGTGCCGGAAAAAGTTGCAGATTACGCTCTAGAGTATTTCGGTGTCAAGGTGGAAAGCAAGGATGGGGTCAGATATCTCCGTGATTTCAATGGAGCGATGATAGAGCCAGATCCGTCAGTAAAGCTTCGGAATTGTGCAAGGAACATCATCCATAGGTTTCAGGGTGAGTTATGCGAAGCAGCTCGCGCATCTCCGGTATTTCAAAACGAGGAGATGAAGAAGCTGGCTTATACTGACGGCATCTCGATGGCAATAACGAATTCAGCGAAACAGAGTGGCAGGATCACAATATTCTTGGGAGAATGGAGAGCGACGAGGATCAAAGACCAAATTTATATTTAATCACGATCTACCTTCTTTCACCTCTCCTTCCTCGAATAGGAGGCTCATACCATTTGGCAAGACTGACTGTCCTTTGGATTTTGGATATTTATAAGCAGGCTTATTATCTTCCTTCCCTGTCTCGAAAACCTTGATAGAACAGTTTCTCCAGTACAACATCTGGTCTCTCCCAACAATTGCCTGAGCACCAGTCTTAGCACCGACAAAAAAACTTTTCATTATCTTTATCAGCATCGAGCGCCTGCAGATTAAATGACTGGAAAAGTCAGATTTGCATTACAAGCCACTGTAGTAAAGATGTACTTACATTCATTAGAAACTTAGTAGAGAACTGTGTATGGGTGTAGAGGCTGGATATTTGGTAGCCCAGATTGAATGAAATAGAAGAAATTGATAGGAGTAATCCTATATATTAGCGCATATATTCTTATTCGAATAAAAGTGCAGGGTACTGCAGCAAAGTATTGCGTAGATTTCGAGAAGTAGGCATACGATGAGAAAAGATTACAGGTGAGAAAAGTCGGAATAGCGATCCCGCGGGCCCTTTAAACCCGTCTAGCTAAGCCGCAATTTTTTTCAAAGCACCAAGGCACTAAGGCTCCGAGGCTTCTAAGCTTCAAGATAAGGCTTACATGCATTAGTCATTAATGCCTTATCTGACATTGACTTTCCACTGGAATACCTACTAGAAGATATCCCAAAGTCTCGACAATAGCTTACGAGTTGATTAATAAGATGCACTCAACAGAGAAGCTGTTATTGGACTACAGCAGTATACCTCCTTGGATCCTATATTCTCTTTCGCAGAAAAGAGAAAAAGAAAAGAAAAAAGATACAAATCAGGAGCTATATTATGCTGGTTACGAAACAGATCACTCGAAACGAGTGAAGACGAGACGTCAAAGTCAACAGATCCAATATCAAAACATGGTGCTTACATAGCTAGATATAATGTAAGGAAAATTGATCAATCACGGATAGATCACTGGCTCACGGTGAGCTACTCAATGGATCGTAGTGATCCTTAGAGGATCACTACTAACAAGTGAGCCGTACGAAAGGGCAGGGACAGACGCCAGGTTGGCAAATTCAACATCATGGAACATGGCTGTAATGAGCACTGCAGTAATCCGAAGACTCCTTTGGTACTTTAAAGGTTTACGCTAACAAGAGCGGTGCCAAGTTGAGGCCTTGATTATAGAGCATAGCAAATAGCTTTTAACTGCAATGCTCGCTACCTTTTGGGCTACTGAAGTCGCAAGGACTTCAATACTTAACTACTATAGCATATTCATTTAGATATGATAATAGTATTGCCGAGCTTCCTTTGATGTTGCCTGATAATAGGGTTAATAGTCCTATTAATGGTATCAATACATAGTTGAGAACTCCCTTGACCCCTTTCCTCGTTTTGTGAGATGTCCATCCAGTTGTCATTCCTATAGATATTGTGAGGCAGTTGTCAGCTGTCACGCAACAGACCATCTCACTGGCGGCCTTGATATCCTTCCACTTCGGGTCTTAAAGGCATCAAATTCAGATCGTGATCGCAGTTGGATCAACTGGCGCTGAGCTTGTACTCGGCCTCGAGTCTGCTTATCTCCGGGCAAAGTTGGTCGAGGGAGCCGAGTGGCTTCTTCTTGGCACAGGGGCTTCATCCCTTGACGCTTCGGTCTTTGTTGAGTGCAGTCCGGGGCCGTGACGTCAGAGTCCATAATGACAGGCTGGGGTGTCGAGGCTTTCACCGTCTTGGCCCGCATGTTTGAAGTATTCAGCGTGGGTTTCGACACTCTGATCTTGCCTTGGACCGTAGAAGTGCTGAATTGCCTTGACCGGCGCTGACGAGAGGAGACTCTCGGTATGGCTCTCAATGTAGCACTCTGATCGTCAGTCTCTCTTACTGAGGGAAGAGGCCATGAATCCATCCGAAGCCGTTGTTGCTCGATCCACCCCAGGAGGACCCTGTGCGATCGCAGAGTTCGTTCGGCAAACTCGAGGCGTCCCTGAATAGCTTCCTCGCTGCGAACTGTGTGTTCAGAACCTTCCAAATCCGTAGCACCGGCTTGTTTCTGGCATTTATGCAACTTCTCCACCAATCGGTCTCGCTTCTTCGCAAATTGCTCATAGCGGATAAGATGGTAGTCCTGAAACTCGATCCAAGTCTGTTGCTGGCTCTGCTGTTGCGGGTTTAACAGCAATTGGACATAACTACTACCGAGTTCGTGCCTCCGCCGACGTTCGCAAACACCAGCCACAAACATGCTGAACGAACTGTGTTGATACTGGTTGCGGACACTTTGCTGAAACGCTCGAAACTTCCACCAGTCTGCTCTTTGAGCACAAAGTATCACATCGCCTGTCGATGAGAGTGATTGCCAGTACTCTATTATTGGTCGGTATTCATTCGTCGGGTTTCGCACAGGGACGTTGAGTTCTGGTGGGTAACAGGCAGAACAGCTATCGCTTTCGAGCTCCTTTCGCACATCAGCTTCAAGCTGGCGAGATTCTTTGTCGTCTTCCTCCTGATCTGGAGGTAGTGTTATTTCCCTGTATTATCACAGCATTAGTACAAGAGGGATATAAAGGGAAGAAACAGATGAACAATAATTTCGAGCGGAGAGCTTCAGCATCGAGAGCATTTGTTATCAGCTGCTGTCCGAGGCTACTGCAGTGTTAGCCTGACTCTAGGATTGCCCCCAGCTCATTCAATTCCTTACTATGCTCTCCAGAGAACTGTATATTGTTCGGACTCAGAAAGTGTCTCGATGCCTGGAATCTTGATCATGCTTTCCACCGAAGGCAAGCGTTAGCACAGCTGGCAGCGTTTGAGTTAGGGGGTTATTACGCTGCTCTACGAACCTGAACTCGTCAGATCTAGAGATTTCAATAGTATCCATGGGTAAATCAGTTGGAATGTCTATTGTATGCAAAGTAGAACTAAAGCGATGATGCTTGCAGTAGTAGTGGATTTTTGTGCAATACAAATAACAAGAAGATGAAAAACAGAAAGTAGAGGGAGGGGACAGGACAGGTGACATTATGCCAGTTCACATGCTAAAATGGACTAAGGGGTGGCTAAGGATACTAAAAATAGCAGCTGGCTAATTCTTTGCTAAGTGACTGATGCCCCCCCCCCCCAAGCCCCCATAGCCCCCTGACAACCCGTGCTTATCCCGCTTTTACTTAGGGGTAGAGCAGCTAATCTTACCGCCATTTCAGCTGACCATCCAGCTGCTGCATGGGCTGGAGTCTCTATGCATCAGAAATGGATATATTCCAATTTCTAGCTCCTTCACAAGTACTATGTTGTCTAGCTCTTCATCGCTTTACATTTCGCTTCTCCCTGCTTCTCACTACTTCGAGGCATCATGTATAGTCCTGATGTCTTCGCAGTGTTTACTGTATATGATCAGAAGAATAGAGCGGACAGTGCTTTCAAGCTTGAGCACAATGCAAGGTGGTTCCGCAGAAGCGTTAGCAGTATCGCTATAATGCCTACCATGAACAGTCGTAAGGCTACGCCTGCTGAAGACTTACAGTCGGATGATGCTGATAATGCAGAAGATTGCAGCATTAACCATCTAGTTGTGATTTTCGATCAGCTGCTTGCATTGGACAATCTTCAGAACGGACTACAGCTGAGTACAGATTCTAATGTATCTCATATCCTTCTGGGGCACCGCGGAATGAGAGGGATTAGCAGCAAGCAGGTATACCGACATCTACGATAAGAGTATATACAAGCAATGCCCAGCCTCTGCTAATTCTAATATTAGTTCAATATTACTGTGGATAAATCTCTTCATCTCTGGCTGCACGACTACGAGTCTCGATACAGCACTGCAGTCGGCCGAAATGAGCAGAACTAGACAGAAGTACGGAACAGAGAGATATGGATTCTGGGATACGCACCCAGCAGTTCCGATAACTTTGCGGAGATAACAATTCACTGCAGCGGCTTTGTTATGAGGATCCAGTTTCCCAACTATATTGCAGCATCTCCGCTCTATGTTCAGAATCTGCAAGCGTTTCTCAAGAAATGCTAGGAAGCTGCTGAGAGAATCAATGTAGATCCTTGCATTGAGGAGCTCGGCTTGGAGAGCGAGCTAGTAATGCAAGCACCCAGTGAGGCTCTGATTCTACATGAGAGGCCTATCTACTATGAGCTTGAAGAGATTGGAGAGGGAATGTTTGGTCGAGTTTATAAGGCTATCAGGGTGCGAGATGGGAAGATTTTCGCTGCGAAGGTGTTTAACCTTCCATCTAATAAAAATAAGAGATGAAGAGATGGACTCGATACTGTATAGCTGACTAAGATATGGGAAGAATTCACTCTTATGAGAGACAATTCTTATGTAAGTTTACTGTTCTATATCTGTGAATCTTAATATTATACTAATTACTGCGAAGCTGAATGTGCTACAGATGTTTGAATTTCGGGAGACCCCAAAGCCTGCGATCATTGTAATCTTCTATCGCTCTGGAAGCATGGTCGATGCTAATATCGTCGAGGAGAGCAAATACGTCACTGCTTGGAGCCAGATCCTTGACGGCCTTAGTTATCTCCATAAGAAGATGGCTCACCGCGATCTCAAATCCGAGAACTTCTTGGTTGAGATGAAACCGCTCTTCAAAGTCGTTATCGCTGACTTCGGTATAGCCAAGGTTGCAACTAACTCTACTTCGCTGCAGACTTTCTGCGGCTCGCTCAAGTATGCAGCGTCCGAAGTGTTTTCCGGTTATAGTTCCGGCTATGGAATCCATGTGGATATCTGGTCGCTAGGTATCATCATCTTGGAATGGATCTACGGTATTCCGAATACCCTCTCCGGGGATCAGCAGTCAAGCGATTGGGCTAACAGATGGCATAAGCTGCTCCTCAACACGTTGGGGGACTAAGAAGATGGAGATAAGGTTATCCAGATCTTAGCTTATATGATCAAGACCGACGCTACTTCGAGATGGGCTGCGAGTTAATGCTTAGCGTGTGGTCTCAAGGCTGGCATTTTTAAAAGGAGGCCAACTGATGGCTTGGTCGCCTGCGCAAGCGACTCGGACGACCTCGACTTGACTCAGAAGGAAGGGGAGGATGAGAGAAGGACGCTGTCTTAGGTTTCGAATCCTCAGCAGCTACCATACCTAGGGATATGTGGGGTGGAGCGGTGCCTACGAGCATGCACTAATAACCCCGAATCATATATAAAAAGGTTCTGTCGCATATTGCCAGTGATATATAACGACTGAACCTAGATACAAGGAATATTGATCTTTGAGTAATTGAATATTGGAAAGTCTACGCACCGAACGCGCCTGTCAAACCCGGGGCTTTCCGTAAACCCGTCAGCTCTTCGTCAGCCTTGCGCTTGACGCCCAGCACTGCATCGGGAGAGTATACCGGCGCCAAAGCAGAGTCCTCGAGTAGGTGGCCAGGAAACTGGATAGCATGTATACGCCAGGAGAGGTAGTCCTCAAAGCATGCGGCCTTGTTGCCTTGCTGTTCGCAGAGCGGACAGGGAAGCGGGCTGGACGACCGCCGAAAATGAGCCCGGATATGTGAGACAAGACTCCTCTGAGTGAGAAAACCGCTACAGAAAGGACAACGCTCCATAGATTGGACACCGTGATATGCAGAGATATGAGAGATGTAAGTATCGATATCAAGATTGTCCGTACTGGGGCAATCCGTGCAAGTGATGCTTTTGCACTGATCAGCAAGCAAGCTGTCGATGTGATACTTATTAATATGACGCATAAAGCCGTGGACAGAGACCTGGCTATTGCAGAGGCCGCATACGACCTTGGTGACAGTACTGGCCTTCGAGATTGGGATTGGGACAACAAGGCGCTCGGGAAAATTGGGAGCATGCTGCTTGCCATGGATTCTTTCGACATGGTTGCTCCACTGAGATGGCGTCCGCGTAGTAGGTGGGGGCAGGCTCTGGAGCTTGCATTCAGGACACTGGAACGGGGCTGATAACGTGGCCCTGTGTACTCGTGCGTGCCTCGTCAGTTCGTTGCGTCGTGCAAAGCTCCGCCGGCAAATGAAACAAGTAGGCCTGGTTGTCCCCTTTTCAACTGCGGCATCGGAGGCGTAGATGGGTGCATATGGCTCTTCTTGGGTCGGAGCCATATCTTGGTGTGGGTTGCTTTTCTCCTCGCTCAGATCTTGCATGCTCTCGCTCTCGACCGGTCCCGGCTTCGCTGCAGATTGGGTATCCTGGCCTGTCTGTTCCTCATTTTGCTTGCATATAGAAGCTGGAAGTGATGGACAGGCGCTACGGAAAGTTCGGGAGATCAACTCAAAGCTGCCCTCCATATAAAACATAAGCTATTGCATAGCCTTGAGTGATCTGGCCTCAGCTGCTTGATCGAAAACAGTTCCCGACGCCCATAACTGCATCAGCCTGTCGATATTGAGTCTCAAATATTGTCCCGAACCATTATAGTGCTGATAAGGATCCTCCTGCAGTCTTCGAAGACCAGCTTCGTCGTTTTCTTGCCGAATTTATGCAGTCTGTTTGAAATATTCTTCCCGCCGCTTCTGAAGCTCCAAGTGCTTGAAACGAGATCGCCAATAGTTCAAGGTATACTCTGCTGCCTTGACTTCGCTTATATCAGCGTCTCGCGCCTTTAATGAGTCGATATCACTGCGCAGCTCCTGCACAGTAATGCCTGCATCGATCTTATGCATCTGGTCTTGTATGATGTAAATGGGGGCATGGGGATCATAATGTCGCGAGATGCTATAAAGAGGGAGATCCTCCGTGGAATCTGCGAGATCGCCGAAGTGTATCTTCTGGAGGTTGACTCGAATATTTCGGCTCTGGTAATCCTTCTGGAATGTCTTGTTTGTATGTTCCATGATGTAATAGCGCGTGATGCTGGTTGTTTGCTCTGTTTGCGGCTTGTTAGACTATAAGCTCTAATAAGGAAAGAGAGAAAGGGGGTGATCCGGGGGTCGGTAGGGAACAAACTCACTATTAATAGCTTCTCCAGCGCCTACGTGCAATGCGTAGGGGCGTGGCACTGTCTCGAAGCTCGCTACGATGCAGAGCCGGAACCAATAGGAGCGGAAAGTAGCGTAACTCAGTATTATCACGCATTTCTGAAGAATCTCCTTATCCTAATGCAAAGCTGTGCAACTACTGCTATTAAGAATAGGCTGATAGATCACATCCTTTATACACTTATACTGTATCTGAAAAGCACCTAGCTTCCACGCCAGGGCAACAAGCAGGTGGGTGAAGCAGAGAAGTGGAGTAGGCATCATCTCAAGATCAAGCTCGAACCTAGAACATGGTCAGATGCGTATCGAAAGATGAGTAGCGGGGTAACAACATGCCTATCCTCATCTAACCCAACCAGCAAGGCATCTCTTCTTCTCTTGTTCCGGAAGAGAGTCAAGCTCGATTTCAGTTGTTGGCCTTCCGGACAGCTTTCATCCCGTTTCAGCTACAGTGAAACATCCTTTCATCTGAGATTGGGCACCATTCCTGGCCAGCAGCCAGGAAGAAAAAGGATGAGAAGGTATATGTGGAACATAATGCAGTTCAAAGGCGGCATAGGGATGTGGTCAGCACGCTCCCATAATGTTTGCAGCAGTCTTCAAAGATCCTCAGCTGTTGCATCCGTCTTGATATAGTTGCTATCAATAGTGAGACCCCACTTGTCCTTCAGTGTGGTTGCGATCTACTGAAAGAATGCATTAGTTCAAACAGCTTAGTCAAAAAAGCAGGAAGTTGAGCTGCAGGTAGAAGAGGCAAAGCGGAGAGCTAGGAGCACAGGCTCGCCTGAGAGCTCGGATCGGAAAGAAAGAGGGGGCGAAGGAGGAAAGCATAGACTTACTCTGGTACTATCGCAGACTGGCCCAATATCACGAGCACCAGCTGTGCCTTGAGGCCGGGCTAGTTGCATCCAAGCCTTGTCGGGGTTCCTTTGTCTCTGCGGCCTTATGATCTCAGCCTCGGCAGCAGCAATCAGCTGCTTCATTATTCCATTCGCTGTCGAGATGCAGATTACTGCTTTCTGTCTCATCGTATCAGCTGTATCCCAAGCCCGGGTAGAACAGCCTGATAACTTGATATAGTTGTCGATGAAATCTAGGACGAAAATTTTGGACTTGTAGTCATCCCGAATAATCATTTCCCAGACTTTCTCACAGTCGATCTCTGGATGCTTCAAAGACATGAAGCTGGCACTGAGTTAGCTAAGCAAGCTAGATGCGCACCGATACAACAAAACATACGTATTCCAATCAGAGAATATCCTAGCACGGTTATCCTCTGTGCTTTTGGCTAGCTTCGGTTTGCTGTATTGCGGGAGAAATGCATGCCATTCATCTTCGTTATCTTGGGTTGTCGTATTCTGCACATTGAAGCGCGATATTCCGGCCTTCCTGCGACCCATTATGCAGAGCAACAATCGATCAAGAGGACAATGCAAGCCCTCACAAGTCAAGACTGGGCGAGAAGTGAACAAAGACCCGCCGAGAGAGAGAGGGGGCACGAGCGCAATGCTGGGAACTGCAATCAGGAGGGCATTGAGAATATATCCAGTGTACAAGAGAGGGAGCGAGTAACAAAGGAGGACAGGCAGCAGGCTGAGTAAAGGATGAGCTGAAGCACAAAGGGAAGCAGCAGGGAAGGCAGGATGGGAACAGGTAACTTAAGTACTACATAGACAGGAGCCTGCCCCACGGAGCCTCGCGAATGCAAATAGCAGGTGGGGCCACAGGACGCGCCCCTTTGGAGACACCAGGGCTGCGCGCCCCTCCCACCCTTCTGCCCCCCGAAAATAAGGTGGCAGCCATGCAAGTCGAAGGAGACGTCGAAACGGAAGAAGGACGGAAGGAAGGACGGAAGGCCGAAGGATCGTAGCCGGGGAGTAGGGGGCTGAGCCGGGTCGGCACCGGAAAAATGCGCTATACTGAATTGAGGGAAGCTGAGTCAGCGAGTATGGTGCAGCGATTTTAGCACTCCGCCCAAGGTATGCCCCACTTTCGTCCACTTGGTACTGTGGTGCCAAACCACATCCCCTGAATGCAAACCTATTGTCCTGCTCAGTGCAATGCGTCATCTTTCTCAAATGTCAGCATGAAACATCAAGCAGCTAACACAAGGCTGTTATTTGGCAGGATGTGCACGGGCCACTTCAGACTCATGTATGTATGGTCGGGAAGGCGAATCAGGACGAGTGGCACTCTTGTCAACAGCTCTAGTGTGGCGCCATCCCACAGAAGACAGGCTACCTCCAGTTCCTGTCTTCTTGCCAGTCTGACTGACTTTAGTCTTCCAATATCCTGGTCAAAGACAGATATAATCAATGTGTAAGCAGATGTACTGTAGTGCTGTTGAACTGCTCAGTCAAAAAGCCAATTTTCGAGTTGCTTGCACTCAGTCAATTACTAAGTACGTTCTTGAGAGGGCGCGGGCTCTCCATAGTAGATCCTCCCTATTCACCATCTGTGGCTCAACGACAGTGGCCTGGCAGCCTCAAGTCTTCCCTTTTGACTCGAAATCGCATCTGCTTACTTCATGCATGATGGACATCAAGATCACACTGTATCTTGGATTGTCAGCCTGGGAAGATGCAGCTTGTGCAGCACTGGCATGTTTCCTATATGTTCAAATGTCTGCATTGGCTCCATATCGCAGCAGCCTATCTGAGATAATCACCTGGCTGGCTCTTCTTTTTCACAATGAAAAATGCAATTCTGAACCTCAATTCAGATGAATGAATGGGAATTGTGTCATGTTCCACGCACTGAGTTGTGACAATTTGGAGCCGAGGTCTGGGCAGCTGACTGAAACATCCAGCCAATCGCTTGGATGAATATCCGACGAACAGATTCTAAAGGCAGAGCATATGCTGCTTTACAACCCATGAATCTTGTGTCGGACAGCTGCCTAAGCATTTGAATTGGTATAATCATCATAGTCGAAAAAAAAAGTTCAAGATTAGGTTGGAGGGCGTAGAAACGTCAATGGCAGGGGGAAATTATGAGACCACCATGGTAAGAAGCGCTCTCGAAATCACAGATCCTGGCGAGACAGTGTTTAACAGCAGGGACTGTTTCTGACAAGCACACAAAGTCCTGTGTAGGACAACAAAGTAGACTGATGCGCAACCACTTGAGTAAGAACAGGGTGCAAGGAGTCAGTTTGATTGTGCCAAGGCTCTATAATGAGGTTAGTGTCTGGAAATGAAAAGTACATGGAAACAGAACTCAAGGTGAAGTAATATTGCAAAGCTCCTTCAGCTCGAGAATCTAGGCAGCCAATAGTTGTGGTAGAGAAGGCGCAGGTACAGGTACGTGACCTTCGCTAGATCATGAGGCCACAGATAGGAAAGACTGCAGGATTGATAGAGATGTATACAAATTCAACAATGAGCAGTCCAATGAGACAATCAACTTGAACAGCTGGATCATGAAAGATGGGGTCATGACTGACTTATAAATACCAAAAAGATGCCTTGAAGGGTCTCAAGGGAAGGGGGGGGGGGGGTGGGTGAGAAGGTGCGCGTGAAAAAGCAGGCCAAGTATACATCTGGAGCAAGTAGAGAACGTGGTGGTCCAGGAAGGATTCTAATATCCCATGAACAACACTCTACCTGGCTCGTACTTCCTACCTTGCCACCCACTTAGGCTGCAGTATCTCTACTGGATTCTGACCTTGATCTCGAAAGTCAACCTGGTCCTCCAGCTCAAGTCTGGACCTTGACCCTAACCCACCCCTCGCCTTTTTCGCCCCTCCCCAGCACATCAGAGTCTATTAGAATAAACAACCCACTCCCTCTCCCCCTTCTAACCCACCGCGTCAACAAGGGAGAAACAGACAATTCCATCATCAACATCAGCATTGCGTGAGAACTGCATCGTGTGAGCAACAGACTACGCCAACCATCAAGCCAGACAAAAAAGTAAAGATCAAGAGCAGTCTTGAAGATGGCTTCCATCCAAGATGGAGGGACTGCCTCAGCCCAGCGCGCCTCTCAAAGCACCACTGGCTACAATCGTGAGCCAACCTACACTTTGTACTATACCAATGTGGAGCGCTTTCATTGCCAGCGCAAATGCATGATCTTGCTGAAGGGTGGCGAAGACGAACACGAACATGGACAGGAGGTACCCTTTTGCTCCACTGGGATCAACCAGCTCTACTACAACACGATTGGTCATGGTGGCACTATCAAGATCATCGAGCCTCCCAAGAGCCAACTCCTGCCTCTCGCCAAGCTCCTCGACATACCCAGTCTCTTGCGCTTCCCTCTGCCCCCTATGGTCCTGGCAGCACCCAGCATCGCTCTTCTGGAGAACACCCTTGTCAAAGCTCTTAACCTCCTGCACAACTGCAACATCTCCTTTCCTGTGACCCGTCACAACCAGATGTCTCTGTACGGAGATGACTTCAGCCTTGTGGATAACTGGAGCCTATACTTGCACTACAATCCTGATGCTCGACAGATCCACATTGGGTCGAACGTTTCCCCAACCTGGAAAGAGGATGAGCTTGCGAAAGCCAGATTTCTATTGTTCATCCCAAAGGTATTGCTTCAGACCATCCCATTACTACTCATCACTCTGACCAGTCTTTCTAATATGATACCATCGACCTGCCTAGATCATCACGTACATTCGTGACAAGAGATTTGCGACAGCTGGCGCCAAAGTCTTCCTCGACAATAAAGCACAGGATGACCTCTGTGATTACTTCCATCATGCTGGCATCATTCCTGATGTGGCTCAGTTTTGTGCTACCAAACTCAGCCCATGCACAGCAAAGTTGGCTCTGAACTTTGTCTTTGGCTATGTGGTCTGGGGCATGAGCAACTGTGCCTACAAAGTCCTCCAAGAAGTCTTTGGAGACTCTGCAATGACAAACCCATTGTCAATCTCACACAATATTCACGATGCCAATGCAGTCTATGACTTTTACAAGCAAGCTGTGAAGCAGAAGGTGGAAATGTACAACCAGAAAGCCAATAACAGTAACCAGGTACAGGTGAGTGTGCAACATGATCGTGGAAAGGATAATGGATTGTACAGCGAGGGAATTATTATGGTAATTAACAAGAAGGACAACTAGGCCAACAATCAGACCGATGTCAACAATGACTATGATGAGGGCGATGGCACCCTTGTCAATGACTTCGACTCGGAGACCTACTGCCGCGACATGGGTTATCTTACCAGCAACAACAGCATCGAGTACAAGCTCGAGCTCGAGCGCATAATGATGCTGGATCGGATGACTCTTTCACGCCTCATCATCTGCCGTGCTGAGATTGCCCAGCAGTTAAACCACCCACACCTCCAAGAGTGGTGGGAGCAGGCTGCTGAGCTCTACAAAACCTTCTTGGTTCTTGACAACACTGGACCATCCACCGTAAAGGTCACATTGTGCAGTATGTTCCAGAACGGCGTGTACAAGCCCAGGAAGGAGCACCATCCCAGCAACCCCTTTCAGCATTTGGTGCTCCGAGGTTGCCGGATCTGAGAGCACTGATACAGGTCAGTGAGAGAAGACTCATAGGCAGTATGGTTTTGATAGGGGTGAAAGGGGCCAGAATCCAGTATCCTGAATAAGGGAAAGAAAGGGGGGGGGGGGAAATAAGAAGTGTTCGGAATGTTGAAGACCATAAATTTGGGGGGGGGGGGGGAACAAGGAAACAGGAAAGGAACATTTGGAACGCCCAAGTACTCTGAATGGGGGGGGGGGGGTTCTTTGACTCGCAGCAAAATTCTGATGACTCGCTACCGAGATGTTGCGCAGAAGGTGCTCCAACGGGGGACGGAAGGTACTTACTCAAGTACGTACTCAACCAGGTAGCAATCGCTGGCAATTCAACACTTTCACCCTATCCAACTCTGACTGAGTGAGGAATTCCACGCCATGGAGAATGCAACAAGAGATACCAAGGATGTTTTAAGGGGGGGTTGTTGTTGGCTTGGGCAGCCTGGAAGAATGAAGATGTGCAGTCTCTGCGCTTTGTGAAGCCATCCACCACCACCCCGACCCCCAGTCACCGCTACCACGCAACTCTCTTCCAAATCTGCGAGTGGTCGTTGAAGTAGCAGGGGCATGCTTATCTAAGAACGCCAAAGACCCTTGCTGCTGTGGGGTACAGGGTACCATAGTACGGTCGTCACGTCTCGCAAGGGTACAACATTTGCGATACTTTTTAGCTGCTGCGGGAGCGAGCGGATCGGCCCTTCATAGTACAGTAAATTTTCAGATCATGGCTTCACCGTGACATCCTCTCCACCTCCCTTCTCGTCCACAAACCACGCCAGCCAGCCATGTCGAGCTTTTTATCTCGCGCAGGCTCCGACTCACGCATACAACTGGCCGCCACAGCCGTCATCTCAGGAGGCATCGTGGCGGCCGGGATCCTGAGCTACCAGCGCCTGTCCCACGAGAAGCGAGTCTCGAGACTGAAGGACTCGATACCAGACCCGAGCGAGGACAAGCCCCCACAGAAGGTGAGCCGCTCATGACTACTTCTCACAGCTAGGCCTAGTTCACCAGCCCGACCTGTTCTTATCCTGCAGAGAGAAAGGGCGTGTTTGGAGGAAGCGCTGATCACTAACAGCAACTCGTCCCGCGCCCATGAACAGCTCACCAGTCTCGGCACCATCCCCGCCCCCGACAAAGAAGATCTCCGAACCGAGGCGCTCGCACGGCGCGCCCAGGCCGGCGACTTTGATGACGAGCTGATCCTCGAGCAGCTCGCCCGCAACCGCGTCTTCCTTGGGCCCGAAGGTCTCGACAAGCTCCGCAGCTCGTTTGTGGTCGTGGTCGGCTGCGGCGGCGTGGGTAGTCATGCGACAGCCGCCTTCTCCCGGTCGGGCGTGTCGAGGATACGGCTTGTCGACTTTGACCAGGTCACGCTGAGCAGCCTGAACAGACACGCGGTGGCGACCCTGGCAGATGTCGGGCTGCCCAAGGTCCAGTGCCTGCAGAAGCGGCTGCGGGCCATCGCGCCGTGGGTGCGCTTCGACCTGCGACAGGAAAAATTCGACTCAGACAGCTGCGAGGCGCTGCTGGGCCCCTGGGCCGAGGACGGTCGTGCACCGGACTATGTGATCGACGCGATTGACAACATTGAGACCAAGGTGGCCCTGCTGCGATACTGCCACGACCACAAGTTACCTGTCATTTCGGCCATGGGCGCTGGGTGCAAGAGCGACCCGACGAGGATCATCGTGGGCGACATCAGCAGCAGCACCGACGACCCGCTGTCAAGGGCCACAAGGAGGAAGTTGAAGCTCCAAGGCGTGACACACGGCATCCCCGCCGTCTACTCGACTGAGAGGACGGCCGACGGAAAGGCACAGCTGCTGCCTCTGGCCGAAGACGAGTTCAAGAAAGGTTCCGTGGGTGACCTGGGACCGCTTCCTGACTTCCGCGTGCGGATCCTACCAGTCCTCGGCACCATGCCAGCCATCTTTGGCCTCACAGTGGCCAATCACGTTATACTTCACATCACAGGCAAGGCTCTCCCTCCCGTCACGATTGCACAGGCGCCCACCTCTTTCCCTCACACGTGTCGCCGCTGCTAACCCTCCCTCTCCTCTTCGTTCTCTTTGCAGGCTATCCTACGGACTACATCGAATCCAAAGGGTCCGGCAAGCTCTATGACTCGGTTTTCTCCACCATACAGGCCAACGAGGAGAGGCTGGTACGGTCGGAACCGGGCGCCCCATCAGATGTCGCAGTGGGGCTCCGGATCCCCCTGACCGTTGGTGAGGTGGCCTTCTTGGTGGAGGAGATGTACCGTGGCCGCAGTGCCATCAGTGGTCTGCCGACCAGGCTGCACCTCATCAGGTGGAGGAGGCCACAGGACAGCATCTTGAAGACTATTGGCGAAGGTGCAGAGCTGCAGAAGTCCACAACACTGAGCATGAGTGAACTGGTGTGCATGACGAAAGAAGAGCATAAAATCCATGAGAAGCAGGTGCTGAAGGGTGACAAAGCCCCTGAAGATCTATACGATGCTGAGACCATCAAAAGGGTAGAGGCTAGGATGGCAGAGATCAGGGAATACGAACAGCATAGGTGGTGAGTGAGTAAGTGAGTGTGTATGTATGAATCAGACCATAGACCAACACTAGATCACCATTTGATGCACACACATATGTATATATGGTTTTACCTATAAAAGAAAAAGAAGAAAAACATTCAGATACCCCTGAGCCTCTGTCTGTACAGCTTGGGTTTTCTGCTGGAAAGCAGTCAGTGCTCAACCGAATTGCCAGACAAAGAGTTTTGATTGTATGATTAAGTCATCAATTTGTAGCAACAGCACTCATGTTAATAGAGCGCTCCACACCTGAAGTGTTGTATCAAGGAAATCTGTGAATTACAAGCCTGCAGATTTTCTTCATAAGTAGCCACGGCTGAATCACGTCTTCACCCACTCTCATAACATTCGAGCTGATTTACCTCCAACTTGAGATGTTCGCGATTAGACAGAAGCAGGCGCTCCCGGGTCACACCCCCTTCCCACCTCTGACATCGCTCCTTCCGTCTCTGAACTATATCACCCAAATTGATTCACTTGTAAAAGAGGATGCGTGTGAACCCTTGCTAGATGATTAGGATGGCCGTAGAAGTGATTGGGACCTGCCCTGCACAATATTAAAGGAGTCAGACAGCCTAATATTGGCTTCAAGTTCACCTTTTTCCATAACCCTCTGCCTTTCACTCATGCTATTCAAGACCCTGCAGAGCTGTGTTTTTGATTTTATTTACTGCATGAACATTCAAGTCACGTCGATATTTGTGTCATCTCCTGCACTTTCATGACAAGTCACTACGTGATGCTGGTTGCCCAGCAGCTCGTGCATCTCCAGCTTTCGGTAGAACGCAAGGTTCAGTATTCATCTGAATTTCTCCCTTCTCTTACCCCTTCTGTCCTTCACACAGCATTCTGTTTTCTCCATCAACACGACCTGCACCACTTGTGCATGCTTGATTGAAAAGCAGTATGTGAATAGCCCAGTCTTTTTACCAAGCCCCTCCTCCAGTCCTCTCTGGCCCCCATGATTAACAAGTATATATAAATCTAGCAAACAACAGCCAACATCTTGTTGACGGAGCACCATCTACTCAACAACAACAACAAACAATCAACCATCAGCATACGCAAAACAACATCCATATTGCCCATAATGGTTCACGCTGTGGACGCCAAGGAGACCATCCTCGTCTCTGCAGCAGATGATGAGAATAATGGCCAGACTGTCCGCATCCTCATCACCCTGTCTGCTATGACTACCACGCCTGTGAAGATTGTGGACATACGGTCTATGAAGAAGAACCCAGGTAAGCTTGTCACTGCGTGCTTTTTCACACAGATAGACTCTTGTCACAGCTACTGATGGATGATGCTCTAGGAATGACCCCAGCTCTTGTTGCCATTGTCAAGTGGTTCGCTGGAGTCACTGAGGCAGAGGTCGAAGGCAACAAGTCGGGCAATGAAATCCTGACGTTTCGGCCCAAGTGTCTCCCTTCTACCAAACTCTTCAAGAAGGAACTCAAGATCAACTCTGGCTCTATGACAGCCAGCTCCGTTATATTCTTCCAGACGGTCCTGCCCCTGCTCCTTTTTGTGGGAGGCAAGGCCAAGACCACCATGCCCATCGAGCTGAGCATTGACGGTGCCACCAACTGCCTCGATGCCCCGAGCTACGAATATCTCGACCAGGTCTTCCTGCCGGCTCTCGAGAAATATTTTGGCATCAAGGTTACCAGCAAGATGGTCCGCCGTGGCTGGGCCCAGATGACTCCAGATCCCAAGACTGTGCAGAAGGGAAAGGTCACGTTCAAGTTCCATCCTCTCGAGTGGGGCTCAACCCTCAAGCCATGCCAGGGAGTGCAGCTGTGTGATGAGGACGAAGACAAGCTTGGGGGCTGCCCTGATGTCGGCTACCGACCAAAGTTCCTCAACACTACCATCGGGAATGTGGCAGTCACCATGATCACTCCAGTGGGCTTTCATGAACCACTGAAGGACGCTCTGATCGAAGACATCGAGAATCGATTCCCTGGCGCTGAGCTGTCATTCAAGTGTGAGGACAGTGGTCATTCTGATCGTTTCTACGTTCTTGTTGTCGCCAAGTCCGAGTACTGCCAGTGGGCTCGGGACATCACCACCTGCAAGCGTCTCAAAGATGCTCATATCGGCTCCATGAGCAAGGAAGTCTCCAGCCAGCTTGCAAAGGACCTTGAGGATGAGGTTGGCGGTGAGCATGGTGACTGTCCAGTCGACTCCTTTCTCCAAGATCAACTGGTCATCTTCCAGGCTCTCGCTGACGGGCGAACCTGCTTCCCTCGCAACCGCAAAGACGAGTCCACTGAGTCTGCCCTGAAGAATCTGCACCCTGATTTTCCACTCAATGAGGATCTGGTCAAGAAGCTGCCAATCAAAACTGGAGCCTCCAACGACTCGATGCACACTCATCTGGCCAGGTATGCCGCCAAGTTGATGCTTCCCAAGGCGAACTTCTACAACGACGGCAAGGTGTGTATTGGAGCTGCAGTCCAAGTGGCAACCAAGAACTAGTACCAAGCTGGAGGTCTTGCAACATTGGGGACAGGGAGTGTTGCTATGCATCACAAAAACCTTTAAGAAGGGGTAGGTAGGCAACGGGCAAGGTCAACGAGAATGGAGAGGAAGGGATGGCATGGAATGTTGCATGAATCGACTCTTGAAGCAGTCAGCAACCAGGTTTTCAGGGTTCATGTCTTTAGTGGGGGGAGAAAGACTACTGATGGTGATGCGGATCCAGAAAGTAGGTCCAGTGTACTCATCCTCTTCCTTTGATCTCCTGTGACTTTTCTATCTCTGTGTGGCCCAACGCCCAAGATCTCTGCCCTTGCGAAAGGCATTGTCTCACCACAGGCTTTCTTGCCCTTTCCCTGTCCATATGCTGCTGCCTATTGTGCCGGGTCCTCTTAAGGGGCATTTTCCATAGGCATCTCGAGATGTGAAAACCAAGAGTGGGGATGACAAAATGGGGCATAGACACTGTGCATATTGAGTTCCTGGGAGCCAGACTTGCAACCTCAATTGGCGAAGAGTTGAGTCGACATGATGCTATTGCAGAAGTGGTCTGCTTGTGTGGTGTTGTTTTTAGGCCAAAGGCTGGCCTCAGACAAAGTAACACGCAGGCAAACCTGCTGTTGAAGCGCGTTTCACCGTAATAGAAACAGGCAGATGTGATGCTACAATCCTCAATGTATCATAACAGGCTTGAATGTTTACAAGCTACCTACTCCCACACTTACGTAAGACCTGCTTCATGGCCTGGCTGCTATCATAATGGGGCCCGTCGTGGCCAGATAACAGCTGTATAATAGTGTCTATGCTTTTTCACATTGCGCCCACTTTATAAGCTCACCTTCAGATGCAGTGATCGGGCCGAGCCGTTGTCACAGCAGAAGAAGTCAAGGGGCCCTACTACCGGATCCCTTGCCTGACAGGTGCCATCGGCTGTCTTGATTCAAAGTGCCAGAGTGCTGCCGCTACGCTCCTTTCAGATTGCTTGATAGTTGTGGTAGGTATCACCTCTATAGAAAATACTGCAGTGAGCTACTGGTGTTGTGTGCAGACTTTGCAGCCAGAACAAGCCTTCTTCAGTACCACTGATTACGGCCAATACATCCTGGGAGACCCTGGCAGGACGATACCTCGAAAGCATGATCATCTGTGCCTCAAAGTGCTGTCTCTGTCATGGATCATCTCAACTCCGTTGCAGTGACCACAAGACGCGCTGTAAAAAGAGACCCCACAGGTATGAATGAAGCTACAGTGCGGCTGACCAGGCCAGGACCTCTAGAGCCTAACAGCGCTTGACAAGCCGACTTTTTGATCGCTAGTACCAAACATGGCAAGTAATGCGTACGAGGCTGCTTGACTCGGGAAGAACGACTTCGCTTCGGGGTAGTGGATGGGTCATAATCTTTCGCAATCCGCGGTGGTCGGACGTCTTGGACTCAGCCGTTTGTCTCAGGACTGATCTGTGGGAAGAGTGCTAGTTCTTTCTGGCCTTGTTGAGGCCGGGAAAGCGGACTCGACATATCCAGTGCTCTAGAATGCTCTTGGTGTCCACGAGTGTATATCTTTGGGAATTAAAAGGCAGATATAAGGGAGAGAAGGAAGAAAAGAAAGAAGAAACAAAACTCAGGGGAAACCCCAAGTCACAGACGATGAGATCCACCTAGCACCTTGTCATGAGAAGTAATTACTGGAAAATGTTGACTTGCTATCCTCTCCTCGTAAGGCCCTTGAGGCTCATTATGGTGTTGAGGGCATCAAGAACTGTGGTCTGCTCACAAAACACCTGGAAATTAGGTTGTGCTGCCAAAAGATGATGAAACCAGAATCTCAAGCATCTTCTCTCTGTAAGCCCTGACGGCCTCGTCCAATCCTGTCCGCGAGGCTTTCATTCCCGGCTGAATTGTGCAGTCTGTTTGCAAAGTCCCGTCCACCGTACCTCTGCGACTTGGCGCGCGCTCGATCATCAGCCTCGCGCTCGGCCTGCTCCTTCTGCGCCAGAGCTGCCAGACGGGACTGCCTGGCCCTATCCAGATCTGTCGCATCGCTCTGCATAGCCGCCAGCTTCCTGGCCTTTTCCTCTTCGTCATCTCCGTTCCGTCGCGCACCTGCGTCGCCTCTGCTCGGGATATCCCGATTCCTGGCTCTCTCCTCCTTGACATTGTCGTTTCGTCGCTTGTCGTGATAGCCTCTCCTACGATCCTCCTTTCGTTCGTCGTATGAATAATCTTTTCTCCGGCTATCCTTGCGATCGTCGTATGCGTAGTCTCTCCTCCGGCTTTCCTTGCGATCATCGTCTGAGTCGTCTCTTCTCCGGCTGCCCGCTTGGTCGCTGTCGGCGTAGTCCCGCCTCCGGCTCTCTCTGCGATCCCTCGAGCCGTAGCGGTGGCGCTCCCGTGTCCTCTCGCGCGAGTCAGAGCGCCTGCTTCGCCGGCGTCGTTCGTAATCTGAGTCCTCATCGTCGCGTCGCCGCGGGCTTCGCGAGCGGTCTCTCGAGTTATCGCGACGGCGTCGCCTCTCATCGTCGTCACGATCGCGGTATGATCGATGTTTGTGACTGCGGTGCCGCTCTTCCTTGCGTTTCTTGGGCTCCTCTTCCGCCATGCCCATCTGTGCTAGTAGCTGCCGCCGCCTCGAAGGGTCTTTCATCATCGCCTGGTATGCCTCCTGCTCTTGCCGTTTGATGGCCACAAGGGGGTCCTCCCTAATCTTCGCCGCTGTATCACGGGCAGATGCAACAATGGGGACGGGCGCGCCCACTGAGCCTGTAGGGCCCACTGGTTTCTCGAGTGTTTTGGCATCGTCACCACGGAGGATGGAATCGATGCGTCGCTTGCCGAGCAGGAAGGCTTCGCTGGAGAATTCGTCTCGCCCGCCGTCGTTGGGGCCCTGGTACATCCAGTCGACGCGGTCGACACGTTTGGGTCCGCCCGAGGCCTCGAGTTGTTTTTGCGTCTCCTCGATCTGTCGCTCACGCCTGATCTCATCGATCCTGGCCTCGGTGATTTTACGTTCTTGCAGCGCTGCCTGCTCTGCATCGAAGACGCGGCGCTGGTTGGTCATCAACTGAGGATGCCATGATTTCTTGAGATTGAGGTCGTTGCCTCCTCCCATCTTGAACCGCTGAGATCACGTTCCCGCGTGTATCGATCTGTCTTTCTCTCTCTCGTGTGTATGTGCGTATGTGATTAGGACGAGGGTTCGAGATGAGATCGTGGCCGAGGACCTGTTTGCGAGAGTGGGAGGGAAAGAGATGAGTGGCGGCAGTGGCTGGGTCAGGCAAGTTAAACATAAATTGCTTGCTTAAGTAGCAAGCGGGAGGCCTTTTACGTGATCATCATTATCGATAAGAACCATCCCTGCGTTGAGGTATGCACACTGGCACTCAATTGTGGGTCCCCTCTGAACCCACTGAACCCGTTTGCCCGTACGCCCTAACCCCCTCCCCAATCTTTCACTCAGCCTTACATGGGTTTTACACGTCAGAGGCAAGGCAGTACAACAAAAAAGTGAGACTTGTTTCTCTCATCCTTTTCCTCCTTGGCATTCTCTCATAACTCACCGCCGTTAACACCCGGAAGGAAGAAAAGACGGGGCCAAGAAAAGCAGGAAAGCAAAACCCGGCCCAAAACAATTACCGCGCCAACCACATCTGCACAACTTCCTTTGTTCCCTCCATTGCAACATCGTCCCTGCTCTGGGCTCACACCCCGCCTACGTGTTATCTCCATCTAAGTCAAGATGTCGGACGACGACTTTATGCAAGAGTCGGATGAGGAATATGACTTTGACTACGATGACACGGATGGTGATGAAGACTCTGGTGATGTCGACATCGAAAATAGGTACTACAACGCCAAGCAGCTCAAGGTCTCCGAGCCCGAAGATGCTATCAATGAGTTCCTGGAAATCCCGAAGCTGCAGGCAGAGAAGGGCGAATGGGGGTTCAAGGGGTTGAAGCAGGCCATCAAGCTCGAGTTTAAGATGCGTCGATACGATATGGTTCGTTGCTCCCGAAGATGGTTTCTGTGGTGGTCTTGGTGTTGTTGTTGTTGTTGTTGTTGTTGTTGTTGTTGTTGTTGATGATGATGATGATGATGATGAGAGCTTTTGCACTAACCTGCCCTAGGCTATTCAACACTATGAGGAGCTGCTTTCATACGTCAAGTCCGCGGTTACACGAAATTACTCGGAAAAATCCATCAACAATATGCTGGACTACATCGAGAAGGGCTCTGACCCCGAAGGCGCCGTGCTCTGCATGGAGCGCTTCTACGCTCTCACCTTGGAATGCTTCCAGACGACCAACAATGAGCGTCTGTGGCTCAAGACCAACATCAAGCTGGCCAAGTTGCTGCTCGATCGCCACGACTACCTGTCTGTCAACAAGAAGCTCAAGGAGCTGTACAAGGCCTGTCGCCGCGGCGACGGCTCTGAGGACACCTCCAAGGGCACGTACCTGCTGGACATCTACGCACTCGAGATCCAGATGCACGCTGAGACCAGGAACAACAAGCGGCTCAAGGCACTCTACCAACGGGCACTCTGCATCCGCTCCGCCGTGCCCCACCCCAAGATCATGGGCATCATCCGTGAGTGCGGCGGCAAGATGCACATGTCGGAGGAGAACTGGCAGGACGCCCAGTCGGACTTCTTCGAATCGTTCCGCAACTACGACGAAGCTGGCAGCCTGCAGAGGATCAAGGTGCTCAAGTACCTGCTGCTGACAACCATGCTGATGAAGTCCGACATCAACCCTTTCGACAGCCAGGAGACGAAGCCTTACAGAACCGACCCCCGCATAGCGGCCATGACTGACCTTGTCGAGGCGTACCAGCACGATGACATACACAGGTACGGCCGCGTCCTGGCCTCTAACCAGGACCTCCTGGCCGACCCCTTCATCGCCGAAAACATCGACGAGGTGACCCGAAACATGCGCACCAAGGCTGTTCTCAAGCTCATCATTCCTTACACCCGCATGCGCCTGGCGTGGGTCGCCCGCGAGCTCACCATCTCCGAGCGCGAAGTCGTGGACATCATGACCTTCCTGATCATCGACGGCCGCATACATGGCAAGATCGACCAGCAGAAGGGCGTGCTGGAGATCGAACGCCCTCACGACGCAGAGCGCATGGTCGCGATACAGAATATGTCGGCTGCGCTCGCCGACCTATACACGACCGTCTTCAAGAACAGCGATGGCTTCCGGAACTTGGACTCGGGCACCACCTCTGAGGTGGACCTCGCCGGCGGGTATTTTGAAATTTCGGCCCTCGCCGGAAGTCGTTTGGGGCAGGTTATGCGGGGAGGTACCAGCAGAGGAGGACGAACAGGAGGCGGAGGCGGACGAGGTGGAAGCGGTAGCGGACGAGGTGGAGTAGGAGTAACAAGTGTACGAGGGCGAGGGCAAGGAGGTCGTCGAGGAGGAGGAAGAGTAGTGGGCGGCCGAGGAGGTTGTGGAGGTGGTAGTGCAGGTGGACGACGAGGAGGAGCAGGAGCAGTGCTGAAGGGGCGTGGCGCAGGGAATGTAGGTCGACGAGGAGCAGGGTTCAGTGTTGGAGGACTAGGTGGAAAAGGAGCAGCTCTAGCACGATCAGGAGGACGACGAGGCAGAGGGGCAGGAGGAGGCGGAGGAAACTTCGGTGTGGTCAACGATGAAAACAGCAGCGATGCCGGCGACCGCATCAAGGTTTCGGAGGACGTGTGGAGCAGGCACAAGCTGGCGCTGTTCTAGGCCAATAGCACCACGAGATCCCCTCGACCCAGGTCTCGCTGGTGGACTCCTGCAAATATCGTGCGGCGGTGTCTATGATAGTGGTGTTGTAGAACGTGGAGGGAAGAGTATTTTTTTTATTTTAATAGAGAATTGGCGTTGGAGACTGTGATGGGGAGACTGAGCGTTGTTGATCGCCCCCGTCCCCCTCTCTCCCTTTTCTTTTCATTATTCCCCTTCCCAAAAGAGAAGACTTGTATTTGATGGTGCAATTATGCGCACAGCATCCACAGGTTCTGTTTTGATATTGGTGGTCAAGAGAGCATGATTGATCGGTACAGCCGCATATATCTCAGCAATAGATTGATAGACTGGTCGTGTATGCATGTGGACTTCTGTTATATTCTTCTCTCAATATGGAATGAGTCAATTTCCAAAAAAAAAAAAAAAAAAAAAAAAAAAAAAAAAAAAAGGGGGAAAAAAAAAAGGGAAAAAAAAAAAAAAAGAAATTAGAAACTGGTCAAGGTACGCGAAGACAATAACTAATCAGCCAGGCCTTGTCTCCACGATAAGTGAATAGCCTGTGGTTATGAATGATTAATCGATGAACGCATTGAATTACGGACCTTACGGACCTATACACTCCTTCCAAGTTGGCTGCAGCCAGCCCAAAGAACAACAATAGAGGTTACAGACAAACTATTACTGGCCTCCCGACAGTGATTCTCCTCCTTTTTGGGGGAGGGCCGCAGGGTGTTTTGTGTTTTCCCACCATCTAGCAATTGCTGAGAAGATGCAGACTAGATGTGCGCAAGGCTGTGTGATGAGATGAAAGCTGAAAGGTGTGGGGCAAGAACAAAAAGAAAACAGAAAAACACAACTATCGTCATCAAGCCAAGGAGGCCTGGGAGGAAATCAATCCAAGCAATGAACGCATCCAGACCAGGGCATGACCACCATCCCACCATCTTATCGCCAACCATTGTACCTGGTTTTTTCCAGCCCTGATAGGCCTCCAGATAGATAAAAGAGAACCATCTCTGATGTCGCAACTGCGACGTCCAAGAGAAGAATGCGGGAATGACCTGCAAGCTCCTGTGATCGCTATACATGATCAATAATGCAATGGGTATAATCCCCTTCTCTGCAGGCAAGCTTCGTTTTTTACCACATTAATCGATTTGATAGCCTCGACACCAATAAGAAAAAAAAGTATCAAATCAGGCCTCTTCAGGCTTGGGCACTTGACCCCGGCCTCCGGCAAGGGTGTGCCCTTAACGTCGACACCTCGTTCTTTGATTGTCATTTCTCCTTTCTGTTATTACTTCCATCGTCACGAGAATGCTGGGATTCTCTCCTCTCTTTCCGGATCCTCTTCCGGGTCGCCCTCTCTAGTCTCTCCGCCTCGTCGATTACTTCTGGCACATACTCCTCTGGTGTGAAGTTCGGGTTGTTGTAATGTGCCTTGTTGAAATGCGAGTTTTTGAACGACAAGCTCTGGGTCGTCTGCTCCGGCCAGGAAGTGACATCGAAGGGCTCCTCGTACTGGTATCTGCTGAATCTAATCGAGCTCGTTGGCGTCGTGGGGGTCGTGGCGGAGGGAGGTGTTGGCTGCGACTCGGTGGACACCTGAGAACAGGTGGTCGAGTGTGTGCAGGCATCAGACGCTGTCTGTGCCCCAGGAGGCGTTGACGAGGGATCCGGCTGGGGCTCCGGAAACCATGACGTATCGGCAAGCTGGGCCATGGGCGACAGCGGCGCGGCACATGGTATATGGACAAGAGGGTTTTCGAAGCCCCAGGCCGCAGGCATTCCCGGAGCTCTTCCAAAGGTAGTAGGGTCAAAGGCCACCCGGTTGACTTGCACCTGGACCGGATCCCGCTTGTACAGAATGTCGTAGTGGCCCGGGCGGTACAAAAGGTGGATAAAGGGACCGCCGTCGTCACCTGACTCGGGGAACCGGTGGGTGTTAACCTCCGTACCTGCACTGCGGTCCAGATAAGCTATCTGGAGGACAAACCCGATCGGCCGGAGAAGGACCTCGACCAGGAGCACGATGCCAAGTTCCTCGATTTCTCGATCTGGCGGCTCGAGCATCGACATGCAGTACCCCTCAATACCAGTCTCACACCAGGCGTCGTACTGCTCTCGGTTGCCCTTGAGCCATGATGCCGCAAGTAGTCGGAGGTGGTATAGCACGCCCATGGACCCATCGTCGTTGAATGTGTCAGCAAGGATGGTGTGGGCAGCAGCTGGGTTGTGTATGTTGTCTGCGATGTTCTGGAAGAGTTGCAAAGTCTCCTCGACAAAATCCATAAACATCACCGGGTCGTAGCCACCACTGTTGACGAGGAAGTCGTTCAGCTGTGACAGACGCAGCTGTTCTCCCTGCACCACCTCCCGGCTGCCCGTATGGATGAGCAGCTCGAAGTAGCAGAAGCCGATCGCTGCCGACAAGTTAGTCAAAGGAGCCTTGACGGACCGCGGTACTGTGTGTACCGATGTTATCGTTCCGAGTCAGGCAACTTGGTGATCCGGGCTCTCACGTGCACGGAACCAAGTTTGTGGGTGCTGGCTACTTACCTCTCCATCCACAGTTGCCGTCGCCCTTGACCGGCCGGTAGTGTGAGTAAGTATGTGGCAGGGCCTATCAATATTAAGAGGTCAGCGCTGGTCGTTTCTCCCCCCTCTCTTCCACCTCTTAGTCCCTTGAGCTTGGAACAAAAATTGTTCGCCCAGAGAGTGTGACATCGACAGCATAAACACATGGATTGAAGAAAAGAAAAGGACCTACCATCGTCTTGGCTACATAAACGGGGTCAGCTGTGGTGTATTCGGCGGCGATGGCGTCGATAGGGGTCTTGGGGCCCAGGCGGGGTCCCTATCATCGTTCTCAAATGGTCAGCTTGGCGATCGAGAGCGAGACAGCTTCATGCCATCAGAGCTGGAGAAACATAAAGACCAGGCTCGAGATTGGCAGAAGAGAAGACAGAAATGTTTGCGCACCTCGAGCTCGGGCTGCCATGTTCGGGCAGCAGCCTCCTGGGCGTCCAGGTCGTCCTGGTGGCTCGATCCCGCCTCCATCGCGTCGCTGGGATGCGAAGGACGAAGGCAGATGCGAAAGCAGCGTCGCGGTCCGTCGTTCTCGTGTTTATGATATTTGCGGTTGATGTTCTTGGGATCGCAGCTGGGGACGTCTTCGAAGTGTCGAAGGATTCCTGTTGGGTGCTGCTGGTCCTGAGAAAGAGCGCCGTGGAAGGAAAACGGGGCGGTGGTCGTCGTCGGCGGGGCACCTGTAGCGTCGTCAACTGGGACCCCGGCCAGGGTTGGGTCTGCGGGCGCTGGAACCTCTGCCCCGCCGCGGCTGCCAAACTCAAGTGCGCTAGAGCCAGCAAGTGGTCCACCAGATACAGAGGCCTGCCTAAGGGTGCCAGGGCAGGGGCCAGGGCTGTAGCCAAACCGGTAACCGGGCCCAGGACAGGGGTCATCTACAACCCTAGAGTCCTGTCCAGACCCACCACCACCACCCTCTGCAGACCCGGGCAACAATACGTGGGGCGCTTGCGGGTAGCTGCTAAAGTCGGCCTGGCTCAGCCCGTCATATAAGCTGTCCTGCTGAGCGTACAAGTCATCCCTCAAGGGCTGCAACAGCAACGATAACCCATCATCCTCTAGCCGTTCATGGTCACTTAGCAGGAAACCCTCGAGCGGGTAGCCATGGTAGTCGACGTTAGGGTCGAGCGGCGTTGGCTCAGGTATGAACGTGTCTTCGTGGAAAATGGTCGCGTTGCTATCGGCCGCGATGTAGTCGGACTGATCGACTGACAGAGGTGAATTCGCCAGCTTGTCCAGTCTCGCCACCGTTGATGGCGCTGTTGCCGTGGGATTGCGTATGTGTTGTATATATTATTGGTTTGTCCCGACTCCGTGTATCCTGTTCCGGCTACAAGGTAGTATCCCTTGTCTCTGCGTTGGGTGTGTCTTACACTGTGATCTGTAGGATGATTTGCCTTTGACCATCAGCCTTCAGGTATATGTACACGTGCTTGATGGATAGAGAGAGAGAGAGAGAGAGAGAGAGAGAGAGAGAGAGAGAGAGAAAGAGGGCTGAACACAAGCCTTTAAGCTCATGACAGGTGAATCAAGCGCCGCGGGGTTGGGTACGTACGACAAGTGAATGTACAACCTAGACGGCCCTTGCGCAAGGTACGGAGTTCTGTGCACACCTAGTCTTTGTGTGTAAGAGGCAGTTAACTGACAGGCCGCGCCAGATCTCATTCCGGACCAGGTCACCAATCTGTTGAAGGTGTGCTGTGCCTCACGTATGGTAGGACGAGGAACAGCAGTCACAGCCAGTTGCGTGCAAAGGCTTGAAGAGTTGAGATAGTGATTCGAGGAAGCTGTTTACTGAAAAAGCACGAGTCAATTTAGGCCATCCGGGGCTTGACAGACGAGGTCGCCTAATGATTCTGGAGATGTCTGCAGATTGAGTACTCGGAACCGGCACAGGTGAAGCAGTGATGTGATTAGGTATCTAGAGAACAACAATCGAGAGGTGCAAGGCCAGCAGAGGGGCCCTAGGAGACAGAAACCGAATCTCTTGAATGAAAGAACCCAGCTGGACGCACACACAGGGTAGATATCGCGATGACGAGAGGTCAATGGCAATGGTAGTCACCTCGCCTAGCTGTTGTAGTCAACACGTCTAGGAGATGGGGCCAATGCCGCAGATCAAGCTAAGCAGGTGGATAGACAAGTGCTGACTGTTGGAGTTGTGGTTGAGAAAGACCAGGAGGACCAAGTAAGCCAGACTCGTGAAATAATAACATGAGTAGTACACTTCATGGCACAGGGCGGTGACAGACGGTTGTGCCTAGAAGGAAGCTCAATGTATGAAGGAACGTCGGTGCAAATATGTATGAAGACTCAATGGACAGAGAATATTAGTTCATTTGGGCGTGTACGGATGAAGGTGGTTTATTTAAAGGGAGACTTCCCTCGTAGCAACCAGGGCCCCACAGACCCGAGCCAGGTAGAGAGACAAGGCGATCATGGAGTAGGGTATGGATGATGGTGAGGGGCATAGGCCAGCGCCCTCGTTCCTGTATGTGTAATACAAAGATACTTGGGGTTCCGGAGGACGCTTTGAACGGATCTGTCTTGTATCCAGAACGCCGGCTACCCGTGAGGCAAAGACGCACTGGCCCGCATCAGTGACCGTTAGACAAATGCATCGAAATGTAGCTGCTACCACTTCAACCTGACGTCCCACGTCGATGGCCGGCCAGGTGCGCCACCCCTTCTCTCTTTCATGCTCTTCTTCTGTTCTTCCAGCGACAAGGGGCAGGGACGGGAACAGGGAAGGTGTGGATCCCTACTAATGTAGAGGCCACGTGTGGAACCGTGCTGGGTCAGAAATGCTGGCCCTTGACGGCATCTCATCGCCAGGAGGCAAGGTTGTCCACAATGCCATGCCCCCCTCCCTCCCTTGGCCTGCCCTAGTCTCTATCCTCTGGCGTACTGCCCAAATGCTGAATACTGGGCCCCGCAGCGCAACAAAGGGGTTCTCGGATGGGGAACCTTGTCGTTGCGTTGAAATGGGTGTGCTCTCTTGGAGGGTGATGTTCTCATTATATTGGTGTACCACTGCAGCCGCCTCGCAGAATGAGTATCATTGCAAGAAATTAGCAAGGGGCCCCCCTGAATCCCTGATGGGAAGCGGGCGGGCGCGAGAAAGAGACAAGAGAAGACGGAAAAGCCGAGAGATGCGAAGAGGGTGGGCTCTCGGCATGATTCTTGGGTGAGTGAGAGCATTGACTGGCTGGAAAGGTCGGGTGTCCGTCCATGTCTGTAAGCCGATCCGCAGAGGGTCCAAGCCTCAGCGTGGTTCAGGTCGACAGGACATGCTGTGTTGAGGATGTAGAATCAGGAGACGGAACTTGAGCAGCAGGTTGGGATGGTTGACATCCACTACGGACCTCGAGTGTGTGGTCCGAGACCCTATGTGTTGCTCCACCTGCACTGTTGAAGGGCCGGCCCTTTTCCCAAACTGCAGCTGACTACAGGAACATGGTGGTAACCATATAGGAGTCGTCAACTGTAGGTCAAGTGGCGCGTGAAAAGGTGGCTGTTGTCATGTACCATAAACGTTGTGGTACGTGACCATGCATGTGAATCAGGTGTGAACAGAGACACAATAGGTTAGAAGGGGTAAATGGAGAAAGAAAGGAAAGTAAAGAAGAGAAATTTGATAGATAAAACCAGAGACAAAACCAAAGTTTGGGGGGAAGGCGGCGGGGTGCGCGCCGGGGGTAAATTGGTGGGCAAGCATTGGTATTGGGGCGTTTCCCCGCACACAGGGGCCAAGGGACCACACCATGCAAGCAGGGACCGCCTAGGAACCAACACCATGTCGAGGAACCCTGGCCCTTTCCCTGCTCCTCCTCCTCTCCTCCTCCTGCTGTAACTGCACCTCCTCTTCTTGTTGTCTGTGGCGGCGGCACAGCTGCTGAAGAATTATCAGCTCCTCGTATTACGACAAGCCAGTCTCTTCTGGCTTGTGCATTCAACATGTCACTTTCACAAACCCATGACCTACGTCTTATTACTGTCACATTTGCCAAGTCCTTTGTGCAGCGTCTCGTCCAATACGTTTCATCGCAACACCATCCCATGCAAGAGCCCACCAGCGACAAAGACGATAGGTCCACGTCTTGCCTAACGGCAGACATGATGCGATCAGACTGGACTATGCAGTATACAATTTGGGGGCCACAGCGGGACAGACACACCCACTCACACCCACCCACTCACACCCACCCACGCATCCACCCAACGCAACATGTATCCACACACACATACACACACACACACACACACACACACACACACACACACACACACACACACACACACACACACACACACACACACACACACACACACACACCCCACCCACCAGCGAGCCAGACAAATAGACGGTCGAACAAGCTATAGGACGGGCAGACGGCGCAGACGACAACAGAGGCGGATCGATGGGACATCGATCGAACATGGAACAGGAAGAGAAGGAGGTCACATCTCCACGTCCGGCTGCCGTTCCCGTACCGTGCGTCTCTTGAGTATTAGCACACGCAGATCATCAGACCATCCGAGACCAGACCTCTTCTTCCCACTGCAACACGACAATACTATAGTACTTCGTGCAGCTATAGCTCGTTCAGGACCTCGTTAGAAGTCAGCAATTCCAGCACCTTCCCACCCACCACGGTGCTGCCTGCCACCCTGCCTTCACACGACGCTCGACCGCGCTCGGTCCAGCCTCTTAATACCCGGCATATATCCACAAAACCCCTTCCCACGCTCACCCCTTCTTTCCGGATCCTCTATCCGGACCTTCCCGCATTCCCGCCTGCTCCCAATAATCATGATGCACGCTGCGCTGAGGAGGGCGGCCATAACCACTCTTTTTCTGTGTCCTATCCTCAAGAGGCACTGAAACTTTCCGAACCAACACATGTTGCAACAGGCCATGACGCGGCGACCTCGCTGTGGCCATTTCAATCCACAGAATAGCCACCAGTACTTGCCGATCAATCGAGCTTGTTGGCCAACACATTATTACCCGCCAATGCAGGCCAGGCGGGTTGCTGTGGGGATATCGCTCTATTCGTCCCCTAGGAGGCTGAGGGCATGCGCCCTGTTCAGTCAACACGTCCTACAGGCGGTTTCTTGACATCATCCAGTATGAGCAGACAACATGAGACTAAAGAACGTAACAGGGACCTTCTCGCACAAACAAACAAAACCAACACACGTCTTCTGCCTCGACTGCAAGCGCGCAAGGGATGACACGGTGGGAAAAGATCTTCAGCCGCCGGAGCTCGGGCAAATTTACAGTAGGCCCCCTCTCCCCGGCCCGCCCAACACCAAGTGTTGGTTGTCACCGTTGCATCAAAAATTCCGTTCACGACTATCGTTTGCGTTCAGCCGCGTTGCGAATGGGGATAGTTTTACGAGTGCGTGTGTGATCCAGCTGGCTGTCGTGCACCCCAAAGGAGGCCACCAGGCTTCGGCATGATGCTCTCCCACCAACAATCTCTGGCCCTCTGGTAACACCGTACGGAGCCTATCTGGCCGGGCATAGAGGTGCCTGACATGTCTCAGCAGGCTGCTGCTGCTGCTGCTGCTGCTGCTGCTGCTGCAGGTAGGCCGCACCGTATTTAATTTGTGGGCCTACCTATTTAACCTTGCAGATAGCCGCCGCAAAAGATCGGCAACCGTGCTGTGCTGATCCAAGAGGCTACCTACAGTCATCAACGCTCACCACGCTACTATACCCAGCAAGCCGTAAGGCACGATCCCTCTACTTGTTGCTCTACGTTGGCAAAAATTAGCTTCGTACCTCGCAGGCTATCATCCATGGTACTGGACGGTTCCGCCCAGCACAAGCAGCGTCTGAACCTGCCGAGCCTTTTGACATGTACCATCCCAATGAGATGCAGGCCTGTATAGCGCAGTTGCTCATGCTGCTCTTGGCCTTCAGTCAGCCTATTCAAACTGGATGATCATACTGGGTCCGCAAGCTTTGCTCCTGAGCTCGCCGAACGCTGGGATCTGAAAGGTCCTACCAGCCTTTCTGGTGGGGAGCATCTTCTCCGGCAGATGGCCTGGCTCTCGCGACCACTGCTTCATTGAAGCATTTGGGCCGATCTTACATCTACATGGTCACCCTAGGCGTAAGGTGGTGGTGTGGATGGATCGCCCTTTCGGACAACCAGGGTCTTTTCGAGGCTTTTACTAAACATGTCTTGGCGTTTCTCTTTGAATTGTTCCCTTTCTTTCCTCTTTCACTTGATGAATACTTACCTTCTCTCACCTACGTCTGACAACGGGGGAGTTCGTATGTACAGGCTCATTAACGTATGAAGAGTGAATTACCCGACGGCTACGGGCTTCGTTCGAATCTCGATGATTCGTCTTGGTCGCACACACAAAAACTACGTACAAGCCCCAACTGGTCGAACCCTCGTTCGTTGCAAGATTCGGTACAAAGCTGTGATTGCGATACATTCAACCAGCCACGGCGTTCATGGACCCGGTCTTCGCATGGAGCGATCGAGTTCGAAAGGACCCAAACAGTCGAACCTCGGGACCGCCATATTGCAGCTAAAGCCGCCCTCTATCGAGGCTGCTGTGTCCTCCGTCCCTGGCCAAATGGCTAGGAAGATAACCAGAACTGTGGTATTACATCATCCAGCTGCACTTCACATGACATCTGTTTTGTTTCTTCTCCTTCTTCTCTTTCTTCCTTGCCCCTTCTCGCCCATTGCGACAGTGACACCCGCCCACAATTGTCAGAATCTCTCTACAAGCACTAAGCACAGCCACAACGACGGGTTGAGCACGCACACTAACCATACAGGTCAGACCCCTTGAGCAAAACAGCCCTCCCTCCAGCCACTCTGTGCTTGCAGGCCCTTATTCGCTAATCGATCCCCCAATGTTGTACCAGGAAATGACGGAAAGCAGGCTCGGGTGAATGATCGCCAAAAACACAAGATGCGACCACAGCAAGGTGACAGGTCATAAGGGAAACTGCTTGGTGATAGGTATCACATTGTCGATTCGTCCTTGATTATGCAGGCTATGTCGAACCTTACATTCCTACACGACATGTTGCAGCCCTAGGACCCAGAAGGCTTTCCCCGAGAATGAAGAGGAGGGTCTTCTTGATATCTGACACGGGCGTAGATTTGCTTCGTTGTCCCACAAGCCTGTTGTGGGCTTGAGCTTATGCCATGTACCGATACGTGCGCCCTTTTTCGAAAGGCCAGCCTTTTTGTATGCTGTTCTAGTACTAGACACTAGGTCTGCACCTTTGACGATGGAGCTGAGGTCTATATGAACTTATCCGTATTTCGTGGCCTCTGTGCTGGCTGTCCTATTACATGCCAACAACTGTTCAGTCTGCCCTCCTTTTCACAAGCAATGTGTGAGACATCCATGCAGCATCATATTCGCCCTCCTTTGCCTGCCATAGGCCTTGGCACTTCTCATGCAGACTTCAGGAGCCATGAACCAAACATATTCAGCCGCGCCCGCAAGCTGCAGCAGAGCCTAGTGGGTGACATGGGCGTCCCGCTGGAAACCAAGATGATTCAGGAACATGTACATCATAGTGGCTACTCAACAACATGTATCTCCAGCTTTGCTGCCATATAAGCCACCGCAATACATCCCAATGATTTCTCCACCACACTATCCTGGTGTGGTCTTTGTGCCTGAATTGACTGCTTTCTTTTTCCCTCGATGGCTCCTCCTCCTCCTGTCGCAACACAGACAAGCAGCCCTTTGCCAATCCGACACGTGGCTTTTACTCAGTCTTGTATGTGTTTATCTTGCCCCGATGCCTCACAAATCAACCCTCCACAGCAGTATTCCATTTATGATGTGTTTCCCCAAGCCGTCGGAATGGAGCCCATCTCGAGGTTGCCACCACCACCAACGTGGCAGGTAGTAGCTGCCTTCTACGATCGCAGGGTGCCGCGGGTGGTTGCTTCGTAATTGCACAAGCCACGGAGATCTTTTTGACGCAGTTCGGTGAGTAAAATTTGTCTCAGGTAGATTGGGACATGGTGCCACAGCCCGCGATATGTTTGCTGCCACTCCCCCGCCGGGGGGGGGGGGGGAAGTCATCCTTCATACGGGAGTAGTTGCAATGGCAGCGTGGGAGTCTTCCTCAGACCTCATCTGGTCCTACAGCATAGCCTGATCGTTCTGAACGCGACGGGAGCCTGGAGTCTATTAGCTAGTCCTCCGTGATATCCATTTCTGTTGCGCCATAAAATTGGCCGGCTTAATTTGGATCCTGCCGTTCCCACCACCTGAACAAGAAGCTTGGACGGTCATCTGCACCAGGCCTCAGGTGGTATTGTCTTGTTATGCAACCCCCCTAATTGTGTGAGGGATATACCGTGCACGGGAAAGCGAGTAGTCTCGAGGGATACTCGGAATGGTCACCCGTCCGGCATTACCAGTTCAGGTCTCACAGCAGGTGACATTGAAGGGCAAATTTCTCGTGGGAAATTGCGAATATGTCGGCGACAGGTGGCGAGGCACCGGTCTGAAGGAAGGGAGGCCATCACCACCGGCGACGGCCGCTGTTCGGACTGGGATTAGCGCTGCATAATGAGGTTTTGCGTCTCGACTAACCTCTTTATCACCACCTTCTGAATTCTTCAGCGTGGTGGCACGATTCCAGTCGCCAGCCGCATTCGACTTGCCTCTTCTACATGGAAGGCGGCTTGATTGCTGTCTGCAGAGCTCAGAGGGGGGACTACCATAGTATAGGTACCAGTGTCGCCTGAAGCTAGCATGGAAGCGTATGGGGGATGACACGAAGCGAGAGCGTGCTGTTCGCGGAATTCGTTCCTGGAGTCTGTTCGTGGAATAACCTCCTCGTCCCCACTGCTTATTATAGATCCCCACACCTGTATCCTATAATATATAGTAAGTGGTCAAGGCTCGGCCTGCTCCGAGAGTTTATTCGTCTTTTTCTTGACCCGTCTCCTGGTTCCTGCATTCACACTGCGGAGACATGGAAGAGGAAGAAGGGGAAGAAAAGCTCAGGCTGCAGGATCCTCTTTTCTTCTTCTTCTTCTTCTTCTTCTTCGAATTCTCTTCCCCAACACCGCTGGCGAAAACAAGTTTGCTTCCAGGATGCGGGGAATCAAGACAGATTCGTGGGGACTTAATCACCAGTCCTTCCACCTTCTGCGCTGGCGATGATGTGGTCTCGACATGCACACTTCTTCCTGGTCTACTAATCTGTTCTTTTGGAGAATTGGGGCCTCGTTGGCCTCGTCCGTCCTCCCCACCCCCCCCCCCTCTCTTCCTCCTTCCTCCCTATATTGTCGCAGCTAATGAAAGACAGAGCCGCATACCCGAGGATAAGCACTAACGACGCACGACATTCAAAAGGTGTTCACACCGGTGAAACATGCAAGCATCAGGGTTCTCGATCCTGAGAGGTAGAGGAGAGCAAGGCGACCAGCATCAAAGGAATAAGTCTTCGTCAAAAGTTTGACGCAGCGAGCTGGAGAGGAAAGGGACCTGCGCACGCGTAACGTGGGGCCACAAAGGTGCAGTATGCTCCCGTCGTTTCATTGGGACTGGGGGGAAAGAGATTGTCGATCTCGCGGAACGAGGAAACGTGCGTCCGCGGCGGAGCCAATAGTCATGATGCGTTGGAAGGATCTCCGACGTCGAGGGAATTGGGGGGTGGCATCGTCTTGGCGTTGTTCTGTATGTTTGTGGGTACGCACACCCATGTTGGCGAGTCTCGCCCATGACGAATGCGGTCCCCTGTTGTGAGTAGCCATCGAGAACGTACCACAGCAGTAGACGTTACATGTAGGCACCCTCGACCAGGGGACTGGTATTGCTACTACGAAGTAGCTTGCAGTATGTATTGCCGGCAAGAGATTCCACAATGGTCACAGGCCAAGTGGTGCACCGGCCTTTTCTACCCATCCACTTGGGCTTGTGGTTGCTCAGTTGTCTGTGCAGGCTGTGTGCTGCGTGTTGACGTGGACGTCGGAAAGACTGCAGCCAAAGTTGCGCTTTGTCGGGGGGGGGGGGGGGCGGGTCAACCCCCTCCCTTGCCCTGGCCTATCTGCTAGACGCTGTATCGTCTATTGCCGCTGCACAAGCAGACGCTGGGTTGCCTGACCGGTCAGTCTATAACGGGGGGCTGGCCCCCCATCGCGGAACTGGTGATCTTTTGCGGCTTTTCCCGCTTGACATGCAGCATCTTTCGGTCTCATTACCTCTTCCCTGTGGGTCGATGCCCGACCTCCTGCAACATGAGTGGCCAGGGTCCTTCTTCTCCTGCAACCAGGCAGCCCGCTTCGGGTAAATGTGCCAGTCGGAGACGAGCCTGGGTAAAACTTTTGTTTGGGGCCGGGCCAAAGGGAAACCAGGAAACTTGTGAGCGCCAGGTGCATGTGAATGTGATAGGACACCCCCCTCTTTTTTCCTTTTTTTCCAAAAAATAAAAATAAAACAGTAAGCCGGTTTTGGTTCGAGGAGCCACGGATATGCCGGTGGGGGGAAAAATGGAAATGAAAGGTTCTCCATGAGCCACCAGAGCGCTTGCAGCAGCCCAGGCACAAAACTCCTGCGCGACCGGCTTGATTTCGGAGTGGTGCCATTTCTGCCCAAAGCCTTGCTTTGTGGCTGTCCATCCTGTGTGATCCACCCAATTTACGCTGTTCCTGTACCAGAGATAATGACTGGCTATCCTGTAGGGTGTATGGGTGATGGGTGTGTATGTGCGTGTGTGTATGTGCGTGTGTGTATGTGTGTGCGTGTGTGTGTGAGGGGGGGGGGCACACTCGGCATTGGAGGTGCCAGCATATCATATGTCTTCCACTCTTGCCGTCCACTCTGCCGATGTCATGCTTGTCCGGCCCAGCCATGCTTCGTGAAAGGTAAAGGAGGGTGGGAGAAAACAGGTGCGTTGCGGCTACTGCCAGCGCTGTCATTCGTCCGCCGTCTGTCCTGTCCTTCGCATCGTTGGGTGGACCATTCGAGTCCGCGGTGTGCCACGCTGAAAACGGGCCCTGTTTCCTTGAGGGGCTGTGTCAGCATCGTGCGTCGGAATGTGACTCAGTTCGAATACTGTCCAATTATTTCGCGCGCCACCGTGTTGGTAACAAATCAGAGGTGCCTGGAGGCGTCTGATAGCGCTATCGGGATGAGGCTGACCTCATCTGCCTTGGGAAAAGAACAAAAAAACAGCTGATAGTTTAAGAGAGGGGATGCTTCCTGGGGAGGGAGAGAGAGAGAGCTGGCGGATGAGGTTTGCGGCCGGGGGGGGGGATGCTCTTATCTCTACGGTACATGGAGCCAAGTTTGCCAAGTCGACCGCCTCTGTCCACCTGGTACTCATTCCATCGACAGATTCATCGGACTGCAAAAAGAGGGAAATTGTACAGTCGGCCCGCCTGAGCTAGGCAGGATCGTCGTAGAGTATGTAGTGGGGGTCCGTTTGCCCTGTTGACGAACTTGTGGGATGTGTCCATGATGGATAATGGAAATTGGTGCCGGTTCAAGACCTAGCAAGGCCAAGAATGATCATTTGTCGTATGCCAGCTGGTGGAAGTGAGCTCGCATTTAACCGTAGCTTGGTCAACCACATCTGTCTGGACGACTGGCCAATCCATTCATGCGCGCGACTCGTGCGCGCAGCACACGCCATGATACTGGAGTTGTAACCGTGAGGCTGCGGGTCAGGCTGGAAATCCTCCACTGGCTCGCCCCGGAGGCTCAAGATGTACCATAGCTTGTGCTCAGATCTCGTTCTTGGCCACGGCGTCCAGAAAGCCCCTGCTCTCCGCCTCCGCCACGAGCTCTTCAACCTTGTCTCTGGGGACGGTATGCACCGCTTCATCAGCAGAAGCGTGCCCGATTCTCCCCGCCAGCTCCTCGACCCACACCTTCGCGACAACCTCTGCATCGAGCCCCGGAATCCCAGCACCATCTGCGGCGAGCAGCTCCTCCTGCACGCACGTCACGCCCTTGCCTTCGAGACCACATGCCACGAAGCGGGCCCAGGGGTTATATTCCTCTGCCTTGCTGCCGGCATCCGTGTCGTCCGCGCCCGGCATAGCAACGGCGGATGTTGTCGGCATGTCGAGATTGATAGCCACACCGAGACTGCTTACGTGACGGCGGAGGTGAATGCCCATGGCGGAGATCTTGCGGAGCTGATGTAGCTGCGTCCCCAAGCCAGACGAAACCCATACGCCAGGGTCATCAGTCGTGAAACCTGCAAGTCCAAAGAGCCTCTGTAGCACTGCGATCGTCGTATCTTCCAGAAGCCGCGAATAGCACCGCACGGTAAATTGCTTTAGCACGAGGTGAGGTGGCCCGCGTATCATCATGACAGGCCAGAGAACGACCTGGCCCGGCCCGTGGTAGGTCGCCAGCCCGCCGCGAGGCGAGTTCATGACTGCAGGGTGGAAGACATGCTCCTTCTCGTCGCTTCCTATCCCCTCGATCCGCAACGGGGCCTTGAGACGGGCAATTTCAGCGGGTGAAAGCGACGAGGCGGACAACTGCCGTCGGCCCAAGGTGTATGTGGGCGCCGGTGTGAACGAAATCACGGTCTGTGGCGGCCTGACACGCTCTGTGCGTCTTATATCTGGATAGATCGGAGGGAGGCGGTCGACTCTTGCCTGATCATCCTTCCCTTTAAGTAAGCGCCGGCGGAGGAGCTCCTGCACCGCTGCCGCCGTTTTGTAGCTTGGATACAAACCCTCAGACGGCGAGGCGGGGAGGTGAATGTGTTGGACGATGCGTCGCCCCAGGCCGAGCATCTTGGCCGCGAATGACTCCAAAGTAGGCTGAGTTCCAAGGCTTATAAAATGATGGTTGGGTGGTGGAGAGCTGAGAAGAGCTTAGAATATGAGAGGAAAGCGTACTTGTAGTTGTATGTCATATAAAGCCTGTTCTGGGAGAGGATAGCTATTTCTTCACAGCTCAGATGGCTTCTAGAGGGAGTTGATAGTAGGGATTATGTAATATGTCGTTATGGTGCTACTACCCTAACCCTACTTGTGCTGGGTGCCTCATGCTCAGCAAGCAAGGCTGTAACTTCTATATTACTGTGGTAGAATGCCTCTGCACAATTGAAGCCGAGCATACCCATATATGATGGGATGACATTGCAACGCAGCTTAGAAAGTAGGGAGATACAGAGGGAGAAGGGAGAGAGAGAGAGAGAGAGAGAGAGAGATCATCAGTGGTGTTCATTCAGTAGACACATAGAGTGTCGTGTTGATTAGCAAAGAAAACTCCTATTCCCCCATGAAATGCCTTTCAAGAAAGAAAACCATCCCAAAGAACGCCACCAGACTGCTGTCCGTCAGGAGCGTCCAGCAAGCAGCCCCGTTCTGTGAAAACATGATCCTGTCGTCCAGGTGCGCCATAACCCAGAGACCCCGATGTGGTCTCTACCATGCAAGAACAGGCCCAAGATGCAAAGGCGTGGTATCATGAGTCCCAAACCAACACGATTCCCGATGGGGCCGGGCAGCAAAGCCTTGTAGTATCTGTCCAACAGTGATCGCGCAAACAAACTACACCCAAACATAGAATGAAAATGAAAACCCCAAATCGTCGTTTTCCCTTGCAACGCCAAGTTGTTCGTGGTGATATGGTCAGAGTAGTATCACCACCCTTGATCCCTTGTTGATGCGTGTTCACTCCCTCACTGGTCTCAAGGGCTGCGGGGGTCGGCCGATGATGTGGACTCGCCGGCTGGGACCTCGGGCACTGATGCGCCGTCGTTCTTGGTCTCGGGACGGTGTTGATCAGCCGGACCATCGATGACACGTCCAAGACTTGCAGGCTTGAGAGCATCCCGTCCCACGACGAGATCCTCCCCCTCCCGGCTGTTAGCCTCGCCAGTCTGCGTGATATCTGAGCCATGAGGAGGAGAGGCCGTCGTTGCAGTCGTTACAACAGGACTGTCAATGACACGGCCGAGGCGGCTTGTAGGCTCCACCGCATCCCATCCCACGGTAAAGTCTTCTTCGCTGTCAGACTTGGTGGTCTCTGAGTGAGAAGTGGCTGGCGCTGGCGTTGCTACATCAGGGCTGTCGATATCACGTCCAAGACCGCCAGCAGCCTGCTGCAGAGCATCCCGTCCTGCGGTGGGATCCTCGTCGCTGTGGTTGTCAGCGGCGTCACCGTCGTCAATCCTCAGGCCGAAGCCGACCTGGTCCGCCAGGTTCTCCACCTCGTCCTGCAGGGCGGCCTCACGCTCCGGAAGGCTCTGAAGCTGCTTCTCGGCCTCCTTGTCGCCGACGACCCGCCGCCACTCGGCCTCGAGCTCGTCGCGCCAGCCCAGCTCGTCGGCCAGCTTCCTGACGCCCGAGTCACAGTCGCCCAGCTCGAGCACGTCATCAGACCGGGTGCCGAACGAGCCCACCCGCGCCATGTTGAATAGCAGGCGCGGGGTGTCGTCCGGGCCCGCGTCTGGCAGGCTGGCGAAGGGCTGCACGGTGAGGCTCGTGCCCATGACAATCACAAGGTCGGCCGTGGTGGCCACGGACCAGTTGGCGTGGAAGGCCGCAGGCAGTTGCTCGCCAAAGAACACAATGTCCGGCTTCACGAGCCCGCCGCACTTGTGGTCGGTGCACCGCGGAACGATGCCCTGAGCCACGTGGGTCTTCATGCTCTCGTCGGGGAACGACCGCCCGCACTCAATGCAGCGCTGGCTGGCAAAGCTGCCGTGGGCCTCGACAATGCGGTCGGCGGGAACGCCGGCCTGTCGCTCCAGGCAGTCGATATTCTGCGTAAAGAGCATCGACAGCAGGTTCTTTTTGGCGAGGAGGGCGATGAAGACGTGGGAGATGGTGGGCGAGTAGTTGCCCGGGTACAGCTCCTTAGCAAGAACGTAGAAAGGGTCGGGGTTCTGGCGAAAGTAGGAGATGTCAAAGACGGCCTCGGCGTAGGGAAGGTTGAGGCGAGCGAGATTGGCATAGAGGCCGGTCGTGGGGGAACGAAAGTCGGGTACTAAGAGAGACACACACATTATCAGCACACTGCCAGCCCAATATATAATGCAAACGTCAAGACTCACTTCCGGCAGCAGTGGACAGGCCTGCGCCTGTCATTACCACAATTCGACCTCGACAGCCATGCTTGATATACTCAGCGATACCAGACAGACTGCGCTGGGAGAGCTTTTTAGGAGGGGTGTCCTCCTCAATCAGGTTGGACTGCTCCTGGCCCATCTTCTTTCTCGACGGCTTCTGCCAGGGACGAGACCCTTTTTGCCTGTAACGGTCCTTGTGTTTGCGACCTATCTTGGGCAATTCGTAGGGGGTGCCGTTAAGGGAAGGTGTGCCGGTACGTATGTGTATGATGTGTACTATGCAGAGGGACTATTCATGAAAGGTCGACTGCACTTGGAACAGAGACGAAGATGGGCCAACGAAAAGAGGTGGTGGTTGGGCAAGAATGGCAAACGAGAGGACTTTAAGAAAAGAAGCACACCCTGACTGACGTCTGACTTTTGGTGACTCGGATGACCCACTGCAGCAGCTGCTACTGTTGCCTGGAGGGGCACATGTTTGACGGGTCAGGATAAGTCAGGGTCCTTTTTAGTGGCTTTGACTGTAGTGCAAGCAGTGACGCAGTCCTGAACCAGGGGTTGACTCACTAGGGACTGGGGCTTCACTGGTGCTGGAGGGGTTACGCTGCGGGGTTACGACACTGTGTTCTTGGCAACTTGAGGCACTTGTTTACCGCTGAGAATCAGCAGTGGCCTGGATGGAGTTTTCTCTGCATACTGGTTCACTGTCCAACCAACCATTTACATGTTGCTAAAATCGATATCACCTAGTTCACCTTGTGTCCAACCCGTAGTCATGGTGGCCCAGAGGTCATGAAAGTCCACCGGCTGCATGTCCAGTAGCGGACCTGTCCCAGTCCTCGTTCCAGATCCAGTATCTGCTGGCCCAGAGGGTACAGGCGGTGGTGGGTTCAAGAGATTTCCTGAGTCGAGGAATGTGTTGTCCCAGCCTGGGAGGTATTCATCGAGGCTCCCATCTAGCATCGGACATCTGATCCGGTTCTGGTCCATATCAGGAGGCATTGGGGCTGGGGGCCCAGCCGTCTCTGCCCTTTGCAGTGTCTCCAGGCGCCTCTTGTATTTGCGCCAAACCACTCCGACCACGACCCTGCTAGCTGACAGGACATCAGTTGCCTGCCTTTTTGAAGCTGGGACCAACGTCTCGCCCCCCTTGTCATCGTCGCTCGAGAACTTTTCCAGGAACGAGCCGAGGTCCATTACCTGGCGCGCTGCGGCGTGGTCCCAGCCAGGACACGTGTCGGGCATTGGGAAGGACAGCCGCAGGCCGACGATGATGGCCATGACAAAAAAACCCCAGCCGATGCTAGTGAAGGAAGCAAACTCGGACGCTGGGAGCGAGTTTATATGGTCGTACCACGTGCGCAAGAGTCTGGCACATGTGAGGAGCCTGCTGGGTTCGACATGCTCCTCTGGAACGAGCTGCTCCCGCCTCGTTGACCTTGGGAAATAGAACCGCAGGAGTGGATAGCCATACAGCGCGATCTCTGCAAAACTGTTTGTCATGTGAATGATGGCTGTACATGAGCGTGTCAGCCTCTCCAAGGGGAGCCAATGTCTGTTTGCTTGAGGATGAACACATATGGTGTTTCTGTGGGCACTCACGCTGAGAGAGAAGCTCGACAGGTATCTGCCCTCGCCACTCAACTAGTTGCGCTTCCATGCCCTTGACCATTAGCAGAGAATGCAGCTGGCCATTCTGGGCCTTTCGCTCTATCTTGTTGATCAACATCGCTTCCTGCACCAAGTGGCCAAGGCGAACAATCCAAACTAGAGTCTGGTCTTGTGTCCACGACGCTGGGGGGTCGGCAGGTTCCATGACGCCGAGGACGTCACAGCACACGGTCGTCCACTGCTGATATGGCATAGTATTACGTTTGTTCCAGGCGGTGGCGAGACTCGAGTACAGACAATAACAGGCCAGATACGCCCGCATGCCTGCCATTTGTTTCTCGTCTGACCTGATGGCCGCCGCGTCAACATGGTCTGGCGCTTGGTCCAGTTCCAGATCATGGGCGATGTCGCTGGCCATCCGGATATACTGCAAGGCCTGTCGATTCCTCGGTCTCAAATGGAACGGGTACCTGTGAATCGTCAGCACGACTGATGCCCTGTATCTGGCAGCTTTAGTTTGGCTTTGGGCGGCTCACCAGGCTGTGTAGATCAAAAGCCCAACCAGCAATTCCAAGTTCCTCTCACCCCCGCTGACGAACTTGAGCCCCAGGACTTTGCGAAATTCTCCGTCGTAGAGACTGTGACCCTGTAGACTCCTGCCTCCACTAGCAGCAGCTAGTATGGCGAGTAGTACAAAGGGCCTCTCGCGTGCCAACATAGGCACGCTCGCGTCAGGTGGGATAACAACAAAGGGGAAAAAGGGCAGCATGGCCTCTCGGAAGTAGTGCAATAACGATGTTGCAGAGTCAAGGTTGAACTGCGGCTGGATGCTGCTGAAGCCATGCACAGATTGAGAACCAGCGGAAGGGGTCGAGGAGAATGTTCCCCTGCCAGTCGAGGACGAAGACGGCTGTGTAAAGGTTGTGTCGCTGCTGTCCTCGGGGACGATATCATCAAGAAATCCCTCGTGTGACTCTCGGAGGGTTTCGAAGCTTTCCAAAGGATCCATGTCACCGCCGTCCTCGGCTGCTGACATGGGTACGTCGATGGTGAAGGTCTTGGAGGGTGCGGAAGGGGGTGGCGTTGTACGAGTGGCCGCCGGATGGCTGTTCATAGGGTCAATCACCCGAAGAGCAAAATCCAGGACAAATGGGGGTCGGAGGGTGGGGGAAAAGGAGGTCCTATGATCTTACAGCTTGGAACGTCGTCGTCTCATCCGCGGGCCAGTCTTGAAGATGCACTCCCGTTTCGAGATGGCGCATCTTGAAATTGAGAATAAGTAGGCACCTCAGTCAGCTTCCCTGATGAGAACGGGTGCTTTTGCAAGGTAGTAGAGGGTAGACTCATGCCTTCGACATATATCTTCTGTATTGCTAGGTTGGCATTTCACCTTGGCAACTCGACAGGCCTCGCATGCATAGGGAATACGGGGTTTGCCTGAGGCTGGAGGCTGCGGAGGGGCCGCGCCGGGCATTAGAGTGCTGTCCATTGCTTGCTTAGTCGTTGTTATTTACTGGCCCGTTCACGAGGCCTGGTCGGTATCAACCTCTCAAGCAGGTCTCATTTCAAAAAGGGCTTGAGCATCGGGCAAGCTTGCGGTTGGGTGGACTCGCTTGACCTCAAGATGGTCATTGTAGAGTATAGATCCCGCTGTCTCCATTCCGCCAGCTGCCGAAGTATGTAAACGCCGATGGTGCTCAGAGGATAGTGCTTACTCGGTCCTTATTTTGGCCGAACTCAACCTTGTACAGTAAACGGTCTGAGGCTTTCCACGCCTGAGCAAGCACGTTACATTTATACGACCACACTATACATTTATTCACTGAATTTCTCAATCAAGCTTGGTAGGATTATCTTGGTAATATGAACTTAAGTACTTAGTAACTTAAAAGTGGCCCTCGTTGGTGACCTTGTACTGTGGGTCTACATCTAAGTAGTCATGGGCAAGACAAAGTGTCTTCAATATGCATCATGTTCTCGTCTTTGATATACGACACTCTGAATGCAAAACCGATCCGTTCCACTGTTTCACTGCCGCATTTAAGTCCCTAGTCCGTCATTCTCAAAGTTCACCATGAAACACTTCATCATCAAAGATTGAGCAAGACCCCCAGAGAAGAGACTCCTCAACCAGCTGTTCAGTCTATTTGGACCTCCTTTTCAGATGTCGTTCCGAATTATAGACAAGGGCTCATCAGATCTGAACGGAGAGTCTACGGAGGGGGTATGCTGCCTTATTTCTCCCAAGCTCATATATATCATGTCTAGGGTCTCAACCTCTGATATCATCAATCGATGACCGTCTGTACGCGCTGCTGAATCTCGCCCTTCATTTGGTATCCTCCAGGGAATAATTGCATCTCTCCGGGGCAGCTAGGATGTTGACAACCGTGTCAGAGCCAGCTGCCCGCCAGGACCTTCGGAACTTCTTGTAGACCATGATGTTCTGGAAGAATATACTGTCGATGTGCATATAGCGAGCTTGAATGCAGTGACCCAGGAAAGAGACATAACTGGTCTTCTTCCCAGGGCGACGCTGGCGTTGGGGTCGCAAAACGGTCCTCAAGCGACGTGAGCAATCGCGACGACAAGGACGACGGAGAAGCGCACGACCAAACTTACAAGAGGCGGGACCTCAGCGCAGCCACGACGATGCTGCCGACGATGCTGCCGACGATGCTGCCGACGATGCTGCCGACGATGCTGCCGACGATGCACCGCCGCCCAAGCGGTTGAGACGCGGTGCTGATGCAGGATCGGCTGGGGGATCATCTCCACCACCACAGGGGCTTGGAAGTTCTGGGGTTGGAAGGCCAAACGGCCGTGAACGAGCAGAGAGGCCTACAGAAAGACCAAATTAAAAGGCAGCTAATACTCTCATGCTCGTCTACAGCGAGAGAAGAGCACCAGGAAAGCATCTCGGCCCTTGACCACTACTTCTCAACCACATCGTGGCAGTGGCTCGAATTGCGACTCGTACAAGGGCACACTACAGGCCGCTCCGACTCCATCCTACGACGCCGCCGCCGAGATGACGCCGCGATACTCGCGGCCAAAAAAAAAAAAAAAATTTATAGTCCTTACCGCCAGCGTCTATATTGGGCCGTGATTTGTGGATGGGAGCCTGTACAAGACGCAGATATGAAAGCAGTGTGTTGTCTATGTAATACTTGCAGTTGATGCAGTTAAGCGTGGCTGGGCGTAAGCAAATGATAAGATATGGCTGCACACCACTACGAAACATCTCACCTTCCCCCGCTTCATCCTCCCGCCTTTCGGCTAGAAATCGCTCACGTCTTGATCGTGGTTCTTAACAATCCATCAAACCTCATTTTGAAATCTCACACTGCTGCCCCTTCGGATACATGCGAAGAAGAAGATAAACAAGCTGTTGCCTAGAAATCCATCCCGTGACTATCCGTTTGCACCTGCTCACTTTTGTGATAGCTCCAACAACTGAACTGATTCCAACCCTGTCGGCCGTTTTCTCTCCTGTCGCCCTTGATAACGATTTGCCACGATCTTCCACATCCAGAGGCGTGTCAGCAAATGGTCTCGGCTTGATGGTCTCGACACGGTAAGATGTTTCAAATCCTGACGAACCCAATGACAATCAGAAAGTCCAGTCCCGTGGCAAAAACCAACCAATCCTCGGTCGTTGCCACACAACACCAAAAGTTGCTGACCTGTCCGTCGCTGCCGCCCCCCTCTCTCCTCTCCTCTTTTCTCCTCTTCACTTTTCTGCCCCATATCCCCCTTCCACCTCCGGCCCTTCAATGCCGTTCCTTCTCTCTCTAGAGGGTGATTATATATGTGTGTGATTATATATACTAGGTTCTGATAAGCGATTTCAAGAGCGGAGCCAGGGCAAGGGTGTCTTCTGCCGCATGATACCATTCGCTAACGTTGCAAAGGTTCTAGGCCTACAATAGGACGCTCTCTCCAGGGCCTGCCTAAGCTCCACGAGGAGTTGGTGGAATCGCGTGCGAGGACCCATGCATTGGACAAGCTGAAAAGTCTAATCCAAAAGCCACAATATCTTCTAGAAGCCCTCTCCGATGCTTGTCTTGCTTCTATGACCTGCCTTTCCGGGTCTAATCCGTATGTTGACAGCACATGGGTTAAATGTGCAAGGTTGGCTCTGGACCCTGCGGGCAGCCCCAACCAACACGCTTGGCGCAAGAGATTAAGCCTTAACCCACCCATCCTTCTGTAACCTTACTTCTATACTAAAAGAGACAAGGGAGAAGAGAGAGAGAGGGGGAAAGAGAGGCGTGGGTTGGAGAAGCTTAAATATCGTGTGGTGATCACCCTTCCCCCCTTCCAGGGCCGTCCGGGTTCTCTTGTCTCCTGGCTCGACATCTCCTACAATTTGTGCAATACTCTCTGTCTCTCTCAAATTCCACCATACCTCTTCCCAGGGCAATGGCTGCCTCTCACGGTAACGCCGCCATTGTGGTTGGTGGGTTTAACTCAATCGAGGGCAAGGTCGTGGAAGTCCCCACGCACCCAGAGATCAACGAAAAGGGCCCACATGCAGGAGACGATAATATTGTCGACGAGAAGGGCCATGGGGCCGACTTCGACATCACCGCTGCCCCAGTCCGGAGCAACGACGAGGATGGAGACGAGCACGACAAGAAGAGCGACGACGCCATCATTGTGACTGGTGCCGACGCGGCCCAGCACCTCTTGCCCTTGCGCGATGATGGCGACCCCGCCTTTACCTTTCGAGGTATCTTCATTGCGACCATCTTGTCTGGATTCCAAGCTGTCGTGTACCAGATCTACATGGTCAGTCAGTCCAGCTGCCGATTGAGTTGTTTGCTTAATAAATAAGAAAAATGCAAGACTGACACGTTAAAAATCCATTGTCCAGTTCAAACCGACCCTCATCACCATCCAGGGAACCTTCATCGTCCTCATTGCCTACTTCCTCGGCAACGGCTGGGCTGCCTTCCTGCCCCGAGGCGACCGCTATGAAGCCCGCTGGAGGGAGCAGGGTGGCCAAGGCAAGCTTCCTACATGGATCACCGTGGCCAAGTTCTTCAACAACGGCCCCTGGGGTCTCAAGGAGCATGCCATCGCCGCTATCACCGCCACCGGCGCCTCCAATGCCGCCGCGGCCAGTCAAGTCTTTGCTGCGCAGGATCTCTTCTACGACCTGCCCTTGTCGCCCACCACTGTGATCCTGAGCACCATCAGCATTGGTCTCTTTGGCTACGGCCTCTGCGGCCTCATGCGGCCCATCGCTGTGTGGCACGTCGAGTCCGTCTACTGGAGTACCCTGCCCACCGTCAAGACCCTCCAGGGTCTGCACTGGGAGGGAATCAAGGACTCAAAACCCATCCGCTACTTTTGGTATGCATACGGAAGCATGTTCGCCTATGAGTGGTTCCCCGCATACATCTTCCCATGGCTCAACTCGGTCTCCATCCCTTGCCTGGCTGCCATGAAGGCTACCGGCTCCACCGCTGCGACATTGACCAACCTCTTTGGTGGCGCTTCTACCAACGAGGGACTCGGCCTGTTCAATTTCTCTTTTGACTGGCAATACGTAAGTCCTATATGCACATGTAACATTGAATTCTTAAAAAAGAAGTCATCAGGCTGACAGGATCATATTTCCCCCACATCAGATCACCTCTTTCCAAACCTCTCTTCCCCTGAAGCTGCAGTGGCATCAGGCTGCAGGATTTGGTGTCTGCTATCTGGCGATGCTGGGAATCTACTACTCCAACGACTGGAACGCCAAGTCGCTTCCCTTCATGTCGACTTCGCTTCATCTGGCCAACGGATCTTCGTACCCGACCGAGGAGGTGTTTAGCGGCGGTCTGCTCAATGACACGGCCCTCGCCGAGTTTGGTCCTCCCAAACTGGCTGCTACTTTCGCTTACTCCATGTTCATTGCCAACGCCGCTGTAAGTAATTGCCAGGGAACCCAAGAGTATTGAGGAGAGCCGCATCAGACTCGAGTAAAGAAGTATCATCCGCTGATGTTTGGTATGTTTAGATTGGAGCCCTGATCATGCATTGCTTCATCTTTTGGGGTGGTGATGTCAAGCGGGCCTACAAGAGCGCAAGACAGGGTAAATTCGACGATCCTCACCACACGCACATGGCCGCCCACTACAAGGAGGCACCATGGTGGTGGTACGCAGCCGTGCTCGTCATATCCTTCTTCCTCGGTCTCGTCGTCGTCCTCAAGGAAAATGTCACACTGCCAGCCTGGGGTTATATTGTGGTAAGTCACCATTGCGCAGCCGCTGTTGCTGGATTCCTCGTACGCTTGTGCATCTCTCTGATGATAATCTCGATGGAATAGAGCTTGATATTGGGAATTGTCATTGCGCCGCTGTCAACCATCCTCTACGCGCGCTATGGAAACGGTATCGCGACGAACAATCTCTCCAAGATGTTGGCGGGATTGATGCTGCCAGGTCGTCCAGTTGGTAACATGTACTTTGCCGCTTGGTCACACAATGTGATCTCGAATGCCGTAAACCTGGCCAATGACTTGAAGCTGGGAGAATACCGTGAGTCTTCCCTCAGTTCATACCTAAGCGCCCCCCCCCCCCCTTCCTCTACCCACAGCTACAAATTACAATGTCGACCAGGTTACTAATGATGAACACGCCGCTCTGCAGTCAAAATTCCTCCTCGGGTCATGTTCCTGACTCAGATTTACGGTACCATCCTCGGCGGCTTCATCAACTACGCTGTCATGATCTCCATCGTCAACGGCAACCGTGAACTCCTCGCCAGCGGCAACGGCGATTCGTCCTGGAGCGGTGCCAACATGCAGGCCTACAACACAAACGCCGCCTCCTGGGCCTTGTCTGGCTACATGTACAAGGCTGGCACCACGTACGCCATGGTTCCGGTGGGTCTTGCCATCGGTGCCGCGTTGGTCGTTGTCCATCGTGTTATCGTCCACGTAAGTTCTATTTTGTGTCCTCCGCCGATCAATCCCCGCAATGACTTTGGTCTTTTGAAAAAGAAGAAGGAGTGCCAGGCTGACCGTGGTCCCTTCCTCTCCAGTTCATCCCCAAGATCCGGGGCTTCTCCCTCAGGGAGGTCAACATGCCGCAGTTCATCCAGTACGCCGGCTACATTCCTTACAACCAGAGCCAGACGTGTGTCATCTTCACCTGGGTCATCTCGGGCTTCTTTTGCCAGTTCTACCTCCGGAACTACCGCCCCAAGATCTTCAAGGACTACATGTACCTGGTGACGGGCGCCTGGGACGGTGCCAGCCTGACAGTCCTCTTCATTCTCTCCTTTGCCGTCTTCGGTGCCGGTGGGCCCTCGATTCCCTTCCCGACCTGGTGGGGAAACAACGGCGCAAATGGAAACTATGATTTCTGTCCCACATCTGACTAGGCGTCAATGCTGAAAGTCATTGTGCGGTGGAAGTAGTGGCCTTCCGCGCTTCGAGAGTAAGAGAATACATAGATAATAAATATGTCAAAGTCAGCGCCAACCTGCCTGTATTAGTGCGGCTGGATATATATAATATACAATCTCTACTATATGCTCCCTTTCGACCGCCAATTTGTCACTAGAGATACCATCGAATATGTGCAATCTGCGTGGTCTGCAAGTGAGAGTTTGTAAGTGCATGTTATTTTGTATATGACTAATGGTTGACAGCTTCCTACCTCGACGGTGCGCTGTGTTGCTGGTAAGCCCTCCATCACTCAAGCCTCTAATTGTTACCAACAAGACCTTCCCACAATCCACTGCCTTCCCTCCCTATCCGTCCCCTACGTCGCAACAACGCCAAGACTATCATCATGTCATATGAACACTGCGAAAATGCCTCTCCAGAGCCCAAAGCAGCAACGCCTCTCTCTCTGTGTGTCTCCGTCTCTCAATAGAGAGATAGGTCACACGCCAACCTCTCCCACATTCCCCTCACGGCAAGGTCATGAAAAGCTTCTCCATCTGTCGGAAATTCGGTGTTCCAAGTCCCGTCAGCGGATCCCACCCCTCGACAGCCGAGAAGCCGTCCGTGCCGCAGCCGGGGTTGTTCCCGGTCTGAATGTCATTCATGACCTGCGGGTTCGCGTACAGCGCTGGGTTGAGGAAGCCAACAGGGCTCTTGCCAGCCTGGATGCGTTTCTCATTAATCATGTTGACCATGGACGCAAAGACGGGCGCGGAAGCTGTGTCATTGTGTGGTCAGCATCTCTTTATTCTCCTCAACCTTGCTGCTGATTTAAAAACTCGGCGTGGGCAGAGACTTACCAGAAGTTCCGAATGACAGTGTGAAGTCTCCATCCACTGCCGTCACGTAGTTCGCCCCGTTCGCCGACACATCGGGGAAGGCCCTGACCAGCCCGGAATTGTTGAAGCGGTCTTCGCCGTATGGTGGCGTGTGCTGCTGCAGGAAGGTATTCACCGCGGTCTTTTGGTACGACGGCATCGAGAAGACATTGGAGAAGCCCCCACCTGAGAAGATGACCTCCTCGCACGCACTCTCTGCGTCCTCGACGGTGCTCCCATTCAGAATCTGCGTGGCGCCGACAGACGTGACCCACGGACACCCCCCTGGAAAGCTTGGGTTGAATTTGCCCGAGGTCCCGTCCGTGAAACTCTGCCCATCGGCGGACAAGCACTCGCCGCCATTCCCCGCGACACCAAAGTCGCCCGAGGAGTATATAACAGAGACGCCCTGCAGCGCGAGTTTCATGTACTCGTCGCACTGCCTCTGCTCGTACTTGGCGCCCAGATCGGCCTCGTTCGAGCCGTAGCTCGTGGAGATGACGTTGGTGGCATTCGCCTTGCCGCATTCCACAGACGCCGCGTACTGGCCGTCCATATTCGGATCGTTGGAGTCGCCTCCGTCAAACGAGCAGTAGCTTGCGTCGATGCCATCGAGGAAGTTGTTGAAGCTCGCGCCTTGTGTCAAATCGCCGACCTGAAAAACGGTCGCCTTCTGCGGGGAGATGAGAGACATGGCGAACTCCAGGTCGAGGGCCGACTCCCCGTTGAAGGAGAAGCTCTGATTCTGGGTCTGCACAACGCCACCGGCCAGAAGATCCACATTTGGTGACTTTTGCGGCACGTCTGGCTGCATTGCGTCGAAGAACATGTCGAGATCGGACTGAAGAAACGCCTGTGGTGTGTATTCGACAATTCCGAGCGAGTTGTTGCTGGCTGCCAAGCTGCCTTCTGGTATCTTGTACAGGGCCCGAAGACATCCTGGAGTAATCATACTATCACATTGTGACAGGTCCATCAAGGCATTGTTGATCTGGTGGCCCTTTTTTGGGTTGCTGCCGTCGAGCGGGCTTCCGACAATGGCTGTGGTGCCCGAGATCTGTCGCTTGTCCAGACGTGCCGATCTCCTTTTGAGCTCCTCCATAGTCTTGTCTGGGATCTCCCTGTACTTGGTGCTCCTGTCATGGCCGAGGCTCTGGTCAAAATGGACAGTCGGCGTGATCATGTCGATATGCTCAACAAGGTGGTCCGGTATGTAGTATTTTTCACATGCAACCTGACGACTCTTTCCAGATGTTTCGTGCTCAAAGGCGTGATATTCTGTCCTGAGAATCTGCTCCATCTCCCTGACCGTAGCATCGAAAGTCAGCCACGTTTTTGAGACTGACAGCTTTATCCGGCTCGGATGGATCCCTTCACGCTCGAGCCATAATATGACCGCGTCGATGGATTCCCGTTTTGGCTTGAACATCTCGATCACCTCCGCGGGTGACCAGTGCTTTCCGTAGTTGGGCGAGTCGGGATGGGCCACATCATAGATGAAGTCCTCCGCCCGATGTAAGTTCTGCTGCGTCAACCCGATCCTGACGGGGAGCACCGCACTATGGTGCAGACGATGTGACTTTTGCCAGCTTCTGTGGACGGCCGGCACTTCCTCGTGGACGACATGGCGAAAGGGTGTTGCCCTATGGGGCTCCAGCGGTGTGCCATCTACTGCTGCCACCAGGGCAGCAAGGACGCTCGTGATGATTATTGACCGCATATTGGAGGACGACACCAGGCCAGCCGACGTCGCAGAGAAGGACCACAGGAAATCATGCTGTGTGCCGGCAGAACCTTGCTCATAAGGTTATCCTCCATCGTCGACCCGCCCATCACGACCCGGTTTAATTTTCCGGCAAGGGCAATACAAGACAGGACTGAAACGGCGTCAAGAGCACCAGCAGACGACGCGTCTTCGAAGGTGGGTCGAGTAGTGGGGGGCCCGACGTCTGCAGCAGATGTTGCCGGAGCCGATTTTATATTGGACCTAGAGACGAAGTTCGGACGATTGTTGTGTTACCAGCATCATAACAGAGCCCTGGGACTGAATTTAGATCTCTGAACGGATTCATTGGACAATAATGACGTGCCTAATCCATGCTTGTGATTGCAGTATCGTGCGGTACATCAAACATGCCCGTCGCAGAATTTCGTTGCAGTAGATCGGATCTGGATTGCCGCAGCGGCCTTGCCGTTTTGATGTCGATAATCCCAGTCACTTCGCCGCGTGGACTTGTTCATGCATGTGCCATGGATCGTCTGTTATCAGAACCGCGAATCCGGTTCACCAGCTCTAGAAAGTTGTCTTGTAGGGGCAGACAAGGATCTCATTTTGTTGCTGGGCAGTGTTTGAGATCTGGGTGCGGCAGGTAGCTAATCTGAAACGACTTTGGGACCCTGACGAGAGAATCTCGAGCACTTTTGTGCTTTTTCGGTACCCATGTCGAAACGAGCGAATTAGCTTCAGGAAGTCGCCTTCAATTGATCCAGAATATCCCATTGCTGTTGCAAATGACTTTGCAAATCCTTCTCGTCGGCATCGACATCCGTGGGTTGTAGGAAAGCCGTGATGGCTTCATCCAGCGTCTGCTTTGCAAACCCCGGCGCTTTCACCATAGTGCTGAATGGTGTTTCGGGTGTCAGATCCACTTCAAACTGCGCACTAAAGTTGTAGGCGCGCTGGACTTGCGATGGTTTGACGATGGTCCAAGGTTTGCTGGCCGACGTGGTGGCCGACAGAGGCGGGACAAATACTATATTGGTGACGGCGGCATTCACGTTTGTGAGTTCCTTGGGGCCACTGCTGGCTGACCGGTCTGTGATGGCCCATATATGGATCTGGCCCTTTGGATGTCCAGAAAGCAAGGCGGTGCCGTCGTGTGCCAGTCCCAAGCAGGAGGCAGGCCCAGACTCGGCCGGCGCTGCGCAGAACGGAGAGGTTACCTGCACAACGGTCGAGGCGTCCTCGCTCCTAGGTCCAAGCAGTGGCTCAGCGCCGAAGAAATCTACTGAGTAGATGGAGCCGTCGGCGGCGGATACGAAGACACCGCGTGTGCAAGGGTCGAGGGCGAGACACAGAGGGAAGCTTGGAAACAATAGAGTGCGGAGCACCTCCCCGGAACGATAATTCCAGATCACGCATGTCTTGTCCTTGCTTGCCGACACGCAGAGGCTTGTCTCGGGGTTGTCACCGGGCGAAGCAGCCAGGGCCGTGATGGCGCCTCTGTGGTTTGAGAAGCTGACAGTCGGCTCCCGCTCCTCGCTGCCGTCGAGCTCGAGAAGCTGTGCAAGGCTCCAGACATGGACGTTGGAGTCGTCTGATCCGGTCAGTAGGTGATAGGGTGTGGCGACCACGCAGGAGACGGCCTGAACGTGGCATGGGGGAAGCGATATCAGCCTTCCCGTGCACGTCTGACATTGGTCAATTAGTTCAAGACTGCTTCCACACAATCCATCGGAAAGAGTGCCTGGTATCTAGGAATCCTTGAAAACTCACCTCCCATAGCATAATTCTCCCCTCGACAGTCCCCACAACCAGCACGCTGGCAGCCAACGTCAAGCACCTTATCCTCTCCGGAAATGCGACAAACGACTCCTGGTTCCCATGGAGTCTGGAGTACACATGTACATAGGCCTTCTCGTGCTGGGCAGCAAAAACATGGCTATCACTGACGGCGAGGCAATTTGGTGGGGCTGCACTTTTCTTGAATGTTGATTTTGTGACGAATGTGGGCCATAAAGAGTGAGCGTAGATGCCGACATCCTTGGCGATGGCAGTATTGCTGGACAGTGGAGGCCCATAGACGGACGAGAAGAACTCTTCTACCACCATCTTGTCCTCTGGAAGAAAGTCAACCTGCTATGGCTGACTGGACTGTGACTGTGTGGCTGTCAAGTCCATGAGGAAGGTGTGAATGCCTTTGATTTTTTTTTTTATGACCGGCCCTTACTCGCTAGAACCATGCTTTCAACCCCTAACCCTTGATCTCCCACCGTTTGTCTCTAGGTGCAACCTCCATTCTGTGCACTCATGCCCACGGCTGTGTTGGTATTTGGAAAATTTGATCCAGCATGAAGTCCATTCTACAATCCTCCTAGTTGGCAGCTGTCATCCAATAGGCCAAAGCAGGAATATCATGTGGACTCTTTCATTCTGCAGCAAAAACACTACATGGCAAGTTCATCTGGATTTGACAGTGTCTGCTGGGGGGAATCTCCGTCCTTTTTCTTACCCTTGGTTTCTTTTCTCCCTTTCAAATCTTTTCTCCCAGCAATACAGTTCAGAGAAAATGTCTGGATACGTGATGGAGTGGCAAGAGATGCGATAGGTGCAATGCATATGTACTAAGTATAATGGTCGACATGTGAGATGCAGTGGACTCTTCCCGCTGACTCAGCTCCTTTCTAATGAGGCATAGCGCGCCTCGCGGTGCCGACCCGGCTCGAGACCCCGGCTCTCCGGCCATGATTCCTCGGCCTCCTGTACATCCTTCCGTTTCCCTTCCGTTTAGACCTTGTCCGGCCTGACTGCCATCTTACCACTGGGGGTGGGGTGAAAGGGAAGGGCGCGCCCTGCAGCCCCAACTGCTATTTACATCCATGAGGCGCAGTGGGACAGGCTTCTGCCTCCTCAGTACTTAAGTTCCCAATTCCTACCCTCCTTTGCCTGCTGCTTCCCTTCGCGCTTCATCTCATCCTTCGCTCAGCCTGCTTCCGATCTGTGTCTTAGCTTTCGCTTTCTCCCTGATGCTCTGAGCACGCCTCTAATGCCCTGGTTGCGGTTCTCAGCGCTGCGCTCATCTCCCCCCGGAATCTGTCCAATTCTCCTCCCGTTTTACTTTTCGAATACAGTTGTTGGTCTCTTAATCAACTAGTGATCTTTACAATGGGCCGTAGGAAGACTGGTGCATCACGCTTCAATGCGCAGAATACGACGACTGAGGATAATGAGGATGCATAGCAGGCATCTGTCCCGCAGTATAGCAAACCCAAGCTGGCAGAAAGCACAGAGAATAGCTGTGCTTGGAATAAGTATGTTTCATTATACTGTTGTGCACCTGGTATTCTCAGCTAACTTAATCCTAGTTTCATGTTTCTTGTGCATTCTACGGTCAATCGTGTGCAAGTATGGGAAAAGGTTATTTGGAATGACTACGAGTTCAAACTTCTCGTTCTGGCATTCGTCGACAGATATATCAAGCTCTCAGGCTGTTCTACCCGAGCCTGGGATACAATCATTCTGCAGAGGCAGAGGCTGGTGACCTGCGTCTCAACAGCAAATGGAGTAATGAAGCAGTTGATTGCTGCTGCTAAGGCTGAAATCATCAGGCCTTAGAGACTAAAGGACTCCGACAAGGCTTGGATGTAACTCGCCCGCTCTTAAGGCATAGATGGTGCTCGTGATATCGGGCTGGTCCGCGATATTACTAGGGTAAGTTGGTGCACTTCTCCTTCGCCATCTCTTACTTTCCTACCTGCACTCCAAGACTCATCCTGTTTCCTCATCTCTCCTGCCTGCAGTTTGGCCTCCTGCTCTTATGATTGGGCTGTTGGAACTAATTGCTTCTATTCAGTAGATTGCAACTATACTTAAGAACAAATGGGTTCTAACCATCGATAGCGGATATAGCAAGATGGGAGCAACACCTGAGAATCTTCAACAGCTGCTGCAAACACTGTGGGTGCATGCTGATCACATTCCGATGCCGCTAATAAACCGCATCATGGTCCATATATAGCTCCTCCTTCTCTACCATGCTGCTCTCCAACCTGGAATGTTGCTTAATATGCAGTGGAAGGATATCATACTATGAGTGAAACGAGACGAAAGCTGGCCGGAGGGCTGACAACCAGAGTCTAGCCCGACTCTCTACTGCAACAAGAGAAAGAGATATGCCTTGCTAGTTGGGTTAGATGAGAACCGGTACGTTAGCACTCTGATGCCCACCCTTGAATGCACATCTAACCGTACTCTAGATTCGAATTCGATCTTATAATGATGCCTACTCTACTTCTCTGTTTCACCCACTTCCTCATCGCTCTAGCTGTGAAAGTAGGCGCCTTAAAGATATGCTTTAAGTTTGTAAAGGATGTGATCCGTTAGCTTATTCTTGATAGCAGCAGTTGCACAACTTTGGAGTGGAACGAGGAGATGCTCAAGAAACGTGTATTTATACTAAGCTATGCTACCTTCCGCTCATATTGGATCCGCCTCTGCATCGTAGCAGGCTTCGAGATAGTGCTACGCTCCTACTCATTTCGCGTTGGTGCTGGAGCAGGCATTAATAGTAGGCTGGCCCTCTGCCTCTGCTCTTCCCTCCCTCCCGGGGGGGGGGGGGGGCCGGCTTTTCTCCCCCTCATTTTGCTAAAGCTTACGATCTAACAAGCTATAAACAGAGCATATGATCAGTAGTACGCGCTGCTACATCATGGGATATACGAACAGAACATTTCAGAAGGATTACTAGAGCTGGAATATTCGAGTTGATCTCCAAAAGATATACTTTAGCAATCTTGCAAGGATTACGGATATCCTCCCTCTCTCTGGTATCTCGCAACATTACAACGCCTATGCTCCTATTTACATTATGCAAGACTATATAAGAGAGATTGAGACCAGCAAATGTATTCAGGAGCTGCGCTGTGATGTTGATGCATTGAAAGTACGAGGCGCTGATGCAAGCAAGATTCAGGAAGCTGAGAGTATCTTGAAATACTAGCGGTCCCGTCTCCAGAAGTTGAAGCTTCTGAAGCAGCGGAGAGAATATTCCCGACAGGCTGCACAGTTTCGGCAAGAATGCAACGAAGCCAGCCTCCGAAGCCTGCAGAAGGATCCCTATTAGCATTACAACGGTCCGGAATACCATTCAATACTAGATATCAAGAGGCTGATGCACTTATAAGCGCTAAGGACGGTCTTCGATGCCGAGGCGGAAGCCAGGTTGCTTGAGGCTATGCAGTGGCTGATATTTTATATGGAGAGCAGCGTTGAGTTGATCTCCCGAGCTTCTCGCAGCGCCTGTCCGTTATCTGCGGCTTCTGCATGCAAAGAAGGCGATGAACAGTCAGGCTAGGATACCCAAACTGCAGCCTCGCCGGGATCTGATGGAAGCAAGCAGAATGTAAGCAACAAGAAGAGCAACTCACATCAAGCAATGGCCTCAACTCAAGAAGGATCTCAGGGACCCATACATGCCTCTGGTATCACAGCCGATAAGGGGATGATGAGGCCTACCTGTTTTATCTGCCAGCAGAGCTTTGGGCGGCGCAACGAGCTAACGAGGCATGCACGGGTGTACAGGGCTACATTATCAGTCCCGTTCCAGTGTTCCGAGTGCAAGCGCCGCGGTCTAATGCCACCTACTACGCAGATACCAGCTCAGTGGAGCAATCATGTGGAAAGAGTCCACAGCAAACAGCATACCCTCAACTTCCTCAAGCACCTCGCCGTCTCGATTCCGAAGGCCAGCATTTTCAACGAAATTATATACGCTATCTGCAACAGCCGAGTTCCTATTCACAGCTTTATGCATCATATCAATGCGAAGCACATCGACGGCTCCCTTAACGATCAGTGCAAAATTGTTACTTGCTCAGCATGCCCCAGTATGAACAACCTCAGTATCGACGCTTACATCTCTCACATATCTGCACAACACAGCATTCAACCCATGGAACGTTGTCCTCTTTGTCGCAACTTCTTGACTCGGAAGGATCTAGTCATACATTATTCGAGATGATCAAGCCACCAGCCCTAGTGCACCCGAGGACATTCACAACTACAAGCCAGATGGCAGACAAGAAAATGAGAGACCTACGCACACTGACTGCACAATCATCTTTCACCATCCATGCATGCATTGCAGCTAGAGATTGCCCACATGGATGGTTACATCAGCTTTGCACAGCAGTTTCAACACAACGACTACCAAGCATCAAACGCCTTGCATTTGCAATTGTTCCGTCATTATATAGGGGTCAAGGCGGGCAGATACTTGAAGGAGATGATCTTTCTAAGATCAATGTTATACCACCTTATAATAGTATAGTTGCCAATCCTTTGCCTCCCATATCCTATAAGTTCTTCTCATATTTAGTATATTACTGGTCTGACACTCTTATCAGCTCGTGGTAGAAAGCATGATCGAAGCAGCTCCACACCTGAAGTTGAATTTGCTTCTCAACCCATGAAACGTGCAGCTGTAGAGGCGCTTCTGGATGTTCGACTCCAGACCCACAAGAATGAGATGGCTGTACTTTACAGGAAACTCGAGGAGAATGTTTCGGAGTTGCTTAATAGGCACAAGTGTGAAGTCGCGGAGATGCTAGCTGCTCAGAAGACTGAGTTTGCTGAGAAGCTGGCCTCCTCGGAAGATCGTGTCAGAAATGATGTGGTAGATGGACTTGAGGATTTGGTGGATGAGAAAATCTTGGCTGAGCAGGAGGAAGTAGAACTTGCAGTGCTGGACCGCCTTAGCAGTGTGCCTGTGACAGCTGAAATAACATTCATGTCTGAATTAATATTTCTCTCTTGTCTATACTGAATGAGACAGATCCGTGCTTTTATTACTTATTCTTTACTGATCCGGGGTTAGTGTAACATTACCATTGATGGGACTCTTTAACTAGCTGTATGATCATAAGTCAACACATAGCACTGCAGTCTGTTAGAATGGCCAGAACCAAATAGTGGTGCGGAGGAAGGAGACGTGGATTCTAGCGGTATGCCCTCGGCATTGCGGATGATTTTGAAGAGATGTCGATCCACTGCGCTGGTCTCACGATCAAGAATTGAGTTTCCTAACCACGCAAGGACACCCAATCAATATATTGAGAACCTACGGGCCTTTGTCAAGAAGTGCCGGGAAGCAGCTGAGAAAAGCGCCTTCTGGCATCGAGGCGCTCAGCTTGAACAGCGAACCAGCAACTTGAGCACCCAGTGAAGCTTCGACTCCCCGTAAAAGGTTATCTATTGCAGGATCGAACAGAGTGGTGAAGAAGCAGGCAATGGACAGATCAGGGTTAGGGTTACTAGCGTGACTATGTAGAATCACAACATAGTTGGGATAGCCAGAACTGAAGAGCTGGATATATAAGGACACGTTCATTACCATTAGATAGATCATTGTACATAGCTCTTCAGTCGTCAATCTAAGTATCAGACTACTCCCTTCTCTGATAGCCCAAAGGCAGTGAACACTTGCACGAATTACCCAGTCACATTTCCGTATTCAAGGTCTTATACTTGGCACCGCTCTTGTTAGCATAAACCCCATCAGTACTTAGGAATCTTTGCTAATTCATTGGAAGTAGAGAGAGGCATAATTAGCGAGTGGCAGGATCAAAGGGTGGCAAGACTAAAGATAGAGAAGAGTGGCATAACTAAAAGTGGAGACATGAAGAGTAGCATGAAAAGGGTGGAGAGTAGAAGGACTAAAGATAGAAAATGGCACGATTATAAGTGGCGTAGTAGGACTAAAGAACTAGAGATGAAGAGTGGCAGAATGAAAATTGGAGAGTAGCATGATCAAAGATGTAGCATTAGCAGCTATTGATTTGTTGAGAATACACAGCAGGGAATGTAAGCAGCAGGGCTATACAAGGACAGCTTAACCAATTTGAAAAGATGGCATAGCCAATTTCAAAAGTTGGCACATCTAAGTTAAAGTTGGCTGAAAAAGCGGGGCATTCAAGTATATTGGATGCTGGAAAGCGCGCGATTAAAAGGAAAAACTTTTGTAATGTTCCTGGACCTTAAAACGGTAGCAAAAAGTTGTGCTAAAGGCTTTTGTAGGGGCTACCGTTTTGTCAGTTCTGACAGCTGGTATCCCTGTCAGTTCGCGGGCACTCTACATGGGTTCCTAAGGCTACCCTAGAAGACTCAAATAGCGCTGCGATTTTAAGCCTTGACTGCGCACTATAAGTACTTCTGGATGCATTGTGGGCCAGACTAGCAAAGTGACAGAGGCGATAGCTCGGCCCTTGGTAAATATATAGAGCTGCTATTTGGCACAGAAGCCGCCATGTCTTGGCGACCCAGACGGCTGGTAAGCTTGGCACTCACGAGGCTCCTCAGATGCACATCCAAACAAAAAGAACAAACCATGCCCAGAACCCCATATCGGATCTTGTCCTCTAGATGATCAGATTTAGATGTGCATAGCAAGAACATCAACAAACGAGAGAAGGAAGAAAGACAGAAAATCATGAAGGCATAGCGGATGCAAAGGTTCCGGGTCGCGAAGTGGTAACCAGTTCTACCCGCAAGAAGTAGTTTGGGACCGTGAAACGTGGAAATCAGATCCATGTGTTCTGAGAAGGCTGGAAGGATTACTTACCCTCTTCTGGTCTCGGATGACGGGCATCTTCTTTCTGGGGTAATCGTCTCAAGATGCGATCACCGGTTTCATTCTCCAATTAAGCTTTCACCATATTAGTGACGTTCCCGGCCGATCATCTTTTTATCAATGCCGAGGGTGTTGATTCACCAGCTTCCCTTCCCGTGCCAGAAGACCTAGACCGAGGTCGATAAGAGAGTGGTGGGAATGGGATGGCCCGCGTGCCCGTCCTCAACACGTCCCTGGGAGGTGATGTTTGCTGCAGAGACGCGCAAGCAGAGGGGCCACCGAGGAGTCTGGGTTCCCTTCGGTGCACGGCAGATAGACAGCAAACCCTTGTTTTCACCAATGATTTTCCTCGTGTGTGGTTGTGGATCGTGCCGACAAGCGGGGGGACCTGGAAAACTAACATTGGACGCACCTTCACATCAGAATTATGGTGCCTGGCGGAGAGTGGTGCTATTTAGGACAATTCTCTTTAATTTGGCCGGCCATTTCTTGTTTGCTGTGTCCCTGTCCTGAGTGTCGTCGATTGTGGCCGATCAACCTCAAGTTCTGAAAAGGTGTTGTTTCGAGTGTGGTTGTGGGTGGTTTGAGAAGATTGGATTTTTCTGCATTCAGTGTTGACAGGGGGACTATGGTATTACCAGTACTCCGTAGTGCTGTGCGTACGTACATACATGGTATTCTGTAGTACTATAGTGCCTCCTGTTTAGGTTGCATAGTACACCACACACATCTTGGGGTGTAGGCGCATTGCAGAAGCTGAATTCGACGGTATGCTCGCGCAACCATTATCATCCTAGCGGGCATTGGCCCCCACCAAGTCCACCAAGTCCGATTGACCCACCTGCAACCAGCGCCCACTGCACCCGTCGCAAGTGAAAAAAAAAGGAAGGCTAAGCCCACACCAATCCAACAACCTGGCCCCTTCCCCTGCCAGAAGTATGCTATGCCCCCTGGGGCTGCTGCCCGCGCCATCTGAAGCTGCGCAAGCTCTCCTATTCTGGTGACGCTCTCAGGCTTGGCTCCCGTCTATTTCGAGATCAGATCCTCCCTCTAACGATACTCCCTCTTATTTTTCTTTTACTTCCCTTTTTGGGTGATGGTCGGCGTCTCTTCCTCTCAAAACTCGAACTTCTACATACATTCATCCAATCGATAGACAATCCGTCAGCCACTTCAAGACACCCACGCTTCCCAAATTAGACCGCGCAAGCTCGCAGCACATCGCCCAACGTCCGCGTCATCCTACCAGAAATCGCGACTGCCGACCACAAAGATAGACAGACAGTGGGCAGCTCTCAAGAAACGACCCGAGTGAAGATTCATTGCGACAACCTCGTTGCCAGAACGAAGACAGACACACAGACCGACCAACCGACCACCTACCCTCACATCCGACATCCTATTGAGACCCTGTTGCGCAGCCGAATCGACCCATGCTCCGCTTCTCGATAAAAAGGTAGCTGATCACCATCGCGCCCGCGCGGGCGATCCAGCTCCCTACGGCGAGCAACCTTTGCCCATCATGCTCACCTTCCGGCGCGCCCTGATTGCGGCGGCCCTCTTTCTCTCCGTTTTCTACATCCTCACGCGCTCGCACAGCTCTCAACAGCCAGAGATAATACCCGGCCCATCCTCGCCGCTCACCAATGATGTTCCGTCAGACTCATCACGATACTCCACGACGATGGGAGAAGAGGTTGGTGTGAGTGGCGGGGCTGGCAGCAGCAGCAGCAGCAACAGCGTGGGCGCCGGCAGTGGCACCGGCAGCAGTGGGAGTGGCGCAGTGGCGCAGAAACCATTAAAGGACATGTCCAAGATGACGCTGGTCGAGAAGCTGGCCTACCAGCACCCCTACGACGTGGAAAGCAAGTTTCCCGCATACGTGTGGCAGACCTGGAAGTACAGCCCCGCGGACGGCAAGTTTAAGTTCCGCGAGGAGGAGGCCACCTGGACGCGGCTGCACCCCGGCTTTACGCACGAGGTCATCACGGACGAGGTGGCCGAGGGCCTCGTCAAGCTGTACTATGCGGCCGTGCCTGAGGTCCTCCAGGCATACGACGCCCTGCCGCTGCCGGTGCTCAAGGCCGACTTCTTCCGATACCTGATCCTGCTGGCGAGGGGCGGCGTATACAGCGACATCGACACGACCGCGCTCAAGTCTGCCGTGCAGTGGATTCCCGAGAGCGTGCCGCGCGAGTCCGTGGGCTTGGTGGTGGGCATCGAGGCCGACCCAGACCGGCCGGACTGGCACGACTGGTACAGCAGACGGATTCAGTTCTGCCAGTGGACCATCCAGTCCAAGCCGGGCCACCCGGTTCTGCGGGAGGTCGTGGCTGCCATCACCGAGGAGGCCCTCCGGAAGAAGCGGACCGGTCTGCTGGATAACTTCAAGGATAAGAACGTGATCGAGTTCACTGGCCCCGCCGTCTGGACGGACGTCATCTTTGGCTACTTCAACGACGCCCGGTACTTTGACATAAGCAGCAGCAAGGGCGCCATTGACTGGCACAACTTCACTGGCATGACCGCCACCAAGAAGGTCGGCGACGTTATTGTGCTGCCCATCACGAGCTTCTCGCCTGGCGTGGGCCAGATGGGCGCTGGGGACTATGATGATCCCATGGCTTTTGTTAGGCACGGGTTCTCGGGTTCGTCTCTATACCCTCCCCCCTTCTTTCTCCTTGTTCTCTTTTGACTAATGTATTTCCCATGAACAGGCACATGGAAACCGGCCAAAGAGAGGCATATAGGCGGCTGAAGAAAGAGAGAGAAAAGAAAAAAAAAGATAATAGAATCAGGGGATGGGGGTGGGATGTTTCATCCAGGCAGATAGAATTCCCCGCAGCTATCCTCATCACCTCTGCCTTTGAGCCCTAGTCTTTGGCTTTTTCTTCATTCCCCACTTCCTTTCCTCTGTGTATACTTACTGCTGCGTCTCATATTAAACAAGCGCTGGGTTTGAGCCAAATCTGCATGCAAATGGAGTCGGTGGTGTTTTCAAAAACAAAAGCAGAGAGCCCTCCCTCGTGGGTTCTCAAAAGAGTATTCTACTGCACACTTTTATAACAAAGTGCAGAGGGGTAGCGCAGTGCATACATGTGTCGGTTATCCCTTGTTGTTTTTTTCTTGGCCCAACACATATTTCTGGTCTCTGGTAATACTCCAGATTCAGTACGAGCTTGCCATTGCGTTCATGTTATCGATGATGCCCCAGACAGACTGTGCAGACTTAGATTAGTTTTCGTGGGCAGGACCAATGAAGTCGACAGCTGATCACACATTTTTGTCACGTTTAAAACAGCCGAGGATGAACGAAGTGTTGTGTCATCGTAAAAAAAGATATGATTAAGTGGTTCGCAAAACGCCAATTGCCATTCCATCATACATACACAGTCCGGATCGCATGTTGTTGCATCGACCGCCGCAGGTTTGCAGCTATGTCGTCTCCTGATCCAGATCCGAGGCCGGACCACCACATATCAGCCTACGGTGCTGATATACCTTCCATAAGAGCCTGCCGCTGGAGGTGTGTAAAAGCGAGACTGCCTCTCTACCCCTGTCGTACCATCATGATCAAGACGCTGCTGGGTTCGTAAAAGGATCGACCGAAATCAAAGATGCGCCAAGGGAAATCCCCCGCACACCATGTACCAATGCCATTGGGCCAGTAAGGGCATTTATTTGCCAACCAGTCCTTGATCGCTGTTGCGTAATCTCCGCGTAAAGGAAGATCTCTAAGAGACACGATCGAGAGCCTCGTCCACTGGTTGTACATTCATGCCCAGCCTTTTCGGAGTTGCTGGGGTATCATTATTGCCCTCCGAGTCTAGTGTTTCGTAAAAACGACTGCAGAAACCTTGTCAGCGGGCCCCTGTAACTTGCGATCGGTAGGACGAGGGTACAACACCGCCGCGATAGGAGAACCCCGGGGGGCCGGGGGGGGGGGGGTCAAGGAGAGAAAATCAAGATCTCGCCACTTACTCGGTAGGACAATAATCAGGATGAGAATGATGATGCCGACAATGATGCACATACGCATCTTCATGTCCTTCCACCACATCTGCTTCCTGACCCGGTTGGCACCACGACGGAAGCCTTGAGCTGACACAGCCAGGTTGTCCGTCTTGTCTTGCAGCCTGTCAATGTTCTCGCCACGTTCGTTGGCCATGTTGATGTTGTTGCGCATGGTATTGATAGTACTCTGCATGTTCTGTTGGGAGGGGGAAAAAAGAAATATGTCAGTCATCTGTACCCGCAAGCATGGGAGACTTAATCACTTCTCTCCTCGTCGAGAGCTCCAAAGACGTTGGCGTAGGGGGTCGCGTCGACGGGGCATCATCGAAGGCGCAGGCCCGGGGGATGGCAGAAGCTTGTTGTCGCGGCCAAGCCATCGTGAGGATGATTATGACGTGGTTCAAAACTCGACGTATACCGGTAGGTCCCCAACCCGACCATTTATGTGGACGTCCAACGCTCGAACTATCCATAACAACCGGCCCACAGCAGCACAGTCATGACCAAGGTTCGTCATTCGCGTTGTTGGTTTGCCCGGTGCAGATGTCGCACGGGAGCACGACAGGTCGTCTCGTGGTCGCCATCACCATCATCGTTTCCTGACCGGTCGAGCCGACGCAGCTGAGGTCGAGAAGAGACACAGTGCTGACGTAGGTTGCGCAGGTGGCCGGTTCGGGTCGTTCAAGCTCGCAATCTCTCCCCGCACGTCGACGGCGAAAAACTCAAGCGGGCAAGATGGAAGCACTCTGGAATTTGTACTTACTCCCTGGATCTGTGCGATTCTGGGATCGCTGGATTGGGGATTCTCGCCCGGGTAGCGAGCATCGGGGTCGTAGCGTCCGTCAGCCATTGTTGCGGATGGTGGATTGGGTGGTGGTTTGTGGAATTCAATAAATCAATCTGAGTAGGCTCCGAGAAAGTCGAAAACCGTCGTCGCGATGGTGCCGATCTGTTTGATGGGCTGTTGGCGAGAGATTGTTTTGCGGTGTATTGGGTATCGTTCCAAGGTTGTCAGAGTAAGAGAAGAGGGAAAGAGGCGGTTGAGCTTGGCAAGCGGGTGAGAAGAGGAAAAAGGTTGCGGAATGGAGGGAAGTCGAATGGGCAGAACAGACAGGTGAGACGCTCTGCCCTCTTGGGCCTTTGGGGGAGCCTGAAGGTGGCAGGGTGGCGGCAGGGTACGTTAGGTTGAACAAGGCCAGGGTGGTCCCCGAAACGGGTCTGATCTTTTGGGGATGGACTTGAGTTAGCGCCAATATCTTAACAGTGAACAGGTCTTGGTTGTTAGTCAGTCACACTACCGGCCGGCTTCTCAACTATCAAAAGATCTGACCATCCAGATAATGCCACCTTCCGGAATGACCTGCTGCTCGCCTCCTTCAGCAGGTGTAGTGTAGTCAGGCCCCAACCTCCATCAAAGCAGCTCCCCGTCCAGCATGGCGCAGGTAACCGTACAGCCAACCAGCCAACCAACCCAGAGGCCTCGCTTGGTCATTCCCAGCCCAGGTTTTGCCTCTTCCAGCCCCAGCAGTAGCTGAACCCCTGTCGAAGCATATGTCACAGACTACGTCTGCTCTTGGCCGCCACTGGAGAGAAGCCTCGTATTGTCTTCTTTTTTTTCTTTTTTTTTGTCACCCCTTCTCTTTTGCTCTACAGTCATCACTGTCATTAAGTGGCAGTGCAACCGCTTCAGCTTCCTTGTAAATAATTATCATGGACAGATACCAAGTCACGTAAATGCCATAGTAGCTGGCATTTATGTCTGAATCCGGAATAGCCAAACCGTAGTCGTTACGTGGTCTCCTTCCAAAGCCGTTGCATCTTTGTTTCATCAACGTCCTACCGCAACACGCACTTCTCGGCGGAGCTTCATCCAGAAAAAAGGCTAGGGTCTATGCGACACCTCATTCATGTAAAATCAATTGTCACCTCACCTATGGGTGGTTTGCAGCGGAAGTCCCTCCTCCGTGTGAACCGCCATCATGGCAATGGTAACGAGATCTCTGCGTCTCTTCTGCTTCTCGTCATACCAGCCATGTGCAAGCACATTGTGCATCGTGAAAGGCCGTAATCGAGTACCTTCTGGAAATACTCCTTGGTCGACCATTATTGACGCTCCCACCCAAGCATCATCATTTGCACCTTGTGCTCCGTGAAGCGTATGAAATTGATTGTCACAATGGCAGACCTCATATCTGGACAGTGAAAATATGTTTGTGTAATTCAGAACACTGCATAGGATAAGGATGAGCACGAGCCAAATGGTGCTACAAACATGCGGCTGCGTGATACAATTATGTCCAGAGTATTCTATCTCCATGGCAGCAAAGCACTTTATTGTTCACCCTTGCTCAGTACTTGAGTTTCGGGAGATGGATATTTTTCGATGCCTCATGGCGAGGGTTTCTTATACTTCTTCCTCCTCCTGCACATAATAATCATGAAAACGCTTTTTTTTCTTCTTTTTTTTCGTTCTTTTTTGCCTCTCTCCTCGACCTACACCCGCAAAGATTCAATCTTTTTCTGGTGGTTTTCGTAAACTGAATGTTCTCGAGAGCTACGACGTTCATCCTTGTATCAAGCCGCATGACGTCGGCACCAAAGGCCCTGCAGTAGCCCGTGAGGACCCTGATGTTAGTTAGACCGGCAGACTGGGCATGATGCGTACATAGTAGAACAGTAAGCTATAGATATTCATGTCATGAAAGCTCCAGTAAGGCCTGGGTGATAGTAGACTTTCCAGGAATTACATTCTGTGGCCTGTTGCAGTAATAGGGGGGACATGATATGTGTGTTTGATCAGGGCGACGCGGCAGCAAGTAAACGCAGCCGCCCTCACGAGCAGCCATCTTCTCCTACTGCTTCACCCTTTTCTGGTCTCCTTTCCCTGCCATCATGTCCCGCCCCTGGATCCTCATCACTCCGTCCAGCCGCGGTATAGGACATGCTCTCACGAGGCATCTCCTCCGCACCACAAACGTTCCCATCCTGGCCACCGCGCGCCATAACCCTGCCGCAGTAAAGTCCAGTCTCCTCAAGGATCTCCCGCCCAACAGCCGCGCTGGTGCTGCCCCTGCCCCGGCTGACCGCCTCCACGTCGTTGCCCTCGATGTGACGGACGAGTCCGCTATCCAGGCCGCCTCGGAGCGAGCCGCCGAGCTCTTCCCCTCGGACGCGCACCACCTGCACCTGGCCCTTGCGGTCCCGGGCATCCTGCATCCGGAGAAGGCCACGGGTTTGGTCGACGCCGAAAAGGCGCTCATGACCTACCGCGTGAACGCGCTCGGCCCCCTGCTCCTGATGAAGTGGTTTGGAGATTTCCTCCCGCGCAGGCGGACGCAGTTCGCTCTGGACCCGGCTGACCGCCTGCCCGAGTACGCGGCGTGGGTGGCCATGTCCGCACGCGTGGGCAGCGTCAGCGACAACAGAAAGGGCGGGTGGTACAGCTACCGCAGCAGCAAGGCGGCGGTAAACAGCCTGGCCAAGGGCTTTGACCTCCAGCTGGCGACACGGAGTGGGGACAAGGCCATGGCCATGGCGTACCACCCAGGTACCGTCAAGACGGACCTGTCGAGAGACTACTGGGACACAATGCCCAAGGAGAAGCTGTTTGACCCGGATTACGCTGCGGCCAAGATGGTGGAGGTTGTCACTCGGGATGTTGGGCTGAAAGGGAGGGGTAGATGTTGGGATTGGAAGGGCGAGGAGATCTTGCCGTAAGGTCCATCTTGGCAGAGGATCCAACGCTATCGATGCAGAGAGCACTCATCGGGATCGTAAAGGCCGTCATCGTGTCCTAATTCTTTATCATAGTATCTACCCATCTCCTCGATGGAGCACAAATTCCACCCTGGCGTCCAACAAAAGAGGGCCATCAAGTATTACACAATTCTCCCCTTCAAAGTACAATCAAAGCGCCCGCCTCGTGAAGATCGTGACATAATGGTTCATAGTTGGACCTCCTGGAACGATGATCGACTTGCTGCGGGCGATGGTGCTGCCTTGTCCTCGTCCAGATCCTCAAATGCTGCCGCCTTCGGTCGTACCGCCAGGTTCTGCTCCTTGTCTTCCGCCCTCGACTTCTGCTCGTCTTCTGCTTTTGCCTTGGCCTCGTCGATGGCAGCATCATCGTCATCGTCGGATTCGTCCTCGTCGTCACCATCCACGGCTTCCTCCTTGTTCAAGGCGGCATAGTCGTTCTCGTCCTTGTCGCCCTCCTGGGCCTTCTCGCTGCTGCCCTCACCATTCTCGGCTGACGGGGCAGCGGGCAGGTCTTTGTCCTTCGCTGGCGGCGCTGGCGCGGTAGCAGGTGCCGCGAAGGACGCCTGCTGCTGCTGCTGCTGCTGCTGCTGCTGCTGCTGCTGAGTTGCCGTGCCTGGCCGATCCTCGCTCAGCGGGCCTGGCCGCACAGCATCCAGGTAGAACTTTGTGACGCCCAAGATCCTCCCACTTTGCTCACATGCGTCCACCCACTCTGGCCGCACTACAGGAATGTTCATCTCGACCGCCTTCTCCCACTGGATGCCTCTGCCCTCGGTCGTCACGAAGTGTGTGGTATCTATCCGCACGCTGTCCACGATCTTGGCACCAATCCTTTCTACGGCCACAGCCAGGTTCTCACGCATGGTCTGGGGCAGGATACCCGTCGTGATGGTGATACCGCTGAGATCTGTCATCTTGTGTGTCTGGACATCCACTTTCTCGCTCGTGTACGTGCCGGCAGTGGTTCTTAGCACCAGGTGGAAAGTGTACTGGGTATCAACGGCCAGGCCGGAGATCTTTGTGGTGTGCATCTGCAGGGGCTTCGGGATCGTGCCTGCTTTGTTATTGTTACGATACAAAGACAGGCTGATTAGGTCGGCTGTGGCAAGCTGGATGGGGTCCCATTCCAGGACGACGGAAGTCTGCGTCGCGTTTCGGCATCGTAGAATCGGCGTAGAGGGTAGTGCGGCACCAAAGGCATTGTAGATCTTGTCTTGCAGTGCTTGGAAGCGCTCCTCGGCTGCGGATTCGGAGGTGGTATTGCGCCCAACTGTGATGTCGACGATAGAGCCCGAAGAGATATCAGGGGGGAGAAGAATGGACGGGAATTCGATCTGAGCGAATATGGTCAGCTTGAAATTTGAGGAGTGTCGGCAGATCTGCACCAATACGTGGACCTTGGCTCTGCCGGAGTATAACTTACGAGACGTTTATCTGGAGTGAGCAGGACAGTTACGCCGGCGTCGACCTTACCGACGGTCAGAGAGACAAGCATTTTGTCCACTGCGCGTCCGATCGTAGGGTGCCTAGCAATCCAATTGCGCGTCGCGGTCTCTCGAAAAAAGACAGGATGGGCGGTGAGGAGGGACGTGGCTGAGACGTGTTCAATGGCTTTTGAGGACAGCTAAAGTTTAGAGCTATCGTCGATCCTGCCTTCGCTCACTGAAACCAGGAACAAGATGGCGGCCACTGCCGTTACGTAAGCCCCCCTCCAAAAGGCATTCATACCAGTGGGATGCAAATGCGATGTGACACTCTTTCTTTACCTTTCCATTCTCTCTATATGCAATAGTTCAGAGATTATATATTATGGATTGGTTGCTTTTTCTGACTACCTCCATCGGTTATCGCCTTCTTGGGTTCGATAGTTCCGTGTCCTCTTCTTTCGGCTGGTTCCTCCGGACTCTGGGTCCAATCTCTTTTCCTTGCCTTCATCAAGTGGTCCTTTCTGTCGTAGTTGACTTCGTTGTCGATTCCTATCATTGCTGGAAGAATTGACCAGGTGACTTTCAGATGTTCTCCCTAGTTCTTCCTCCAGATGCTGGACGATCTTCTCAAAGTGTTCCTTTAATTCCTTAAATGAGACTTGGTGCACCATCTTCGAGTCCCGCGATAACACCTCCACCGTACCAAACAGCTGTAATATTCCCCTTCTCCGGGCCTCTTGAGCGACCGGCCTCCCGAGTATTTGGGCCTGCTTCTGCAGATCCTCTCCAGATAGTCTTCGCCCGTCCATATAATACCCGGCGTTCCGGAGGGCTTGCCTGAGCGCCGTATTGATCCGATATTTCGCCAGTCCCCTGACGATTGGCTTGTTGCCATCGCCTCGAGGCGATGTGACAGACCACAGCGGCTTCTCGCAATCAGCTAGAAGCCTTCTGACAATGGATTCCGCAAAGGCATGTCCGGCTTCGGTGAAGTACCGCAGGTCGTTCAGGTGCACGACATGACGCCGTGCTGTCTTGACCTCGATGCCATTCCACCTGAGGTGTTTCGCTGCCTTCATCTCGGTGTAGATGCCGATATCGTGGGAGAAGAGGTGCGTAATCTGCTCTCTGCCCTTGGGGGTAAAAGGTGGATAGAACGCGACATGCTGGGGGATTTGGCCCTCCAGCTTCCTGTCTAGTGAGACAGAGGCGAGCTTGGACATCTTGATGCCCCTGCTACCAGGGCCACCCAGTAGCGAGGGGACCCTTTTTGCCGGCCCAGCGACTCCTGTCCTGAGCCGTGGGAAGTACTGAACCATGTTGGCTGGGTGAAGGCGGAGGGTGGTGTTGATTATATCATTTCATCCTTGAAGACGTCGAGATCCTCCTAGTCTTCCAATTGTCAATGATAGATCTGAGTAACTGCTTAAATTCATCAACGCAATATGACGATGTATGACCAAATGGGCATTGTGCTAATTGAAGCACACAGAAAGAAAAGAGCAACGCGGTCAGTGACGGGTGGGTGTGTATGGATGGGTGATCGAGTCTGTATCGAATCTGTAGTTTTGTAGTGCAGAAGAGGTTGACAGGGCCCGGGATCTGGCTGCAGGTTTTTGATTGGCTCTTTGGCTGGGCATCGTCTGCAGCCGTGCCGCCAACAGTACTGCACTTGCTTGTGGCGGAGTTTTGATGTGGATATATAAGATTGACTACATTGTGATGGGAAGTGATGAAAATGATTTTAAAGATGCTTACTCCAGGCTTCCGCCTTTCTTTCTTTCCTTTGCTTTAAGAATTAAAACTGGTTCTTATTAAAGATGTGGAATACCACTTTGTAACCTGTGCGCAGGGACTAGCCTGCTTCCTGCTGTGGCTTCAGCCCGCTGTTTTTGCTGCCAATGAGTGTGGTGGTTAGATGTTCCGAATATTGCAGATGGGGGTTTCATGATCGAGAGTCTTCCGTGCCACAGATTTTGGACTTCATCTACGCGAGCAGGGACTGCCAGGGCTTTCAGCTCTGCCGTTGCTCGGCTGCCTGATGAGACCCCATGCCATCTTGTATTTTGTTTAAGAAAAGCAACAGCGTTTAGAGTTGTTGTCACTGGCTGGCTTGCCTAACCGATTGCGATGGATGGCTGCTTTGACCTCCTCTGTATTGTCCGAAAACAATCCTCGCCGATTATGCCGAAAAATGGAGTCGGGAGTAACACTGGCAACCACAAAAATCTGGGACGAGAAGCTGTTGTAGGAAGGGAAGTGAATTGTCCTTCAAGTGACAGCTTACAAATGCCTTGAACGAAGTATTGTCTGTTGGTTGGAATTCACAAAAAGATGAAAACCCAACGGGAGAATGTGACCCATCCGAGTCCATGAGTCGAAATTCCATTCTATGATAAGACCCCAATGTCTCTCGGGCTCCAGTCAATTACGGAAAGTTAGACACATCCGTGCTGTCGTCTTCGAAAACTTCAAGCCCTCGGCATCAGATGCAACAGTAGGGATTAAAAAGAGTAGCATGATTGCCTACATTAGAAGAACACATCCTCGTCACCAAAGGGGAGTGAGTACCTTAGGTAGGTCAATCCGAAGTGGGGTGCGACTGGGGAAGCGATAGTTCAAACAATCAGGAGAGGGCATCGCATTCCTGCAGCCATATGTGCTTTCAGTCACACAGCAGAGGTTCGCAAGCACGGCGAATGGAGTCTACCGAAAGAAGGAACAAAGGATGGAAGATAGGATAAGAAAGAAAGGAAAGGGGAAGAAGAAAAAAAAAAAGGCATGGGGTTGGTGCTTGATAGACATGTGCAAGAGGGAGAGAGGGCAGAGGCGCAAGCGGGTGATATCCAAATGACCGTGTGGTGAACCGACAATGAATGTCAATGTCAACCAGTAGTAGAGACCAATACCTCCCAAGAGGACTAGTCTAGCTCGGGCTCAAGTATCATAGCAGGGTACAACAGCATGTCCCGTCTGTCCCACTCTAAAACGCTGACTTCTCCTCCTCTCACAAAGCCAACTCTGCCCAACCCAGCAGGGGTCAAGTAGGCCTAGGGATTTGCCCCGCCACAAACTAGCCCACAAGCACAAAAGTGACCCCACCAGCACAAACTACCCCCCACTCCCAAAGAATCATTCCTCGCCGCCTCTCTCCCAACCCACTTCCGAGTCTTACCAAAACCCAACTTGTCTCTTGACAACCCACAGCTACTACAACAACAAACAACAAGGCCATTCCTTGGCAGACTCGACGCTCATCCACTTTCTTTTTAAACACCATCATCATCATCCAGACCTCTACCGCACAGGACAGACAGGATGCCTAAGAACAAGGGAAAGGGAGGAAAGAACCGCAGGCGTGGCAAGAACGAGAACGACAATGAGAAGCGTGAACTTACCTTCAAGGAGGATGGCCAGGAGTATGCGCAGGTCGTGAAGATGCTCGGGTAGGTTTCGATTTGTCCCTTTGCCCTTCTTCTCCCGCCTCCTTTGGTGCATGTACATAAGAGGTCCTCCTCCCCTCGATAAGGATGGGAGGAGACCGACCGCATGTCATGTGCAAAGAGGGGCTCTTCGCGCCAACAATGACGCGCCACAAAGAAGAGTCCAAAGGCTGATCGCAAACCCGACCTTGATACAGAAACGGTCGTCTCGAGGCGCAGTGCTTCGACGGCACGCGTCGACTTGGAAACATCCGTGGAAAGCTTCGCAAGAAGGTCTGGATCAACCAGGGCGACATCATCCTGCTGTCGCTGCGTGATTACCAAGACGACAAGGGCGATGTCATGTACGTTATACTCTCTTTCCCCACTTCTATACAACCTCTTTCTCCCATCCCCCCCTGTCAAACGCCTCTTACCAAATCTTCCCTTGTTCTTTTTTTTTCCCTAACGCTGGTGTGCAACAGTCTCAAGTACACCGCCGATGAAGCCCGTTCCCTCAAGGCCTACGGCGAGCTCCCCGAGACCGCCAAGATCAACGAGACCGATACCTTTGGCGGCGGCGAGGACGGCGACTGCGCATTCGAATTCGACGAGGACCGCGACTCCGAGAGCGGCGAAGAAGGCGGTGCCGTTGGCAAGGATATCGAGATTGACGATATTTAGACCTGGTCGGTCTGGCCGTATGCCGGCTGCGTCGTGGCCCCCTTCCCCCCCCCCCCCCTCCTCCCTTCTTCTTTTCCCTGTTTCCCTTTAGGAAACTGGCCACAGTTGCACATGGAAGAGTGGGGTTCAGAGGAGCAGGGGCCGGGCACAAAGGCGCAGGAAGAACTGTCTTCTCTCTCTCAAACCTCGATTCTGTTCCGCAAGGAATGAAGACTCGAGGTTCCTCGACAGTTGATAGACGACTGGGATGGGAGGGACGTCCCGTGTCGGTGGGGAGGAAAAAGAAACCAAACAACAGCATACACCTTTTATGAATCTTCTTGATGACATGAATTTCTTATCCGTCTTCTGTCCGAGGAGGAATGATCACTTCTTCTTTCAATTTCCGTCTCCATTCGGCGCAATTAGTGTGATCGAGCGCTATATCAAAAAGGGGCTTGCATGGAGGCACTGGTCGACATAGTTCATAAAACGTCATGAGACCTTGGTAGACCGTAATGAGAGGCTATCTGCTGAAAAAACCATTCTGTATTGTATTGTGTCTAGCCCTCTGAATAGGGAGGGGATGACTCATTCTTACTGTAGGATGAGGTGCCCGCCTGCTTTGGTTCCCCTTGCCTCGTCAAAGCGGGCATCCATCCCCCACCGAAAAGAAGTAAAGGCTCGTACAGCCACTGCCTACGATCTCAGTGAAAGCAGATTGCCAGTCCTGTACGCACAAGGTACACCAGAGCTATGTATGGGGGAAAAGGAATCTCTTGGTCCTGTCCCGTATGCCCTGCTCGTGCTGTTCTCGCACTCACTCAGTGCTCCCGTTTCTCCTACGACCCGCTGCCGTTTAGTCCCACTCATCGTCATCACCCTCGTCATCTAGAGAATATTAGCATCATTCAAGAATCATGGGGGCATCCAAGGACCACAGCCCTGACATATGAGAGGGAAAATAAACTTACCACTGTGGCTGACCTTATTCTTTCTGGCAGCTAAAGCCGAGGCCAAGGCCGACGCCATATCATTGCCACCACCACCAGGGGTGACGCCAGCAGGCGGCAGGCCGCTGCCGTGCGGGCCAGTATCGCTCCCGCCGCCGCCGCCGACCTGGGCAGAGCTCCTGTCGCGGATCTGGCTCCTGTCGACCTTCTTCAGGGCTCCAATTCCACCGGCCTTCTGGATCCCCGCCAACATGGCCGAGCGACTAGAGTCTGCATTGGGCAGAGCCGCGGCCGGCACGCCAGACGCATAGCCAGAGTCGCGATTTGGTGGGGGTGGCGGACCCGGGGGTGGAGGAATGCCGGTGCCTGCTGGTGGTAGCGGTGGTGGAGGTGGAATACCGCCTGCTGGAGGTGGAGGTGGAGGCGGAGGTGGAGGAGGTGCGCCTGCGCCCGGCAGCGGGGGAGGAGGCGGTGGAGCGCCGCTCGACGGCAGAGGTGGTGCTGGCGGCGCTGAAGACCCTGGTAGGGGAGGCGCGGGCGGGGCGCCAGACGATGGTAATGGTGGAGGCGCTGGTCCTCTGGTGGGTAGGCCTGGAGGAGGCAGCGGGGGTGCAGCTCCAGCAGGCGCTTTGGGAGGCAGTGGTGGTGCCGGGCCAGGCGCTGCGATAGCCGATTCCCTTGATGGGGGTGGCGGAGGGACAGGGCCACGACTTGGCGGCGGGGGCGGAACACTTCTCTGTCCTGTGAAGGGCGGAGGCACACCGAACCTCTGCCCAGAATCCTTCGCCTCCTCGACCGGCGTCTTTGGCGGGCGTGGCGGAGGCGGAGGTCCGGAGGCGGGCGTGTGCCTTGCGGGCTCGACATGTGCAAGCTTGCCAGCATCGGGCAGCGGTGGAGGGACGTGGAATCTCGGCCTCTGTGGTGAGGGCTCGCGCTCGGTACTGGGTGAATCGGACTTCTTAGACCGCCTCGGCGTAGGAGGCGGCGGTGGTGCGGCGGCTCCTCCTCTCCGCACGGCCGGTGGTGGAGGAGGCGCTCTAGATCCCGCTCCATTGACCGGCGGTGGCGGCGGCGGCGGTGTCGAGTGTTTTGTCTGGGCCTGCTCCTGCTTCAGGAAGTCGACGATGAAGGCCTGATTGTCCATGATGAAATCGTCGGTCAGACCTTTTGACCTCAGGTCGTCGCCAAAGTGTTCCCGCCACTCGGGGTCGAACGCCTCCAAGACGGCAAACTGCGCGGGCGGGCTCCGGCTACTGGACCCGTTGGCCCTGGTGGATGATGACCTGCCGAGAGGGCTCAAAGGAGCGACGCTGTTGCGAGGGGACTCAGGCGGCGTCGGCGACGGCGCAGAGGAGTGCCTATGCCCTCCGAAGATGCCGCCTAGCAAGCCGTGTTTATGCCCTCCGCTCCCTGCACCGGGCGCCGCTCCTCCGAACGGTGTCGCCTTCGTCGCTTTACTGGCATTCTTCTCGCGCTCGTCCATCTTCTTCTTGAACTGCTTCGCCTCCTTCTCATCAGCGAAGGAGAGGGCGGCCAGGCAGTCCTCTAGCTCGAAGGTGTGAAAGAAGGTCCGGTCCTGGTTGTAGCTCCACGAGTCGAAGATTTCCTGGTCCCATATGACTCCCTGGTGGGAGGGCTGTGTAGTAGTCGTGTGTGATTAGCTCCTGCGCTGTGCGCTCCGCCGCCGTCTGGCTCACTCTTGAAGCGCAACTCACCGATATATCCACCATCTTCAGCCAGTAGGTGTTTCCAACAAGATCGTTGGCGAGCACCACGGCCCCTTGCAAGCCGGTGTAGGTCCATGTGGAGGGGTTCGGGTGCGCAACGTAAAGCCGCGCTACGGCTACAGCCTGGATCTTATTACTCTGCTTTGGCACGAAGCGCTTGACCATGTCCTTGTCGGCATCGTTGAGGATAGACGGCATTGTGTTCCGAGTCGGCGTGGAGACCGTCGGCTAAGAAGAGGGATCGACAATGGCAGTTGGAGGACCGAGAGGTGGAAGGCGTGGAGGAGAAGAGGGAAGGGGGGAGGGGGGAGAATCGTTGTCGGTGGGGTTGTTCGTTCCTCCCAGCCAGCTGTGTTGATATGTCGACGACAATGGCTAAGGCTTCATCTGATTGAGTAGTTGTATATACCAGGGTCGAGGTGCGTCGTCGCCTGTGTCGTGTGCAGCGAGCAGCGTGGTGTGCTGATGTGCTGATGTGCTCGTGTGCTCGTGCCGCGCGCTGGTGAACCTGTGCGAGCTGTAATATGACGCTTCCAGGATCGGTCCGTCGTGGTATCGACTTGGCTTGCTCTCTACCAATGACTTGAACCCTTGCTTGTGACTCGCGCACTTGAATACGTCGCAGCTGCCCTTGGGGGGGGGGGGGGGGAGAGCCGGAAAAACAAAGGGAAAGTTGGATTGATGTTGCGTGGGCAGCTTAGTGGCTGTGGCTGACTGTACTGTGCTGTGCCTGGACGTACGCGCGGTGCGTGTCTGTCTTGTCGGGGTGCTGTCGTGTGGTGAGATGATGGTGGTGGTTCAGATTGAGCAGAAAACGGTACACAGGCACACACTACTGTAAGTCCTAAGGTAGAGAAAGAGAGAAAGATAGACAGCCCTAGAGTTGTAGTGGGACAGGGGCTGGCAGAGAACTAGACCGGCAGCGGGTCTTTCCGCCAGGGCGTAGCAGCAGTCGATCGCCTCTCACCCAAGGCTAAGGCTATGTCCGATATGGCTGAACGGTCAATTCTGCAGTAGGGAGTGGTTACGTGCCCAAAAAGCGACTGGGTAGATCCAATCAGCAAGTGAGTATTTTGTTGGGTCGGGTCAATCGGCGAAGGAAGCAGAACAGGGTAGAAACAAGCCAAGATGACCATTAATTTCACCGTGCTGTTCTGCCTAGTACAAGCACCCGCAGCAGCAGCAGCCGCCGCCGCCAATTGGGCAGGGTTCGGACGTCAAAACACGCGGCTCTCTTCAGGCAGCGAAGGCGTTGGGTTGCGAGTGGCGCTTCGTGGTCAGCTTCCAACAATCACAATAGCATCACTCAACACCCAACACAGTGACACCCAACACAGTGCGCAGTTGTGGCACAACGCGGCTCATGTGTCCTGTTTCATGACCACCTCAGCATGATTCATATCGAGACCTCATACGAGTCACAATTTCTGCTGTACATCTGCAGAGCACAACGGCCGTACCTCTTTCCATCGACTGCGTGTCTCGTTTGTGTTTGTATGATAGAGTATGTCCAAGTCAGTCTGCAAGCAGGGGACTGTCTAGATGCTGTGGTTGCCCCGTTGTGCTCCCCTACCTCGTACAGAGATAGCAGTTGTTGAAACGCAATTTTGAGATGCTTAGTACGACGTCATGAGAGAGGTGTCTTGTGGGTCCGGAATGGACATTGGGCTTGAACCCCTTCTCGAGAAGCCCGGAGCACATGCAGTAGCGAAGGTTTGTGCATGTCGCAATAAAGGAGGGAAAAGAAACGTCAAAATCATGCATTTCATTCAGTCGAGGTTCGTAAGATATCTGTCTCTAGGTAAACTCTAGCAGGATTGGGGCTGGTCGACTACACGCCGATTCTGCTCCTCTCGCCTTCCTCCTCCCTCCATCACTGGCAGGCCGGCTTACTAGCTAGAGCATCTATTTGTTGATCTCCTTGGCCTTCGCCAGACGCTCCTCCTTTGTCCCCTCCTGAGGGATCTGGCTGTGGTCATGTGACTGGGCCGGGCCTGGAGCCGCGACATGAGGAGCGACCTTGGACTTGATAGCATCGATGAAGCCCTTGCCTTGATCCTTGTTGGTATCGTCAATGGGCTGCGTAGGAATCGTTAGTAATAAGTGGTGGGACCTAGCAGCCGAGAATACCGAAGATGACTTTACCTGGATGGAGAATTCCTTCTCTTGCTGGTTCTGGTCGGCCATCTTGAGAGTGATTTAGCAAGGGGAGATGAGGTGGTAGTTTATTATAAAGTATGTCTAGTAGGTAGAAGGTTAGCATTCGGTTTTCAGTACACTGCGTAAGTACTCAAGCTAATAAAATCTAGTAAGATCAATGACATACGATATTTTGAAGATATTGTTTCTTTGTGTTAGAAAGAAAAGAGGGGAAATTGAGTATGGTGAGTTGAAGAAGTCGAGTCTTTAGAGGGGAGAGATATCAGGCCGTCTTATACTCAGAAATGTTGGAGGCCTATTCAAGGTTGTGTCCCCATCAGATGCTCAAGTGATCTCGCAGCGCATCAAAAATGACGTCGTTATCGTTGGACCAACACTAAACACGACCTAACAACTCATCGTACAACACACACACAAGCGCGCGCACACACACCATCTGTAGACCTGCAGCCGACCACCTCCACCGGGAAGCCACTACGAGTTGCTACCAACTCCAGGCAGGGTGGGCTGCGTCAATTTTTCTCTCTTTCTCTCTTTCTTTCTTTCTTTTACTCTGGGTTCGAGGCTGCTTCGAAGGCCAGCCACATGATCGTGAAATACTCGTCTATATCATCTTAGGCTTAGCAGAGGGGTAGACCGGCGGGAATGCCCGAGACCCAAGAACCAAGTGAAACTGGTCGTTTCTAAGTAATTTTTGTCGACCAGCTATGTCCCATCATTGGGTTCCACAGTACGATGGAAACATTGATGGTGAGGTTCTCTGTTTGCTACGGCTCGTTCGTGTATCAACGAGAACGTCCCTCGACGTGACCTGTTACCGAGACAAATAAAGTGACTAATGAGCGCAAGGTAAAGGCCCCTGTAGTACGTAAAGTAGAACTTACGGCGTACTGAGACAAGACATTCCTCTAGGCGCGAGACAGCGCTACTCCTTCTAAGTGACGAACCGCAACCAGCTGGCGGCCAGCTGAAACTACCTTTCGCCGCCGACCACTTTCGGCTCACTCCTACATCATCATCTTCATCATCGACGCGCCTCACGCGTCTACCTTGACAGCTTACATATTCCCCCTTCGTAGAGCTGCCTACGAGAGCTTACTAGTTTTTGCCAAGCTAGAGATGATGGTTCCCAGCTCCTGCAAAAACCACTCGACGTTGCCCCGGGTAGTTCAAGCCCCATCATGGCCGCCAACGATGCGCCACAGCCCGTGAAGCTCTCCCTGCCGCTTGTAAGCCAGCCCCCAACGATGACAGCTGTCTCTCCCTTCCGGTCGCCCATGGGAATGAGGAGGACATTTCTGGTTCTAATTATCGCTTCTCGTCCCAGGAATATCAACAAGCACTATTCCAGGAGCTACGCTCTGAGGATGAGCTCGTCATCTTGGCGCGCGGCCTTGGGCTCATGCGCCTGCTCACCAACCTGTTACACTCGTATGACGCTGCCGGCAACAGCCTGATCGTTGTTGTCAATGCCGAGGACCGCGAGAATGGCTGGATCGGCGAGGCGCTGGCCGAACACGCGGCTATCAGTAGGGCGCCGCTTGCCCGCGGCCTGACCGTCGTCAACACGGATTACACCAACGTCGGCGCCCGCGAGAAGATGTACGCAGGCGGTGGCATCTTCAGTATCACAAGCCGGATCCTGGTGGTTGACCTGCTGACGAATCTTCTGAATGTGGAGAAAGTCACCGGCATGGTAGTCCTGCACGCGGACCGGGTCGTCGCCACCAGCCTGGAAGCCTTCATCCTGCGGATCTACAGGCAGAAGAACAAAGTTGGCTTCCTCAAGGCTTTCTCGGACAATCCGGACCCCTTCACGACAGGATTCAGCCCCCTGGCGACCATGATGCGGAACCTCTTCCTGCGCAAGGCGAGCCTGTGGCCGCGCTTCCATGTCTCGGTTGCCAAGTCGCTCGAGGGCAGGAGGCAGGCCGAGGTCATCGAGCTGGAGGTGCCCATGACGGACGCCATGAAGGAAATACAGGCCGCGGTCATGGAGTGTGTTGAAGTCAGCATCCACGAGCTGAAGAAAGGAAACACGGGTCTGGACATGGAAGACTGGAACCTGGACAGCGCCCTGACCAAGAACTTCGACGTCATGGTCCGGCGCCAGCTGGACCCGAACTGGCACCGCGTCAGCTGGAAGACGAAGCAGATCGTAGGAGACCTCACCGTACTGCGGAGCCTGCTGCAGGCTGTGGTTGCCTATGATGCTGTTGCGTTCCAGCAGAACCTGGACACCATCCATGCTGCACACTCCCCGGCGCCAGGCTCCACCAGGCAGACACAGTCGCCCTGGCTGTTTCTAGATGCTGCGCAGACCATCTTCGAGACAGCAAAGAGGAGGGTGTACCGGGGCACGAACAAGGCGGGGGCCGACTCGGATATTGACTCCCTGCGGCCGGTGCTCGAGGAACAGCCCAAGTGGGCAGTCCTTGCCGATGTCCTGAAGGAGATCGATCGAGACCTATACTTTGAGCCGCCGGCTCGTGATGATTCCAACGGAACCATCCTCATCATGTGCTCTGACGCGGCGACGTGCAGGCAACTCAAGGACTACCTGCAGACCATGCATGTAAAGGTCAAGGATGAACAACGGCGGAAGAAAGTCGTCATCGAGGGAGATGAAGATGACGACAACGATGACCAGCCCTCTGGCATGTTCATGATGCGTCGCAGACTCCGAGAGTACCTAAAGTGGAAGAAGGAATTTGCCCAAGTTAGTGCACTCCTGTTCGCCGAGAACCAGAACGCGCTGAAAGGGGCGTCTGATCCGAGGCTGCAGAGGGGAAGCAGAGCACCCGCCAACAAGAGGAGACGGGTACGAGGGGGCGGCTCTGTGGCTACGAGCCTGGGACGCGCAGAAAATGGCAGCATTATGCCTTATATCGAAAAGGCAAATGAGGTGGCAGACCTGATGGAGGAGGTCCAGGCCACTGAGGAGGATGCCAAACAGAAGGCGGACGTGATCGGACAGGCCGATCCGTTAGAAGATATGGACGACTTTTATCAGCTATATGACATGCAGGATCTGGTCGTCATCCATGCCTACGATGGTGACCAGGACGAGCATATCCTGGAAGAGGTGAAGCCCAAGTACGTCATCATGTATGAGCCAGACGCCTCTTTTATCAGACGCGTGGAGGTGTACAGATCATCGCACAACGACAGGAATGTGCGGGTATACTTTCTCTACTACGGCGGGTCGGTGGAAGAGCAGCGGTATCTGTCGATAGTCCGAAGGGAGAAGGATGCTTTCACCAAGCTGATCAAAGAGCGCGCGAGCATGAGCATCGTCTTGACCGTTGACGCACGCGGCGCTGAAGATCCCCAAGAGGCCTTTCTCAGGACCGTCAACACTCGGATCGCTGGTGGCGGGCGTCTGGCCGCCACAGCACAGCCGCCACGGATCGTGGTGGACGTTCGAGAGTTCAGGTCGTCCCTGCCATCACTCCTGCACGCTCGCTCGATCATCATCGTACCATGCATGTTGACAGTGGGGGATTACATCCTCTCGCCAAACATCTGCGTGGAGCGCAAGTCGGTCAGCGATCTCATCTCTTCGTTCAGAGACGGCCGCCTCTACACCCAGGCCGAGGCCATGTTTCAGCACTACAAATCACCCATGCTCCTCATCGAGTTCGACCAGAACAAGTCCTTCACCCTTGAGCCCTTTGCAGACCTCTCTGGCAACCTCAGCAGCGTCAACCCGGCCAACGTCTCCTCGGACCTGCAGTCCAAGCTCGTCCTGCTGACTCTCGCCTTCCCCAAGCTGCGCATCATCTGGTCGTCCTCCCCCTACCAGACAGCCGAGATTTTTGAGAGTCTGAAGGGGCAGGAGGAGGAGCCTGACCCGATCGCTGCGGTACGTGCCGGCTTGGACAAGGACCAGGCGGCGGAGGAACAACCATTCAACCAGCAGCCCGAGGAGATGCTGATGCATGTACCGGGCGTTACAAGTAAGAACATCAAGAACTTGACGCTGGAGACAGAGAACGTGCGTGCGGTGGCGAATATGTCGGCACAAGAGCTGGAACCGATGGTCGGAATAGAGGCGGCGAGGAGGATTGTGGGCTTCTTCGAGAAGGACCTGATTGATGACGAGGGTTAAGTTTTTCAATTAAGCAGTGATAGCTCGCTATGTGTTCACATGATGTCTACTCATAGTACCGGACGTGACAGAACCAACTATCGAGTATTTGTCTCACAACTGCGGCACAGATTTACACGTTCCTGCTAGTCTGAGCTTCGGGAGGCCTCATGATTAGCCGAGGAAGGTTTCGAAACTTCTATTTCGTGAGGGGTCCATTTCCCAAATAGCCCATCGATACTCTGCGGTCATGCCCAGCTTTTTGGACACAGGCATGCCTGACGCTATTCGCTTACTATCCGAGGTCTGGCTTTCCTGTTCCATAAAGCTGTTAGGAGCCAAGAGGAGACGATACTACTGATCACAGAAAATGAAGACGTGTAAGTTGCGACGAGCACGAGAAAGCGTTGGCACAGAGACAAATTCTCGTTCAAAGTTCATTGCATACAACGAAATTCATTCCTGCAATCAAGACTATGCCTTACACTTCGGTGCAGGCTAGAGCGCCTCTCAAAACAAAAGAAAATATTACAGCAAAAACCAAAAAAGGGGAATAAGGGTATCTGGTAATGCGGCGCATTCCTCTCACGATCCACTTCGCATCGCAAATTGATCGTCATTCATGAGACTCGTCCTCCTCTACTATTCGCCAACATCCCACTGCTCATCGTCCTTCCCATCACTGGGAGAACCTCTTCGTCTCATCGCGTCGGTCCGCCCTAGACGCGACTGACCCCACCATGTCTCTTCCCGAACCGTCTTCTTCCGGATGTGGTGCCTCCAGTAGTTCCCCCGCTTCGGCGCGAGCCACAGTAGCCGCCTGTACAAGACATCCCTGGTCAGTAACTGGTAATTTCGCAGCAATTGTTCCTCCCCGAGACTGGGTGGAAAGAGGGGAGAGAAGTAGGACTTACAAGTCAGGAACCGGACAATGGCTGCCAGGACGGCGACGACACCGTTAATGATGCTCATGATCACGCCGGCGATGGCGTTGATGACTGTCATGATACAGTCACCAATGGCTTGAAGACACGACACGACGATACCCATTTTGGCTGTGTGTAGGTAGGTGTTGGTGGAGGATTCGTAGGGGTCTCTTTTTGTTTTAGGATGATATCAATGTAGTGTTGCGTACGCGCAAGTGTATTGTGAAGGCGTATAGATAGGGTGTTGTTTTGATTGTGTATAGGTAAGATGAAGTCAAGTGTTGATCCCCAAGAAGGAGAGCGAGCTCTTGTCTTATAGGAATAATGAGAGGCAGCCCACTCTCATTCCTGTCCCTCCATCGCGATCGCAGAAAAACATTGAATTTGACGTCATGAGTAACGGGAATCGACTTTTTACCCTGTAACTATGTAAGTGGGCGCTAGTCACAACTTCCAGGCTCGACCCGATGAGGAACGAACTACTACGACTACTTACCGCAGTAGGTAATTCATAAACAGACTGAATAGGAAGAAGACGAACGTGATACACACGCTACGTCAAGGAGGTGTACTTATGGTAAGCCAAGGGAGGAGCCAATGCTCCGGCGATTCTGTGGGGCTTAGGAACGGAAGATTCCAGTGTGAACCAGTATTTTTGTGAGACGACGCCATCAGCCAAGGGAGAGAGACGAGAGGGAAGAGATCATCGGGTCTTCTTTGGGGCTAGCTCGAAGAGAGAGGCGTCCACTGGCGTCGTAGTGCAAGACCTAGAGCAGGTTTTCCTTTAGTTTCGTCTGAGGAGAGGGGGAATGATGCAGGGTGGAATTCTCCGAACTAGAACGAAGGCACGAGGTGTGTGCTTGTAGGGGCTGCCAAGGCGGAAACAGAAAACAAGGTCCCTCGTCGAATCCTGAATGATGAAGGGGGAGCTACCATAGTACATTATTCCCGTGTGTACACAATGGCGAATCTTGAAAATGACGTAGTGCGGCTCTCGGACGAGACGGGCGACAGGGACAAGGGCCACAAGAGACGTCACTCGGGAAAGGTTTGGACGGGACGCCGGGGGGGGAGGGGGGCCTTCTGAACAAGGGCCTGTCAGACTTGTCACAAAACCCATTCGACAGAGCCTAGCAACTCCGTCATTGAAGGGCCCACAAAATAAACAAAATAGCCTCCCTTTTTAAGCTCTTGCATACCCGCAGGCGCCGCCACCACACCCAAAAGTGCCAGCGTCTTGGCACAAGCCATAATCGTACACACACACACACACAGACACACGCCCTGGTGTGCCAGGCACACCATCTCATGATTCCATCTCTATATCTCATACTCAATCGCGTTGGCAAAACCTGGGGCTGACGCGAAACAGACGGGCCACCACCACCCGCTGCTGCAGCTGCTGCCAGACACGATAGAAATGACAAAACCTACCAAGCAATATAAATATAGTATGCAAGTTACCTTGACTCTCGATCCACCCGTCATGGATGAATCAATTCCTGCGGGCGCACGCAGCCCTCTGGATCGTGAATGACACGGATGCCAACGCCATCCTGTTGGAATCCTTCTACACTGGCCTTGCATTAGTGTTGCCTGAGAGTTCGCAGCGGACTTTATGAAAAAAAAAAAAAAACCGAAAAGTCTCGAATGTTCGGGCCTAAACTCGACAAGCTGATATTTCTGAGACTTGTATTTGTATACAGAGTCGTGGCGATATGCTTTCCTTCCGACACGCAAACATACCCAATACCATCATCATCATCATCATCATTATTTTTCGCACCAGGGCGTCGTTCGTGGCACAATGGAGTCTGGAGCAGGGAGCCTGGAAGATAACTGGGCCCAGGCTTCAGCAACAAATCTGTCGTTAACAAGGACCATTCACATGTCATCCAGGCTCCTAGGTATTGTGATCTGGATTAGTACGCGTGAGTCCCGCTACCAAAGTTTGGGGGCATGTGCGCGTACTAAGTATTAGGTCCTCATCCGCGCGCCATGGGAGTCGGATGCAATCGATTCCTCAAAGCCCTGATCTAGGGCGTCCAGAATAAAAACAGTATGCAGAGGCCCTCGCACTATAAGTGGAGGAAGACGACAATAATGACGAGGCGTGCGGCTGCAATGTCACAAAGTAAAGAAACATCACGCATCACGCGCCAGCAATTGCAACCAACTCCTCTCGCGATGCGTTATCTACTTTTCCCGCAACAACATCTTGCACGGCATCGGTGACCTCGCTTCTTCATAGGGTCACCACCATGGAGAACTTTTTTGAATTCTATCTACATTGCCGCAAAACTCTCCTTGTCGGATTGTGTCTCAAGATATGTCACAGTTCCCACTCAAGCACAAGAAGGAAAGAACCGAACAATTGCTTCCTCCCTCATCTGGCCGTGAAAAACTTGGTGAAATACCTGGGTGTCTTCAAGTCTGGACCTCCCAACTTTCCTTTCAAAGGAGCGACTAAGCACCCAACCCCCCCACCCGAAAAAGAAGAACACAAACGCATTCGTACCAACTAAACTCTTCTTGATGAGGTCTCTCTAGCAGATTATGAACCAGTCGTGCAATGCTTGTTCAAACGTAATATCCCTCGGACGCCGTGCACAGTAACGATGCCAGTTCCCGCCCGGAATGCCGTGCCGTGAATGCTGAATGAAATAGAAGAATGATGAGTCCAATGCAAACCAATGAGATCGAGATAGAGAGAGGATCTGGGCCCAACATGGCTCCAGCAGGTCCTCATTCAGCGGATCTACTTAGGCTTCCGAAGGAATGGATCTGCTGGGCCTTTTTTCCTTTTCCTCCTCCCACTCTTATCGTTTCTCGACGAACCACCGCCCTATATCGGGATGTTTAGCATACACGGACTCAGACAGATCAGGAAGCAGTCTTGTACTTACCTCTGACGATGTGCCGGGCGACGGCCCACTGGGCTGTGGACCTGGCGGTCCATGCATCGGACGTGATGGTTGCGAAAGCAAGTGTGAAGGAGGTGGGGGAGGCCTTGAAGGAGGGACAAGTCCCAACACCTCCATGGCAGACGGATCCACGGCTTTTTGTGGTAAAGATTTTGGTCTCGGGGGGGGTCTCGAAGGGGGGGCCAACGTGTTGGGAACCCTTGTGCCAGCTTGGTTTCTCCCTCCCGTCATGCTCGGTTGTTTGGACATCGACGATGGAGGCCCTCTGGCCTGTTCAAGGATGGCGAGATCATTGAAACCCATTGCAAGTGCCTGTGAAAACGAAAAGGCGCATGTTAGCATCTAACTATAATTGGTCTGACCTCAGCCTCTGGTGGAGGGAGCGATGACGGACAGTAACTCAAAGGCAGGCAGATGGTTGTGTGTGGGAGGGGGGGGGGAGTGGTTATGACCTACTGGACGCTTGGGTGGGGGAGGGTCGACGCCTGCACCCTCCAGACCCCTCTTCCTATGGGAGTCTCCAATCTGAGGGGGCCCCATACCCCTCGGCACTGTGTCGACAACCTCGCCCTTCTCGTTGTACCCACCAATGGAGCGTAGTGGTGGCGCAGCAGCCCTGGATGACAGCGGATCCGAAGTGAGTGTTTGTTGCGGTATCGCAGATGCGTCTGTCATCTCCACGTCCGACGGCTTCCTGTTGCTGAAGCCGTTCGACGCGGTCGTCGCCGATGCCCTCTCGGTGGGTTTTCGGAGGAGAGCCAACACGTCGCCACTGGTGTAGCGCTGGCGGAATCTCGCATCCTCGATGAGCTTATTCCAGAACTCGCCCTGTCTCAGGGCTCTAGAATCACCCAAAATCCAGAGAGAGGACTTAGCACGCGTGAGACCGACGTTCATACGCCTGATATCGGTCATGAAACCGATACCGCCAGTGGCACTGGCCCGCACGCAAGAGAAGATGATGATCTCGCATTCCCGGCCCTGAAATGCATCGGTCGTGTTGAATTCGATCTGCTCAAAAATCTTTTCGCCCCAGCGCTTCACAAAAATCTCTCGCAGTGCGAATAGCTGAGCCTTGTAAGGGGTGATGATGCCAACCTTGCCTGTCAGCTCAACATCGCGGTAGTCCTCACGAAAGCGATGATAAAGTTGCACGGCAACATTGAGTTCCTTCGTATTGACAAGAGACTGCCCCTTCCGACCCTTCTCTTGAATACCCTGCACATCGAAGAAGTGATATGGGCCAAGCAGTCTGCTTTCGTGCCAAGGCTGGCGACGAAGGCTGCCCATGCTATCACCATCGTACAGCCGTCCCTCGTAGAACTCTTTACTCGGGAACATGCTGATCTCCGGATGCATACGGTATTGTGTGTCTAGCATGTGAACATGCTGCGGGTGGTTTCGTTGCATGCGGACGAACAAACTTTGGTCGTATCCAAACCGCGCTGCAGATTGGGAGAGGACTGTAGGCGGCAGCTGTTTTGGATCACCAACGAGAATACATTTGGTGCAGCCATACTTGAGCGGAATGAGTGCAGAGAGCTCCACGCACTGAGCGGCCTCATCGATGATAACAGTCTCGAACTCGACAGCCAGATTCTTGAACATTTCGTGGCCGCTACCGCTGAGCGTTGCGCAGAGAACTTGGGCCTCGTCCAGTATCTTCTGCTGGATCCGTCTTCGCCTGACATCACTCTCACGAACGTAGCTGTTGCCGCTGTCCTTGAGTGCGTCGATCTTGGCGCCGATTTGGCTCTGCCGCTGCTTCAACATATCAAATTGTCGCTTTAGATCGTTCTGCAGGGCCCTGTTGGTCCCGCAAGTAGCGGCTTCCAGCCTCGGGCGAAGGTCATTTAATTGGGTCTTGATCTCGCCAGCCTGCTGGTGCAGCGTCTCACGATCACTAGCCCCCGGACCACTCTTGTTGGCGTCATTCTCCATGGCTGCCTTGACGAGCTCATCGAGTGTCACGTCCTTGACCAGGGTATTGATAGCGTCAGACCGTCCCAGTCGGAGGACATTGATCTTGTGCTGCGCGCCATTAAGTGTTGTCACGCCTTGCTTGAGCCGCAGAACGAGTTCGTCAACAGCAGCGTTACTGGGCGCACAGACCAGAAGCTTCTTCACCGGGGGCGGCTGGTGTGTTTGCGCGCCAAGGCCCGCTGGTCGCGCAGCAGGCTTCATACCAATGTGCCCAGTGAGCAGGGCCCCAACCATGGCAACGATGGTCTTCGTCTTGCCTGTACCTGGTGGGCCTTGAATGAGTGTAAAGCCATCGTTATCTTTGGCATTCATAATAGCCTTTGCTTGACCAGGGTTCAGGGAGTAGTTCCTCATGATCTCATCGGTCGCTTCCTCGCCATACGTCAAGAGAGGAGACGGCTTGGCCCCCAGTACTTCGTCTAGGAGGTCGAAGTATTGCAAGCTCTCGAGAGCTGCGTACTCACGCTCGATGGTCGTCATGTTGGTGATCTTGATGGCATTAAAGTCCTGACCTGGGTTCAGCATGGATAGTATAGCGTTGTTCCTGCTGCTCAGTCGATATGCCACTTCCAGATTATCACCCTTAAATCTTGTCTTTGAGATCCGAGCAAGACAGTGCGGGACATCCTTTCTATTGAGGGGGTCTTCCGATTTTGAGATGATGATGATGTCGCCTTCGGCCAAGAATCGATCTTTGTTTTCCTTGGCTGGCATCAGAGTCGTGACCTCAAGGAATTTGTCAACCGACATGCGATTCACAATACGAATACCGAATGGTTTTGTCGTTGTCTCATCTTTGGCAGTGACAAAAGACCGCCACGCCTCAGAGAGCAGCAGCCCAAAGAAAGTGGCCTTGTAGTCGCGGTGAGTCATATACGTGTTTGACACTTCGACACAAGCGTTGTCGTTGGGAGGGTCGTTTCCTTCGTGAAAAATATCCCACTCTAGGATGGCCTGGTGGAGGACTTCCATCGGAGGGATCAGCCGAGCCCGCATGTCCTTGGCAGAGCGTTTGAGCTTCTCCTTCTTGAGAGGGCCCATCTTCTTGGCCGCCAACTCGAGGGCGCGTTTTCGGGCCTCGGGATCAAGCTTTGATTTCCCAGATACCACAGCCTCGTCGCCTGAGGACTCGTCCTCCTCCTCCGAGCTGTCGACCATCATGTCGCTCTTTTGTTGAGGTGCGTGGTCTTTTCCTAAGATTCCAGTCACCCCTCTCAAGCCGGAACCCTCGACAGGCGCAGTACGGATAGCTTGGGCCTGAGCGATCGCTGCAGCATCACGGGCTGCCTTCTCAGCCTTGGCCTTTTTCCTCATCTCAACAAAACTAGCTGCATCGAGGCGGGTGGGCTCTGGTCTCAACAGCTTCGGCTTTGGCTTCTCCTTCGCCAGCCGTAGGTTCTCTAGCTTATTGGTGGTGGGCTTGATATCGCGACCTGTGGACGCTGGCGTTGAAGAGCCCGAGCGAGATAGAGGTGTGGAGGCTCCAGATTTAGACCATGCATCTAGGCTGCTCTGCTTCATAGGTTTCTCTATGACCTTGATCACCTCAGGAATGTCGTCATCATCCTCCTGCTCCTCTTCCCTGAGAGCCTTCAAAAGCTCTGCTCGCTGTGATCCGGTCATGTTTGTGATGACGCCGTATCTGCCGTCTTTTCCCATAATGCAGGATTTGCGTATCAGAAAGGCGGTCTTCTCTTCGACTGCCAGGTCGAACTCAGCAAGACGATTGAGCAACTTGACCAATGTCTGCACAGTAATGTCCAATAGGTAAGGGTCACGCAGCTTGACCATATCCGCCATGCCGACGGTGTTCATGCGCGGCTGTTCGAGGACAGCTTTCAGTGCCTCCCTCTCAGACATCTGGCCCCTTAACGCAGACGCAACGACGCCATCCTGCGCCAAAAGGGACTGGGATAGTTCCATCGTCTTCCGGCAAAAGACCTCCAGGATTTGCTTCTCCATATCCAATGACCAGAGCCGCAGATGCCCGAAAGAGTGTGCGATCATCTTCCACTGCGTCGTCCACCATGACGTGACTGCAGCATGTTCGATGCCCGAAAGCGTCTTCGATCTCAACAGGCCTGAGGTATCGCACAGGGCAGTGACAAGATCCTGACTGCAAGTGAGAATATGCGGCATTGGTGCGTAAGGAGCCATCGACTCATTATCGTAACTGATGTGCCGCACGACATCAGAGAAGGTGGACAAGAAGTGTTGGAAATTATCCTGGACCATCTGAGCAACGGCCTCGGAACGGCTGATCTCGCCCGTGAGTGTCTTGATCAAGGAGACGCCAGAGTCGCGGATCAAGGCTTCACTATGCAAGAGCGATGCCACGATGGTATACATCATACCACTCTGAGGATCGCTGCAGAGTCTGTCAAGGTCGGACATGGTGAAGCCGCTGAGGCGTTCGATCATACGACTGATCATCTGCGAGGTGTTCCCAATGTCCGTGTTGAAACGTAACTTGTCAGGGTCCTTGAGCTGCTCGCGCTTTGGCGGAGGGAAACGACCAACGCCGCTGAGGGGATGGACCGCAATCATCATAGACCTTGCCAGGTCCAATGTGCCTTCGCGTCCAGGCCAAAAGATCTCAAGAAAGCCCTCCCACAATTGAGCTGAATTCCTGGGGACGGTGCGCGGTATCTTGTTGTTCCCTCGCATCAAGGTCATCCACTCTGTGCGGGTTGTCTTGGCGTCGAGGAGCAGGGCGACTTTGATGACCTCGACGGCCGTCTTTGACAGCCCAAGGTTGTACCTGTCGTCCTTGCGTATCTCGGCAGCCGGGTTGATAACCTGCCTGGTGTACTTGACGACGAGGTTGATGAGAAGATTGATGTACGTAACAGATGAGTTCAGACGGATTTTAGCCGCGCTGTTATTAAACACGTTCAAAGCTGTATGCAGCGCGTACAGGCCCGCGATGGTCCGAGTCATCTGACCTTCTATGGCGAGGCGCGGGTCAGGACGGGAGGGAAACAAGTGGTCTGTCAGCGACTGGCACGTATCAGGCAGTTCGTGCTCCTGAAGAGACTGGAGCAGGGTTCTGACCCAGATTGCAAGGAACGGAACGCGATCCTCCCCATCATGCACAAGTCTACCATACTCAAGTGATGATTCGAGGAGCCGAGGGAAAGCTGCGTTGGAGAAGACGAACTGTGCCAGCTGGGCACGTGGCAGGTCTTGTAATGCTCCCCAGAAAGCCTTGGAAGACTTTTGCATGAGCGCGGAGATGGTCTGGAGCACCAGCAGGAGGATCTCGTCGGAACTACAGAGCTGCAAGTGCTGGAGGATGAGGTGATAGACATCCGTCTGAATCTCCATGCCACGGAGGCAATGAAGAATGATGTCTTCACTCATCGCGTTGAGAATGAGTTGGAACCCCTCCCAGAAGAGTTGAAGCTGCGCTTCGGAGGCGCGCAGCGTGGTGCCAGACTCATCCACTAGACTTACCTCCCGAATGGCAGCTGCGAGGTATTCATTTACCGCCCACTCGAACTCATCGGTGGTCATTGAATCTGGCGGGACCGCCTCCCATGCAAGTTTTGCAAATTTCAGACGATACAGGTCCTCCTCGAACAAAAAGAAGGTCATGGTCGGTAACAGCTTGGGCCCCAGTCTCAGTGGCTTTCGCAACTGCACGCCCTGAAACACCTGGTTGAAGTACCGCTGTCGGTTTGCCGGCTCTGCAACGTAGGGCATGCAACACATGGCCTCGAACAGGCCTAAGATGGCAGACCCATCATGCTGCGCCAGCTTCGCAGGGCTCATAGGACCGCCATTAGCTTCAAAGATGTCATATGCTTTTCTTAGTCCACGATCGATGCGAGCCTTGTCAAACTGGCGGAGTTTCTGCTCCATGATATCGTCGATGCCATCTTCAAAGGACCTGGACAACAGGATTGCATGTCAGTACGTGTCCTGCCCGTCACAGCGATCGACCGGCAGGTGTGGGGGCGAGACCTACTCTCGTAGCTTTTTCAAGAAGACCCTTCGGTGCATGTGATATCCCAGAATGCAGCCATCGCAGCGCGTGAGGAAGGACTCGACCCTCTCCGTCCAGTGGTCGAGCCATCCACCTGACTGTTCTTTCGATATGCCCAACAGGAGAGAGAGGTCATAGGTGAGCTCCTTACGGAGCTTTGCATCTTTGATCCTCTGCTCCTTCTCAATAGCCGTGATACCCGACGTGGGAGGGCCATTGCTCTGGTAGTCCTCGTCATCTGCGTCATTGACCTTGGGACAGAGGAGGTGGGCATCCTCTGGTAGATCATCCCACTCCGCATAGGAGCTCTGGATGCCTGCGTATATCCTACTTGTGCCCTCGTCCATTTTCCCAGATCTGTATTCGCATCGTCAAGGCAAGGATGGGGAAGGGGGGTTGGAGGGCTTCGCAGGTTCGTGGCGCAGGTGATGAGGAGGAGACCGAGGGCGTCGTGGAAATTGTATCGGAGTGGCAGTGGCGATTCTTGAATAAGGGCAGCCGAAACAGGACGCCTGAAAAGGAAGTTCAGGAGTCCTCAACAATAGACTCTGGTTTTTAGATGACCTGCATAGGGTGACGGTCGGGCTTCAGCGCAAGAAGAGCGGCGGCGATTGGACTGGCTTGGCTTGTAACGACTTGAAAGAAGGGTCAAAGAATTACCAGACGCTAGCCTCAGCACGAATTTTAGAAGGCTCACTCGTAACAGATGAGGAAATAGAAAGGAGAGAAGGGGGGAGGGAAAAGGAAGAAGGAAGAAGGAACCGATGTTCAGATGGTTGTTGTCGAAGCGCAAAAGGCCAATCCAAGGTCGGCGCTGATATGAACCACATGAAAATTCCCAAGGATGAGGAAGTCGCGTTTGCATACTGCGTTCGCGTCGCTTTACCAATTTAGCATCCTAGCAACACCTGCAGCCTGCTTTCTAGAGTGTGGGGCGCTGTGAAGAGCAAAGCTTCACAGGCTTGCTGGGTAGTGGCTTAGTAAGCTAGCCGCTGCTGTGTTTGTAGTGTTTCTTTGGCGCACCCTCCGGTGCCCTCCTACCAGATAGCGTAGAGGTACTACACCAGGACCCTGAACTATTACGCTACCCTGCAGCAGACCAAGCAATTAAGAATACGTCAACCCGTATACCTTACATCTTGCTGGGCACACTGGCAATATACAATAATGCCTCTCGTAATGGCTTCTGTTGAAAATGATGCGTGCTCTGCTGGAAGACGTTTGTAGCTTGGTCATTACCACCTTGCACTGGGATCTCCTGGATGCAAACACTGTCTATTCATTAGCCATGCTGACCATAGCTTGCCAGTGGACCTGTAGAGATTCACTGTTAACAAAAAGAGAGACTACGAACTTGATATACTATCAAATATGGCCACCGAGAGTTGCGTTTGGTGGCAATACACAAATAAATCATATACTGCCCCTAACGGCTTTGACATTTCTCGTTGCACTGAGAGAGATTATCCCTCGTAAGTCTAGACTATTGTCATAGAGAAAATGTTTGTGTTCCCAGGCGGGGACAAAGAAAAAACAAGGTTGCAAGTCGGGAAAAACAGCGATCGAGATGTGTATACTTTGTCTTGGTGTCCGCCCAGAACCTCTGTCCGGCACTGCCCTCTCTTATTTCTACTTCGATGTTATTTCTAACTTTCCTTGTAGCTACTTATTTATCTGACCATCCTGTCCTGTATCCTTTTCCATTAGTTCTTTTCTAAATCCTGTTTCTGCTAATTTTGAATTTCTGCTGAGGACCAAAGCAAGGTTTGGGCTCAGGCTGGCCACGAGGTTAACCTACAATGACTACACCTCTTCTCGCTACATCTTCTTACATATCTCTGCAAGCCGGCAATCCCACAAACAATTGCTTGAGTCTGGCTCTTCTCATCAAAGAGTTGATCGTGTGAGCACGGAAATGCAGGACATAATGCACATGTCAATGCTCACGCACCTTGCACACTCTTTGAGCTCTCTGTAGAAACCATACGATTAAATCACAGGGTACTGACACATTTTTGTGAAAGCTGCTCTGCCATACATCAAGGTAATACTGGAATTCAGTGCTGCTGTGGTTCTGTGGGTAGGAAGTGTGCCAACCATCCATGGGTCACGATGGTAGAGGAGAAGTCCTCATCAAGACCACTGATGACAGTGAGGAAAGCAGTGAGTCAATGCGCTTTTGAAGCGACGAGCGAGCATGATGGTTGCCTGTGCTTAAGTAGACAGGCCTGCAGCACAAGTTTGCTGCCACTACAGAACAACACCATTACCAGCAGACCAAGCCGTGGTGCTAAGGCATCAAGCTGTCCCATAGAAGATCAAGCGCCTTCCTGGGCTGCATTATTCTCCTGGTGTACAATCTCTCAAGGTGTAACGTCCTCCTGGTCAATCTGTTCTAGGCTGTTTTTTCTTTCTAGTCCATATTGTTCTTTCAGTCTGCACTGTACTTCCAGGCCACATCTCCAAGCCCATACCCAGTCTGTATTGTTTCCATAGGCTGCATCAGCTTCCTAGTTCCCATCTACTAGGCCTCAACATTTTCTCTAGTTGACATGTCCTAGAGTGAACTGACCTTCTATTTTACACTTCCCAGACTGCATGTTCTGCAGCTGTGCTGGGATCACCTAGTTATTACCTAAGCTGCACCGTCCTTCTCGTCTCGTTCTCATATATTGTGTGGTTATCCTGGACATCTGCATCATCTCTCTAGTGAACATGCTCTAGGTGCATTGCCTTCTAGCTTATTGTCTCACAAGCCAATTGTTGTCGTTAAGAAGCTTGTCATCTGTTCTGAGAAAGACCAAGCATCTTGACCAGGCAATCAAGTGTCATAACCACATAGCCAAGCTGAATTGACACATGCTAGAAGACCAACGGTCCTCAATAGAAGACATAGGCTGTCTCATCAGGACACCAAGGCCTTTTCCAGACCTAGGACCTTCACTAGAATATCAAGTGTCTACGTCAAAGGTCCATGTGGTTTCTCTATGACGCCAAACTCTCCCCCAGAAAGATCTAACATCCTCCTTAAGAGGCCTGGTCCTCCTCAATGGCGTGGATCTCCTATCTGAAGACCTGGCACACTGACTATGCAACCAAGTGCCTTCGCCAAAAGACCTGACACTTTTGCCTCAAGACCTAGCACATTGACTGTGCAACCAAGCGTCTTCGCAACATGGTGACCCGTTCTTTATCAATTGTATGTTGTAATTCTTTTTTACGCTAGTCAGCTATGCTTCACGGTGTGTAACAAGGCTTTTAAAGTCGCCTCATCCTCTCCGCTTCCCCTCCTCTTCTCCTCCTCCAAAACTGACATATTTGCCAGGCCGACCAGGAGAATGATCATTCTGCCGGATGATGTCTCACAGCTTAGTTACGTCCTCCTACCGGTTCATCCTGAGCGCAGAGATCTCGACGGTCCCGAGTTGCGTTTCCAGCTGCACCTCATACTCGACGGAATCATCCGAGGGGAACGTTCGTCTCACCAGTCTCCCAGGCACTCCCTGTCCCTTCTCAAGTGAGTCCTCCATGCTACTACTGACACTGCTCAGGTTGCTCGTGCCCGGCCAGCTATCTGACGTGCCCCGCCCGCCATCTGCCAGCCCGCCGTCGGTACCACTGCTGCCTCTTTCTCTACCACCGCTTCCGCTTCCGCTTCCGCTTCCGCTCCCGCTGCCATTCCTAACCACACGCCGCCCTCGCTCCGAAGGTTCACCTTCCTTCAAGACGGCACCGCCGTTACCACCAGTACCATTACCACCCTTCTCACCACTACCACCCTGGCCCCCTGGAGATGGAGCCACGAGCATGCCGCCGCTCCGCAGGCCAGTGACGCGAGCGTTGCTGAGGGCCAGGAGGCCGGCGCTGGCGAGAAGGAGCATGAGCAGGACCAGGTTCCCAGCCTGCGTGGCGTTCTCGCTGACGGAGGCGACCAGGTAAACGAGCAGCTTGGCGGCGGCCTCGAGGTAGCCCTCGGCGTGCGTCTTGGGCCGAAGCCAGACGGTGGTGGTCAGGGCGTAGAGGTCCACGTCTAGGCCGCGCAAGATCACAGCGGTGGTGGGATTCAGCGTGATGGTGTACTGGGTAGGCCTGGGCGGAGGAAGGGGTTGCATGCTGGTGGCTGGGGGTTGCGTGAACGGAGGCGGCAGGCCTACGGGCTTGGGCCGCGAACGGGCTTTAATAACGGCGATGTTCAGGATGCGAGATAACATCAGCGCGAGGATCAGGCCCAGCGCCCACCCTGTGTGAATCGCATGAGCTGGGAAATCTTTTGAGGCGAAAGGGGGGGGGGAGGGGGGTCGGGAATTATTGCACTCACAGTCCGCTAGCAAGACCACAAACACGATGGCTACACATGTCAGCGCAGGGCTGGCTAGGTACAGCAGCTGGGCCGCCCAGGTCAGCTCCTGTGCCACCGGCTCCTCGACGCCACGACCGCTGTATACCATCCCCCTCTGACCGCGTCCCCCATCCCTCCTTCGGGCTGCCCAGCTCCGCGACCGCACTGGGATCTCGCCGACGTCCAGAACCACCGTCTTCCCCTCCTGGGCCGCTTGCAGGATGTAGTTCACCACTGCCCTGTTCACGATGGTATGGGTGACAACCTTACCATCCACACCGACCTCCGCGGCAATGAGCTGTGCGGCGCCCTCGGCACGGGCAAGTTCGTCTGCAGCCTGCTGATAGTGGAGCCCCGGGACGAGCAGCAGGCTGTCTAGCCAGGACGAACCGCCACGGAGAGCGGTGCGCTGCGCGACGGTGCTGAGATCTGCGAGGACGAGGAGGCCAGCGGCGGACAAGGTGAAGTTGGGGATGGGCGTAGAGGTCCAGCCTTGGATGAGGGGCCGACTGGACACGGTGATAGGAACGTCGCTCATGCTGCTAGTGGTGGTCGTCGTAGGAAGAGGAAGATCATTCCGGTGAGTCCACTCTGAGAGGTAGGCCGTGAGACTGCGAGACCCAGGGCTGGAGGGAGGGACCCTATGGCCGGTCTCGAGCAGCAAGGCTGCGGCGTGGCTGCCCTAAAAAGAGGGAGCCGAACTTGGAAGACGTAAAGTTACACAGATTGGCGTTGCTGTTGTGACGTCTTGAGCCACCAGCAGGAGGAGAACAGCTTAGCAGCCATCCGAACGGGAGGCTCCGTCTATCGACGAGTGAGATGATGTAGGAGAGAGCCGGATGGGGCGTCTCAGATGTCCCGAGGTGTGGCAGCCTGATCTGGATATCATCTCAAAGTAGGGTAAGTACCAAAGCACCAAGGCAGGGAGGGTGTCAGATTGCCCAGTGGCAAATCAGACGAGTAGTATTTGGGCACATGATGAGCATGGGGGCGGGGGGGGGGGAGGGAGGGTCCCAGCATAGCTCAAGGGACAGCCTGACATTCTGGATGTCTACTGTAACAGCTGAATTTGTATTGATGTGGCGGAGATCATTTGGAAGAAAGTGGGTGTTGAGTCCCTGTCATGGTGTGTGAAACATAGTATCATTCATCCTGGCAAAGTAAATATGACGAGTGACCATGATGCATACCATGTACATAGTATGATAATACCATAGTACACGCTGGGCTAGAATATCCCCGCAATTTCAGGAGGATGTCCAGATAGAGTTGACTGGTGACTGGCCGGGAGGAGGAAGGAGCAAGAGGAGGGGTACCTGTCAGGGGTCCAACCCTGTCTCCCCCACCTCCAAGGCCATATGCTTATGTCAGCCAGACTTTCCTCTGGTCAACTCTTCAACGACAGAAACAAAATTATGACCATCGTCGTCATTACCACAACAAATCCAACCAACCCAACCCTGCTCTGTCAGGTTTCACAAAGGAAGAAGGAAAGAGAAGAAAGGGGGAACCGAGAGGGGGAAGACAGAGAAAAAGGGAAAAAGAAAAAGAAGAAGACTTGCCCAACACATGCAGGACCAACAACACCCAGAACCAATGCGACTCAAGATGCCCTGAACGATGCACCTCGTGACCATACCACTGCTACGAACGAGCGCCAAGATCACCATGCAATAAACAGGACATAGAAGATCGACAACTTCTCGCCCCATCAGCCAGAGCAACGACAACAAGTCCTCTCTCACTCTCTTCAGCATGCGTTCCCGCCTCGTACGTCGCCTGCTGCCCCGGCAGCTCGAAGCTCCCGCCCCAGTCGACACATCTATCCGCACCTTCACGCACAACACGGCGACCCCATCCTTCTCCGCTGGCCGACCACAACTCCCTTTCCTCTCGATACCCTCCAGTCGCCAGCGCTTCCAGCGCCAACAGTGGCGCTACCTCACAACCGAGCGCAAGGCTTGGATTCGGCGTGAGGTCGGCCTCGCGGTCAAGTGGACCGCCTATCTGTGGGCCCTGGCCTTTTGTGTTCTCGGCGCCGGCTATGCCATCCAGCAGGAGTTCCTGGAGCGCCGCTTCCCCACGCCGCACGAGTGGTCCTTCATAACGCGCATGTTGAAGCGGGGCGCCGAGGCCGAGAAGGCCAAGACCAATATTGTCGTCGCTGACTGGGTCAGGATCGTGCAGATGCTGCGCGACGCACTCGCCCGCCTCGAAGATCCTGCCGGCGACGGCCGTGGCCTAACGGACCTGAGCGGCCGCCCTGGCACGCCGCCCGGCTCCAAGGACATATCTGCCATGCCTGAGGCGTGGAGGAGGGGCTACTACGAGGCGCTGATGCTGTACTGCCAGGCATCGGAGCGCGTGGACGGCTGGGTTCTCGACAAGACGAGAGGCATTGCCTTCCCGCCCGACGTCGTCCGTGGCCCATCTAACCCCTTCCCGAAGCCCATCCCGCCGGGGGCCACCTCTGCGCCGCGCGAGGAGGACTGCGTGCCGGCTGGGTTTCCAGTCCCAGACGAAGTGTATCTGAAGCTCATCGCGACCGAAGGGCTGACCACCAGGCAGCGCATAGACGCTGTGCTGTCGTACGCGAATTGGCTCGAGTACAAGGGCGCAGTCGGCCCGGCGGCGGTCATGTACGAAGACGCGGTGCAGATGGCGGCGGAGGAGATCCACACACCGGGCGCACCGCCGCTGCTCGACACGGACACAGCGGTGCTAAGCGCCAAGCCAGCGCGCCAGCCCTCTGCCAACCTCCTCGCAGCCCTCACCGCTCTAGCAACATTCAAGGCGCGCACCGGGCCCGCACCTGACGCCTTACCCATCCTCACTTCCTTGCTCCAGGCCCGGCGGTCTCTACCTGCCACTGCGACGACGTCTCCTGTCCCCGAAGGCGACACCACCTTCCTTGACCACAGGGGCCCCATTCAGAGAACCCTGGACATCTTCCGCCCGCCGGCCTATCCGCCTCCACCCCCAGATGGGTCAGCGCCCCCCACACGTGACAGCAGGGAGCTTTGTGAGGAGGCCGCTCTGCACCTGCACATCGGCGAGATCATGTACACCCTCCAGGCCTCCACGCGCGAAGATGGGCTCGCCTGGACCAGAGAGGGTGTCGACCTCGCCGAGGAGGAGCTCCACAGAGTCCTCAGCCAGGGCGCCGCTACCGGCGATGCCGCCGCCAGAAAGACGTGTAGGGAGTGCCTGGCGTCTGGCTTGGGCAATTGGGCAACAATGGTAAGGCGAATGGCCAGTATGGAGGAAGAGGCTGCGAGGGCCAGCGGGACCAAGTCGACTGCGGGGTGGTTTGGCTTGTGGTCGGTGAGCAAGGCAAGTCAGGAGGAGCAGGAAGGGGGTAGATGGGCCGCCGAGGAGAAGGTCGTTAGCGAGAGGACGAGGAGGGCACAAGATATTTTAGAGGATTTGGAAAAACCACGTGCTGGCTTGATGTCTGGACTTGTCAAGGCATAAAGATATTATCACCATCAGAGCAAGTCACAACACCCTAAGGGCGCTCTCTTTCTTTGTTCACAAGCAAGGATAGTATGAAAGGAAGGGATGAACCCCCACTAAAACAGAAACTCAAGTGGCAGAAATATCATAAAATTTGCCGTACCACTTGACACAAACCCCTTGTCTTCGCCTTACTTGCTACTGGTGAAGATCTGCTCAGACAGACTCGGGTCCCTGAAATTCCGCGCAATTTGCTTTATCGAACCATCTAGCCCATCATTCCTAGAACCTCCTATTTGCATGAATGCCTTAAGAGAGCATCCGAGAGCCACCAGCGCACCAAGGGTAAGCGAGACGTTTTGACGCCCGTAGCAAGAAAGATAAAGAAAGGGGGAGGGGCAAATGGACACAAAGGCTCAGCGTTGTTATGGACAATCTCCATCGCTCACCAGGGTCTTGAGAGCAGACGAGGACCAGTTTGACGAAGCAAAAGAAGAAAAGGTGTGTATATACACACCACATGTGGCTTGCCATCCTGTTCAAGGACGAGAGGCTCACTCAGATACCATCTTTCTGGGCCCGACCTCCTCGTCGTTGCCCTCGTGTCCTGTGCGCCGCTCCCACTCCTCGCGGCTGATGACCTCCAAACCATCGTCATCATCTACTCCAACCTTGTGTATTCCACTGGAATTTCTCGGGGGAACGTTCGGGTGAGCACGGGGTTTCTGGCCGGTCGGGGGAAGGAAACACGCCGGATCGTCGTGGGTCCACTGATTGGTTGGCTTGTACTTCTCGTCCTTGTACGTGACTTTCATGGCCGGATGGACGTAATCTCGACCGGCCTTGCGGACCTCTTCCATCCACTGGAGGATGTGAGTCTTGGCCTTGATTAAGGTGAGCTCGCTGTAGTAGGGTTCACCTGAGGAGAGGACGGCACAGCCGTAGTTGGTGTACGTGATTGTGTCGGGGTTGCCGTTGCTGTTGGCAATGGGCGTGCCCGCCGTTTCGCCGCAGACAATGTACATGCGAGCTTTCTAAATTGGAAGGATCAGCCTCGAGGAGTCTGATAGCTGAAGCATCAGGAAGGGAAACAGGTAAAGGGGAACAAGAAGGGAAAAAACCAAAAAGAGACGCAAGGAGCGTGAATGATCAGTCACGCTACCTACCTCGCGGAGGAATTTTGCGAAATTCTCGTTCCTGAATTCGTCTTCACCCATACCGAGCGCCAGAAGCGCCAGGCACCCGATGCGTCCAGCCCAGCGGTCCCAGTTCTCATCCAAGTACTTCTGCACAGCGACAGCAGCGTCCGAAACAGCGAGGACCTCCAAAGTCGCACCCCCGTCCACGAACTCTGGGTTGCTGAGAACGGTCTCGAACACGCACTCGATGTGTGCGTCTACATCTGTGTTGCAAGGGATGTCATTGACCTCGGGGTTATAAAAGATACCCTTGTGCGCTGCGCTTCTCATCTTGACGCCCATGCTTTGACGGTAGGACAGCGCCCGCCCGCCCTCAGGCCACCACCAGTTCTCGCCCGGGTTGGCCAGCACGATGCCCAAAGACGACTCTCCCTTCTCACCATCTGCTTCTCCTCCCTGCGCCTGCAAGATCTTAATGACTGAGACCATGCTGCCTGCATCAACGCCGCCCGCTCCGCCGATAACCCTGTGCGCAATGACGCCGAGATCCTGCTCACGCTCGCCGAAGATGACGACGATGCGCTTCTTGGTTTGGAGCTTGGACGAGAGGAAGATGGGTACGTGAGGACTCTCGACGGGGATGGTGGAGAGTGGGAGGCGCAGCTTGTTGAGGCCCAGAACGACTAGGCGCTCCTGGATGATATCGGCGACCGCGAGGTCGAAGGCAAAGCGCTGGCGATCGTTGATGCGCATGTTTTTGTTAAGGAAGAAGTCAAAGTAGAACCTAGGGTTGGCGATGGAGCGGATTTCGTCTTTCTCATTGATAAAGTAGCTGCAGCATATCTTAGCCACAATGGGGGGCCTTGGCTTGCTGAGGAGGAGGGGCCAAAGGTCTTCTGGATAGGGGGGAAATTGGGATTCAAGGGGAGGTGCCAAGAGTTGTCCAGACTTACCCAAGCTTTTTCAGGTCAGCTGGGAACTCAGGGTCCTCAGGCAGACCTGACCAGCGTCTTCGAAACATTTTGGCAATCGTTGGTATTGAGGTGGATTCGTGATGAGTTGGAGTCAGGTTTGGGAGAGACAAGGAAAGTGTAGAAGAGGTAGAGACTTTGATTCAACTGGATCTCTAAGGAGGGTAATGGCCTGGTTTAAATGATGTCTTTTGGTCTGTGGAAGGGGGTAGACGGAAATAGTGAGAGAAGAGGAGAAAAGCAGTCAAAAGGCGGGATCATTGATTGATGGGGATGCATCGAAAGAGCTTGTGACAGGGTATAGGAAGGAACGTTCCAAGTGCAGATTGATGACGCTATCAGATAGGATGAAGTTTGGGCATAGGAACAATCCATTGATTGAGAAGTTTGGTGAGGGAAACTTGTGATGTGTTGGTACGTCTGGAGCCGTATCTGGCATGCACACAGAGCAAGGAACAGCAGCTGCTTGATCTCAGGAAAAACAGCCCTTCAATCTTGGACAAATCACCAGCTCGAGCAAGGGTGAGAGAAATTGTCTTTGAGATTTTTGTCCCTTCGGGTTTTTTCTTTCTTTCGGTGGTATCAAACATAGCTCCCTTCTCCATGCAGACTTTGCACATAAGTCTTGGGACACTTTGGAGGGCTAACCTTGACCTCCACTGTGTCCCTGCTGCTGTTTTGTATCCCTCCTGCTGCGCTCTAGCCATATCTAGCCCAATTTTGTGAGGTCCACCAGAGAACCTTATAAGAACCAATGTTGATGATATCGACGGCTGTCTTTGAGAGGCAACACCATGCTCTGGCGGTTCCTTGCATGCGCTTCCCCAGCGCACGCTTACCAACTCGCCTTCTGGACACCAGGCAGAGACCCTGCGATGGCCTGCAGCCGGAAATTGTACTGTACCAAAAATCGTCAGCACAAAAAGCTTCGCAGGTCGTCGGTGCGACACTAGAGACTGAGTCTCGTCCCTTTTCCCGTCTTGCCAGGAACGGTTCGCGCAAAGAATCGACAAGCACACTACTGTAAAAGGGAAGAAGGACTTACCCTCGACATCTTGAAGTCCCTAAATATACCCCGCCCCTTGCCACCAAGTATGCACCGGTTCCTGATCTGCGTCGGGTTTGTATAGCAATGCATCTGCGTCAGATGCAGCTGGGCCTCGGAGCGTACGCGGGGAGGCAGAGTCGTGTTGCGAATGATGTAACGGAGAGCTTGCCTAGATCACCACCAACAAACACAGTTGTTAGCTTTCCCTTCAATGCCTCGACCAACAAGAAGTTGCTCTGGTCCTTTTGTCCACCAGTGCCGACGATCCACATACCTCTCCGTCTCGTACTTCTCGTACACCTTCCGCTTCGTGTGGTCGCGGATGACCTTGATGTTGACGAAACAGCCCAGATCGAGCTTCTTCGACCTGAACATCGACATCGTGGGCGAGAGTTTTGCGCGCGTGTGGGCCGTCGACTTGTTGCCGTGGTCGTTTCGCGATGCGACGTCGCTCTGGTCAAGGTTCAAAGTCGTAGGGTCGGCTGAATCCCGGTCGCTTACATAAGCAGGGCGGCTCCAGTAACGCAGACCGTTAAACAACTCTCAAAACAGTCCGAGAATCAGATTAGGTCTATCACAGTACAAGTCAATGCACGGCGTTCATCTTAACGAGAACATCATCTGTCAATGACAACTTAGAAGTCGTTGAAGGCCCTTATTATCTATTCCATCCATCCGGTCTGTACTCTCCCGTAGCGCAAAGGTACAGCAGTAGTCGAGCTCAAATCGTACATCGCCTCCACACGCTTCTGGAGTATCAATTCTTCTCCTCGACAAAACGTCGACGAGACACCTCGGATTCTTTGAAACTTTTCCTGAACGCCAGATGCCTGCAAAATACACGCATAATTGAACCTCCCAAGCCCGCCTTCCGCCCCACTCTCTGCCCCGAAATTTCTTAACCCTCTTTCATCATAGGACAGGAATGCCCTCGTACTCCCCGTAGCCTAGTGCAAGGTTCATGTTTTCTGCAATAAAAAAAATCGTGTCAGCAACAGCAAGAAAGAAGAAGCCTGGTGAGCAAGGAGGGACGTATGAGAGGACAATATAAAGAATCAGAGCGAGGGGGATATTGCACAACTTACGCAGACATTGGGTCGCAGCCCCCTTCAACAGGTTATCAATCGTTGCGCAGACGACTACCCTCTTGCCAGAGCTGTGTACTGCAAACCCGCCAATCTCCACGCCGTGCTTGCCGCTGATCGCCTTGACGGTGGGCGCCTCGCCCACAACCTTGACTAGCTTCTCGCCTGCATACCGCTCCTGGTACAGCTGGCGGATGTCACGGCTCGTCATCGTCTTGTTCAGAGGGATGTTGATCGTGTGGTGGATGCCCTGGAACCAGACAGCAACGTGAGGAGTGAACGCGACGCTGTGACCCAGCTGGGAGCTGATCTCCCGCTCGTGGATATGGTCGGTCAGGGAGTAAGGGATCAGGTTGTTAGTGAGCAGCTCGACGTCGTTCTTGGGAGAGGGCTTGGTGCCCGCGCCGGAATAGCCCGAGATGCCGAAGACGGAGGGCTCTCCGCCAAAGTGCTCCACCAAGGGCGCCAGGCCAAGCTGCGCGCCGGTTGCGTAGCAGCCTGGGTTCGCAATGTCGAGTGCGTCGTGGATCTTCTGCCTCTGGACAAGCTCCGGGAGGCCGTATGTCCACGAGCTGTCGAAGCGGTAGTCTGCCGAGAGGTCGACGATCACGCTCTTGTGGCTCGATGACTTGCGGCCCTCGTGTACTGCCTCAACAAAGGGCTTGCATACACCATTGGGCAGCGCCATCACCCAGCAGTCGATCTCGCCCCTTTTCTCCATATCTCGCACATCATCCGGGCTCAGATTCTCGTATGTGATCTGGGCCTTATCGTAGCCCTCGAGAAGCGTTCCGTTCAGCTCCCGAGACGACACGTGTGCCAGCTCCATGTTGGGATGAGAGTTCAGCAGTGAGATCAGGGCCTGTCCGGTGTAGCCTCGTGCTCCGATGAGCGCGACCTTAGCTGGACCGTCTCGGGTCTTGTTGCGCTTGCCCAGGGGGGGGTTGGGGTTGGTCGTTGTCGCAAACCCGCGTCGCTGAGCTGGTGCCTTGGGCAGCCAAGATGATCTGGACCTCGTGACCGTGCCGTAGCCTCGGGCCTGTTGCGCGACGGACTGGCGGGGGGCAGACGAAGAAGCGCCGGCACTGATTGCCGCTCTGTGGATTCGGGCTTCCAAATTGGAGTCGCCCAGCATCTCCCGGCCATGCGCCTCAAAGTCCTTCATGACCTGCAAAATCTCGTTGCCATCCTCGACGCCGCACCAGAACATGACATTCCCGTTCAGGGACAAGCTGCCGTCGGCCTTGTCCCAGAACCAGGTCAGGTTCTCGTCGTCCTCCTTGACGGTCCAGACCAGCTTGGGGAAGTCCTTCTTGATCGCGGTGAACAGGTTATCGGCGATATTGCTCAGCCACCCAGACTTTGTAATGGTAAGAGTGGCCAGTGTCGCGTGGTGACTCTCGGTGGCCGGGAGAACAACTGCAAGCGCGTTCATGTCGGCGTCGTAGTATGCCTTGAAGGGGTTCTCCTTCAAGAACTCTACATATGCGTCCACGGTCTGCCGTGAGTTGGGCCCTTCCCTGTCACGGACCAGCACCTCCTTCAGCTTCTCGATATCGCTAAACTCTTGTATGTTGGTCGCGGATAGCAGCTTGTTGCCGCGTCGAATCAGGGTCCCGGCGCCGGAGTCGGTGAACAGCTCCTTTTGCAGATCCTGAGGGTGGATGATGGCGACGGACGACGACCGCGGGAGGGTATCCAGCAGGTCCTTGATCTCCCTGATCTTAAGACGGGTGCCGTATTTGCACCACGACTGGGACATATACCATTCGAACTCCTCGTCCAGATTGATCGCAGAGATCTTGCCGCCCTCGCCATCAAACAGCCCTCCCTTCTCGGACAGGTAGACCACCTTCAGCGGCTCCAGCGCACGGGCGAGCTCCGCGGCGGCAACATCTGCGTTGACGTTCAGGCACTGCCCGTCGGGGGTGTACGCCAGGGATGTCAACACAGGCAGGCATCTGTGGTTGATGGCCCACTCAATCATATCCTTGTTCACATTCGTGATCTTTCCCACCAGGTTCCATTTCTCCTTGTTCAGGTAGTCGGCCTCGAGGACACCGTGTGTGATTGGGCGGACGTGAACACCCATCTCCTCCAGCCGGTTGGTCAGCCTCTGGTTCTCCTCCATAAACAGCTTGCGTGCCACGGCGAGGGTCTTGTTGTCTGTGACTCGGATGCCCTCCTCGAACTGGGGCTCGACCCCGGCGTCCTCGAGGAGCTTGTTGAGCTGGGGTCCGGCGCCGTGGACCACAACCGGGTACAGGCCGACATGGTAGAGGAAGGCCAAGCTGTTGCAAAGCTCATCAAGACTATGTGCGGAGTCGTATCAGCTTTCAGCTCTCTCTCTCAATCTCTCACACTTGTCTTGTCCCAGCGATCTTCTCTCCAGGTTTTTTCTCGAGGGCACAGTCCCGTCCAGGAAATCACTTACTAGTCTGTCAAGATAGCCCCGCCAACCTTGATGACAGCAAATCGCTGTGACGACACTGACGTGAAGTGTGACAGATATTGCTGGACTTCCCTCCTGGAGCCCACACTGCTCAGGGTCTGGATGACGATGCCACGGGTGCTCAGGTCCGTGAGCTGCTTGGTTGACGTCGAGAGGGCGGCGCGGCGTGCGTAACCCGCCAGGCGCGAGCTGGGCACGGCTGGAGCGGTAGCTCGAGGGATGGAGGGCACGGGCAATCGAGTGCACCGCCGGGCCCCGACCCGGAAGGCCCTCGCGGAGGAGGAAAGCATGGCTGCTCGTTTGGGAGAGAAGGGAATAAAGGTTCTCTATGGCAGAGGAGCAGGTTAGCGCAAGAAGCTGGGAGGCCAGGAGCAGGAACGAGTGTGCAAGCCAGTAGGAAGGCTGATTCGGCAAGATAATTTAGAGGCAATTGGCCGGTCTCTTCATGCGCGGTAGAGGTATTCTCGCGAAAGGAGGGGGAGGGGCCAAACTGGTGAGGTGGTTATTGACTCACGATAGAAATAGCTCCTGTCCTGACTCGAACGCGCGCACCTGCGAACCCCCGATGAAGAAGAGGAATTGCTTCTCCAACCCACAGGGAGAAATTGAGGATTAGGTAGAGGGGAGAGTTGTCTATACGACGACGACGACGAAAGGCAACGAAAAAGAGAGGAAGAGGAAACGAGAGATCTGGGGAGGGTGGAAGTGAATACAGAGTATGGTCCACTATCCGGTTGAATGATTTGGACTGCTCCCTCCAATGTTCTTCACAAGAAGAAAAAAAAAAATGACATGGGTGGGTGGGGGGTGGGATGGATGTTAGTGGTTGTGGAGGGGCCTAGGTCCGCCCCTGCGCCGAAACCGCTGGTCTTCCCCACGACCCTTTGGCTAGCCTTGCAGGCTCGTTTACGCCTGTAGTGGACTTCCAGTATGGTGACTACGACGCACTGCCTGCTGTGTACGCCTGGACCCCCAGTGTGTGGTGAGCGGTCTGGGACTGGCTTCGATTGGTTACACTCACACTGCACATCTCCGGATCTGCAGTGCAGCATTTAGTCCTGCAGATGGAAAAATCTCTTTCTCGCCATCAGCCCATCTTTGCAATAGTACAATCTTGGCGATATTATTTCTCAACTGCATCCATCCCCAAAGGCCTCCAAGGGTAGCCACGATTTTTTTTCTCTTTTTCTTTTTCTCCGACGTCCAGCCCTGTTCAAAGTTATCAGATGCCCCGTCGATATCCACTCTGGCCTATTTATTACGAGGAATTACCACTTCACCATGCCCTCTTCCGTCAACGACGCGTTAGGCTTGGACTCCTCAGTTTATCAGATGCCCCACCCAAGGCCTTCCCCTTCCATGCTCTTCGCCATGGAAGCTCAAGGTCGGATTGTATTCCAGATGCCGCAAGTGTACTATTCACTACCCAAGTACCTTGTTGCCCACTTTGGCATCCTTGTCTTTGGTGTACAACAACCTGCTCATGCAAAATCCCTCTTCACACTCCTCTACCTCGGTGTTTAGAAGATCGTATCGGCCGAGATATTATACCTTTTCGTCATCTGTCAGACCCTGCATGCCCAATTTTATCTGTTCTCACCTCGGTCATTCAGCATGCCTTGCTCACACTGGCTCTTGCAAGTGTGCTTATTGATAAACTAGAAATTACCCAGAAGTTTGTCACAAGCATGTCTGGAACTCCAAACACAGAGATCGTTTGTTGCTGAGTTGCCTGATCGTCTACTGGTAGCCATAGCTGTCAAGATATTTGGACGGAGAGGATAGAAAGAAAGCGTGTTTAATCTAAGCTATTCTGTCGAGGTTACAAGGTAAGGTCGATGAGGTGATGATAGTCTGCATTGATGAGCAGACTGCCGGGTGTTTGCAATCCCTAGGCCAGTATGTCCATAGTACTTCCCAGTAATTATCTTACCCTTGACCGTGCCGAACACAATCTTAAAGTTTCATCAACTTCTGTTAATTTCTCCCTTGACTCCTGAGTTCTTCGACCGCACCAGCCACGATCCCCAAGATATCGTGATTTAAGAACAGAACAGGCTAGATAAAAGGACCGTCATGAGCCAACGATGATCGTAGGCTGGCGATATCAAGCAGACGAACGCCCACCAAAGTTTCCTTGTTGCCTAAAGTAGTTGATCCAAAAGTAAGTGGTACTCAATCAACACACCTTGATAACCCCAAGACTAACATTGAAACAGACTAGATCCAAAACCGTGATATTGATGCAGACTTTTTGACAAAATATACCCATCTCTCCCTTCTCCTTCCTTCACCCTCTTTCTCGCCCGAGCTCAGGCGCAAGGCGAGATTCCCTTAGTGCAGGGGAAAGAAAAAAGGTCGGTTGCTCACCGACCACCATTCCGAAGGGTGGGTGACGATAGGGCGGAGCTTCTGGGATAGATCGATGTACACTGGCTGTTGGCCAGAGGTACTAGAAGCGACAGAGAACGCATATGGAGATATATCAGGGCTGAGGTTCTCAGTCGGGGTGTAAACAGCAAATCCCCCCGGACTGGCGCGTTTGTAGCCGATCATTTGGGGCAAGGTGTTGGAAGGGTCCCAGGGCTGCGCGGGTGCCTGTGCTCGAGGGCCACGATGCTGACAGGCTGGGAAGAGGGCCTTGGGGCCACATGGCGGATCCATCTGTGTTGGACCCTGCTTCATCCAGCCCCAGCCGGGAAGATGGCTCGGAGGCGTTGGGTGCGCTTGGTTGCCGAGTTCCGCGTATTCGCCGACTGGTACCGGGAGCAGCTGCGGGAACCTGTCACTGTTGTTGGAGGGCATGGCTGGCATCGGACTGGTATGATCGACACGGGACTGTACATTCTGTCAGCAAGGTCATTTTGAAGGCTTGCTGAGCAAGAAGAGGCTGAAGAAGCCAGACACTATTATCATAGGGTGTAGAGGAAGAAGAAGAAGAAGAAGAAGAAGAAGAAGAAGAAAAGAAACAGGGGACTATGGTATGGGTTCAAGCCGCACATTACACCTATCGCGAACATATGAAATTCCCCACTCACAGCAGCTGGGGTGAAAACAACACAACGCCCTGTTTGGTTCTGCCACAGGTTAGCCGGCCTCTTCAGCAAAGATGGCGAGAGTTTCTACAAACCAGAGACTCCCACGTGACGTCTTCTGGCCCGATGTGCTCGCCAGATTTATAGACTATATGGTGGGCAGCGGCTCCGCGGGGATCACCTTGGTAGACAATGTCGAGGGATACTTCGCAGTCGTACTCCACATGGAGTTCCCTGATCCTCTTGATCAGGGTTTTCTCTCGCAAGATGCGTTGCTTATCAACGACTTGGGGAGGTGTGTGAGACGCCATATACGCCGGCACCTTGTGTGATTCCGCCATCTCGCATGTGTATTGCTTACCTTTGCAGTTCAACAGGGTTCCTGGCCGAGCTGAGGGTCTCTGGGGAAGATTGAGTTTGGCAGAGAAGAAAGGAGGCACAAGGTAGCCTGTGGGATTGATGTTCGAAGTGAAAAATCGTGTTAGTGACTTGAAAAGGGGGTTAATTGACAGAAATGTAGAGACTCGCAAAACTCACCACACTAGAGTATGGCTGGTTTATGAACTCCAAAGCAAAAAGCTGGGCAGCGAGGGAAGAGGGACGGGCCAGAGGGTTTGGTCTTATTAATATATATTCGCTAATACTTGACGAGACCAGGACCTGATGGAGTCCAGGTCGCATTGTAGTGGTACAACTTGCATGGCAGCTTGCAAACAACACCTCCTGATGCAGGCCCTTGACTATCTGTTGAGTATCTGTGCTAAGAGCAGGTACAAATCGATTCATATGCATGTGACGTATTGATGGGAAAATGAGAGAAGGGTATCCAAAGTACTCAAGTATCTAGTAGTGACTTGAGGAAGCTTGTCTGGGAATGCGGGTCGAGCTGCTCTTTCTTTCGAGAGATAATGATTTGCTTCCCTCCCTCCAGTGAGACAACCTTGTCTCAGCAACGCAGATGATAATTACATAGGCTAGAAAAATCATCACTTGCTAACAAACAGGCCAACTTTCCAAGGTACTCCTATCATTAGAGTTTGATCATGAAGGGCCCATGCCCGGCACTATAAGCGCCACTGACCGGGACTCTACAGGTCTACGGGATGCTGCATAATCTCGAAACTGCTACACGCAAATCGACTATTTCAGAAAATGGATCTTTTCTTCGCAAGATATGGATGAATCCGAGAGTTGTCAGCATGTGATTGGTCTTCTCAAGGCTCATGCAGAGCTGGCAGGGATGGTCATGCATTCGCCTGAAATATTAAGGGCAACAGAAGCAATTTTGCACTCATCCAGCAGATTTGCTGGAGTTTTGCCACTTAGCTTTTGCTTACACCTGTCGGTCGTTGGCGATGCTGTTTATCAGGGCTTATCAAGACAACTGACCTGTTGCCAGACGAAATTTCAACACTGCTGCTCGCAGTAATCGAACGCCAGACATCATATGTCTCTTCGCTTTCACTTATCTAATTGTTAGTCCTCAGAGCACATCTCAGACCGTGAATGCAGTTGCATTGCTGGCCTGCGGCTGGACCTGTCTGGTCTGCCTCTCCCTAATGTTGCCATGATCGCTTGTCCGGCATCATCAGCGTGAGAGGAGACTAGCCAAAACCCGACCTGTCGTGAAACTGACGAGTCGATTTCCTAGCCAGGCCTGGTGTTTTCTTCGCTCCTCATTACCACTGCAACTGGCCGGCGTTGAGGGCCCGAGATTCTCCACCCACACTTCGCCTGGCTACCTACAGAAGTAACTAATGCGCTGCAACGAAAATATTGGGCACATATCTAATACTATGTAAGTACTTGTACATACCGTCGTTTGTCTTTGGCGAGCAGTACAACGACATCGCCTAGTTTTTTTCCAGGTGAAATCTCGCGATAAGAGCCCGGTATTGTGAAATTAACATGGTAGATCAGCGTTCCAGAGGGATTGTCTCGTTCATCGTCGACTAAGCAAATGGTATGCTGGTGGTTGACAGGAGCTGGTTGAGAGTACAGAGTAAAGATCAGGTCAGGAGTTCGTCTGAGGGAGACATGTCAGAATGCATGAAGCAAACTCTGATTTATCAATGCTGTAATTTCCTACGTCACAACACTGCAACTTTGGACCCAGCAATGCTCCCCAACAATCCTCAGGAAAACGCAACTCCAGCCGGCCCAGCCGGTTTACAGGGGTCGCTGATCAAGATGATTTCTGACAAGTGATGGTCGTGCGTCTCTGCTCCCATAGCCCTGGATCACGTTCCCAGATCGGCCCTCTACACAAAACAAGACATGAGTGTATAGACGATGACCAGCAGGGGACTAGAAGTTTAACAGGCGAAAACAGCGCCAACGGAATGTACCGAGACGATCAATATCAAAAAGAGAGAGCTAGGAGGAGAGGCGTGCGGCCGTCACCATTCGACCGTTTGTAAAGTGCGGGGCAATGCTTCTCTCGTAGAAGTACATATTAGATGGAGACATCCACTGTCGATGCTACTGTACGTCAAGCATCTGGAGCTTCACTTGCCGATGGATATATGGAGATCGACAGAGTGTCTGCCCCAGATTCCGTGGATAACGTTCAAACATACGAGGCGGATCTGTCGGCAGACACCCACCTGTGATCGACCATGGGACATGAACTATTTGGAAAATTCTTTCAACCGACATACGACAAGAGGGTATTATTGGTCATGCGTATTTGTGCAAACGAACAGTTGCTCGCTCTGGCCCGAGGCCGACAAGGGTAAGCTGCAAGGCGTTCTGAAAATGGGAACGACTAGGAAAGCCACACCGGCCGGTAATAGGACATAACGTAGAGCGATATAACAACAGCAGCCGAAAGAGGGGGGGAGGGGGGAGGGTGACGCCGCCAGTGCACATGTTTGGCGCGATGGTCCATGGCAGTCTGTCGCACGGCATGGTCATCAGACTACCCCCCCTCCCCCCACCCCAACAAAAGGAAAAACAGAGACACGTACGAGCTCGTTAAAACATATAGCAATACCACCACAGACAAATAGTCGTTTGCAATGGCAACGTGGTCTGCGTGACCTGCAAACGTGGACGCTTTCATAGCTCCGGTTGATTCCCATCATCAATCTTGATCTGTTGACCGTGGATTCCTCATCTACATGAAACTCATCGATAACCTTTCGCTAGGACATTGATTACGGTGTAACCATGATGAAGAGTATCCTCTGCCCACTGGTTGAGGAGAGTTATAGATGGGGAAACATGCAGTGACATGCGGGCTGCCTCAGACCGATGCTCCTGATCTCTGGCCACGGACTTGTCCGGACAGAAACCACTGACTTCATGCATTAGGATGAATAGCAAGACATCTGGACGGGATAATCACATGGTCAGACTCTCGGGTTATCGAGGGCATGACTGCAGGGGCTGAGCTGCTCGCATTGTTGTCCAGCACTTGAGCACGTTCTCTTATCTACTTGAAAAATGATAGAAGTGGCTTCTGACAAGAGGCCAACCCAACCAGCCTGAATTACTTATTGTATGTAGAAGAAGGGGAATTTATTCTTTGCTAATTCATAAATGGATGTCTGATATTGGTCTTGATACTCTACTAGCACATAAAATTCGTTTGAATCTGACGCCCATGCCGTCGCTTTGTGGACGACACACGTGTGGCTAGTTTCTGTCGTCAATCTGTAACCCAAGCCTAATTGTCTTCTAATTCACCTCCTTGGTGGCTCCTACAATACTCGACCTTCCAGTGATTACAGGAAATGGATACCTTGATTATATGTTCTTGCATTACTACCGGATGAGTCTCTACAAGATCACAAATTGAGAATCGGACACAGATTCAGGGAAATTTGAACCCCGAGAGACAGGCAAAGTACTTGAGTACATAAGCAAAAAGGAAAGGAAAGAAAGAGGATTTTGGTAGATTCAGACAGAAGCAATACGAAAACCTGGAGGTGTCAATGGAAAAAGACAGACCTCCATCGATGCTTGCTATAATGTTTCTCCCTTCTCGCCCTTTGGGACATCATTACGATCTCGTTTTGTATCCGCCCCTGGCCCACCTAAATAGAGATCTTCTAGTCCTTTTCGAAAGAACATATATCAACACTGACGAAGTGGGTGTGTACCAGCTCATGTCGGGTAAAGGGTAAGCAGCTGGAAGGATAGCCAAGACGACTTTGTGATTTAACTACTGCTGTAATGGCCTGCAATCCTTGAACAATAGTATAATGGCATTCTCAACCACCTACAGGCAAGTGTCCTCAGTCTCATCTGCCACATGATCTAACATTAGTCTCATTTTCCAAGCAGCCGGATACCAGCAGATCTTACAGCTGTGGTGACCAGATCCAATTCTTTACGAAATACTGTACCACAGCACTCTGGGTCTTACGGGCCATGCCCTCGCCGTACCCCATGACGCTACACCGACCACCTGCCAGCTATGCCAACGTAAGTAGCTGTAAAATATATCCAGGTGGCGTATCTTCGCTTTGCCGGTGTCGAAAAGCACAGTCGGCGAAAGTCTAAGGGGTCTCAATTATTTCGGTCCAGAAAGGTCGTAAAGTGAAAAAGATTGACTTGCGGGAGAAACCTTGGGATTTACTTAACCACCTGTGAAAGGACATTGCAAAGCGCTTTTCAAGCACTTTAGCACGATCCAGATCTGTACCAGCCGATCTGGAAAACCCCACCGCCGGTTTGGTTTCGGGCTGTCTCTACTCTGTGCAGCTGGTCTATCCCATCCTTCCCATTTTCCATATCTCTCCTGTCTCGATCCGTATTCATTCATCGCAACGGCCAAGATCCGGCGACAGTAATAGCTAGAAAAGCCACGAGACATGGCCTGTGCTTGGAAGGTGAAGGAAGATCGCATCTGTCAGCAGTAAGTCGCGTTAGCTAGTAATTGGGCTTGGTCAGTGGGGTGGGGGGGGGGGGAGGTAGACAAGCAGGCATACTCTATACCTTTGTGGGGCTACTAGTCCTGGAAATAGGCGCAGACCTTCTGGGTAGTGACGCGCATGGCTTGGAAGAGATAGAATACTGAGACACCTAGGACCGCGACGCGGAGAGCAGCAAGCAGCAAGCCCTCGAAGCGGCGGTGAGGGACGGCATTCATGGAGCGGGACACGACAGCCCGAACCACTGGGCTGTGCATATGGGAGCTGTTGACCACAATGAAGGCTCTGAGCGGGGAATTGTCAGTATGCAGCGTCATTATATTTTGTGTCCCCTCTGCGGTGGCGGCTGTGAAGGCCTCGAGCTCTTTTTAAGAGTTTATGGTGGACGTGTGGCACAGCCTGGCCTCGGGACTGTACGAGAACTCGGCCGACGGTACGAAGGGCAAGCTCGTATAGGGAGGAAAAAGTGTTGCCAATTCTGTTGGTGATTTCGTACGAGGACGAGGTTTGGGACGGGGCGTTCATCTGCGCCAAGTTGATAGCCACAGTGGCAGAGACGAGGCGCTCAAGGTCAAGGGGCAGACGACCGCTGGCCGGGGAAGGATATCCCAAGACCGATGACATGGTGCTGGAAAGCAATGTTCATTGATATCAGGAACAGTTTCTTAAGTGATGTGGTAGTACTGTGGATGGTGTGAAGGAAAAGATGTTGACGTAGCGGAAGAGAAAGAATGTCGACAACGCAGTAAGGCAGGAACAGATGCCACAGCGTTCTCAGATAAGAGCGAGGAATAAATGCGTCCAAGTAAATACAAAAGTACACAGGCCATGCTGTGCCTGGTTGTGTACCCCCTCCTTGACACTACTGAACAGACCAGCTTCGCTTCATCCTACATAGTTAAGTGGCTCAATAATTCTGGAGTCCAGGTGCTTTCCAGAACTCTGACTGATCTTGTTACTGTCTCTGGTTCTTGGACAGTGGTAAGCCGCTTCAGTGGTTGCCCATTCAAGTGGCCGAGAAACAAGATCAAGCATGACGAACCCAAACGTATGACATCCAATGATCTACAACAGAATGTCTATTCGAATATTTGGGCAGCAGAGAGCTAACGGAAGAGAACTGTCATACTGCCAAGCCTTGTCTGGAACAGCAGTCACCATGGTCATCAAGTGGCAGACAATCCTGTGCGGAAAGATCACAATCTCATGGGTAGATGTTTCAGTGAAGACAGATCTCGATAAAGACTGCGGCTAGGTAGGTATTGATGTACTGTTGGTGGGACTGCACGCAACCAATTGCGAATTGAGAGGCAGAGAAGAGATTCGACTACCGATGCTCCTCTTCGAGACCGTGCCTTGTTGGAAGCTTGAGACTTGACATCTACCTAAGGGCACCCAGGCTGACGGCTCCCGGTTCTAGGGTAGCCATTAAACGTGTAGAGTACATTCAGGAAGCCAAAGTTGGGTAGGATCTGCTAGCAGAATCATGTACTTTTCTTTCCAGATAAATCATGCTGCGCTTGGCACGAGGATCTGGCCCTCTCACAATCATTCTCCATTGGTCTTGTACATGAGTTGTTATAAGGCGACAATAAGACATGAATGACCACAGACTTGGTGTTGGTTGATATAAATAGGAGTTTTCTACGAGGCACCCGCTGATCATCCAAAACACATGTAGCAGCTCACGCAGCAGTAGTTGATGGTCAATGTTAAGCTCTCAGTTACTCAAAAGTTGAATCTGTGGCTTGCTTATCCTCTAAACCCTGGCAGCAACTTGATAAATGTCAAGACAAACTGCACAGTTCATGTGTCAGGCTCTCCCCAAGTGAATACGAATGAATTTTGAGCCGAGCCAACAACTTAAAAGAAGGCACAATTTTTTTTTATAAAAAAAATAGCAAGAACAAAGTTGGATCTGCTCTGCCGCCTACTCACGCTTGGTTGAGGTATTGTGCACGTAATTTACCAGACACATATCAGATTTCTCACAAGGCTCTCGAGTTATTCACTCGAGTAATTACGTCATGAAGACTTCAACATCTCCGCCGGACCTGCATCTCGTCGCTGCCACTTTTCGGTTTTGATTCCAATAATTACTTGGGCCAGTCACCGCTGCGTCATATATCTGCAGGGATTGACGTTGTGGTCTCTCGCGTCTTGACGGGATAAAAACTTGTCAAAATTGCAAAACATTTCTCTTAAGAGGTCGCCGGCCGGGCTGGCCCTACTCTTTAGCGGGAAGGGTCTCTGAGACATGTGTAGGGCGGACCCGGGACCCCGTTCCTGTTTCAATGTTTCTAGTGTCAAGGAGAGATTCCGTCTGAGAAAACGAGGCGAAGCGGCCGCCCCCAGGGATTACAGCTGTAGATGCGGCACTAACTGATGATACTTGGGCCCCGCTTGGTTGTGGGGATCAACAATAAGAGAAGTGGTTGCTTTTCTTGTCATGGATGCCCATGTCCACCCGGCCGCCCGGCATTTAAATTACACACTTCCTGTGGCACCACAGGAAACGCCTTTGCGGCTGGACCTGTGTTTCGCCATGGCCATGACCCCTACTGCTCTTGGTATCAGGTCCGACGTCTTATCACCTGACTCTTGAGAGTGTTGTGGATCTCGGCGTGTTCGGGTATCTACAGAGAGAGGATCTTGTCCTGGTTGATGATCAAGCCTTGCCCCTCTTCCTGAGAAGGCCACTCCCTGTCTCTTCATCATCGACAGGTTGGGACCCTTTTGTCCCCCATCATCTACAAAGCACACGCTGTGGGTCCGACAGTAGGTTGAGTACGATAGCACTAGGAAAGAAGTAGGTTCTTCAAGTTTGACCCTTGCTCACCAAGAAATATTTCCTGTTCGGGCTGGATCGACCGAGGCCATGGCCCGCGTGGCTTTCACCCTCCAGCCGCTGCCGGTGCAAAGGTGATCTGTTTATCAAAGTGATAAATCTTTGTCACTAGCTGTTTGGCGCACAGACAAGGCTCTCTATCTTCTCCTTGGCTCGATTGAAAGTTCCTTTACGCTCCTACTCCAAGAAGGCAGGAAAGAAGAAGGAAACCCCCCAGAGAATCTTAATCGGTCTCGACCTGTATCGACTTGAAGCGTTGCGATTGTCACTCGCGCCTCACGGTCCGATCTAAAGTTCGCCTCACTAGCGAGTCAGCATCCCAGCATCAAGAAAAAGGGTGGCGACCACATAGCAGGTCACAGCACAGCGACAACTCATCACTGTCAAGGAACCCTCACACAAACCTCAACGCTGTGCGCCTCGACGCCAGAAGCGCAGGGTTTCACCCGCGCCTCCTCTCAACCCCTCCCCCCCTCCTCAACGAGCATTGCACTGGCCGATGTGCTGAATCCGAAACTTGTGTATCCCCTCCTTTTCAACCTTTTACTTCCTCAAACTCCCTCTTCCTCTCTCTTCCTCTCTTTCTCTCGCACGCCCACAATCGGATAGACATCGGGGGAGGGAGAACTATGCCCGCTGTCGTGGCGGATGCCATAGCTCTTCTGACCTGATACGAGAACAGGACGAAAAGACATCATGGTGTACATAAGCGAGGTTGACATGTACAGCAGCTGCGCCCGCAACGAGGAACCCGACAAAGCCAGGGACGGCGGCGCCATGCGACATGATGCTGCTGCATCGCTGACAGAGAAGGGAGAGTACGATACGGCTGTGGATTCATTGTACCCAAGGAGCATCGGTGGTGGAACTTCTGGGAACGGCAGCAAACGCGGCAGCACGCAGCTAATAGACCCGTCGCTGGTGGAAAAGGAAGGGTACGACACGACGACTGTGCGCCCATTGTATCTGAGAGGCGCTGGTGGTGGAGAGTCTCGGCGAAACAGCAAGCGCAGCAGTACGCACCACATGGACTCGTCGTTAAGTATTATGGCGAGAGCAGCGCGGCAGACGGACGGCAGGCTAGAGGAGCCGCAGCAGCAAAACCTGGGCCTGGATCTACAGCTGGAGCTGGAGGGATTGGACGCAGCGCTACGGCGGCGATCGACACGGAGATCGCCTCGGCAGGATGGACCGCAGGGGCTGGAGGGCCAGCACGAGGCGCTGGGCGAGCTGGCCACGTTTCTGAGGGACGTTACACCACCGCCATCGAACTACATGAGCCTCCCCGACCCGAGCACGTCGTCGTCGACGTCCTCAGCCTCCTCGCTTAGGCGGAGGAATAGCAAAGGCAACAATAACAAGACGAAGGAGAAGAGGAGAAGTATGCTGAAGATGGCGCTCGGTCTGTTGACGAGGAGGGGTTCCAGAAGAAAGGCAATAAAGAAGCGAGGAGGGGCTGTCAGCCCTGATCTGGCGCGGGCTCCTTCGACGAGAAGGAGACGTCCGCCACGGATCAAGCTGCCCGATACTGCTGTGGCGGGGACTACAGTGGACGGATTCAGGCACATTGCAATATCAATACCCATCGAGCACGCCCACCTCGGCCCAGAACCTCGACATCGATTCGGTTTTCCGAGGAGACGGTCTCGATCGCTCTCCTCGCCAGAGCTATCGCCTGAGATCTATGACGATGTCACGCTCCGCCCCAGGACTGCTTTCGCGACAGAGTCACGCAGGGGCACCCAGCTCGGACCCCTCGCCGAGGAGCGCGAGTCACTCTCGTCTACCTCTTGGGGCAAGGAGAGCAGCTACCGCCATGGACAAGCACGTGAGGAAGCTCTGGCCGCCCGCAGAATCCGGCTCGCTTCGCGCAACACCTTTGGCACTGTGTACGAGAAGGTCCGCTCTGTCAACACGTCACCTGATCTCGCACGCCCAGATATGCCGCTACGCATGAGCAGCGAGTCGAGTCGGCACGGGACGCCGCGCACGAGTGAAGAACTGCGCTCTGCTGCACGCAGAGACACACTTGAGGCGCTGGTGAAAGGGGTCCGGGCATCTTCGAACCTGCCGGCCTCCCGTGGCCCCAGGCCAACCTCTGCGTACAGTTTTCGCAGCTTCGCCTCGGCGCTGCCGCAGCAGCAGCGGGCGTACTACCACAAGCGTAACTCCAGCCTGCAGCCCTCGGAGCCGGGGCCCCAAAGTAGGCGCCCATGGACGCTGAGTGAGTCCATGCAGTACCACAGCTGGGACTCGTCCAGGGATCACACAGTGCGCGAGAGCATCTTCTCGGAGCAGTCGCAGCTGGATAGCATTGGTACCACGGAGAGCAGCGAGGTCCCCCCCTCTTCTGCAGGCGCGGCGCGGACTCCGCGGCGCCTCGTCGGGGTGGATGTTGTCAAGGGTTTGAGCCCCGGGACGCGGAGAAGTTTGGATCACAAGAGGGCCAGCGGGAGCGGGCGCGAGCTTGAAGCGGGCAGGGGGGAGAGGAGCAATTGGAATGTGACTGCCCGGACGAACGAGACGAACGAGACAGAGGAGGATGAGCAGAATCATGCTCGCATGGCGCATCTGAACCCTGAGTCCGCTTCGGTGGCTGTGCAGGAGGAACGAGTACAAGAGGTTGACGCAGCGCAACAACCTGGATCCACGACTGTGATTGATCCCGAGGTATTGCCCCACCGACCTGTGAAGGTCACTGCAGAGGATATTTTGCCGTCTGTAACGGACAGGGAGGTTAACAGGCAGGAGGATGTTCACTCAGCCTTCACACGCAGCTCGGAAACGAACACCGACCCGAAAGGCAAAGGCAAGGCGACGATACAGGCAGATGACAACCAAAACGAGCCAGGTACAGTGGCCGCGACTGAGCATGTAGAGAGCAGAGGGGAAGAGCAGGGCCTTGGTTTCACACAGCAAGAAACGCAGCCAGCCCAGCAGCACGAAGAAAGCCTCCCGAGCCCAGTACTCAACACACAAGAGCGGCAGACGGAACGGAAGTCAACCCTGCTGTCGCGGATGCAACGAGTTGCCGAGCTGAGGATGGTGCTCGAGAAGCCTGGTGCACAGCCATCCGACCTGCTCTGGAAGCGCAGGCTCAGCAGTTCATCGGATGGGAGTCAAGATTCGGTGACACCCAAGGCAAGCAAGGCGGATCTCGAACCAGCTGCTGTTTCTGCGCCTGTCAGGCCAAAGACTGCATCTCAAGCTCTCAGCCTGACCCAGGTCGTGACTGTTGCAGACGTCGCACCATCAAACCAGGAGCTCCTAGGCCGCACGAGCAAAGAGTCGATCGTCTCCTCCGCCCCCTCACTCGCTACCCTCGCCACCGTGATCAGGCCATCGCCGGCTCTTCCGTACGGCAGCGTCACACCTCCAGACTCCCCGCCGCCATCATCGCCCACGTCTCAGCTCTCATTTGCCGACGCCGACAATGCTTCTGTCCTCCGCAGACCCATAGCCCCGTTGAAGCGCATCAACTCGTACCACTTCAGAAGAACGGCCTCCCATGCGTCGGGCGGTGGTCGCCATTCACCTGTCGCCAGACGGGATGCCAGCCCGCCGCGGCCCAAGACAGCAGGCAAAGGCATGCTTGCCTCCAAGAAGAGCTTCTTTGGGCGGACTGCGAAGACGAAGCTCGGCCAAGGCAGCAATGGCGGTGCTGTTGCCTCTGTGTCAGAAGAGCCGTCAATTCTCAAGATGACCCGTAGTCAGATGTTTCAGAAGTACGAGGCGCTGCGTGAGAAGCAGATCCGAGATATGGAGAGGCGGGTCGAGAGGCTTGAGCGCAACGAAGACCGCCTACTCTCATCTTTGTTGCCACTGTTGGGTGACCTGCAGCGGACGCTGGGCAAGATGAACATTAGGAAGGCCGGGCGAAAGGGCGAGAGAAAGGAGGTCGATATTGGTGATAGGCAGTCGCCGTCGTCGAGGTATCATCGCAATGGGATACAGAGCCGGTTCGCGAGGAGGGACACTGAGGAGGACCTGCACAGAGATGCCATCTATAGCCATGGCGATGCCGGTCTCGACGAGGACGAGATCGTCGTGTTGCACCGGCAATCTCTCGAACAGGACAGAGGCACACCTGAGCGTCCAAGGCGACTCTACCTAGAAGACAGCGACGACAACCCCAGCTTCACCAGCGATGACCATCCTTCGCTCCCACTCCAAGGCCTGGAGGACCTCGACCCGCGCCACCGACGCTGGTCCCGAAGGGCAACCCTATTGGATCCGATTGTACACAGCAGGCAGCAGGATTCCTCCGTCTCTGCACCAATGCTGGGCAAAGTCCGACCCAACTCGATGGCGGTCACATCGGATTTCAGCCTCACGAGGATGCCGCCGATTTGCACCGACGATATCGAGCTGGACGACAGAGCTGCCGTGCGGGCCAGAAACCTGGCATTTGAACCTTCGCCATCGCCAGATGTCCGCAGGAACCCACCAACCGTGCGCGATGAGCAGGAGGCGGATGGTGCCAGGAGACTATCCACACAGAGCATAAGCAGCCTGGAGACGTACGACGATACCGATGCTAGCGTTGGTGGGCCCGAAGAGGTGGTCAGGCGGTCACCCGCCCGTGAAGACGATGCCCGTCCCTATCGGCCCGGCGGGAGCGGCATGGAGATGATCGAGCCGCTCATGAGGGAGCTGCAGGCCAGCGGGAGCCCGCCGAGTATGGAGAGCCTCGGATCTGGGGACATTGGGGACGATGAGGTGCGGAAGTTGAGGGAACGGCCTGGTCCTAGGTCTGTGGTCGGATTCGGCGCCTTTGGTATGTGAGCAGTTGGAAGTGAGGATGACGGCTTGGCGTTGTCCTTGTTTGAGAGAAGCAGAGAGGTAGGGGGGGACTTGTAATAGTATTTCAATTACTTGGTACGAGTAGGCGAGATCATAGTCGCAATGACGCTTCGATGACAGAAGCGCAGGCTATTAGCCTTTTTGACAAGAAGTTGAGAGTACATTGGGCTCTGCGTCCCTGCTGTTCAGTACCACAGGGAATAATTCTGCACTCTAAGGGGGAAAAAGAAAAATAATCCCAAGGAGTGTGCATCTATTAGCAGAGAAAAACTAAATAAAAAACAATCATGATCGACATCCAAGGTGGAAATTTGTGCCCCCAACAGCCAAGCAGCTGGCAGAAACCTCATAAAGGTGATGGAGCTTGGGTGACGTTGAAATAGAACCGACAAGGGGTTCTTCGTGGAGGCTACAGGGCCCCCTGTTGCTGTGGTTCAGAGGCACAGGGGGTTGCATCCCGCCCCTGCAACAATGCATTAGCATGCGCCTTTTCCCCTCCCCCGCGATTTGCCACTACAATCTTACCACCTTGAGCTCCGATAGCGGGACTGCTTGGCTGTTTTTTTTTCTTCTTCTGTGACTCGACAAGTCGCTACTATAGTACTGGTATGAGCTTCTGGTGTGACGTGGTTCTGCTCGCAACAAAGTCAGCTCATTTTGACAATTCCTCTTCACCTTAACCTTCACTTGAAAAGGAACTCGAGCGCCACACGACTTGTTCCTGCACAAACAGCCTTGCAGGCCAATTGACTAGATAGAGCCCCTCTTCGTGTGCCCTTCTACCTCGGAGACAGCTGTCGACTGCTATGGCTTCAAAGTACCCAGAGAAGAAGTGCGGTTCGTTGCTTTCCCCGTCCTCGATACCAACCTCGCCGCTCGCTCTCACAGCTGACATATGCTGATCCCAACCAGGTGTCCTCGGTGCCACTGGGTCCGTCGGCCAGCGCTTCATCCTCCTGCTCCAGGACCACCCCTTCCTCAAGCTCGTCGCTGTCGGCGCATCACCCCAGTCCGCGGGGAAGAAATATCGCGATGCCGTCAAGTGGAAGCAGTCCACGCCCATGGGCGCTGTGGGCGACTTGGTCGTCAAGGAGTGCAAGTCGAGCGAGTTTCTGGACTGTGACATCGTCTTCAGCGGTCTGGATGCGAACATAGCAGGTGAAGTTGGTACGTATGAGAAATACTTCCCTTCTTGGAGCGATTTGAACCCCCTCCCCCAGCCTGCCCTTCCCCGCCGCGCGCACTGCCAGCTTCTGACTGACATGAATAACTGTACCTCACAGAAATGGACTTCCTCAAGGCCAACCTGGCCGTCTTCTCCAACGCTAAGAACTACCGACGCGACCCCCTCGTTCCCCTTGTCGTACCCACCGTCAACCTGCCGCACCTCGACCTCATCCCCCACCAACGGAAACATCACAACCTCGAAAAGGGGTTCCTAGTCTGCAATAGCAATTGTGCCGTCATCGGCCTGGTGATCCCTTTTGCTGCCATGCAGGCACGCTTTGGCCCCATCGAGACCGTGTCGGTCGTCACCATGCAGGCCGTGAGCGGCGCGGGCTACCCTGGCGTGAGCTCGATGGACATCATCGACAATGTCGTGCCGTTCATCTCTGGCGAAGAGGACAAGCTTGAGACGGAGGCCCAGAAGATCTTGGGCGGCATCAACGCCGATGCCACAGCCTTCGAGGAGCTTAAGAGCCTCAAGGTGTCGGCCTCGTGCAACCGGGTGCCAGTCCTGGACGGCCATACCGCCTGCGTCTCGCTCCGCTTCGCTAAGCGGCCGCCGCCGAGCGCGGAGGAGGTCAAGGAGGCGCTCAGGGAATACGTGAGCGACGTGGAGAAGCTGGGTTGCCCGTCCGCACCCAAGCCGAGCATCATGGTGTTTGGGGACGACCAGCCCGACCGGCCCCAGCCGAGGCTCGATCGTGAGCTCTCAAGGGGATACACGGTGAGCGTCGGTCGAGTGAGGGAAGACGAGAGCGGAATCTTTGATCTCAAGTTTGTGGCTTTGAGCCATAATAGTAAGTCCGGCCCCTTAATTACGATGGTACCGCGGATCGAGTTTTAAACTGACTTGGTGTCCTCAAATAGCTGTCATTGGAGCAGCGGGCTCTTCGATATTGAACGCCGAGGCCGCTGTGCTCAAGGGCTATGTTTAGGCTTCCGGAGCGGGTGTGAAAACACTCTTGTGCTGGTGGTATGATAAGATCGCTTCATCAAGGGACTATATGGTGGATTATACAGGTTCGGTTTGGAAAAGTTTCATGTTGTTCAGAGTTCAGGCATAGACAGCTCCATCAGGGTTTCTAGCTCAACGTCGACCCGACAAGGGTCTATATTATCTTGTATATGATCTCCTCCTGTCCATCTGGTCACATTATCTGCCCTCCTACAAAGCACAATGCAAAAATAAACTGACAAGTACCAAGCCATGCAGTGCAAACCAGGTGTGGCAGCGGGTAGCACATGGAGGAGGAAGAGGGACTGCCAGGACGTTGTCACACTGTGGCAATCAAGTATCATTTGGCTAAGCGAGAGCTCCTCCTGACTGTAGGGTTTGGCTTACGAGGCTGGGTCTCGGATGGTTGGTGCCATTTTCGCGAGGCGCAGATGACACGCATTAGGCTCCCCGTGCACATGGTCCGGCAGTTGAAAAACCTGGTCCCAACGCTTACAGTAACTACCCAGCCCGTCGGGACGCCGGCGCCTCTTACAATAGCCAATGTCGGTAGCTCATGGAAATTGTGCGCCAATTACGAGCATTTCCATTGAGACCTCCATCTAGATTCCGAGGCTAGACTGGAGATGACAATGGACCGTGCTACGTAGTATATAAAAATAGCCAGTCAACCTTAAAATATGGCGACAGGACCATTGTGATCACTCAAGTACGATTACCGTGGAAGGGAGAAGGTCAAGAATTGGGTCGCTTAATATCGCCCCACGTCAATGAAGTTCATTTTTGGAAGCGAGGCTGTCAAATCTCCCCGTCACTTTACGTAGGGCTGGCCTACTAATTGGGATTGACAGAGGATGTTCATCCCAAGGCGGCCTCTACGTCAAGGAGAAAAGAAGGAAAGAAGTAAAACATCAGCTGAATATTCTTATGAGACGATATGCTGTTCCTGGGCTGGGGCCAATTGTATGTTATGAGGTATTCTACAACATGGAATTTGGGTGTTTCTTAGTTCTGAAAGGCCTCTTTTTTTTCTGCCATCCATGCATGGTACATACACATATTAGCGGTATTGGGGTAATGACGATGTACCCTCCTCTTTTCTCTCCAAGATTGGCTAGCTGGCTGGCTGGCTGGCTGGCTGGGACCCTAGCTTTACTGTTGGCCGCGTGGAGGTGGGGGTTGTGCATAGTACCTTTGTACCTCGTGTGTGTGCGTTGGGTGTGTGTGCCACACTCAGTTCTTGTGGCCACCCGGATTCCAAGTGACGAAGCTTGTTTGCTGCTAAGCCCCCCCCCCCCCCCCAGAAAGTAAAGACCTGCTTGTCTCTCACTGCTCGTCATTACACAATCAACAAAGTCGTGCCATTTGCGGTTTTCAAGGAGAGAGAACAAGAGCATATTCCTCTTCGGTCTCTGCTGCTCCTTCAAACTGCTTGCTGCTGTTGCTGGCCTGATAAGACCTAGTCCAGTGGCACAGCAACCATTACTGCAGTCCCACGATCTGCCAGGCATACCCACTGGAACTACCCCTACCAACATCTGTGAGGTCTCCAGATCCGATCCTTCCACCAGGGGTGTTGAGTAGGCTTGGCCCCCCCATACGACAGGCGATCCAGACGAGTCACTACGACCACATAACGCCCACTGCCAACACGACACCTGCATAACCGAGACTGCTAGGCGGAGCCATCCTGGGCCCTACACGGCCTTGTCGCACCTCCCGCTCGATACAGCCCGGTTCGAACCTGTCCGACAAACGACTGACCGCCTCACCCGGAGCGCATGAACTGCTGCTGTTTCATCGACGCCTACCTCGACCTCCAGAACCGCGCTGTCTGGTCCTGAGAATCAAAGACGAGAAGAGTTGCCTGATCCTTACGCATAGCCCGCCTCAACGCGACAGCCACCCACTTGGTTGACGCCACACCTTCTTTGCCAACAAACGAGCGTACGGCCAACGCACGACGCGCGAGACCAACCTCCGTCACGATCTAAGACTTCCTGTCCCATATCTGCGGAAAAGTGTCAGGTTGTGGAAGTTGCCTGAGGTGCCACTCACCTCTTGTGCAGTCCCAACCCGTCTGAATTCTCCAGGCCGTGTCTACCTATGCGCATTGGCCGACTAAGTTGAGGGGGGTTGCGACTGCGACTTGGACCTGGCTCCTCCTTGTGTCATTTCTTCCTGCGGTAATTCGTCTATACGACCTCACACCTACCTGATTGTCTGGGGCCCTCGCCGTTAAAAGCCAGCTTCTCCCGCTATCATCATCGAACATCAAGCGAACCCGGCCATTCTCCCACCATGGCTGACCCCAATGCCTCCTCCGATTACCTCCCGCAACCCACTCGCGACCGAGCCGACAGCATGATGTCGAATAAAGCGCTCCCAGAGGGTAGCGGTGGTCCCTTGAACGGCACCGCCGAGCTCGCCAGCCCCCTTGCTGCCCCTCCCGACCTAGCACCACCTGCGATCACCACAACAGCCCCAGCCGGACCCAGCTCTGGGGTTGAGAAGATGGTCCAGGACGTGCTTACATCTGAGGTTAGTTTTGCTTTCCTTGTTGTGAGGGTGTATGCTCGAGGACAGACTGTGAGCAACGGAGTGTACTGACAAGGTGGTGTAGATTGGGGTTGCCACAATGCTCAACCGGCTGAAGCAAAGCATCGCATCGGCAAAGGTATGTCAGGCCCGCGAAAACCCTAAGGCTTGCTCATGACACAATGCTGATCTCTGGACCTTGTGGTAACAAACAGGAATTTGCCAATTTCCTCAAGAAGCGAGCCTCCATCGAAGAAAACAACTCGACCATGCTGAAACGGCTATCTCAGGGCACGTCAGACAACATGCGCCGCGCCGACCATCTTGGAGGCACGTTCAACAGAGCCTTCGACGGCATGATGACCATCCACGAGCGGATCGCCGAAAACGGGCTGCAGTACGCCATGTCGCTCCACCAAATGAACGAGGATCTGGTCGAGCTCGCCGCCATAGCCGAGAAGCAGAGGAAGGGCTGGAAACAGTCCGGACTGGCGGCAGAGCAGCGGGTTTCGGACGTCGAGGCTCAGATGCGAAAGTCACAGTTGAAATACAACTCCTTGGCGGAGGAGTACGACCGGGCGAGGACGGGCGACAGCTCAAAGAGTAGGGTGTTTGGCATCAAGGGCCCAAAGTCTGCTGCCCAGCATGAGGAAGAGCTGCTGCGCAAGGTGCAGGCCGCCGATCAAGACTACCAGAACAAGGTCCAGATACTGCGGCAGGAGAGGGGCCAACTGATATCGACGACGAGGCCTGAGGCCATCAAGGCGCTGCAGGATATTGTTAGAGAGTGTGACTCTGGATTGCTACTGCAGATGCAGAAATTTGGTAAGCAACCCCAAGATGGCTTGCACAGGCTGCGGCGTACTGACGAGGGGGTCCTCAGCGTCGTTCAACGAGAAGCTCCTGCTGAGCAATGGGCTGAGTATCAGCCCGCTCAAGAATGGGAACTCAAACCGGCCGGATTCCATGAGCCTCAGGGAGATCGTCAACAATGTCGATGCGCAGAAGGACCTCAGCGACTTTTTGTGCCAAAACCACAGCAAAGTCGCTCCGCAGACGGGAGAGCCAAAATATGAGCGCCATCCTGTGAGTCGCGCCCAGATCATATATGAGCCAGCCACTAAAGAAGGGGGCAAGAAGATGAATTGACATCGTTACAGGTTTTGGGCGGTTCCGGCGGTGGTGGCAGCTCAACAATGCCTGGAGCTGGCCATCCATCACAGAGCCAGACTGTGAAGGCCCAACCACCATCAACACTATCACCGCTTCCTCCTGATGGCAGGCAAGACACATACCAGCAGGGCCCACCGCTCAGCGCACCTCAGGGTCAACAAGCTCCACCGTTCAACCAGGGTTCGGATTGGCCCAAGGGATCAATGCTGATGTCAGGCGCCCAACGGCCTGCTTCCTCGAACCAGCAACATGAGCGCAGCTTTAGTTCAGGCAGCATGTTGGGTACGTCTGGGCCAACCGCATCGCAGCCACCTTACAGCAATAGGAACTCTGTGGGCCCAGGTGCGCTGTTGGCCATGCAGCATGGTACCGCCAACTCGCGATATAACAGCGGCTTCGGCCCAGCGCAAGGACCGCCGCAGCTTGGTGCGCTACCGTTTCAGGAGCCCTCTCCAGCTACACAGGGACCATCATTTGCGCCGGACGGTCCGGCGCGGGAGCAGCAGGCACCACAGTTCCCTCCCCAAGGCTCGACAGCGCCGGCCCAAGAGCCTTCCATGCCGGTCTTTGGCGTGTCGCTTAGCAGGCTGTACGAGAGGGATGGGTTGGCCGTGCCAATGGTGGTTTATCAGTGCATCCAGGCCGTCGATCTCTTCGGGCTGAACGTAGAAGGCATCTACCGGCTTTCTGGGTCATTGCCTCATGTCAACAAGCTGAAGAGCATGTTTGACACCAGTGAGTGTCCATAGCCCATGACCGGAGTCACTTAGTGATGTTGCTGACATTATGAACAAGATACCACATCACCAGAACTCGACTTTAGGAATCCCGAGAACTTCTACCACGACGTCAACAGTGTGGCCGGCCTCCTCAAGCAATTCTTCCGGGACCTGCCTGATCCGCTGCTTACCAGAGAATATTATGAGAACTTCATCGAAGCAGCCAGTGAGTTCAACGTCGTTCCCCAGTCATCTTGTATTTCGTATACTGAACCCCGCTACCAGAACATGAAAACGACATCGTCCGCCGTGACTCTCTCCATGCCACCATCAACAACCTCCCCGACCCGAACTACGCCACGCTCCGCGCGCTAATGCTGCACCTGCACCGTGTCGTGGAGAACTCTGGCTCGAACCGGATGACGAGTCAGAACCTCGCTATTGTTTTTGGGCCGACACTCATGGGCGGTGCACAGAAGCGAAACATCGCGGACTCGGGATTCCAGTGCAAAGTCATCGATACGATTCTACAAAATACGCTACAGATATTTGATGACGACTAAGGATGCAGTGGCTCGTTCGAAAAGTGGAAGACTAGGGTATAATTACTGAGTTCTATTCACTTACCCAAGTCTCGACAAAATGGAGAAAAAGCATGACAGTATTGGGTTACAAATTTCTAGTGTGGAACAGTAAGCTTACTATTGGCGGGCGGAATTCTGTCTAGCATTGGGATTGCTTGCCTTACTCTATCCCTTCTTCTATTCTTATCCCTGTTTTCTTTTTCTTTTCTTTTTTTCTCCGGGGGGTTGGGGGGGGGGGGGGGGAAAGCTTGAACAGGACGAGTACGGCGTGGTGGGAATGAAGGAGTTTCTCTGACTCACAGTGCAGACTGCTACTGCAGCGCCATTTTTAAGTCTCAATGTTATGTGATCAACGTAGCATGTTTGTCCTTATTGCTGAGATGGAGATTTGTATCTTGATATTCAACATACTTAAAGTACACTCATGACAAAGACCACTCTCGATCTTGTTACAGCAATGGTGAGTCGCAGCAGCCATGTACCCGTTGTGCTCTCATTTATCTTGAGATACTATTTACAAAAACACTGCTGACCCTTTCGATTCTATTGGTATTGCGAGCATTACATATGAAAGGTGTAAGACTTCATTGGTTCTCAGTATCACTTGACGAGGTTCTAGATTGAACAACGATGATGGGTGTACATGGTTCAGCTGTAATTGATAACTCTATGAAATAGGGTTTGGGTTTCTCTGTAGGCATCATCACCCTGACACCAAGACTTTGTACTCCCCAATTCCGATACAATGCTGGCCTTCAGAGATGCCTTTCCCTTTCACACTCAAAACGATATTTAGAACGCACCTTCAACTATAAAGTTCATATGACCACCAGAGGTTCCTCCTATGCATCCGGCAACTTGGTACATCTGAGCGCAGCAGTATCATGGGCGGCATTGTACGTTGACGTATAGCGAAAAGCTCGCTCTATGCTTCCACGACGACTAATTCAGGAGTTAGTACAAGCCATCGACTCATTACGACAGAGACGTGGAAATCCAGTCTGAGCTGATGCTGTCTCAGGAGTCTCAAGACCCCCTGCTGTGGACCAAGCGGCGTCTAGTCCAAGGTTGACCCCTTCAAAGAAGAACGAGATCGTATAGAAAAGTGAATTACGTACTTGTCTTGGTTAGGCCATTGTGTTTTTCGAAAGTGGAACTGGATCTTCACGCCATGGTCGCCTTGGGCATTTTCTGTCTCAACACAGGCGAAGTTCATGACATCAACGTTGCACTCTATGCAGCCGGATTTGAACAGTTAGCCTAGTCTGGCCCTCAAGGAAGACAGCATTCTTTGTACAAAGAAAAAAACGCATGTTCGTGGTCGACAGGGACGAGGAGGACGTACGATACTCAAGCTCTTGTCGGAAGTCATCTGCACACTGGTTCGTGATTTTGTTGACTTTTGGCTCCCATCTCTTGGCGTAGACCTCGATCCACTGCGCATCGGCATATCCGTCGGCGGAAGGTCTTGCGCCGTACACACAATATCGATCGAGGTTGGGGTCGCCCGCAAAGTCTATGGTCCTTGGCGCGATGGTGACAGTCTGGTTCAGAAAGGGTGGCCCAGGCCAGTGGCCCTTGACGATGGGTCCTGCGCCCACGATAGAGGGCAACAAGAAAGCCGCAAGCGAAACAAGTTGGGAATGCATAATGAAGGAGAATTTTTGCTGTGCAGTTTCCGTTTGATCCTCGTCGCTGCATGTCGCTCTCCGTATCAGATTCAGAGAAGCTCTGGGGGGCTGTGCATTTTATATAGATGGTCATCTGTGGCTAAAGCCTAAGTACACTGAAATAGAAGCCTCGTCATCTCCTGAGCATCAATTTCGCTACTATTCTCATGAGTTTAATGACGCTTGGATTGCTCCTAATTTCTGAACACTAGGCTACCTCTGTGCAAGAGAGTGCGTTTGACTCCTAGTTCGCTTTTTAAGTACTTAGACGCATCTTTTCGCCTGCCCAAGTACTTACTTATGTGCCTATACTAATTTGGTCCTTTTTAACTCATTTAAGTGATCCACGATTGTCCTGCTGCCCATTGAATCGCAAACTATGTCGTCTGATTCATGTTTCCGCCTTTGCAGTACCCGGTGTTCCGGTAGGAACTTCTACTCGAGCCGGCGCATTCTGTCTTCCATCTAGAACTCTCAGCACCTCCATTGTTAAGATAATCGCTCTATGTGGTCATCCTTTTATGAGATTTGGTTGGTACGTACCAAGGCAAGACTTCCCCACCTAGTCTTCACGCAGACGATCAACTTTCTGTGGTGTCCCCCCCCCCCCCCCACCCCTCCTTTAAAAATGCCTCCCGCTCAGGATTGAACGGGTGATTAGTGAAATGCCGCAGCCTCTCTCATGAGCAAGCATAGGCTTTTTGCTTTGGGCGCTGCGCGTTAACATAAGAGTTTGCTTCGCACGATCTTGTCACAAGATCATCCTGATACAGAGAAGGACGGGTGGCTGATTTCGTTGTGGTCGAGCTAGGATAAATTGTGATTGTCACGATGTATGACGCTCTATAGGGCTAAACAAGTTGGAATCCGAGGTTCAAACGCTGGGATCTCTTTCAGTCTTGGTCTCAATGCCGTCGAAAAGATTAACTCAACTTTCTTTTCACGTATGAGTGTCACATGTCAAGGCCAAAGCTCCGTAGCCCTACCTGAATGCTAGTATAGAGCACCCCAGACCAGTCCTAATGTTGAGGGACTCGTGCCCAAGACTCGATGTTCGATAGCGCGGTCTAAAGCCAATTTTTATCCCCCCAAGTCTAGTCAACTTCGACTGGCAGCAGACTTAGAGCTACTAGCCTCCAGATTGGCCACTGTTGATCATTTGTGGATCATTGTTGTTCGTCTCAAATGGCTAATACGGACCACTGCGAGTGCATAAAACTCTCTTGGCAGAGGAGGGGGGTTAATGTTGATGACATCAACCAGGAGCTTCTGACCAAAGGTGCAATACATACATACCAGTAAGTATATTTCTCATACTTGCCTTCATGGATCTCTTCGTTTTGGTAAACGGTGTAAGCAAAGAGCTTCAAGAGCGAAGCCAGTGGTCATTACATTATACAATAACATTGAACACTGAGACCTTTTCATTGTCTTCCTTCTCCTCGTGACGGACTGAGCGTCAAGGCTAGGATGTTACTATGGCTTGGTTCATTGTGATTAGACGCAACTACTTTTACTCGGACTCAGTCCCAGGCTATGGCAACTAAGATTCTTAGTCTCTGGAAGCTTTCTGTCATAACTTGCTCTTCTGTTCTCATCTATAAATATGAGGTCCTCTCTTCTCTTCGTGCAGCGAAACCAACAACAATAACAAGTTTCTGACCACATGGTGATCTTTTCAATAGTGTGACAACCCTGAAATTCTTTTCATTCTACCGGCATCCGCCCTATATCGAGTCCCTAAGCTAAATATGCTGCTCAATTTCCTCCATGTCGGCCTCTTTGGCACTCTTGCTTCTCCAGTGGCTGCCTGGTCTAGGCCAGCCGTTGTCGTAGGCGCAGACAATACAACCTACAAGATGATTGATCTTGGGTGGAATGTACGGATCAATGACACCCGTAAGTTCTCTGGGCCAGAAATTGACATTGACGACTTCCTATGATATCTCCGACCGCACTCAAAGATACCTCGGCGGCGATGAGAATTTGGTAGCTGATCTTGGTGTGCAGACACCCTACCAGTCACCGGCACGGTGCAAGACGTATTGGAGGCCCTTCGCGAGGTCGACCCGAACTATATGACAGCTCGTATACAAGAGCCTATGCTCGCACACGACGGTCTTAGCGATTCCCCACCAGCCCGTATCTCCAGACGCAGCCATAAACCGACCACGCAGGTCTGCCGCGTTCCTGGACACAAAACCGCAACCCTGGTCTATATATGGCAGGGAATCTTTCACCTCGACTCGACGGACGGCCAGCCATCCAACGCTCCCGGGCCGGGCGAGTGCGGCAGGGTCAGCTGTTCTGAAGGTGCGGCAATAGCCTGGTGCAACGATGTATGTTCACTTATCCTGCCTTGCAATCACTCCTTTCCGTTTCCCTTTCCACCTACCTTTCCATTCACCTTTACAGACGATATCAATATGGACCTGAATGACTGACCTTCTACATCTGCTTCTCTAATCCAACCAGAACAAGGAGACCAAAGTTCTTGAGTCTTTTAGTGACGTTGCGGATGGCGCTGCTCGTCTTGCTAGGGACTGTCAACTGTTCCCAGGTGCTGGCCGGGCTGGCGGTCAGCAATTTTTTGAAGATGGTTGGAATGTCATGGTTTATGATGCATGGTGTTAAGTTTTCAAGTCTCTAAAGCGGTGTTACTTATCCCTAGGATCGGGCTCTTGTGAAGGGTGGGGGGGGGGAGGGGGGTTGGTCGTCTTCTTCAATCATTTTATCATAATACCTTGATGCAATTACCGCACCTACAAGTCTTAGACCTACAAGCATGCGAGTATAAATAAAAGCAACTACGCATAATACCATCTAGGAAACGCAGAGACTCCCGTAAATAAGAAAGAAAAGTAGAGGCCAAAGTTATGCGTGTGTCGTAGAGGATGGTGTGCCTTTGGGTAACCTCTTTCGCAGTTTTGCATTCGCGTTCCATGTTTTGCTGAAACCTAGTCTTTAATGATTTACTGCAATTTGAAGTGAATTGGTAATCTCTTTTAGTTTTTTAACATCTGCATATGCTTAAAGATTAGGAGCAGAGGAAAGAATAAGTCAGAAGGAAGTCCTTCCCCTTTTGCAAGATTGGTCACAGTTGTTGACCTGGCCATACACTCATATGTCAGCCAGTCAGCCTCGGACGCCAGTCTCGCCTTCAGTTCATTGGCTGAAATAGAGAGTTCTGTCGACCTAGTGTAAAAGATGCACAGCTGACTCGAGGGAGAGGAGGACAACGACGACGATGATGTCTCAGTTGTTGACTCGAATGACTTCCTCCCCGAAAGTGAATCAGAACCCAAGAGGCTGAGGGAAACTCAGCATCATTGTTTTGCTGTAGCTATCCAGATATGTTTGACTACACATGCCATTTCTCTTCTTTTTGGAGCCTCCTTCCAGAGAAGCCTGGCAGCAGCTTGTGGGAGAATGGCAGGCGGCCGCCTATGTGCTTTCCTTGGGGCCGGGGAGAGAGGGGGGGGGGGAGATATCAGGCAAAACCTTGTCCTTTTCTAAACCTCACATCTCAGTAACTCACTGTAGATTAGTTGATTTAAGTCTCAGGTGGGATCTTCTGCAATTCTTCGGACTGAATACGCCCTGGATTTGGCTGTAGCCCTAGCAACTACTTGAGTTGACCTGCTGTCATGCAGGGGGTATCTTTGCTGTCTTGTATTATATTTTCCTTTGCCTCTTTTGAAAAACGCTACTATCCTCTGCTCTGGGAGGAAGGCATGTGCGTCATTCCCAAGACAAGGAAGGTAAGCTGCCCTAGCCTGCCGTAGCAGTTGACAGCTTTTCTTTGATGCATTAGATTTTCTCTTGCCAGAGGTGTCTGTAGAGGTTTTGAATTTGTCCTAGCGCTCCCTCTCTGGATTTCTCATGCTTCTAAAATCTAGTGAGCTGTCTCCACCCTTCTCGTCTGATGCTTTGGCTACCAGCAACGTCCTCCTGCCCTATTCCAGGCTCCCTTGGGAATGTACGACACGAGAACCTACCAGGTAAACTACGCTTGTGCAGACACGAACTTCATTTCCTGACAGGATAACACCTGAGGTCAGTTGTCGCGTCCCACCTTCCCAGGCACCATTCTTTCTGACCCAGAAAAGCATCGTTCTCCATCCCAACAAGCATGCCAGAACTATTTCTCGCATGCCCCTTACCAGTTCCAGTCCCAAGATTATGCAAGCTCCAGTTGTATCTCTGCTCCCATCTACAAAGAGGGTGGCCGCTGCAAACAACACCACCCGACCCCCGCGCCAACACCAACACCAACACTCACATCAACACAATACTCCACTGCAAACAACAGTACAAGAATAATCCTTCTCCCATTCCAAATCTACCGTCAAGATCCACTCTCCTACCTCACAAGACAGAACCCACTGCGGACATTGGTTCTGCTGTCATACATCATCATGTCTTGCCTTGAGAGTATTCTATGTGGTCTAACGGGCGGCCCCAAACCCTTCCCAAAATTCCCACTGCAAACAGGTGCAATGATACCAGCTGTAAGTACCACCACCTCCTCAGTCCTCCCTCTTCCTTTGGTCCCTCCTTTCTTTATGCACCCTTTTCATTCGTGCTATTGCTTGTTATCAATATGCAAGTCACTATCATTCAGCTGACGTGTCGACTCTGGCACCTCACAGGTAGGTTTCGGCACTGGCTCGACGTGGGCCAAGCCAGAGCGCGGCAGAGTCAACCCAGAACTCATCCATATGATAAAGACTGCGATTTTGTCTGGCTTCACCCATATCGACACATCCAGGTCTTACTTTACTGAGGAGGAGGTTGGAATGGCAATCAAAGAGAGTGGAGTTCCAAGGAACAAGCTTTTTCTGACAACCAAGCTACCTTGTCCGATTGAGGACCCTGAAGAGTACATCAAAGACAGTCTTCGCAGGCTGAAGACGCCCTACGTTGATCTGTAGGTCAACCTGCTGCAACCTTGGCCAGCTTCAGCTTCATCAACGCCAGAACTGACATATCTCTCAGGGCTTTAATCGAGTCTCCCTACTTCACGGATGATTTCTCCCACCTACAGACAGCATGGCGATATATGGAGTTCATATTTAACTCTGGCCGGGCCAAGGCTATTGGTGTGTCCAACTTTCTACGTCAGCATGTCGAGGCAATTCTCGACATTGCCAAAGTCCCCCCTACCGTGAACCAGATCGAGTTCCACCCATACCTACAACGGTCTGATGACTATGTTAAGTGGATGCAGAGCAGAGGAATCACGGTGTGCGCCCACCATCCCCTTGCGCCCATCACTGCGGGTGCAGGTGGCCCTCTGGATCCTGTACTGGACAAGATATCCAAGGCCCACAGCGTTTCTGTCACTGCAGTTTTACTGAAGTGGCAAATTGAACTGGAAATCGTCGCAATTACAACCACAGAGACCGAGGAACGGCTCAAAGAGTACTTGCAGGCTGCCCAGTTCGAGCTGACGGACGCAGAAGTTCAGGAGATCTCTTCTGTTGGAAAGACGGCCCATCTTCGCACCTGGGATCTGGGACGTTTCTCGATGGATGATCGCACCTGATTCTGTTCTGAGATTGATACCATTTTGAGGGGCCAATTATTTCATTTGGCAGCGACATGCTCATGATCACTACAAGCTGGCGGATGGAGAGGATGGATAAGGGTCTGCCCATTGGATTGACACAATGTTTCCTGACCTTGTTGGGAGAGATGAATTGGGCGTCTTGATTGGATCTGATTAAAGATTATGGACTCCCATGTTATTTGATGGAGTGAGATCAGCTGGCTGCTAGTCACGTAATTTCACGTAGTCACAAGCCTTTACCCTATCAGAATGCAGTTTTTCCCCCCAAAAAAGCCATGAGTCTTCTCCAGTTTTGGGGTCTTGCGCTATACCTTCAAACCTATCCTCGCCATACTATCGCTGTCTCTATCTTGATTTCTGGCTGTCAGGATCGAGGGGCCCCTGAGGTATCTCAGCCCGGGAAGGAAAATGGAGAGAGCTCTTCCCCTCCCCCCCGCCAAAAGAAAAGAAAAAAAGACTGCTTGACGACTTCCTACACACCGGAGACCAACCATCCTTGTGTCTATCTCTACCTGTGAATAAGGCAATGTGCTTGGTTTGGTCATCTGATCCTGGTTCAGATGCGAGTCACGCAGCAAGTGAGCGTGTGTGTAGTCACGATAACCTCACATTGAAATCTGTATAGAGAGAAGGGCCTAGTATGTATAGAGACTAGCGTGCAAGGTAGGGGAGGAGTTTATCCCGGTAGTCTGCAATCGGAGTCGTTAGAGCCTCCCTTGCATCCCTGACCCAGATTATGAATATGGGGTCTGGTCCCATATGCAGCGACATCGTTTCTCCAGGTACTTGGCCAATGTTGATCAGTAATTCCAGTCTTTCCGAGATGTACAAGCATGGAGATATCAACCCAATTGCCATTCTCTACCTCCTAAAAAATATCGTAACACGTGGCCCATGTCCACCATTGATTCTTCAGTGGAAACGAGATGGAGCAAGTGCCGCCTGTGCACCAAGCCTCCCTCCACTCGATAGCCTGTGCCTCGTCCACGTCCTGTTCCTTCCTCCATCCGGCTGCCCTCGCCCAAGTCACCCGCTCCGGTACCCTCTCTCTCCAAAAGAGACAGTGAGCTTGAGGCGAAGAACAACGATGGAGAATTGACCACAAGGGATGCCAAGTCATCCAATCTCTGAGCCATGAGGACGAATGTGAAAGGGATTATCTGTGTAGGAAGGTGGTCGAGAGATCGGGAGTGTGGATCACCGGCTAGAGCCGTTGGTCCTCCAGGCCGTTGGGGTCTTCCCGGGTGATCGCCCACTAATACCCATAGCCGTCACCCCAACCGCACAAACACATCTCAACCTCTATGATCCCTGCCCAACCTGTCGAGCAACCCATTTCTGCCATTGCGCCTCCACAGGATTTTCTGTCGTGCGTGACGACGGCAAATGCAAAAGAAGAATTGGGGGGGGGGGGAGGGGGGGATGGAAATGCAAGAAGTAAAAGAGAAAGAAAGAAGAGAAACAAAAAAACAGCCCGAGAAAATCCCGTCCGAAACTGAAAAATTGAGAAGCATCTGTTGTGCCAAAAAACCTCAACCAACAGGCCGAGTACCCAATCCAGCCGCTGTGAGGAGTTTGAAACAGCACCCTTCTACGATATCGATGGGAGTGGAGAAAAAAAGACCCGAAATTAGTTGGCGTTGTTGGGTCACCTATTTGGTGGGTGCATATGGCGCAGAGTCCCGTTGGGGGTGAATGTAATAATAAATAAGAATGTTGTCAGGAATGGGGGCAGATCGGCGGGTAGAAGGTGTAATAAATATGCTGTGGGGTGACGCGAAGTGGAAACAGGCCACATGCCAGGGCCGAGAAGGAAAAGAAGAAAAAAAAAAAAGGAAATGGGAAATGGGAAATGTCGAGAAACCGGGGGTTGTGGCCAACCGTTGACGGTTGTAATATTCCATCCAACGCCATCAAAGATGAGTCGGGTCCGCCAGCATCCTGAAGCTGAAAAAGACGATCCATGTGAGGGTATTGTGATGAAAAGCCCAAAACCCTAACAACAGTCCGAAGCGGGACCATGGAATAGTAGGAGGGAACAGAGAATATGGTAGAACCCACGCGCATGCCCCCCCGTATAAGGAGGCCGTGTATCCATCCTTGAAGGTCCTGCCACGTGGCCTTCCTTGTCCTTGAAAACGAATATCCCAGAGACGATGTGTGTTCGCATGTTGAACCAGATTGACGGGCGTGTTGAGGGTCTAAGCAAGGAGTTCCTCGTAACAGCGCACAACCTCACACATGGCACGCATGAACATGGGGTCCAGCACGTTGCCGTCGGTGATGGAGAGGATGGCGTTCTGCTCCTCGTGGGATCGGCAGATCTGGCCACGCGAGCAGCTCTTGGTCATCTCGACAAGGCGGTAGATGTTGAGGGCGATATCGTCACGCAGGTGCCGCATGGCCTGTTCCGACTCGAGGGACTGGGTGAATGATGTGGCGGTGGGAGAATTCTTGAGAGGCAACTTGGCGTGGAGATCGCCGCCGCCGCCGCCGCCGCGAGGGCCAGGGGCTGGTGCGAAGGGCCCGTTGCAAAAGTCGGTACATCCAAGACCAAGTGTTGCGGCCGCCTTGGAAGGGACAGTCACTCTGGAGGCCACGGTGGCTACGTTGTGGTGGAAGTCGTGGATGACCGTCTCGCTGGAATCAGGGTGCATCTGCAGGTCGGCAAGACTAGTGACGCCCGCAGGGAGTTTCATCGAGGGCTTGGTGTTGAGAGGAGGGAATCCGCCGTTGCCGTTGCCACCGCCACCGCTGCTGTGCAGCTTCAGGGGAGCCAAGCCACCGAGGAGCGAATTCATGTAGTTGTAGGCGATGATGTGGGCGTACAGGAGATCAAGCAGATAGTTGGTGCCGTCTGGAAAGATGACTCGAAGCGCATCGACACAGGCCTCGACCTCAGTCTCGACCGGATCAGAGGGCAGACTGTCGAATCCAAGCGTAACAGCATGGGGGTCATCTGCAGCAGGAGGACCCCACAGGTGGTCGCCGCCATTTCCTTGGAGGGTGGCAGAAGTGGCAGAATGGCCGAAGCGGTTGCTGAATTTTCCACGCAGTGAGTTTATCAGTTTGAGATTTCCAAGCGATTTCTTGCGATTCAGGTGGGTCCGCAGCTCAGGAGAGGTGGGCGATCGGATGGTGGCTCGCGTCTGCTCCTCCTGTAGACGGCAGGCGGGAACACGGTCGTGGATGAGGTCGCCACGGCGTAGCTTTCGGGCGTAGCTGCGGATAGTCTGGATGGTCAAGCAGCTGGTTGTGAGCGACAGGTCGGGAAAATTGCAGACAATGAGACGCAGGTTCTCGAGAACACCGCCAGAGACGCGAATGTTGGTGGTGATGGGAGACATGCCGTTGGGCGACGAGGATGGCAAAAAGTCAGATGGGAGAGATTCGATAGGGGCAGGAGCAACGGTAGCACTGCTGCCACCACCGCCGCCAGACGACAGCCAGGTGTTGACGCGACCGATGCCGGGCATGTTGTTGCCACTCAGCGATTTTCGATGCTTGGAGGGTTGTTGATGTTGATGCTTGCGCGGAACGTCGCGGCGCGCCGTGTCTGTGGTAGGGAGGGGAGGCAATGATAGTTGATCTGAAGCTACCAGTGACGTTTCAATCTGCAAATTGGAAAGAGTTCGGCGACGAGCAGCAGCAGCAGCAGCAGCAGGTATGAGATTTCCAAATGCTGTCTCTCGCCCGTCCCAATGACTCAGCGAGGCAGCATTGAGAGGAGTTCGGTGAGATGAGGTTTGCAGTGGTGGTGGTGATGATGATGATGATGATGATGGCAAGAGTTGTGGTTGTTGTTGGGATTGTTCCTGTGCTTGTTGATATTGTTGGTGTTGCTGCGAGACCAGGTCCTGGTTGAGATTGTGGGTCGAAGCTCTGCGAGAAGGTAAGATGTTCTCCCCCATGGTGACTGTACAAACGCGATGGCTCAGCGACGACGACCTCCTGGGCACCTGGATTGGTGGTAGGTGGTGAGGCTGGCCAGACGGATCTCCTCTTGAAGCAGGTGACTTGTCGTTTGCAGCATGCGTTTCAAAGGCATTGCCGCACTGATGCTGGAAGTCGTCAGGTGTCCGCAGTGATTTGCCTCCTCGTCCATTCACGTTCCTTTCTTGCTGCTGCAGCAAGTCGGGCTCCAGGTCAACCCAGCTCTCCCCTTCCGCCCCGCCACAGTGCGCAGCCGTCTTCTGCGGACTGCCTGCAACCAACCCGCACCCTCCTACCCCTCGCCCGCCTCCAGGTCCAAGCACCACGTCGATGGACGTGGTTGTAGTAGTAAAGGACTGCTGTCGCGTGTGGACGGACGGAGAAGACATTCCGGCCTCAAGATCCGCCGACGAGTCGCTCCCCCAACCTTCATCCATGCCGTTCAGGATCAGCTTCCGCTCCTGTCCCTCGATTCCCGGCCTCATTGAGAACCTGCAGGCACTGGGTATGTACTCTGACCTCTTGATCGGGAATGAGCGACGGCGAGCTTGTGCATCTTTAAGCATATGCCCTCCTCTCTCGTCCCCTTTCCAAGCGCTGCCCATGCTGTTCCGCCTCACAGTACACAGGTCGGCTTCTGAGGATGCACTGTACGACATGTGCCTTGCCACACGACTGGGACTGCGCTGTGGGACGTCAGGTGCCAGCGCCCGCGAGGCTTGAGCCACCAACGGTCTCCCTGCTGTAAGGTTCCTGGCCAGAAAGACATCCTGTCGCTCCGTGAGGTCCTGGGCGAGCATCTCTGGGAGGTTCTGGATAATCGATCCCGTGTGAGCCATCATTTTAAAACTTTGAAACGCAGGCTGCCGAGAGGACAAAGAAAAAGATGGAGAAAACCCGCCACGGGGGATGGGGGAGGGTGTAGATCAGAAGGGACAGCAGCACAGGTGACCGAGCTCAGCCGCAGCGACCCAGCAAGACTGCTGTCCGCAGCGCGAGAGACCAGATGCTAGGAGACTTGGACACGATATGTCACATGGAACACGTTCGGTGCCGTATGAGGAGGATACACAAGTCGCTTCCCGGCGTTCAGTTGGTGCGGCAATCCGGTGGATGGCTATGTGTGACGCTACACGCATACACACATAGACACGCACGCACACCAATATACATACACCAAGTCCGTATCCGAAAATAAAGACGTCAACCTAATTTGCAGACTGGTGATTGGGGACCAGAGTCCTTTGGGTATCGACTCGTTTGAACTGCTGCAGATGGATGACCGGCAGGGTGCTCGACAAAACGGATGCCTGCAGGACAGACCTGACCAAAGCAGACTGCCTAGTTGACAGAATTGATAATTGTCGTATTGGTCGAGAGAGAGAAAGAAATAACCAGAGGTGATGCGATATGTGAAGTAAGGATAGAAAGATAGGCGGGCTTCCGACGTCCTCGTCGCTCGAGGGGTGCTGCCAGCTAAGGAGCACGTACAGAGTCAGAAAGTCCTCAAAGCAGGGGAAGTAGACCAATGCCGCAAGAAGATGTGGTCCTCGAATGGAATACACAACACCTTAATGAACTCTCGGACACACAGGATTGCAGACATGCAACTTTTGAAGAGACAGCCGCAGCTGAGACACAGGCCCCCCTCCCCTATCAGCCAGCGGTTGGTTGGCGGCCCCCAGAGCCCGCTGCGGCACTCGTCTCTCTATTTTGACAGCAAGAAAAGAGGGAAAGAAAGACTTGCATCGAGAGAGGGGGTGTCCAGCCCATGCTGCGCGGGCAGGCGTCCCAACACTGCAAGGCTAGCGACATCCTCCCCGAACAAGACCACCGAGCCCGGCGAATCACAGCAGCCAGAGGCGACTAGCAGGACTACCGGCCTGTTGAGGGAGGGTTGACTCAGAATAGTTGAGGTGAGGGCTGACGCCTCTCAAGGCACAGCACGCGCTGCATAGCTTGCCCTGAGCACACGGCCGAGCCGGGACAAGAGAGGCTAGATAATGCTGTTGGGCTTTCCAAGCTGCAAGACTACTGCAAGGCGGGATCCGCTGCCGCGTCCAGGGTTGGCGTGACTCCGGGCGTGCTGAGCAGAGGTGGAGAGAGGGGGGGAAGGGGTGTTTCCTTGCAGGAGGAATGGCAAGCTTGCTCGGTACCATAGTAGAGATTTAACATTCGACGTCGTGTGGGCGCTGTGCCAAAGCATATTTTGAGTTTTGATCTTCAATGTAGGATCCCGAGTTGAAACGCATCATGACATGGCGCCGCCGGTACAGGTAGATTGACGGACGGTGATGCTTCGTGTGCGGCCACCGGCTACTCACGTTTCTCGGACTGACAAGCCGTGCTGAAGGGTGAAATTGGCCTGGTCCCTCCAAATGTCTCAGCTGACAGCTAGCTGTGCGGCCGAAGCATAAGCAACCCCACGGAGATAGATGGTCTGCTCTGCCTGCCTAGGGTCGGCTGAGGACTTCTGAGCTGTGGCTGGGCTCCTCCTGTGCACGCCCCAAGACTGAGACAGGGCCGTTGCTTGCTTTGTCCACCGTCTTTTCCCCCCATGGCGTGGTCATGTCTCGCCTGTCGGACGTTTCAATCGTCACTACAACCGTCTTTGCGGGATCTGCACTTCGATGGAGAGCCCCTGGAGAGAATCCAGACACCAACAGCGAGGAGAGAGATCTTGTCTAGGTTCAGGCCTGCGTCAGGAACCCGAGACCAGAAAAGTGAGGCTGCATCACCGGGAACTGGGATCCTAATGATGATCAATTGAACCATATTGCTTGGTTGGCCTGGCTCTTTGAAGAAGCAACTCATTACATTTAGTCGAGAAAAATACCAGGAGCTGCCATGAGAGCAGCAGGTCAGGGGAGAGGCGTTGAGCGTCTAAGATGAGGAAAAGGAGGTTCGCCGAGGACGACAGGTCAAAAAAAAAATCAAAAAAAATTAAGGTTAAGACCCGGGGCTGTTTAATCTGTGCACTGTTCCAATCATTCACAACCCCACCAAGGCCCGTATCCATCTACATACAGTATTTGTTACTATACTATAGCACATGCCAGGCCTTGAGACAGAGCAGTGACCCCCCTGGGCTCACATCTTCAGCAGGGCCCGTGCCATCCAGGGGGGGGGGGGCTTTGAGAGTTACCAACCAAATTTTCCAGGCAGTGCAGCAATGTCTCGGCCAGATTTCGACCTGAACCTGTAAGCCATGATCATGACCACGAACACGAATCTGAAAGAGAGAGAATTGAATCGCACAAAGAAGGTAAAATTATCAGTATCTGTTTCAATGTAGTTCTTTTGTGAAGTGGCAATCCTATGGCTGCTGTAAAGCTATCACCAATATGGCATTAGAGACAAGGGGTGGTGGTCCGTGTGGGCTACCCTCCCTATCTAACAACATGCACACTCTGCATCTGCATTTAAGTCAACGTCAGGGTGGCCTTTGGGGGCCATCTCTGAAGTTTAAAAAGAAAGAGAGAAAATTCGCTCTGACCAGATCATGTGTTTTCAATGCAGTCTGCTATGCATGAATAAGAAGGAAGCTTTCCCCACCAGGTTGGTTGAGCATGCCCTTGAACATTATTTTAAATTCTTTCTGTCGTAAACCGTACAATTATAGATCTCAGTCCTCAACCTGTGGTCTGTACTCCCTTACTCCTGCCGTCACCATAGAGAGTTACAGTATACAGAGGGAGGCAATCAGAAATTACATATGCCTTGAGTGGAAGTAGGGTTCTTGGTATAGACTTGGAAAGTTTGAGAGGCTGAGCTCTATTTGCTCCTTCCCTTCTTGCCTAAACTGCAGAGCTCCTACAGCTCCTTCTTTCCCACCTCCAGAGCCTTCTTCTCCGTTCGCTTCCTCACCATAAATTAATTAGAGGGAGCCGCTTTAACCCAATACAACCTCACAGCCTGATGAGCTATAACATACATAGACACACGCACGCACATTCTCTTTGTCTTCTTCATTTGGGTCATCTCCTTCATTATCAAGCAAGGGTCAGGCCATAGCAACTGAAGCCACCCACCTGCTCATCAACGAAAGATAATAGCCAGGACACACCAGTACCTATTAAAGTACAACAACATCGCCCCACAGAACAATTAAATCAGCCCCATGCATTCTGCAAGCCAAAGCACAGAGAGCTCAGCGGCTCAGCTGTGTGGGGCAGACACCCATCTTCCCTCAAACAACTTCTCCGTCCTCTCCTACAACAAAGCCCGTGATGGAGTCCTCATCCCAACAACGAGGGCATCCCACACGTATTCTATTGCGGATGGGGCAGGCTGCAAGCGCAGAGGCCGAGAAAACGAGGCGTATGATGCGCAGGGCGGTGCAGAGGGCGGTGGGTCTTCACAGCCGAGGAAGCGGGCCCGGGCCAAGAATTACATCGATGGCACGCCAAATTCTCAACTGCCCGTGAAGTACGATGCCATCACACCGGCCGATGTTATGCTGGACGTGCGCATGACGTCTTAGGAGGATCGTTCCATGGCCGTTGAGATGTCGGGGTTGCAGTCCGCCGGTGGATGGGCTGGTGACGGGGCCAAACCTGCTGGAGTCCATCATGTCTCCGGGTCGTCGTCATCTTCAGATATAGAAATGCTGTCAAGCGAGGCTGTGGTTGAGCAATATTCCGGGTTCTTGCAAGGCACACAGTATCGAGACTTCGCTTACGAGTACACCAACCCACAAATCGGCACACCTTTACCAGGTCATCAACCTTTGGCAGAAGCGGCCGCCACCACAATGCATGCAGGCTCGCCGCAGTCGATGTGCAATCACAGCCTGCTTCTCTCTCAAGTAGGCACGCCGCTGCCACTGCCGCCGCCAACAACAGTCCAGCAGATACGCTTCAGTTGCCCAGCGCCGTCTCCCTTCCGATATCCGTGGGATACGGGTATCCCGACCCCCAGATTCGGAGACGACAGGCGCCTCCTGAACAGAGTTAATTGCTTCGACACTCCACCGGGGACGCCACTTCAGGACATAGCTGCAGCTGCTAGCCACGGAGAACGGGCGTGGGACAAAATGGTTGGTTGCAAGTGTGACATGTACGACGAGGACTGTGCGATGGTCGATGGTCTCTTTGATACCGAGCATGACTGTGAGATGGCCTGTCAAGAAGAGGTGGACCTACGAGACGTTGATATCAACATGGATGGGGGTGATAAAGACATTGATATGCTCTTGTAGGACATGGCAATCGTTGCTTGGGCGACGTGGCTTAATATTGTGGCTTCTACTTAGCGTATGCCCATTGAACAACATGATGAAACGCCGTTATAGCGGTGTCGTCTTTTTTTCATCGGGGGGGGGGGGGGGGAGCGTAATGATCAGAAAACAATCGACAGGCTTTAGCAACTGGGTGTTCACTGCACTTCGAACTGAATTCTTATGCTCGGCTTTCATAATCCACCATTGGGGTTCTTTCAGCATATAAATGAGAAAGTACAAGTCACCCATGTACAGGCCTTACTCCGATTCACAGAGAGTGACCTGTAAAAGCGCAAGACCAAAACGCCATGGACGAAGATCATCAATCACCACATGATATAGTACGTTCAACGCAAGGTCCAGGAAACACCAGACAAGCGATAGTCCCCTTACTTATTCCTCTTCACTCACGGAACTCTCCGAGTCAACATCCATGGCCACGCCCATCTCCCGCTCCAGAAGTTCCTCAAGCTCAAGCTCCTCGTCCACGGGCGGCTCGTCCTCGTCGACAACGTCAAGCATCGGCGTGGGGCTCTCAGCCATGGGATTCTGCCTGCCCACCGGGCTCGGCAGCTTGAACGTGGGGCGCGGGTCATCCTCAACCGCAGGATCCTCAATGATCAACAAGTCATCATCTTCTCCTTCCGCGTCGGGATCATCATCGAAGTCGTCGCCGGACTTGGCCTGGTTTGCCATAAACTCCGAGAAGCGGCGGATCGTGGTCGAGGGTGCAGCGACAGGGACAGGCCTGACCGTCGAGGGCTGTGGATCCGGCCACTCCACCAGCAGCCCGGATTCGTCTTCCGAGTTGTCGTCTTCTGAGTCGACGGGAGAGCGTGGACGCCTTGGTGTCGGCTCCTTGGATTTTGACTCTTTCGATTTTGACTCCTTTGATTTTGGCTCTTTCAGTTTTGTCTCCTTCGGTTTTGGGTCTTCCTTCTTCTTTTTCTCCTTGGCGGGCTCCGCCTTCGGCCCTGAGGATTTTGCCGCCGCTGTTGCTGGTGCTGATGCTGTGGCGCTGGGTCTCTTGCTCTGTACCATGCCCGCGCTCTTGACTGGGTTCTTTGGCTTGTTCAACTTGTTCACCGGAATAGGAGGCTTGAGGAAGCCCTCGTTGTCTATTGTCGACGATGCCTTTGCACCTGACTGTGCCTTCGCACTACCCTCGAGGTGCGGGTATTTCTGCTTCAGGTTCTCGGCGTTATTGTTCGAAGGTGTTCGTGTCAGGTTCATGTTAAAGGTCGAGTCGACGCGGTGTAGCACGAAGGCTTTGCGCTCCGGATCAAAGATAAGGACATATTTCTTGTCCTTTGTTGCTCGACTACCGTTGTAGGCATACTTGCCGCCACCGTCCGTATACGTGAGGTCGTAGGAGGCCGCGCTGGAGGATGAGGAGGACGACGACGACGACGAGGAAGTGGAGGAAGAGAGAACGGGTTTTATTTTGGCGGCGCCCGGCGCAGTGTCGGTGGAGAGATTGGGTCTGTGGTTGTCTGGGGACGGAGAAAAAGGTGATCAGTCTTTTGATTGGGGTTCGGGGGATGCGTTGCAGAAAAAGAGAGCAGTCACACATACATCTAATGGCGGTCAGGATCTCCTTGGACGACTTGCCCTTCAGGGCGTCACTGAGAATGACAGGGTATTTGCCTGGCTTGGTCGGATCGATAACGCCAGGAGGAGTGGCGTTGGTGGCCATGGTGACAGAACGTGGCCAGAGAGCAAAGGAAGGCGGTGGGTGGAGAGTGGAGGAGGGCAGAGAATGGCAAAGTAGCTTGAAACGACAGACAAGGGACCAAGATTTCACATTGCCAAATTGCCAGCTTTAAGAGTCAAGGGTTGACGAGAGATTCAAGAATCGTGAGCAGAGTGCTGTCGCTAGAAGAGTGGAGTTGAAGGGGAAAGGGAAGCAAGCAAGCGGGTAGAAGCATGTTTGGTGGGTTGTATGAACGATGCTAGGGAGCAAAGAGCTAACGCTGAGTGACAAACCTGCCCCCCTGCTAGAGTCCCCAGTGGGTGACTGGAGGGCATGGCAGACTAGCAGGGCACGGCACAGTGGGCCCACCTAGTGCTTGAGGGCATCCTCCTAGGCGGCGGCTTGATCCATGGGCTTTCCCACTTGTCCCACTGTATAGTCGATCACATCCTGTAACACTTGCTCGGCTGCTAATTTAGTTCATGTAGGCAGCTTCACAGGGACCCTGGCCCCAGACCACCTCCCTCGAAAATAGTACAGTTTCTTACGAAAGAGGCCCAATTCTTATGTCGTTTCCCCGGATTCCGGTCCGTTTATTGCTCCACAACCAACGGCCCATCACTCCAACGCAGCCTCGACGATACAGTCAAGGCTGACCACGCCTACTTAAGCAGGGCGTGACAGGGGTTGTCACACTAATCAAGTACACTTCAACGGGCTTCTTTTTCGTGTATTGCCTGAATATCCAACATATTGTTCCTGATGACTCATTCCACGCGGCGAGCCTCGTTCAACTAAGAGAGACGGAGGACAGGAGGGAAAGAGGGGAGGGGCAAGCGAATTTACGTTGAAGGCCCAGCAGTCAAACTCGAAGTCATCCGAAACAAGCAGCCAGACAATCTCAGAATCCACCACCGGTTCCGCAAAGGTCTCACACATTACGAACAATCCTCACTCACAAGCCTTCCGTGTCGTGCCAGCTACACGACGTGCGACCTCTTTCAGAACCCCAGAAGCCCGAGAACCGTACTCTTCGATGATTCCTGAACGTTGCTAAACTACCAACCTGAAAGATCTCGGTGCCTTAGGAAAGGGCTACAGGGCAGGACTCATCGGCACTTGGGTTTTTCGCTGTGTTGCCTCCCGGAAAAGATTTGGCCATGGCAGGCTGTGTCTTAGACATGGCTGACCACTACCGAGTAATGCGGTCGTCCTCTCCGGACAGTCCAATGTCGAGTATGGCGCTATGTAGGGCCTAAGGGGTAAGCACTCGTGGCACTGAATGGATGAACGGCTCAGGCTGTTGGATGCCCAACTTCTATCCGACCGCAATCAGCAATCACGGAAGCCTTGCTCACCGGGACTGGAGGGCTGTGTCATTCACCCGTCGGTTGACTCGGAGAACCCTCTGCAGCAACTGAAACAAATTCAGGAACAGTGATCGCTGAAATTATTGCTATTTCATAAAGTTATCTTGACCTGTCTTCCTAGTCAATGAAAGGTCACTTAGGCTCGGAGAGTTGCACAATGTTTATCACTGGGCTAACCACAACGATGACTGCAGATCCTCCCTCCCACTCGGATTATTAACGTAGCACCAGAATATGAAGTTGCCCAACAAATTGCCTAGTCAGCCTCTCCCTCCCCTTGAATACAGAACATTCAGACCTCCTCCTGCTGCCTTTGCCAGCACGTAAACATCAATACGTAGCCTTCCTCCCTGGTGGCTATAGGCAGGGGTCTTGTAGATCTGGCCCCCAATGAACAGAGCCATAGCTGAAGTAGGAATGTGGGGGTTTGGTGTTGGTGCACAGCGTCCACAGCCTGCTGACTTCACTGCCTACTCTTCTTATGGTCTGTTGTCACCAGGGCTCCAATTCAGAGATCAAGGGTCTCCAGAAGGTGCTGCGCTGAAAGAAAAGGCTAGAGGGGCCATGTCTGTACATGTTCCACTGCCACCTCATCCCCCTGGGATCCAGTGGCCTCACCATCAGCCCATACCAAGAAGAAGCAGCACATGCCTGCTAATGGTTAATAAAAACAATGAAAATCGTAGATTTCGTCAATCAATCACTTCTGTGACTCTCCTGCTATCTTTCTTTTCTGTATGAGGTATTGTATACTGTCGACCCAACCGCGAGCACTTGAATCTTTCTAAGGTCGCATGGTACATGGGCTTCAGTGTCACCACGCTGAGACATTGAACTAAATCGCCAGGCAGTCATTGACTTGGTTTCCGATATTCCATGCTCCAGCAAGCATGAGCGTCTTCCCCGGGCTGTGGGTTCTTTTCCCTGAAGACCTCACGAACGTAGTATTTCATTCACAAATTCAAGTCATCACTTGTAAGGCCGTTGGACCTATTACAGATGACCTTGCGGAGGTGATCCAGGCAGTGGAGGTCGTGCTAGGCCTCAAGATAACCCAAGAGATCAGAGCCATATACCATAGTTACAGATTCATACCCAGTATTTTATACATATCCACTAGATACAACGGAGCATAATCGCCCAAAACGCCTGTATAATGAGTTCGCTAGGCTTAATATTAATGCAGTAGATATTGCTCGAAAGCCATTAGATCACCCTGTCTTCCCTTAATTCGTGTAAATCTCTGGTGAGATAGCAGTGACAGAGGAAATATGGTGTTGTTCACTGCAATTCTGCCAGTGACTCATTGTATTGAAGAGGTTTGCAACTGCTGTACCCATCCAGAGGGAAGTTACCCGTTGCCCTGGTATTTGGCCATGTTCCTCAGGGGCTTTTCTGGTCTGAAAAGGGAATCTTGTGTGTTTTTTATACAGCAGTAGCTCGAGGGCGAGCGAGCTTGACGACAGCTAGAAGGAGTACAATCAGATGAACTATGAGGTGATCAGCTATTCAGCACCAGATACCTCTACTATAGCCAAGCATGGGCCTGTTGTTTTGGGGGAGCTAAGACTCACTCTAGAGAACTCCTCAAAGAGTAAGCTATAGCACTGCTCTAGAGTTGATGTGGCATCTGACTTGCTATGTCCTTCTCAGCTTTAAACTCGGGCTTTGACAAGGGCTGAACAAGGGCTGGGCCGTACAGGGTGATGCAAAATTTGAGGCTCAGAGTATTACTTCCAAGAGGCGATGCTTCTCAGAGTGAACCCCAATGAGTAGCTCAGCTGCTTTTTCTCAAACCACCGAGTCTGACTTGAATGGACCAACACACCACTTTCTGACCAAGGAAGGACATTTAAGATATGACATCCAAGCTGGTGAGTCATACGCACCACTGAGAAAGAATATCAGCTCGGTTTATAACAAGTTATTCATATGTAGTGCTAATTTAGTGCTTTACTCCCTCTTCGTTAGCACTGTCCACAGGGTGTATCATTCAATAGCCTCGCCACGCATGCATAGTACTGATACAACTAACGAGGTGGGAACATTTTCCTTGGGCCTGAGTTCGTTCCAAGATCAAAGACGGACAGCCTGCGCAGGTGTATGGCTGTCCCTGGGCCCCTCGGTGAAGCATGACTGAGGGCACTTGTAGAGAGCTTCCCTCCAAGGAATCTATCGTCTACTATGGTATATGCAACCCTGGGGCCAACCGCGCGCTAAGACCAGCGCTGATCGATTTCCCTGCTGTCCGTCCTCGTGAGCTCCACAAGGAGACCAAAAAGAACAAGCGCCGTCCTAAACCTTGGGAGACATATCCGTGTGTCGGCTGTATGACATTAGTAGTCAATTATGCTGTCTCCTCCCTTCCCTCTCTGCTCTGACCATTCTTTCTGCACTTTTGCCGCACTCTAATCCCCAGTCTCCTTCATGTTCTGAAACTGAAGGAGAGTGGAACTATTATAGTACTATGTAAAAAGGAATTGTCCACTCAACCAATGTTCGATACGCACCTGACCCACATATATATGCACGACATAAACTCTAGAATCTGTCAAGGACAAAGTGCAGCGGAAGTACAGTACAGATTGGACAATAGACCCGAGGATCTGCAGAACTTGCGGTCGTGACCCACATTGACAACGACAACACTGTCCATATATATACTGTGGTATATACCTTCTCGAGGTTTCTCCTTCCAGGGAGGAGAGCGGCAGGCTGCTCCGATGATGCTCACCGATCCTCTGAGATCTTAATGATTACGCGTCTTGTCGCAGAGGTCTACATCATTTGAAAGCAGGCCGAGCTGCTGTACGAGGTACGGCTCGGACTCGGTCGTCTCTGTGTCGGGCTCAACGAGGCTCACCAGTTTAGGGTCTATGCTGGTCCCAGTATGTACATATTCATTCTCGCTGTAGTTATGTAATTATGCTACCCGTGGACCCTGGTCATTCTAAAAAGAGAGGTCAGAATTGAGAGTTGGCTCAGAATAGACATCAGCAAGGCTAACCACTCCCAAATGAGAGATCATGGGTAAGATTTGGCCGGGAATGGAGCTGATCATTCCAATAAGGATGCTCATGATTAAACTTTCGTTAGGAATGGACAACAGCAAGGTTGACTATTCCAAGAAGAGGTCATGATTAAGGTTTTGCTCGTAATGAGCCTGGCCATTCCAATCAAGATGCTCATGATTAAACTTCGGTGAGGAATGGAGCAAGTACATCCTGAAAAGTAGAATGGGAAACTTTCCTTCTTCCTTATCCACTCAAAGCGAGAAAACCTGGATAAGCGAGTCTACAGTCTGAGGCATAGTCGGGTCATCACCCAGCTATTCGTATAAATTAGAGCCTAAACCATGCAAGCTGGTGTAATGATAGTCTCATGTCTGTCCATTTTCAGTCTACTTTGTCGTTTCAATTCTGTCCAAAAATTCAGAGCTCACGGGCAGAGGCCGTGGATGCCACCACCTGTGACCTCAAATTGATATAATCCAAAATATGTTGCGCTATGCCCTGAGCCTCGAAAAATCAAAGGACTAGCCCCCCCCCCCCCTTGTTTATTTATTTTATCTACGTTACAGCCATCTACAGGCAGCTCAAGATCATCAGCGTGTCCACCACCGCATTACTGCTTGCCCGCGAGCGGCTGCAGTTTGAAGGTCTGGTGCACGAGATGCGAAGCACCTTTGTCCTCGAGCTGGACACCACCGTCACTTCCACCAAGGGCCTAGTCTACCTAGAGGCCGTTATCAACGAGACCCTGCGCATCAATCATCATAACCCGAGCAGCACACCTCGTAGTGTGCCAGGGGGTTTAGATGTCGCTGGTAACTTGATCCCTAAGATAACATCATGGACTGAGCTTGTAAGACATACATTCTCGGGCCTGAGATTTTCCACAAGCTGCAAAAGTCTCACCCGGAGCGGTTCTTGGCAGCATCTCATACCTACGATAATTCTCGGTTTGCCAACGACAATGTAAACGCTTATTACCCTTTTCGACTGAAACGAGAATTTCTTTTCAAACTAATACGTCTTATCCCCACCTCCTCCTCTTCTCTGATACAAAGCTGTAATATTGAGGTCTGAGTGAGTTTGATGTTGACCCCTCAACCATTAAGACTCTTCTGGGGATGAGACAGGATTCTTGATCGCACAGAAAGTAGGGACATTAGTTTTCCTAATTTATCGTCTACATGGTTGCGGCAGAAAGCATGGCTGGTGTGTGAGCCAAAGCCAGCTAAATTCAAGCTTGTCGAAGCGAAACAATTACTGATTATTTACATAGTAATCACGTCGACATCGTCCTCCCTTCCCAGGTGCTAACTGCATATGACGTCTGATACACCTTCAACCCCATTCACTCTAGTGAACAAACGTCTGCTTTGATTCTAGTACGAGCACGCTCCACAGCGGCAACGGTGCGGGTAAGCAACGGCCATGGCGGCACATGGAGGCATGGAGGCGCCGCAGATCCGGGTGGTGTCCGGCCAATCATGTATAGCCTGGACCATTGATTAAGAATTCAAGTCCCTCGAGACCAACGTCTGGTGCCTTGTAGGATCACCCCTTTGTGGCCTCACTAACTAGCTAGCTGTATATAGCCTAATGGAGGTACACCGCCGGCATCCGAGCGACGCCAGGCAAATCAGGATGCAAACACGTACTATGTACGATGGAATGTGCACAGTCGGTGTATAACATCGCAGTAAGATGTGGAACATTTTCATTTCTGGCCCGGCTGTCCCGAAGTTCACTTATTACCTCACTCGTGACACCGTCGCCTCGCTCTCTATATGAATGAATCAAACCGTGTGTTCCTCCTGCCCGCTCCTCTCTGTCTCGTATGTCAGTCCAGTATTTCGAACGACAGACTGACGCCTTAAATATCGGTAAACATGGCATCTCCACCCTCACCATTATCTGCGAAAGCAGAACAGCCTCCCCAGGTGCAAATGAAGGTCATTGGCGTTGGGCTGCCGCGATGTGCTACAACGTCTTTGAAGAGTGCTCTCGAAGGCCCCCTCCTCGACTGTGGCCCCTGCATGCACATGCGTTCCATGGTGTGGCAGCCCAACAAGATGCAGCTCGTCATCAACGCTATGCGCGAGAGGGACACCAACCGGCGCCACGCTATCCTGTACCGCCTGTTCGAGGGCTGTGCCTCCACCGTCGACGTGCCGGGCACCCTCTTCGCCGACGACCTGATGGATATGTATCCTGACGCAGCAGTCCTTCTCAACACGCGGCCCGGGCCGGAGGAGCACCGAGCGGCCTCGTGGTCGCGAAGCTGTCACGAGGTGTTTGGTTTCCCCTACTCGCTGCTCTTCAGGTGTATCTATTTCCCCTTCCGTACGCTCCGCAAAGTCTCCACCATGTTGCAGGGCATATATGACTACTGGGCGCAGCAGCCGCGATTCGCAGAACTTGGCCTGCAACCGGGCGCCGGCGCTGGGCTTGACTGGGCGTCGCCTGAGTTCTATGAAAGATATCAGATCTGGGTCAAGGAACAAGCTGCCAGGAGAGGGAGGCACCTCATTGAGTATCATCCCGGGATGGGATGGGAGCCGCTGTGCGAGATGGTGGGCAGGTTGGACAAGGTACCGCCGCCCGGCACGAAGCTGCCGCATGAGAATGATGCAAAGTCTATGAAGACTCGTATGAGGGTGCTCGTGGTGAGCGGAGCGGTGGCCTGGGCAGCTATCTTCGGTTCTGCCTGGATGCTCGTTCGGTATGGTCCAATGGCATTCCGGCGCGTTCATCTTGTGTCGTTTCCTTCTAGCCGATAAGTAGATATAACAAGAGCAAAGTTTACCGCCTTGAGAAATGGCATAGAGCTAGACAATCTGAAATCAATCTGCATTTGAACGCACAGATTCACACGCTATGCTATGTACGAGCGCACTACAGGGCTGCCTCAACTTTGCCTCTAGTCTGCTGCTGTATGGAACAGTTAGTCAGAAATAGACAACCGTGGATATGGAAATGGGATTTTGCATACCATGTTCTCATCACACAAGGTAGCGTATCTCCTCGACCTCTATGAACCTCGCCATCACCAGCATTAGCTCGAAGTCGGCCCGTGTCGCCTCGGCGTCAATCTTTGCCAGCTCGATATGTGCGCTTCTCGCAGCCCTTGAGCGAGATTGTAGTACTTGTTATACTACTAGCCTCTCGAAATGCGCGCATAATATTGCTACCCGTTGGCTGCGACGTCCTCGAAATAGGTTGTTATTCGTGGCTCAAGTGTGGTGGAGTTGACCCTGGAGAAAGGTTCACCAAAACCCTAACCCCCACACGTAGCCCTCCCTCCCAGACGGAGACTCCCGGGTGCCAAGGCTAGTACCGGCATCTTGCACCATATGACGTCCATCCGATCTCAAGCTGCAACCAAGGCAGAGCTAAAATTTGGCGGGAAAGAAGCAAGCAAACGCGTACAGGTTGGCGGGTCGCGAACAACGAAGACATCCACCAGGTTTTTTATCCTCCACCACAAAATTTTATGTTTTGTCTTCCCTTCCCCACTCCTCCTCCCCAGTATCTTGGCTATTCGATACCACAGTGCTGAGCGAGCACTTCTCCGACGCCTGCAAGCTAGTCCAGCTCAATCAAACACCCGCGACCGCCCGTGACCGACAGCGCATCCAACACCATCAATAAACCAAACACCACAGATCACACAGAGACAACTCGCTCGCAGCCATGTACGTCCGGCAGGAGAAGCTGCCGGGGCTCAAGGAGTACAAGTACTCGTCGGTTGACCGGTCTCTCACGTCCAAGTACATCCTAAAGCCCTTCTACACAAATGTTGTTATAAAGTGTTTCCCCATGGCCATGGCGCCCAACCTGATCACCCTCACGGGCTTCATGTTCGTCATCTTCAACTTTTGGACGCTGCTCTGGTTCAACCCCACCCTCGATCAGGACTGCCCTACATGGGTCTACTACAGCTGGGCTATCGGGCTGTTCCTGTACCAGACCTTTGATGCTGTGGATGGCTCACAGGCGTAAGTATACCTACCACCTCAATCAAACCTCGACCCTGGCTCGTTCTGGCAGCTGCCTTAGGTGGGGGGCTTTGGAAGACAGACGAAGACTGACAATGATGCCCTGATTGCCAGACGCCGCACACGCCAGAGCGGACCCCTCGGAGAGCTTTTCGACCACGGCGTCGATGCGCTCAACACCTCCCTCGAGGTCCTACTCTTCGCGGGATGTAATAATCTTGGCCAGGGCTGGAAAACGGTTGCGATGCTCTTCTGCTGTGCGTTACATCATCCTTCAGATCAACAGGAGGGGGGGGGGGGGGTCAATGCCCGTAAAGAGAATATTTGTCAACTGACATTAGTGCTGTAGCGCTCCTGACCTTCTATGTTCAGACCTGGGATGAATACCACACCAAGACGCTTACCCTCGGGCTCATTAACGGACCCGTTGAGGGTGTCTTGATTATCTGCGTCATCTACGCAGCCACCGGTTACTTCGGCGGCGGGCACATCTGGGCCAATTCGCTGTTAGAGACGATCGGCGTTCCTCAGCTGCCGTTCATCCCGGACTTCGTCTACAACATGTCCTTCTCTGATTGGAACTTGGTGCAGGGCTTCGCGGTCCTGTGCCTGAACACGCTCGAGTCCTGTCGGAACGTTATCAAGGCCCGACGAGCGCGCGGCGACCGGAGCCGCTACGCATTGGTCGGCCTGATGCCCTTCTTTGTGACCTGGGCCCTGGTCGTGTCCTACCTGCTCCTGCAGCCCAACATCCTGCACAACCATCTGGTGCCATTTGCCCTGTTTTGTGGTCTGGTCAACGCCTACTCTGTCGGGCAGATAATCACCGCCCACCTGGTCAAGCTCGACTTTCCGTACACGAACGTGCTGGTCCTGCCGTTGGCCTACGGTGTCTTCGACTCCCTCGGCCCTTGGCTGCAGTATGAGTTTGGACACCCCTGGCTCGGCTGGCCCTCCGCTCTTGGTGATGATGTCTACCAGGTTGCCTACATGTTCCTTATGTTGGGAGTCTCAATCGGTGTGTATGGATCCTTCGTCGTGGATGTCATCGTTACGATCTGCGACTATCTCGACATCTGGTGCCTGCGTATCAAGCACCCCTACGTGGAGCCTGCCGCGAATGGGAAGAAGGCGCAATAGACGACAAACCGACCAGTCGTATGGCGAGGTGAGAACAAGGCTGTGGGTAAAGAGGATAACGAGTCGCCGTCCAGGAAACAGGCGACATGCGTCGCTGCGTGCGTTGTTCGTGCAGCTGCAGCATCGACTAGTCACGCATTGCATGCAGTCACGGATGTTCCAATCCGGCCACGTCGACCCACATGATATTTGCAAGCTGGCAATTCTGTAACCACGCATCTGTCCGTCGGTGTGATGGTCTCAAGATATTGAAAGGCTGCAGATGGACTAGGAAACCAAGAAGGCCACCCGGCCCTTTCTGGGGAAACAAAGTAATGAGTGTAAATGCGGAGATCTGACACATGAATATGATGATACGGGTTTTACGACAGGAAAGTTTAGGTGTGTAACTGGGGCATAGTTCTTGGCGGTTAGGCGTCAGAGACGCTGTGGGAAACGAGGGAACATGATGGTCTTAATCTTGTTGTTAGAGATGTACATACAGAAGGGCGAGGCCTTCAGAGACCTCGGTGAGATTGCATGTTTTCCCTCTCGAGCAAGGTCTTCCACCGTTTTATTACCTTTGTACCCTGCGTGGTGCATGTAGGACTGCACATCATACCACAATAGTTCAGACCAATTCAGGCGCTCCGGCGTGCAAACTATGACGATTGAATGCAGCGCGGGAAGATGGTCGCAGGGTGGCCGCCTTTGTGGGCAAACCTGATCCCAAACTTCACGTCGCCTCCACCGACTCATTATCAGGAACATTTGACCTGGTCCCGCCGATCCACTGAGCCAGATAATGTACCGTACGCCACGAGTTTCTAACGACGGAGGTACTCTTGAGAATTATGGACGAAAGTCGGAGCCACAAGCGAAAGACCCCCGGTCTGCGCGAGGATTGATTGAGGGGGAAAACCGCGGTGAACAGATTTTGTGATATTATCGACAGCCGACAAAATCCTGACTTGAGTGCCTGATCGCTCTCAAGGTCGGTTAGGAAGGAGACAGCCTGGCTAACTACAAACCTCCAAAGGATGTGGTTACATAACCTCAGGCAGATTAATACCTTCAAAGGAGGTAGGCAACTGAAAGAAGATAAAAACACGCGAATCAGGACGCGAAATCAAATAAATAGGAGGCGATCTGAGGCAGGAAAAGGAAAAAGCCAACGAGCTCCTCGAGGTCCCTCTCTCTCTCTCTCTCTCCAAAATAAATAAATAAATAAATAATGCTGTTGGTTCCTCAATAGCATCCCGATTGCCTTCGCAAACTCCTCAGCGTCCCCCCCCCCCAAAAAAAAAAACATTAAAAAAAAAAAAAGAATGACCGGTTCCCTTTTGTCCATGCTCTTTAAATACCGTGAAAACCATATGTGATGTCCCTTTCAACCCTGAGCTCCTGTCCCCCCTCCCTCTCCCGAAAACAAAATTAAAAACTCCTCGCTAAGTGTGCTCTTATCGTCTAGAGAGGCCGGCCAATGCCGAGGCGCCCTGTCATTCACCACGGCCGTGAGGCGAAGAAGCCCTCTTGGGTTGCTTGTAACAGTCGAAGTGGGGGCGTACCTGAGGTCCTCTAAACCCTAGAAACATGAGTTGCCTCATTTTTGCGTTTCCCTACATCTTTGCTGCAAGGTCTCGCGGCACCAAGTTGTCCAAACCCCGCTTTCATGTTCGTAACGTCGTAAGAAAGTGAATGTAATGATGCGGACTTTGGAAATAACCTTGGGGCATAATCCCCCGGCGTCGTCCTCTGTGCCAACCTGTGCCGTTTGAGATGATCCGGTGGGGACAAGTTTGTGGGTAGGCCCGTCACTTGATCCTTGGCGGGTCCCCTTTTTCAGATCAGCCTGTCGCTTCCACTCCCAACGCTCTGCTCGATGGCATCGTTGATGGTCTTCTCGTCAAAGGCCGGGCCCTGGCCGTCGCACACGGCTTTGTACCGCAAGCGGTTGCTGATATCACCGACGTCGACGAGCCCCTGCTTATAGAGCTCGTGTCCAATGATATACTCCCAGGTGGCACCGGCGCCGTACAGCCGGACACCATCTGATGTAGTGCGGATGCGATGGCTGGGCCGCTTGCCCGGGTGATTCGCGAGCAGCCTGGTGTAGAAGTCGGTCGGGTTATAGTGCATAGGCCCGGTCGTGGTAGGGCCAAAATCGGGGTAGCCGTAGCCGCTGTAGACAGGGTTTGCCACCGGCGGCGCTGCTGCCGCTGTTGCCCGCAGGATTTCGTTCTCGGTATTGGCTTTTTGTAGGTCCTTCTTGAGCTTCTCGTTCTCAGTAGTCTTCTCATACTTGGCCTGCTCGAGGTCGGCGACCTTCGTTTCCAAGTCCTTGACGTGACGCTCCTTACGCTCGCGAAAGGCCCGCTGCCTGTTGAAGAGCGAAGTAGGCGTTAGCCGATGGTAGCTCCAGAGTAGGCGTTGCAAGATATATGTTCATCTCCTATATGTGTATCACTTACGCATTGCGGTTCTGGACCTTGCGCTTGGCCTGGTTCGGGTTGATGGCCTCCTCGTCCTCCTCATCCGCCGAGTGCGAGCCGCGAGCGCTGTTGCTGCTGCGCTCGGCTTCCTTCTTAGGCTCGATGTTGACGTTAGTCATGGCGGGACCGTCCACGTACGGGGCCGGATTGAATACGGGACTAGAGAGGTCGGCGCCATGGAAGTCCTGGGGCAGCGGCAGCGGCAGCGGCGGCGGCTGCTGCTGCTGCTGCTGCTGCTGCTGGTGGAGCGGCTGGTGGAGCGGCTGGTGGTGCTGCGGCCGATGATGGTGCTGCGTTTGCGGTGGGCCGTTCTGGAAAATGGTGGTCTGTGTATTGTTGTTGGGAGGCGTGGATGGGTTCGAGAAGGAGGGAGCAGGCTGGGGAGTAGCGAAGGCAGGGCCGGTGAATGGGTGATTGTTGAAGTTTTGGAATTGATATTCGCCTGCGTAATTGTCGAAGGGGTTCTAGAGTAAGACATGTGTAAGCCCCAAAAGCACGAGCAAATGACTACTAGTAGGGTGCTTTAGAGCGCGAAGGAAAAGAAGAAGCAAGAAAGAGGAATGGAAAAACCCAAGATCGAAACCAAGACCGTCAAACAAACAAAAGCATAACAAATGACACGCTACGTTCAAGTAACGGTGAATACCAAATTGATCTCCTTACCGAGGAAGACATGTTATTGAACTCCTGGGATCCGGCAGAGTTTGGATGGGAGGGCGTCAGAGGCGAGATGCCCATGGGGTACTGGTTGTAGGGGGGATACGCGGCGGGGTAGTAAGGGGCCTGCGAGTAACTCATCTTTTTGAGCTAAAGATACACTCTGTTGAGGCCTCAATAGCTCGTCCGTCGTGGTCGTGGTCGTGGTCGTGGCCGCCGCCGTTTGTCAAAGCTGGAGCCAACGAGAAAGTGGTCCAGCGGGAGGAGGATCGGCAGGAAAAGGTAGTGTAGAGGAGGGAGAGGACGACAGTAGTGACTCGAGACACCCTAGAAGACAAGCGCAGATCTGCACAGAGATAGAGATGGGCTCTACTATGTAGATAGTATGTAATTTGTCTTGGCTGAAGAAGTCTGGGGAAGGAATTGGGCTGGTCCAGAGTTAGGTGGAGCACGACGGGTTACATATACCCACATTGCACCCGGCACACCCCTATGGCACACCACACACACCAAACCCCACAGCGCCGTAGCCCCAACTTACCGCCCCCACCACCGCTGTGACCACTAGCGCCCTGACGCTCCGTAATTAAGCTACAACGCTAAAACGAAGTCCAGTGCTGTGCGCCTCATGAAATGTCACAGCAACTCCTCCCTCCCCCTCCTTGGCAACGGCGCTGTTTATATGTCACATCACCACCCACCACTTGAGCTGCCCGACTGGCTGCCTTACCGCTTTTTTGGAAAAAGAAGTACCTTGCAACGCAAGATTCATTGCACGCCCAGGGAGACAAGTCATGGTATTGCAGATGATCGTACGACGGAAAGAAAGTGTGTGTGAGTGGAAGAGACGTTGTGACACAACACTTTCGAGTCCTGGTTCCGGGCTGAAAAGGCTGCCCAGCAGCGAGACATGGGCAGGAATATTCCGCCTCCCCCTCCCTAACCAATAGGAAGAGAGAAGTGCAGCCCCGACAGTCCAGAACAAGAGAGGAAGTATCAAGTTTTTCTCTACAGGTCTGAGGAAGCTGGACGCGTGCGGTGGCAGGGCCGGGATGACGAAGGAGGGGTGGGTATTCGGTCCAGGTCGCTCGCTCAGTTGCAATGCAGCCGCCAATCAGTCATGCTCGGATCGTTTCGCTCACTGTGTAGCAATCACAGTATACCTCAACAGTCGGCAGCTCGTATCTTGGCGAGGGGAATACATCGAAAGCAATCTTTTTCGCGAGGTACGCATCCTTCATCCTGAAGCTGAAAACAACGAGTCCATAACGATCCCTCCCCACCCCCCCCCCCCACGGGCGGCAGCATGCACGGTACAGCTCCGTTACCCGCTTGTACCCTCTTGCCCTCGTGGCCGACAATGCGTGGCTGGCTTCTGTATCGGGCACTCAAGATGCCGCGCTGAGACATTGCTTCCAACGCTGCATCGCGGGTCCGTGACCAGTCTGGTACCAGGCCTGTACAGGGGCTCGGCAGGCTGGTTTGAGGCCAGACAACAGCAGCTTCTTCTGATTTGCAGGACAGCTGTCGTGCCGTGTCTCGCGTCCCATTTCCCCGAGCCATGTCCGCGGCTCGTGAGACGTTATGTCATGCGGTACAGGCCATGTTTTCTTGTGTTCCGCATGCGTCGACGCCGCTGGACAGGATTAAGGTCTGGACGTTCGCGACTCGTCAGGGCTTCTGCTACGAACGAGGGCATCACCGTGAGCAATTATGGTGATCTGCCTGTCGCAACCATCGACATGGCTATGCTTTTGGCCCTTTGTCAGGCTGTGGGCTACCTATCGCCCACTGTCTTTCTGCGTGCCGTCCCGCAGCCCGGCCGTGTCATCAGCGTGGTGGCATTCAACCCGGCGTCTGACTGGCCCATCGCCTCCTTTCTCTCTATGTGTGTGTATGTGTTCGTGTGTTCTACTCTTGTTGGGTTGAGGTCTGGAGCTCATCTGGTCATCCCGTCCTCCACTAGTGCTACATAGTAAAAGCTCGGACATCTACAACATATCAGGCACGCAACGAGACTTTCATCTTTACCCAGGTAGATGTTTAGCTGCTCTCAGTAAAAGCTCTCGCATTAGCAAGCGACTCTAAAGGTAAAAAACAGGGCTGAAGGGAGAGGATAAGCAGGTATATTTTAGTATAATGCTATTATTTCAACTCATTTGCAGCCTCATCAAGAACCTTCTTCATTGATGAATACAACCCTTCATCTTCGCTTTTCCACCTCCCACCCCCTGGGAACACTATCCTCCGTAACTTGTTGATCCAAGGGATCACAGGCTCGTAGTATTCGGTGAAATATCCCGTTACAGTTCTGCGGAAAATTTCGTCGTCAGAAACTGTGCCCAGCTTGAGCTGAGCCAGCTCCACTGTATCGATAAAGTTCCACTGGTCAAACTGTGGGATTATTCTGCCCCTGTCATCTGGCCCAGCATAATGAATGCATATCCAGAACAGCACCCAGAAGAACGACTCAAGATCATGCATGAAGGAATGTTGCTCGCCGACAAGCACCCCAATAGCCATAAAGGCTCTGGTACCAGTCTTTCTCTTAGCCTCTGAAGCATATTGTTGTTCTTTCGCGATAGCAAGATCCAGATCAATCAAAAACGCTGGCCAGGATGGATTATTCCTGTCCTCGTTGATTATCAGATTATTGATCGAGATGTCCCGATGAAGAAGACCAGCCTTGCGGTACAAAGATTCGTGCCCCCTTATGCAGCCCTCTAGCGCGCGGAGCAGAGCTGCTGGAGAGCTCGCCTTGTAAATCGGCTCCCCGAAATCGCGGACCACGACTCGCCGGTGTACTCGATTCGACACAGGTTGACTCTCAGCTTTTGTCGAGGAAACAGAACAAGATCGCTTGCTTGGCGGTAGAGAGACTCCAGCCTGGCTAGACGACCGTTTTAGGCCGGCGGTGCGCCCTATCCGGGGAGTAGTAGCTGCACTTGTGTTTTGTGATGATATCGAGTGCTTGGAGGGGCAGTTCTTTGCGCGTGCGATGTCCAATTCCTTTCGTACGTTGCTCTGAATATCATCATCCCTGCCGCCGACCTGGACGGTCTCATGGTGATAATACCTGGCCACATTAATCACATCTCGATCCATCGCTTTGCGAAGAAGTTCACCCTCTTCTTCACGCTCCACATTACTGCCAGGAATCCTTGATAACAAGACGCATCTGCGGATCATCTTCGCAGTGAGCTTTCCAGCAAGTTGTTGCCCAGCCGGCTATGCAAGGTGCTCGCTTCATATGCTTGTCGATAACCAGGCGCTCTGTCTGGCTATTGCGTTGTACCTCAATGTATGTGGTGCTGCCTGATGTAATAATCGTAGGATCAAACCCAAGCTATTCCTCGCTCATCCACAGGAATCCGAGGATCATGTATATGAAACGAGATCCATCTTTGTTGATATCGAATTGCTCAGATGCAATCCCTCCCAGACGATCAAATTCCCATATTCTCATGAGAGATCCACAGATTGTAAAGCTCAAAACAAAGCGACGATTGTATTGAGCAGCTAGCACCTCTCTGGCATATCTCCCAATATCAAGCCATGCTTCTGAGGCTTTATCAGCGAACGGGTTGCTCTTCAGCTCTCCTGGCACAAGGATCTGGGACCAGTGGCACCGAGAATATTTTCCAGCATCTGGGTTGTTGACAAAGCCGATATCCATCTTGCGTATCGCGGTAGAGCCATCGGGGCGTCTCTTCTTTGATCGTAAAGGTACGCGTGTCGTGTTGGATGAAGTGTCTATTCAGGGGCTACTCCATACCGGAAAGTACTTCTTCATCGTGAACTCTGACCGTACGTCCAATCTACTATGCATGTTTATTGTGTCGCAATGTCAATTGTCAAGTTCGGGAGGCTAACTTTGTATCATGAACCAGCTACGTATCGTTACCCGGTCGTCCCAAGCTTTCGTGACTGGCGGTTCCCACACGGCCAGATTCCCAACACATGGCCGTCTCCTAAAGCATCACCTTCGACCGACACGGTGCGACGTTGTGCGCTTACAAACCATGGCTTCGGTCTTATCAACGCCCACATAGTGCCTAGAGGAGAGGCCGAGAGTTTCATGCGCAATGGCATGTCACGGTACGGCGTGGATACGCACGATGTAAACGACTCTCGGAACATCATCCGCTTACGGGCTGATATCCACTGTTGCTTCGACACCCGTATGTTCTCTATCATCCCGAAGCCTGAATTCGCTTCAGAGTAAATGGGAGACGAAACGCTCGTTCCCAGAGGGTAATAGATACGCGGAATGACTCTATTCCGTGGTAACAGCACACGAGGGTCTCACAGAAGAGCACCTCCGCCTGCATAGCTTGTAATCGGCCGAAGGCGGCGACCGTTTCTGTAATTTCTGGTAATCTCCAGAGTCATGGCTGTCGATTGGGGCAATTCGTGAGGTGCTCAGGCTGTTTGTGATGCGTGTATTGATGCATAGAGGGAAACGTAAAACGGCGACGATGGGCGGTCTTCAGAGATAACATTCAGTTCTAATAACTTGATTTCCCACAAACCTGCCTGCGGGCATCACGCCACCAGCGAGAAGGTCTTACTAGTGCGCCCGACCGTCCAAGCTGTGTGCCTACATGTGCTGCTGCATTGGATCGTATTTCTAGAAAGATTCGGTCCGCCATGGAGGCCAATTTGCGATGACTGGCAATGGTGCATATGCTGCGATGTGGACCAATAAGTGAGGCTGCATCTTACCTGGTATAGGAGTACGCCGAGGGCGCTTAATGCAATCGCTGAAAGTGGTGGCAGGACCTCAAGGCGACTGGGTGCAGATGCAAGCTGCCCCTTCGCAGTAGTACGGGCCATTTCGCCTTGGAAAATACGGCACCGTGTTTGCGGCGACGACCGCATGGAGCATGATCAGCTCTCTTCCACACCTTCGGTTCGGCCTCATGGTTGGTATTGGCGCCGGCATTCCTAGGCTAGCCGACAACATCGACATCCGCCTCGGCGACGTTGTCGTCAGCCAGCCGACTGGAGCAAGCCCGGGAGTCGTGCAGTACGATGTAGGGAAGTTAGAAAGCGACGGCCATTTCAAGCGTGTCGGTTCTCTTGCTCCTCCGCCTGAGGTCCTTCTTAAAGGATTGGCAACACACTGAAGGCCAAACGAAGACTTGGAGGACCTCGAGTACGCAGCATCCTAGACGATATGCTCCAACGCCATCCGCTGTTGGCAGAAGCAGAACCAGATGACGCTGCGTTTGTTCACCAAGGGGCGCAAAACGACCGGCTATTCGAAGCATCCTCAGTACATGTTCAAATCCCGGACCGGCAAAGCGCAGTGTCTTCGGCGGGAACAGTTCCGCGTGATGTCAATAAGCTTTATTTTCAGTTGGTGCTGGGCTGGGTTTGGTCATTCTTCTGGCTGATCTTCGCCTCTATGAGAACGCCGGCCACTTCCAACGTTACGAGGACAATCCCACCATCAGATGCAACCCTTCAAGAGCTCGGCCAGACGAGAGCCTGTGAGCATTGCGATTCTGGGAAGGAAATAGGCCGACGACAACGACGATCCACCGATCCCGTAGTTCACTATGCCTCATTGCTTCCGGCAACTCGGTCGTAAAGGACGATGTTTCTCGGGACGACATAGTACGACGACTTGGGGACAAGTGCATTTGCTTTGAGATGGAGGCAGCTGGTCTGATGGATAATTTCCCCTGCCTCGTGATCAGAGGAATCTGCGACTATGCAGACACCCACAAGAACGATCGCTGGCAGAACTATTCCGCAGCAACAGCCGCCGCTTTGGCAAAGGAACTACTGGAAGTTATCGACGGCGATGATGTAGAAGGAGCCTCAAGAGTCGATGAAATCATGGAGCAGTGTTAGTATTTCATAATCACATTTAAAGCTCCATTACTTATATTCCTTACAGTATGTGAGGATGTTTCCCAAATCCGATCAACCACAAAAGACATACAACAGGACCTACATTTCCAGGAAGTCATGAAGTGGCTGTCCCCGCCGGATCCATCAACAAATAACAACAAGGCCTTGCAACAACGCCATGAAGGCACAGGTCAGTGGTTCCTTGACAGCCAAGAATACTCAAAATGGAAAACAACGCAAAAGTCCTCTCTATGGCTTTACGGTATCCCCGGCTGTGGGAAGACAATCTTGAGTTCCATCGTCGTCAAGGACCTCCGTAACACTGAGCCTTATGCCAAAAGCTTTATCTACTTCTATTTCGACTTCATCGACACTAGCAAGCAGTCGCTTGAAAAGGCAATTCGGTCACTGATCGCTCAGCTGTACTGCAACAGCCAGAATGTTCAAGCGCCTCTGAACTCACTGTACTCCTCTTGCAAAAGTCCTTCACGACAGCCGAGTATCGACATGCTGAGCACAACCTTTGAGGCCATGATTCAACAGATCGGAGAAGTATGGATCGTCCTGGATGCACTCGACGAATGCCAGACGAGAACAGGCCCAAGGGACGAAGGATTGCTACGTTGGATTAAAAGCATTCTACACTCACCACGATTAAACGTCCACTTTCTTGTCACAAGTCGCCCTGAACACGATATTAAATCAGCATTAGAAAGATTTGTCGACGGTCAGATCATTCTCCAGAGCGACCTTGTTACGGAAGATATACGTGCGTATGTTCATGGAACAGTGAGAAACTACGAAGGATTTAATCGGTGGCGATCATATAAATCAATCCAAAATGAGATCGAAAGCCATCTGAGGGAGAAAGCTAACGGAATGTGAGATAAGACCAACACCCTTGATTTCTATTGCTAAATCAGATAGGTTTCTCTGGGTTTCATGCCAACTCGAAGCTCTCGAAAAATGTCCCGATCCCCTCAGTCTTCGCCAAACGCTGCAATCGCTACCAAGGACGCTGGACGAGACGTACGCGCGGGTTCTAAGCAGAATCCCGCCCGAATTCGAGCAGAATGCGATACGAATATTACAGTTTCTTGCCTTTTCCGAACGGCCACTGCGGGTTGAAGAGGCTGTCGACGTAATTGCTGTGGTCACCAGAAATAAGCCCCGATTTGACGCCAAAAACAGAATGCCACAAGCAGACGAAATCTCCATCTACTGCTCAAGTCTAGTGGCTGTTGTTACTCGAGGTGAAGATGGAGAGAACGGAGTGAAGGAGCTTCAGCTCGCGCATTTCTCGGTGAAGGAATACCTTGTATCCGACCGACTACAACAGAATATATCCAGAACCTTTATGGAGGCACAGGCTAGAGCTTCTATTACAGAGGTTTGCCTTGCGTACCTCTTGGAGCTGGACCATAGCCTTTCTTTAGTAAGGATCAGACAATCATACCCACTCGCACAATATGCTGCGCGTTACTGGATGAGCCATGCTGTTCAAGCTGATACCAGTAAAGTTCATGATCTAATTAGAGAGTTTTGCTTAGATGAGAACTCCCCTCAACCATGCTACAGTCTCTACAACCCAGATGAACCGTGGGAAGAAGAACTAGAAAGTTCTCAGACAGACGAGACTGTAGTACTGTACTATGTAGCATGTGGAGGGATCGTGTCTGCGGTAGAAGACGTCTTAAAGAATGGAGCAGATATCAACGCTCGGGTGGCAGGTATGGCAACGCTCTCCAAGCTGCTTCAGAGAGAGGCTACCAAGAGATCGTCCAGATGCTCCTCGACCTCCGGCCAAACATCACTATCTTGGGCAGCTAGGAGTGGTCGTGAGGCTGTGGTCAAGATGCTTCTCGACACAGGGAAGGTCAATATCGATTCCGAAGATATCTCTACTGGAACGCCGCTGTTATGTGCAGCTGCGTATGGTTATGAGGCAGTCGTTAAGATACTCCTCGACACAGGCAAGGTCGATATCGATTCGAAAGATACCTCCGGCCGAACACCACTATCGTGGGCAGCTTCATTTGGTATTAAGGCTATTATCAAAATGCTTATTGAAACAGAGAGGGCAGACATTAACTCTAGCGACAACACTGGCTGAACCCCACTATCCTGGGCTACTATCAAAGGTCATGTAGAGGTGGTGTTGTTACTCGCCAACGCCCATGATGCTGATATTAATATTAGAGACCACGATGGGTTTAGCTCATTTATGCGGGCTGTGTGGAGATCTAACAAGGAGCTTGTGGATATTCTCCTTCAGATGAGGCGTCTTTCGCATTATGATTGTATGGATGGGTTATGTTTTCAGGCGTTTTGGTTCATGTTGCCGCACGAGTTGGACCATTTTATGGTTGATATTACCTAGGATTTAGGGGACGATTTCTTTGGTCTAAGGGGACTTTTCTATGACTCACATATATTATAAGGTGCTGGTTTAATTCAATTTTAATAGTTGCCGTGTCAATGTCTCACCTTCCTCTATGTTTGGGTATGCGATCGTATTGATTTCCTCATGAATGTCAAATTCCTATTCATACCCTCTAGAGGTCCTACATCGCTAGCAGGAAAAGAATGCCTACTCTTCCTTCTATTCCTCAAAACTATCTTCATTACCCAGCCAAGCCAGCTGCTCCCTCCTTTACAGGTGCCGACTGACCGCTCCCAACCGCTAGGGGAGCATCCAAAGGAACATCTTCCTTCCTCAGCAACCACGAACCGCCTCTCGGGGAAGATGTCTATACTGCTCCCGCAAATCACAAGCCGTCGGCTGATCAAACGCCGCTCGAAGAGACAAGACTCTGTTCTGTCCGCCCTATATTGGTCAAACCTGGCATCCTTCCCCATAACGATCCCGGCCATAGCACCCTCAAAACCTTCATCAACCTCCTCAACACCACCGCTACTGAAAAGGAGCAACGTCTGAAGGCCTCTCCTTTCAGGGCAGTGGGTAACACCTTCGACTTCAGCAACCCCGCCAAATGCCAGCTCCTAAATTTCTAACAGTTTACTGGCCAGGCCGACCTCGCCCGCCTATACAACGCTGTTTTCCGCAGCAACAAACAGCCCAACTTCATCAAGGCCGCCAACCTCCAGATCTACATTTGGTTTCCCTTGCATGGGCCCCACCCTTCCAAGTTCCAAGAAGCCCAACTTTCACCATTCAATTGACATCCGGAAGTTGTCCCTCTACGGCTGGTGTGGATGCTTTCCCCGCAACAACCCAAAGGTAAGTATTGATTAGCCTCTTTCTACACGTCATCGCTGATACCCGCTCGGTATTCATACTATAGACGAGCTGCACCTTGATCCTGACGACGGACCGCATGTTCGAGGACTGTCCGCGCTAGTCAAAGTACTCTGTCACGCCCGTCAAGCCCATGCCTAACAGCCATGCGGCGGCATCCCGTGGGCCCCCTCCCACCCGGATCGGCGTTATGAAGAATCACTTCCCCCACGGGATGCTGTACCCACCTCAACCAAAAGATAGGAACCTAAACGTCATCCCTCACTATATCTACGGTGGAGCCCACTTAAAGCATAACTGCGGACTGGCAACACCGCTCCCAGGCATCCTCTCAAATGACCAGCCTGTGTGGCCCAAGTCTCTCATTGTCCTCAGGGGGTTTTACCTGAGCTCCTCAGCATCGCAGCAGTAGTCCCAGCCAGTAGCCACACCACGGACCCATCGACTCTCGTCCATTAGATCCAGGCTACATGAACGCAGAGCACGCAAGGTGAACGCACAACCTCACAGTCATGAAGTTGACGAGGTAAGGCGACAGGGGAGAACACACGAAAAGTGTATATGGCATGAAGGACGAGGAAGCCCGCGGGCCATGGACACGGCAGCAATTGGCAGCCGGGGACACGGCGTCTTATTGGGGCCAGGAAACCCACCCGATCGATAGTCTCTTACGTGGGAGGGAACCACGCACATATGTATTGCAGTGCGATAGACCAAGAAACAAGAGCGACATTACTGGCCTATCTGTTATTCGGTGTATGTTCCGTCCATCGTTCGACTTGCGTTTGACCATGCTTTACTAGAGATATGTTCGATCTGTCATTAGGAACAACAGCCAGGTAGCCGGTATGCAATAGGTTACAGAAGACTTATCAGGCTCTAAGCTGTCGAGTTTGTACGGCGGCGTCGGATCGCGAAGTGCTAGCCCTAAAAAGCGCAGCCGGCAGCGGGAAGACGATCTTCTCAGCTTGGCAGACTCTGATGAGTGGTATGAGGAGACTTTTGAATTTGAAGAAGGCAGAGGACGGAAGCATATCTGTCGCAATTGTTCGCTTACACTGCTCAACAGCGGAGACAGGGCTTGCACGCCTGCCCTGTCTAATGTCTCTACTCTAACATCAGCTAATAAAAGTCCACCTCTGCACTCACTATCAATCCATCTTGAAACCAGCGGGAAGACCTAAATCTGGGAGCGCACAGCTTTTGCTGACTCTTAACACTCTAAATTTCACCCGGCTGGGTCGATGTAGTATATCACGAAGATGCGTAAGTTAAAATTCTCTGGTCATTTCCCAGTAAATGTCATTCTACATATGAACCATATTACTACTCCTGGTGGTAGATAGGGTCTGTTTAAATAACCATTTCAACTCCTTAGGGAGCTATCGCTCAGTCGCACAGTTTGGAAAGTAGACTATGACCGACATGCCTTACATCCATTGTCGAGGCAGCGGTGGAATATCGTAAGCTCTAAATGAAGCGTGGAGTTAACATGCTTCAGAAAACTGCGGCAATCTTCACAAATAGGTCGGCACACCAGAATCTTTCCCTTATTAATGGTGACTGGAGGCTCAACTTCCCTGAGGCTTGAAAGCTTCTCCCTGTGACGCCTTTCAATCTCCTGCTGCTCGTATTCCTCGTCCGACGGCTCATGCAGTCTTAGTCTTGCTATGTCTACGTCTTTCTCCACTTCTTTGGACAGGAAGAGATGCTTGTTGACGAAAAATGCGACCAGCTGTTTCTCTGCATGGCAAGCATGATACCGTCCGGACTCCCCCTGATCTCTTTGATGTGGCGTAAGTGGGTATCCAATGAAGTCGCAGAGCTGACGGACCTCCATCGTCCACTCCCTGCCTCCGACTTGGACATCGGAGTCCTCTTCGTGGGCCCAACCGCTCATGGCGGCCGCTGTAGGAAGTTGACTGCCCCGATATAATACCGCCACGGTCTTCCACTTGTTTGGGATATCAAAGTTGGAGATTAACGTAAGTAAGTTTTCGTCCTCTGGTGACCGAGTAAATGCAAAACTGGACAGGATTGGTAGCCGCTCTTCGAGGCTTTCGCTCAGCAGACGAACAATCTTTTCCCGATCCAAGTCTCTCTGGTATGCGTCTTCTTTATAGAACCCTCCAGTCCGGCAGTACCGTTCCTTACTGTTGTTCCGTAGCGGTCTAGCGAAGTCCACGGCCCGCAAGCGTTGACCGTGACAAGTGCAATCGATTTGTTTATTGGCACCGTATTCCAAGAGAAGTTCGACGTTCCTCAACCGTCCCCAGAGAGCAGCTTCCATCAGCGGGACTCGTCCGTCCATGTTGACCGCGTCTGGGTTCGCTCCCTTCTGCAAAAGAAGCCGAACCATCTCATATGACGCCTCACATGCAGCGAAATGAAGCGCCGTATTGCCAGTTACTTGGACAATCTCGTCATCCAGCGATTTGGTGCCATCAGTACTGCCGTCGCTATAAGAGTCGGAACCGTCAAGCTGAGGGACAGAGTGTGCCTCGACGCCATGGAGAAGTATATCCGCGTCCTTGGATGATTCTAAATAATTGCGTACTTCTCCCACCCTTCCCTGAACTAAGGCGCTCACCACGTCGATAATCCTTTCGATAGTGTAGCCACCAGGAAGTCCTGAATCGGCCTCGCTGATATGGACCTTCTCGGTTGCTTCAGTCCACTTCTTTCTGTCTCTAAAATCATCAACCGTGGGTCCTACATGGTCGTCCTCCCTGGCTCTGTAATATTCAGTTGGATCGGCCGTCCCAGACACGAATATGGCTCTCTGTTTGTCGATTTCGTAGCCAGCATGACCTGAGACCTCATCGAAGGGAAAGATAATTCTGTAGTCGCAGCTGTCGTTTTCTCGGCCTGGGATCACACAGTGCGACCGTCGTTGTAGTGGGGTCTCATATAGGCGATTGAAATGGTGGAGATGGATCTCCTCACAGTTGGGGCAGCGGACAAAGACGTCCGACTTGTTCCACCACTCCACTTTTGCCCGACGCAGTGGAGATGCCGAGTTGAGCTGGTGTGTCATTGTTCCGCCGAAGCCCGTCCCAGGCCTGATGTATTTGTTCCCTGACTCGGATGGAATGGCCTTCTTTTGCTTGTCACCCAGGGTATGACCGGGGCACGATTCGGTCGGTTCGGCGATGATATTTACGCTCGGATGGTCGCCGGAACGGGAGACTGAGTGCTAGTGTTGAATTAGTAGAAGATCTGGAGAGCCGTTGGCCTACCCACCAGGCGGAGACCAGAGGAGAAGAGCCCACTCGGCCTTGCGTCGTGAGCATGTCGCTAGTGGATAACGATATTCAATAGGAACTTAAAAATGCCTTCACACCCACGCGTGCATTTCCACGTGATGCAGCTGCAGGCAACTAGCACGTGCTGGCTGACGTGTGTGTCACGAGCGGGTCAACTGTGGCACAAAGCAAAAGCTTCGGTAATGGCATCATTATCCCCTGTTCTGCACCATATAGTTACACGCCTACAGGGACCAACTGCAGCGGGCGTAACAGTGCGCCGCAGCGAGATACTTCTCGCTTATATCCATAAGCCTGTCTATTCCATAAAGTGCACTTTATATGCATAACCTCGGGAGCTTCTAGTGCACGGACCATGCCCCGCGCCGAACAAAACAAGACGCGTCGACGCTTAGATGCATAGTTCGTTGCCACATCTTTGCTTCAACAGCTCCGGATGCTATCACAGTCGAGAACGCAACAATACCGCTATTGGGAGATAATTCAAGGTCAAATAACAGGATACGGAATATTGATAACTTTGATGTCCGAGTTTATGATGCAGGGAGAAGAGATGGTCTGGAAGTGGACAAACCCGGAAGAGACGAGGGCTCGGGAGCTAGCGGCGACGGATCACGAGGTTGAAGAGGGCGATCCTGTGATCATTGATGAGAACACGAGCGGAGGAAACAATGGGAGCATGACGGTGCGGGATGAAATAATGGCCGATGTACAGCAGACGCAGACAGTGGGTATATGGAAGATCAACATTGAATTACAAGCTCATGTCCCACCCGACCGGGAAGTGAGGTTTAGCATCCAGACGACTAGTGTGTGACGTTGCAATTCGTGAGAGAAAGCTGGAATAAAGGTATTACAGGGTTTGTATAAGAAATCCGAGAAGGGGTTCGTATGCGTACAGTTTGGAAAGAATAGAGCCACCTGAATACCAATATTATGGTCTCGTATCACTCTTGTCTGTGAATAATGCTGTCGTTATGCACTCGACCATCAAGGCCCAGAAAGCGATCCAACATATGCGAGTCATAAGCATAACCCATTCGCAATGGTCTAACCATACTGAAACAGGCCAGACTGTCATTTCCACATGGTTCTAGCTCTGTAGATTTATCAAGGTAGCATTAGGCCCACAAACCTGTGGTGATCCTTCCTCTCTTTAGTACGAATAAGACACTCTTTTCTGCTCACCCATACATGCATATTCCGCTGGCCATGCTGACTATCCGTCAAAAAACCACACCAGAGCTGGACCTGCCAGGTGGGGGCACAGTGAGAAACAGTTGCCTCGCCGACACTACCGAACGAATACCACTGGACCACCAGGTCTTGATGTAAAATACAAAAACAAAAAATGACTCGTTAATAGATATTCACTATTCCCAACATGTTGGGATTGCAGTCCGTGCAGCTGGCGCTGTAACTCCGCCTCGTCAATTAGTGAGGGACTCAACCGCTGACAGAAAGCACAGCAACAGACATTAACATTTCCCCACTATTCTTCGCATGTCTTTGAGATAATGACGGATCCTCGGAAAGTCCAGGATGACGATCTTCGATATGACCTGAGGTTCTACCTCCAAAGGTGTCAGGGCTGCAACAACATGAATACGTCCCAGGTTGCACTTAGATCATTACACCTCACCTCTGGTGGCGACATCAAGTCAAGATGGATACGAGATCGCGAAGGCCTGACAATGTGGAATCTTTGACACCATTATTACTAGCGACGCGGACGACAGTCCCCTCAGGTAATCCCTCCTCGAGTGACGCTGCCGAGACTGTATCGCCGTCCTTGTTTGTCGCGCATACGAGGGCAAAGTTGTCAAGGAACTTGCGTTTGAGGATGTGTTCTCGCTGCCAGACGACGTTACCGGAGTCGGAATCAAGGCCGTGTTCAGTGGGCTCGCCGCGAACGGGGTCGAGAAGGTGAAGGAGCACCGCAACCTGCATGAAGCGGCTCTGAACGTTTCCCGTGATCTCGAGGGTCATATCGGTAGGATGTAGCCTGATATTACTGTCAAAATGGCGAGGACTGTAGTTCTCACGGAGCACATGTCATTGTCGACAGACGAGAAGCCAACGCCATTTCGCATTGTCTGTGATTGGGAGACGGTCTTTACGTAGGACAAGTGGCTCAATACCGGTAACTCCTACCCCTCACTTTGGCATGCGCTTCAGGCCAAAACGCTAGGTACAGTACATGAACTGGACAGTACTCTGCGGCAATCATCCAATGATACAGGGTTGCTCTTCTCCTCAACCTGAACGTTGGGTATTACTGCCGTCGTCTTTGCGATTACGACGAAGCCATGAGCCTAGCCTCATCGGGTCTTGAAGCAACTCGTGACAGGGCGCCGCTTCAGAATGGTCAGCTGGGTCCTGCTTGACTGTAGGTTAGGCACCTACTGCGTACGGCCCCGTCTTGTAAGCTCCGCCGGTCACAGCAGCTCTACCCCGCTCGCCTTGCAACTCCTCGGCAAGCGATCAAGCAGCTCGTCAGAAATCGGTGCAACCATGACCGCGTTAGTATTAGGCCGTCTTCGTAGTCTTCTCGTATTACTCGAGATGGAGCGTTTTCTGCAGCGACGAAAGAAGTGCACTGCATCGGCGCGACAAGACTGTCGCTGTCTGATCCTGGGCTTGAGTGTGATGATGGTAGTCGACGAACATGGGCATGACCACCTGCTAAGAGTGCCTGCGTATCGTCGAGCGCACACTTGATCGGAATTCTGTAACGTATCCTGGCGGCTTATTGTCACTCTTTCACATTGAATGGGGAGGAGGCGTTTAGAGATTGGATGTTGGCACGGATACCATTTGTTCGATCTTCTGGCGTTAATTAAGTAAAGACTGCGTCCAGGAGAGGACACCTGTCTTAAGGGTTCCCTGAGTTGTCGTAATCCTTTTGGTCGTCGAGAGCGCCGTGAAACATCTTGGCACGGCTCTTAGTCAGGATGTCCAGGTCCGTCACAGAGGACTTGCCGTCAGATAGCTTGATGCGGACCTCATGTTCAGTCGAAAGCATCATATCGTCCTTGGCCAGCCGCATAGGGCCATTAAATATAGACATGACTCTTCTCTTCATTCCAACCTGGGTTGCATCGTAACCCCAGGACGAAGGATAGTTTTTGCATTTAATGCGCTTGGGCTTGTCTTTTGGTGGTTGCAGGCTTTGGGCGGGATCCATCTTCCTGTTCCAGATCGTGGGCGGGTGACGAGAAGCGAAGGCATCAGTTTTATTGTCGAATTCATAACCTATTTCTTCGTCTTCCAAGTCAGTGCTGATCTGTGACGGAGGAAGGCAGGTTGTTCCTCCTGAGAGTCTCAAGCACATTTTCGTCGTTTCGCACTTCGGCTAGTCGCTGGGCATTGATGATGTCGAAAGGGTTCTCTTCTAGAAGGGATTGTAATACGCAGTCGTCTAGGTGGTCGTAAAGGCGCTGAGGATCTGAAAAGGAAATGCCACACTTTCCGAAGGCCCCAGGGGCATGGCAGCCGGTCTTCGTCTCCACCCCACCATGATCGTCGAACATTTGTCCATCGCTAGCGTGCTGCACGTCGTGATCAGCGACTAGATGTTTCTTGAGCGCATCGGAGCGGCTGAAAGCCGTCTCCATGGCGGTCCCCGAGCCTGGGACAGAAAGTACAGATCAAGGTGCCTTTATAGTGGGCCACGGCATGGCGATCCTTGTCGTACTTGCGCGCGAACCCTTTCGTGTGATACTGGCAACATTTGACAGGGCACTTCTCGGGACGTTTATCCTTATGGGTGATCATATGAGTCTTGATGTCCTTAAAGGCCTTGCCACAGTTGTTACAGATGCTTCGCTTCTTCGTCTTGGAGCCGTCATCGTCGTGATCTCCACTTCTAGGTGGGAAGTGTTCCTGGTCCATCGTTGCACTGGAAGAGCAGGACCGTTTGCGTTTGAGACCGGCCGAATTCATTAGAAGAGAGGGTTGTCAAGAGCAAAGACCAATAATTTTGACAGGCTCATTCTCCTGTACGCGGCACACCCACATATGTATAGGGTATCGGCCTCAATTATCGCTATTCCGTGATCGAATCCTAAGGCTCGTGGTGGTCGGGTAGCGGAGATTTCATAACATCCCGTCTCGTTCGTTTAACACTCAGACGCGACGCCGAGCCCTAGATTCACTACGTCTCTCTTGATGAACACATGTGACATTTGTTGTGTGAATCGAGGATCATTGCCACTATTGGTGTCGTGGCTCCCTTCCAAATGCCCATCCAGATAAGATCATCAGACCATACGTTCGGGGCAGCCTTACAATATCAAACTGTCGTTTGTAGTTTATCTGTGGCTTCAGATCATGCATTGAAATAGTGTCGACTGCTTGTCCATGTTCCTTCTTCTATTGACAAATTCAGCATTGGCTGCATCATTAGGTCTTAGAAGCGGGTTATAGCTCTCTAGTTGATCTGCTAGAGCGACAAACGTATAGGAGAAGCGCGTGGTGGTGAGAGGCGAGATGGTGGACCTCAGCCGGCTTGTTATACCTGATGTGATTGCCGGCAAGGCTCTACACGCCGCATTCACATCCCTTCTATTGGGTGAGGAGCTGCTTAATGATCCTGGGACTAAATCTGTACACTAAGCTTGAGGCACTGCTACTGATAAAGAAGTGGTACATTTCAAAGCTATATTAACCCGCCCCTCGGGCCCGCAGAAATCTCCAAGAGCGATCCGAAAAGGCTTTGGCTGTTATCGCTGCCTTTCTAAGCTGATGAACCTTCGGATCCTGCGCCAAGACTTTGGCGAAGCTCGCACCATATCTCCGTCAGTCATCCTTATCATCAATGAACTATATCAGACTCGTCTTCGACCGTCAACGAAGCCCCTAATCGGTACGCTGCCTTTTTCTAGAACTAAAACTGGAGGTCACTTGACCCACCATGGGTTCGATCAGAGAGAAACCAGAGCCTTGAGTGGATTCCGGCTGACTAGCATCAAGCCTCTGAGAACTCATCGCTAGCCCGGCAAATCTGCGATGAGTTGCCTGAGTAGAGAAGCTTGCTTGGCTGGCGAGCGAGGGGGTAGGCTCATTTCGTGGGACAGGCAGTCCATGCATATAATCGCTGATGTCGCGCCACAATCGCTTACCATGATCCTGCTTGTATGTGAGACATTTAGCCTCGACTGCTTTTGCTGCCTCTCGCAGATAACCCAAAAGCTCTCCGATCGCATAGCCGACCATGATTTTCTCGAAAGCACCCACGACTTTGTCCCTTGTGAAGTCAGGCCCACTAGCCTCAAAGTAATCATCAAACACGAACTGCAACGGGTAGCCCTCGACTATAGAGTCCATGGGAGGAACTTCACCAAGCTGTCCGTTCAGTGTGATCGCCTGGTGGTCTTGGGTGCAGCAAGCCCGATGAACACGGATCTTGATTCCTTTGCTCGTCGATACACACGAGAAGAACCTGACCTTTTCGAAGAAAATTTGCACATGCTCATCCCCGGCTTCTCTGAAGAACTCATACATGTTGTGTAGAGACTGGCTGGCATTATTCAGATTCTGAGACAAGGCAACCTCATCATCAGGAGTCTTGAACGAGTTCTTCCCCTCAATGGTCATAAAGTGAAGGACACGAACTTCCTTCCCGGTGGCTTGTCCTTCGTAGCATAATAAGCTCCTCATTGCATCGGGGAGATCATGCCACCTTCGTCTCTGAAAGATTGCGAACTGGCGAAATGCCAGGGCTAAATCCGCTTTTGGTTGTGTGAGGCATTTTGGCTGTGGATCGAACAAAACCCTTGATGGCATTGGAGGGCACTTCCAGATTCTTTCAACAGAAAAATCGAGAATGGGTATGGTGGCATCCTCTCTGTCGTAAAGTAACCGATGCCGATCGATCATTGACATCATGATGGTGCGCTGGAAGACAGGCTCCAGGGGATCATTTCGTGTTTTCTGCAAGTCAAGCTCCCAAGCGCGAACATGGCGTCTTTTCTCTAGCTGTGTCTCCTTTGGTGTCTTAGAAGTGAGCGACTGGATGTGGTCCAGGTATGGATCGTGATAGGGCTCCAATGCCACGTTGCGCTCCCCGAGTCCCACCCGAAAGCTCTCCTGGTCTGTTGGGTTGATTCGACCACCAGTTTTACCCATGCTGGGATCTAACAACACTTGCTCAAGAAGGTCAAGTGTCGATTCGTCGAGAGGCGGTAAATATCCTATGCTTTTGTACAAGGAAACCAATGGGTCCTCATCAGCAGAGTCGGAGGATGCTCTATCTGATTCCTCAGATTCAGCGAAATGAGGGGACAGATAGCGAATGCTTTCGTAGAAGGCGCCCAACGGATCACTTTCCGGAAGTTCAGGCGTTTCAGGATCCGCCTTGTTGTTGTCACCCTGATGATGGGATACGTCTCGGTCTTCGGTCTTTGCCGACCGTAACGCACGTCGGCGGCGCCGAAGGATGCCCTCTGGGTCGTCGCTGGAAGAAAGCACAGAGCTGTTCGCTGTAGCTCTGGTATGAGGTCGGTTGACTGTGGACCTTCTTCGTGGGTTCTCGATTAGCGGTGTTAGCGGACTGATTTTGAAGATCAGGACTTACTCTTTTCTTGAACGAGACATCCCGGGCTGGGTTGTTGGGGAGAAAAGGAGACAGTCTGCGGTTGCGCGGGGTAGCTGTTGCTATTTGAGCAGGCCGGGAAGGCCTGAAGTGTAGAGCATTGTTGGATGGTAGGGTAGCATTGCATATGGCGCATTGGCTTGCATTACTGTATGGAATTCGCAAACAGAATCTCGACTCGGTACAGCTGAATCGACACTGGCGGCTACATAAGCATGCAGGGTTCAAAGATATCACTCGCGTCAAGCTAATTAGTACGGACCTCGCGGGACGACCCGCCTTCGTAGACCTTCGCCTCGTCTTTGAATACAGAAGATCTATCAGGCATTTGGTAACAGGTAGTGTCCTGAAGTGACGATGGTATCAAGAGCGGGGTAGCATAGTTTCTTGAGGCTGCCTTCACTATGCGCGATACGCGCACTTCCCGTCCTCTGGTCAGCCACGAGTGATGAGAGACATGCCTGTATTCGGGATTGCAAGATGAAGCTGCGTCGTCACCGTCTCTGACCAGATCGAGTCGACATTGAGTTAAATCCGCTGTGGTGCTGCCACCCGTGAAATATGTCGACGCAGCACGAGCTCGAACTCAGAAGTCCAGAGCTGAATGCCCACTTGGATGGCTTTTTCAAGGCGGTGCGGATACTCGGCGAGAATGCGTCGTACCGCCACATCGGCGGCGTTTTGGAACGAAATGCCGAGCTTACCGAGGAAATCAAGAGGCTTAAGAACACAGAGGATGTCAATATTGCGCAGATCGCCCGGCTGGGCCAGCAGCTTGATGAAGCACAGCAACAGGCTAGGGAGAGAGAAGACGAGCTGGCAATAATGAGAAAGAACATACAGACAGTCAATGACTTGGTCAGAGCTGCTGAAGGGACAGTGCAGAAGAAAGAAGAGAGTCTCAGAAAGGCAGAAGACAATTCGAAGACGCTCATGGAAACTCTGAAGAAGCACGAGGCCGACAGCATAGCCCACGAAGCAGAGGCGCGACAGATGGAGGAGCAACTTCGCGATTCCAGGAAGAATGAGAGTGTCCTGAGGGGCGAGAGGGAGCTTGCCGCAGAACAGTTGAGAGAGAAAACGGAGATGCTAGATGAGATCAACAATTGGCGGCTCCAGATGAAGAAGATAGACGAGACAGAGAGAGACGAAACGTAAGTGCGCAGCCCCTCTTCTCTACGAAGCTGATACCAGCCGCAAACAGTGCCACGAAGCTACAAGGTCTGTTCACAGAGGCGTACAGCATGGTGAAGAAATACTTCGGCGATGACGTGCCAGACCAGATAGGCAAGGACGCTAAGGCTTGGGAAGCCCTCCGTGGGCATGTCGCGGTGTCCCATCCATACAAGATCCCCCTGCCATCATCAAACTCGCCGCAGGCCAAGCAAATGCGCGTCGCCGCCGTCCTGGCAGTCCTAGGTCATCACCTGGCGGAGCAGATCCTCCAGCCGCTCTTCATCCTGGAGGATGGAGGCGAGCTGAATGAGTTTCTCAGCGAACTCGCCAGCGATGACCCTCCGAGAGAGGCCTTTCTCCGCTCGACACTGCTGGCTGCTCTCACCAGCGCGGATCAGCGGGAGAACAGACAGGAGCGAGTGAAAGACGTCTTTCAGGCGGTCATCTCAGCCGCGCAGCCGCTGTTAGCAGACGGAAAGCGGGATGGCTTCCGACGTGCACTTAGAGATCTCTGTGCGCGGTATTGCGAGACCTGGTCCGAGATACAGCATCTGGAGGACAAGATCGAGTGGAGTCTAGACGTCGATGAGCCCGACAACTTCGAGCTACTGCAGCTCCCGAATCCGGCAGGTGAGACGGCCAGCGAGGCCACCAGCAACAACCAGGCGTCGGGGACGCCCAAGACTGGTTCGAACCGTCCACCGAATAGCTCTGTCTCCCAGCTGTCCCGGCCCTCAAGCAACACAGCCAGCCAGCTGAGGGGAAACGAGGCCATCGTGGCACCCGTGTGGCCCTGCTTCATCCTCGTAAGGAGAGGAGGTGGAGAGCTGGTAGCAAAAGGCTTCGCGCTGGGAGAGGCACAGATAAAGGTGGCCAAGAGTGAAGCATCAAGCCTGAGACGATCCCTCACGGGCAACCACCGTGAAGCGAGACACAGGGGGGCTAGAACTCTGTCTAAGGAGGTGGACAGCAAGGCAGCGAATTCTTTTTTCATCCACAAATGGATCCGCCGAGCTGGCGGGCAGCTGATCTCGGGCAGGCGCGGCAGATAAGCACAACGATCGAAAAGGTCACTCGTCGCGTGTGGAGAGCTGAAGCTGGGTGGACCGATGTACCGTCTGTCGAGGATAATGTACCGGTGGCATGTTTGACATACTGCGCTGCTGACAGACAACTCGGACGGTATCGCACCGACGACGCGACTTCGTTGGTCTTGAGGGGCTGTATGGGAATGGCAGAGACCTGTGCGCACCCGTCAAAAGGGTAAGCAGCTGTAGTTATGAATGAGTGGTAGCTTCCATGCCTTCTCGTGTCTCCTCCGTTTCGTGACATGTCTCTGCGTGCTTGTGTTGTAACGGTCGGCGTCGCTCAGCGTGCGGTCTTCAAGCGGTAGAGTTAGGACAAGAGGCTCATCTACGCCCATGCAGTTGGGAAGCGATTGGTGCCGGACTCTTCGATAGGACCAGTCGCGATTGCGCCACGAGTCGGAGAGGCCTAAGGTAACCTGAAACACTTTTTAGGATCTATGTGGCCGAGACCTCATATTATCGCACTCGTGAATCAGAGGTTTCGGAGGCCCTGGAATGGTAGGGCGTTCCTATTGGTGGGTTCCCGCCGCCCCTAGGCAGCAACTCAGCCGTGCCTCTTGGCGAAAAAGTTTCGCGACTACTTCATCGACATGGCCAATGCCAAAGCACGCGACCGACGTGCAGAGTCTCCAATTGCTCAGGGAGACGATCTTGTCAGCATAATAGAGGAACAAGATGGAGGATCGAGCCCACTCGACTTCTATGATTGTCGGCTATTCGCCGAGCCAGAAGACGACAATCAGGAGGCCCAAGAGACGAAAGTTGGTCTAGGTATTCTCCATACATACGACGAGGACGACGTGGCAGACCTCTAATGTACCTAGGAGGGAAGAACACGAAGCGTCATCGTAGCCGGTCGATGCCCACTCCTACACTTCGGTCTCCTCGAAATTTAGCCAAGGGGCCGAGCATCCCGTTGATAACGGAACGAGGAGGCCTCCTTGACCAGAGAGTGATTATTGCAGCCCACTTCTGGTACAGTAACTGAGACGATCCAAAGAGGTGCCGAGTGTGTCTCTGCAGCGGCCGCTGACGCGCATGCTCCAAGCCTGTCATCATATCCGCTCTTCTCGCCTGTTTTCGCAGCTTCGCTCAATCAACATCTGCCTCTGGTGATTTGATCAGACCCCAGACCAACGATGCAACGCCTTGTTAGCTGGTAACCGTACTTATCTTTGCTATTCGTGGCATTTCCTGACCGACTCAATCTTATGATTTGCCTGGTTCAAGACGGATATGGAATGCCACAGCGCCTGTGATACGATGACATGCCTCAACCCCTCACGGACATCTGCACACAGCTGAGCAGGATCTCTCGAGGCTTCGGCGTTTTGGCACAGAACTCCAGAGTAAGCTGTCCTTTGCTCTTTTTAATCGCTCTTAGCTGACAGCCTCGGATACTTGCAGGCCAGCTTCTCGGCGCATCCAAGTCCAATTATCCGAGAGCTCTCCGAGAACAACGTCTATTTTTCCCTTGATGAATACTTGGGTGATACACCATCGCCTGATGAGGCCCTCCGAGTTCTTCGTCGCGCTGGCGAGTGCTTCGACCTCAAGTCCTTCGAAATATCCTGGAACTTTGAGGTACACGCACCTCTACTGTCCTTGGGCCTTCGACCTGACCCTGATGTGATCTCACATGGGTGCGACTTTGTTGCTTGGTAAGTACGGCCTCTTACTCTTCCTGGTGTATGACACCTGACTCGATCATAGCCACTCCGCTAGGATAATCAGAGAATATCTCCATGGCTATGTCCCAGAGAAGCTGGTCGACTTCTGCCTCTTTCTGAACCCGAGTGTGATAGGAGATAGCGCTGCCGCCCGTCGAATTGACCAGATCCGAACCCATCTGCCCGAGCAGATGATCAATCACACGGTTTATGAGTCCTTAGGTGGAAGGCCGATAGCCCTCAGCATCGAGACTAAGAAAGCCGAGGCAGGTCTTATCAATGCCAATCTTCAGATTGGCGTGTGGCATACCGCGCAGTGGAACTTTCTCAGATCGGTGGCAGGTGATACACTTGACAATAGGAGGCTGGCATTTCTTCCTGCCATCATCGTCGAGGGTAATGACTGGAGCTTTGCTGCTACTACGCGCAAGGGCACTATCACGGTACGTACTGCAGGCCTTTACTGTTGTGGCTTCGTTGGACTAGGTTGGCGTGCATCGGCGTGTTCTTCGGTAAGAAATCTTTCTATTTCAATGTACCTGACTATCTTTCCATACAGACACTCTGGTCGAAACAGCCTATAGGCTCTACCACTGATCCCCTTGGGATCTATAAGATTGTGGCAGCTTTACGATATCTTCAGAGGTGGGCAAGACGGGAATACTGGCCATGGTTCAGAGAGGTAGTATTAGGTTTCCCTGCTTAGATCAATGGCGAGGAGATTGTTGGTCTACATGACGAATTAGATCCCGGCCACTATAGCTAGACGCGTGGTACTCCAACCACTTGATTAATCACGTATACTGTCCACAAACCGGGAGCATGCATGATCGTATAGTAGATGGCATCGGTTGGCGACTTGGCATTGTATATACGGACTATCGTAGGAACTGTCCGTCGGCTCACCCTGCCAACTCCATCTTCCTCTCCTCCAAAAGCCTCAGGCGGTCCCGAATAGCGAACCTCCACTTCGCAGCCACCTTGTACACCAGAAGAAGGGCAAAGTAGAAAAAAATATAACACAGAAGATCAGAATGACCGCAATGCTAAACCAGAGCGCCGACGACGACAGCACCCTGTCGTGCTCGACCGCGACGGCAACCTGCAGTCCGCTCAAGACAAGTGACGCACCGCCGATCACGAACAGGACAGGCCCGTAGAAGCAGGCAAAGAAGGCGCCGTACTAGTACTCGACTCGCTAAAAGTGCGACCGCCCAAGTAGGAAAGACGCGTAGAAGTTGAGATACGTCAGCCAGATCTCGCCATACACGTAGCGCACAGAGACGTCGCAGTCAGCGATACCAGCAAGGTCAGTAGTAAAGTCGCAGAACTACTCCCAAGACACATCAGCCAGAATAAGGCACAGGCTGGGATCCTGGGCGATGCGGAAGTCAGACTCATACCGCACGAAGTAGCAGTACGTCCGGAGATAGCCCAGAGCAGCCCTGCAGATACGTGACGTACGCCCGCCATCGCCGCAGAGATAGTCTTGCCAGAATCTATGCGAGCCCAAGTAACGTAGGAGCAGCTTGACGAAGATGCAGTCGTAGATCCACACCAAGTGCAGCTTCGGATCCTCCGTCACGACAACTATACGCCGCTTCACCAGCTGGCAGTAGAGAGGAGAGATACTTACTCACACTATCCTACTTAGACATCCACCAGAGCCTATACACGACTCGGTCCATATCCTCAGCATAGAGCTCTCCATCGAGACAGTCCCACACTTTTGTGCGATCCTCTAGCAGGACGCAAGGATGTGCTGGCAGGCGTCGCGTCGACGGGTCATCTAGCTCCGGCGCGAGCTGGTGTGCCCACGCGAAGGGCGGGGCTAAGGACGGGGATGAGCGTACAGACGCCATGTGCCTGGAACTAGAGTACACGGTACGGTATGATGCGGTGATATCGACTCATAGCCTAGCAACAGTGAGCTCGCCGGCGTGCAGCCTCGTGGCGCGTACTTGCAGCACTTACCGGTCACGTGCTCTAACGCACCCCGCCACGCTGCCGTCATGTTCTAGATCACGATATCCAGCCATGGAACTTGCTCAATCTGAGGCTCCGGCATCCGTTTTCGACGATAACCGGAGTCTGACGCTGCGTATCGAGGAGATCCCTCTCGACCATGTAGATGTCCTGGAAGACAACCTCGGCCGCATCGCCCAGCCCCATCCCGTCCTGCGCGAGATAATCGCGACGTCGACACGACGCTCTGTTGTTCGGAACCAGCGCGACTCCAGCGTCACAGTCACAATTACAGTCAATACGCGGGTTCCCGGAGAAGACCTCTGCAGACGACTACAGCAAGCTGGCAGAGCCTTTCCGTACCGCTTCAGTGCCCGATTTCTAGGCATACACCCCATTCCATTCAGGTGAACGGACCCGCTTTATTTTTGCACTTCCCAACTTCTCCACCCAAAACGCGTGTGATTTATGGGCTCGTGAAAACGCCCTTTTTTTGCTTCGACTTTTGAAGAACTTCCTCGCCTAGCTGCCCCCCACCCTCGCTGTCCGGCTTTGAAGCTATTCAGTGTACCAAAATCGAGTATCGCTAATCGAATGATAGTAGTTAGGCCTTATTAGGACTAATGCCTGGCCCACAGCTTAGCGATGGAAACCGCTCCATCATCACCAGCCTGCTCGAGGGTGGCTTTTCCAACAAAGATATCGCCACCAGCGTAAATATCACTCCGGACTATGCTCAAAAGCTTCGAAAGCGATGGATTATCACAGAGAGTATCTTCATTAAGCAGGACTGCACTGATCAAACAAAGCTTCTGCTATTTCATCTAGCTGTATGCTCTAAACCTATCCTTCTTATCAACCTTAGCTGTATCAGATGCTGATACTTCGAACAATAGGAATTGCTTGATCTTCTGGCTGAAAAGAGCAATATATATCTCGATGAGATGCAACTATAGCTATTCGAATGATTCAATCTCGAGATCTCGAAAGCTATACTGAGCTGCTGTCTTCATACTGAGAACTGAACTAAGAAGAAACAAGTGTAATGAGCACTGCAGCAATCCGAAGATTCCTAAGTACACGAAGGGGTTTATGCTAACAAGAGCGGTATCAAAGTATCAAGTCCTTGAATACGGAACCGTACAAGTCCTAATAAGCGATGCAAGTGTTCACTGCCTTTGGGGCTACTCAGTGTATGAAACTGAATACTTAGATTGACAACTGAAGAGCTATGTACGAGATCTATCTAATGGGAATGAATGTGTCCTTATATATCCAACTCTTCATCGTAGCTCACTTGGCTTACCGTGATCCGTGATCTGTGTTGTAGTGATCCAGTGAGCGGCTCACCTATATTATCGTAATCCAACCCTAATTCTTGCTTATGTAATTCCTAGTAGTTGTTCAATATTGGGTTGTAATATCTGGTTCCTTATTAGCAAAGCCTGTTTCATGATCTGCATGTTGAATGGATTATAATATCATCTCCCTTCTATCGATTGTTATTCCTAATGATCTTCCGTAAGTATTCTAGCAAGTTATTCGCATATATGATCATGCTTTTCTAATTGAGATGTTGAATAGAATCAAAAAGTCTCTTTCTCGAAAATCTGAATAATGCTTTTAGCTTTCTCTAACTATCGATCTTCAAGGTTTTGAAATCATGCCTTGTTCCTTCTGTATCTCGAAGGGATTGGAGTGTAAGATGATGGAAGGTACCAAAAGGTATTCCTGTTGCGTTCGCTGGGATTGTTCCTGCAATGGTTCCGGTATTCCGGTGAATGCTTGTAGGTTTGCTCTTTTCTAAATTATTTCTTATTTGCCTTCTGATCTCTCTGATAGTATCTCGTATTACTACCGAGCTTGGTTGTTTAGATCGGGAGGAGTTGGATGCAGAGGAAGTTCTTCTCGAGCTTCAGTCTAAGTTGGGTGAGATAACAGCTCGTTTGGTGCATTTGCAGAAACAGAAACGTTCCCTGCATGATTGTGGCGCAAAGATGGTTAGCTAGGGTTTGCGTTCTCTGGACGAGCTGGAGGAGGAGGAGCGTTGGGAGGAGGATGCTCAGCGTGCTGCTGAATCTGAAGCTGTGGTTGAGGCTCAGTCTTGGGGTGCTCTTGATGTGGTGGATTGGGATAACGTTTTAGGTGGGATTGCAGTATCTGATTTCTGTTCTGAGGCTTCTGGATCTTGGTTCAGGGCGGAGCGATCGTCTTAGATGCTAGCTTTTCTTTTCCAATATTCAGCTATCTTTTCCTGAGCATTTCCAATGTTTCCCCGTGGTTCCCATGAATTTTTACTTGCTGAGTAATCTTTCCATTTGATGAGGTATTCCCTTGTGTTGTCTATGCTTTTGTGCTTGAGAATCTTTTCTATCTCATATTCTGGTTCATTATTTTCTACTTCTGCTGTATTGTCTATTAGTGTTTCCTATGCTGCTAGTTCCAGCAGTGAGATGTGGAAAACCGGGTGTATTCTCATCCTATGAGGTAATGCTAACTCGTAGTTGACTGGGGAAATCTGTTGCAAGATTTTGAATAGTTCCAACTTCTTATAATCAAGTTTATTGCTGGATCTAGTTGTTTTAATGTTTTTTCGAAGTAGGTAGGCCTTATCTCCCTTCTGTAGGATTGATTTCTCAATCCTTTTGGAGTTTGCGTATTGCATTATTCGTTCTTGAATGAATTGTAATTCTGATCGGAGTTCTTCCTGAACTTTCTTAATCTTCTTAATCCTTTTGTTTGCAGCTTCTGCATCTGCTCCTGGTAGTGCTTTGTAGTAAGCTGTTGAGTTGTATTCATAGAGTACGAAGAATGGCGATTTCTTTATTGTGCTTGTATCTGCGCTGTTATAAGCGAACTGTATAAGGGGCAACAGGTCAACTCAGTTGTTTTATTCCTGGTTGATGTAGTATTGAAGGTATTGTTCGATAATCTGATTCATTCTTTCTGTTTGTTTATCTGTTTGTGAGTGAAATGCTGTAGACATTCTGTGATATGTTTTGAGCTGTTTCATGAGTAAAATCCAAAATTTCGAGTTGAACTTTCTATCTCTGTTGGAGATTACTTCTTCTAGCGTGCTATAGTTGGCAATGATCGTTCTAAGAAACGCATATGCGAGTTCTTCTGCTATACTGCTTTTCTTGTAGAGGAGAAAGTAAGCATACTTGCTCAGTTTGCAAATTACTACTAGAATGCTATTGTATTGCATCTTAGTTAAGAGTTCTCGTGAGAAAAATAGCTTGATAATAAAGTTTAGACTGATAGATTGCCAAATAGTTATAAGTACTAGTAAGGAATGCAGTAGTCTGTAAAGCTTGTATCTTTCTGCTTTATTCTTCTTGCAGCTATTGCATTATTGTAGAATGCTCTTAATCCTTTTCCTAAGATCTGATGGATTCTAGTATCTTTTGATGTATTCGTAAGTTGCTCTGATTCCCTGATGCTTGTATGCTGGTGTATTGTATATATTCTTGATATAGTTATCTTGTTCGTTCAGAGTTATTGATTCTGAATCCCTTTCCGAGGATTCGATCCTGAGAGCAGCGTTCAGTTCTCTATATGCGTTAACAAGATTTCCTGACTCGTCTTGGGCGAAGATATTCTGTATATCCGAGGAATCTGCATTTCGATAGTCTGGTTTTCTGCTGAGGGCGTTTGCTCGTTCGTTTTCTGAGCCTTTGCAGTATACAATCTTGAAATCGAATTGTGAAAGGAATTCTGCCCATCTGACTTATCGCTTATTCAAAACCTTGGTTGTTATGAATGTAATTAGATTCTTGTAATCCGAGTGAACTATAATCGAGTGTTGTGCGCTAATAAGATAGTATTGCTATTCCTCGAAGGCTTTCACTATTGCTATGAGTTCCTGATTAGGGATTCTGTAGTTAACTTCTGAGCTGTTCAACTTCTTCGAGAAGTTGCTTACAATCCTCAGATATTCTTGATCATCTCGCTAATCCAGTTGTTCTTCGAGTACATATCCCGATGCATCGATCTCAACTTCAAAGAGCTTATAAGGATCTGCTTTATATAGAACTAGCTCTAAGGTAATATGCTTAATAATCTTATCAAAGGCTTCTTGTGCCTTGGAGGTTCATTCGAAGGATTGATTCCTTTTGATAAGATTTGTAAGAGGATGCGCAATTCAGCTATAGTTCTTGATGAACTATCTGTAGAAGTTGATGTATCCGAGGAAAGATCTAATATCCCTAACGTTCTTGGGAATTAGCCAGTTTCTGATAGCTTTTATCTTGTTTTTCTGTAGCTTAATGCATTCTAGCTTGATTGTGAATCCGAGATAGTCGATTTTTTATATGTGAAAGTGACTCTTTGCAGGTTCCACAAGGAGTTTTGCATCTTGAAGCGTTTGCAACACTGTTTCCACATATTTCTTGTGTTCTTCAAGTATTCGAGAGTAGATAAGAATGTTATTGAGGTAGGCAATAACGAACTGATCCAGGTGCTCGCATAGAACATGATTGATTATTTTCTGGAACAAAGCTGAAGCATTCATTAGACTAAAGAGCATAACCAAATATTCATAGTATCCATAGCGTATCCTGAAGGCAGTTTTCCATTCTTCTTCTTTCTTTACTCTGATCAGGTTATAAGCTTCTTTCAGATTCAGGACTGTGAACTACTTTGCTCCTTGTAATCTATCTCGTAGTTCCTTGATGAGTAGCAACGGGTATCGGTTCTTGATCGTGATATTGTTGAGTTGCCTGTAGTTAATACATAGCCTGAGCTTGCTGTTCTTTTTGGGTATAAACAGGATGGGGTATCCTGCTGATAATTGCGATGGTTATATATATCCTTTCTTGAGGTTCTCGTCGAGGTACTCCCTAAGTGCCTCTAGCTGTGCCTTGTCTAGTCCGTAGATGGGGAAGAATTTGGGCTGTTTTCCTTCTTGTAGCGGGATCTCATGGTTGTATGGGCTGTATTCTGGCAATCCTGTATCCAATTCTTCCTGGAACAGTTTCTTGAACTTGTGATATTCTTGTGGTATGTTCGCGAGTGTTGGTTCTGATTCTTGTGCTGTTTCTGCTACCTGGAGGAACAGTAGGTACTGTTGAGCGTGCTTCTTTTCTGATGGCGTTTTCGAGGGCCTTGAGCGTTCGCTCCGGGCCGGACCGAGCGCTCGAGGGCCTGGTTTCGAGGTTTTTCCCGTGTGGGTTCATAATCCACATTCTGAAGCTTTTCCTTGTCGCTCCGGGGCGGACCGACCTGCTGAGGGTCTCGCTTCCGTTGTTTTGCTAACCTGTTGACGCCCTGGCACTATTTGGGTTCGCCTATCACTAGGTCCTTCTCCTTGAACTGCCAGCCCTGCTGGTTTGGAGGTATGTGTGAAGTTGTGTGAAGCCTCTTTTCCTGAGTGTTCTTCAATCACTGGCTTCGATCCTGCGCTGTTGATTGTGACTATCTCTCTGGGTACAGCTTGTTCCCATGAGATCTGGCTAGTAGTCCAATCGATTCGAGGATTGTGCTCCCTGAGCCATGGAAGCTCCATAATCAGCTCATGCTGTACTGTATCCATGATATCAAAGGAAGCTCTGGTTATGCATTCTTGGATCAAGATAGGTAGATGATTAGTCTCCTTATCGATTACTCCTTGGTTGTATGCAACAGGTTGTTCTTCCACGGTGCTGAGGGTATATGAGCATCTCTTCCATCTCCATTGTAGTTGTATCTGATTAACAATATGTGGGAATATGAAGTTTCCCTGAGCATCACTATCCAATAGTGCGCTGTACTTGTGTTCTTGAATGTATATGTTGAACTTGATGTGAGCGTAATCTGTTCTGAAAGCTTCATATAGGAACCGTTCTGGTCTGATCGTCTGCAGTCCTTTTACAAGCGATCCTGTTCTTTTGGGTTCATCAAGAGCTATCTGTCCTTCTGAGCCTGCTTCGCTGCTTCTCGAGCGAGCTTCTTAGCTTGCTTTTGCTCATATTATCATTATTTCTAGTCTTTCTTCTATTAATGCTAGTCGCAAACTTTGTTATTGATGTAAATCATACAGAGTATCGTCTTGTACTGCTACTATTTTATTTTCTTGTTCATACATTGCATGGAACAGTTATCTAGTAGTCCGATATATGCATTGTAGTACTATCTGTTAAGAATCTCTCTGAAGCGGAGTTCTTATTCTTTAATAGCCTGAAGGATTTGTTCTGGTTCTCTGATGGGGAACCATTCGTATTGCACTTTGTCTGAGAAATGCGTTCTGCAGCTATGATAGGTGCAGGAGATTCAAGCTAGTTCGTGATGTAGATTGTGAAGTGAGCTGATCCGAGAATCTTCATCTTGTTATGCCTTGATATCTTGCAAGGGAATGCAGGTAAAGAGCTTCTTTAACTCTATTCCATAGATGAGGTATTCAACCCATGTTGTTTCCTTATTCCATTCAACGCTGAAGGGAAATCTTCCTTTAGGCTTGTTGGGTTCATTGTTCACAGGAGACTCTGGTAAATCGTTGGATTGCTTGTTCTGGCTTGATTTTTCTGTTGCCTGAGAGGCATTTTCAGTATTATTTAGATATTCATACTAATAACCAAGAGAATACCATTCTTTGTTCATTTCTCTGGTTATAGTGTCTGGTGCCGGTGACGGGGAATGGCGAAGGGCACCGTCGTTAAGCCCTTCCTCCAGCATCTGGATGCTTCGTTCAGTGATATCGGAGCAGTCCGAGTTGTTGCTGCTCGTAGTCGTGCTGGGCGTATACCCTCGCCCTGCTGTCGCTATCTGCCTGTGGCGCCTAGGTTTCTGAGGGAACCATCCTGAACCTTCCTTACTCGAGAGGTGTGTTAA